TGCTGCAGAGCCAGGAGACCTTGTGAGAGGTCAACCAGCTTCAGAGACAAATTGATATCAAGAACGGTGAAATTGCATCAGTCACGGTGCATCACCAGCTGGAGATCGAGGAGCTTCATAAGAAACTCCAAAAAATGTGAGATGAATTTAATCAGCCAGAAAGACAGGCTGAGACCTCTTCAGAGTGATCATACAGTATGAGAAGCAACTAGGTACCACAGATGGTCAACTTACAATGGCCAGGGAGCATCATCGGCAGAAGATGGAGCAGCTCCATGGTCAACTTGAATCGGCCATGTGGCAGAGCCAGGAGGCCATGCAAAAGGTCAACTGGCTCGAGCCTGCAATGGATATTCACAAGACACTCACTATGTCTTTTGCTAGAAGTGTAGAAAATAGGAATGAAGACAGCATAATGGCCTGCCTAGCAGACATTCATGAACTCTTTCCAGTCGATGTTAAGGGTGAAGATGGCTTCCAGCCATTGTCAACCGCAGAAATTGTGATGTCCATTCTAGCTGAGGAGTCTGCTGTGCCATCCAGCAGCAGAGATGTTTCCTTATCCCAGAGGCCAAGACCAATGAAGCATTTGCCTCGAAGCTTCCATCGGACAGTTAAATCGCAAGCTGGGCCATCCACTATGTCAAGCAAAAGCAAGAGCAAGAGTAAGGCCATATCATCTGTGTTATTTTCAGATTCAGAGCCAGCCCCTGCAATGAGAAAGGGCAAAGGCAAGGTCATTTCATCTTCATCATCAGAAAAAGAGGATTCAGATTCAGAAAAGGCAACCATGAGTGATGTAATCGATTCATTTGATCCTCATATGTGGTGAGTGGTGCTCTGTTTGCTCCCTATTGACACTTATATTGTCTGCTTTTGAATCACCATCACCCTTGTTCCCACTTTTGCATTTTCACCTGCTCGTCTTCCATCACCATCCACTGAGTTTACCCATAATCATGTTCTATCATCTGCTCTGGTTTGCGACATTGCATCTCAACAACTTGCCTTCCCTGTGCACATCCCATCACTGCATGCCTCATCTCTCCTATTTGCGCTCCACCACTGCCTGCCATCCTCACTCCTGTACACTTCATCACAGCCCTTAACATATGCAGCTGCTATGTGTCCTCCAGTTTCTACACCTTCCACCACTCACCCCATTTCTCACCCAATGTATAAGTGAAGCCCAGCTGTGCCTGATGAAAAAGCTGTTGAAAGAGCTACATGCCAATGCAGCATGTGCAGGGTCACACAGCAAGTGCCCCATTGAAACGCATCACTGAGGAAGCTCTTGAGCATGCCGGGGCATGTGAGCACCTCCTGGACCTTCTTCTCACCTGCGAGCTAGAGCTGGATGGATGAGCAATGGACTGCACATGAGCTCTCGAGCAGATACTGTACCATATGTCATAGTGTGCGAAGGTGAGATAGTCAGTGGGCGTGTAGTCTGTGCAGAAGTACACGACCACAATTTCTCAGCAGGGAGAACTATGCAGAGCGCACGGGTAGAAGAATCGACACTAGCAGAATGTGTGAGTTGATTGAGGCTCTGTCACACAATGTGGATACCATGTCTATGAGTCAATACAAGTGATTGCAACTAGTGAAGCAAACATGATCTCACGTCTCCAGAAGCTCATATTTGAGCCAATGTTGGTCAAACATGTTCCACTTGCCATACTGAACTATGAACAGGATGTGAACACTGAAGATGGGGATTTCAGTACTTGCATCCCTCAAAATTTAGATGTATGCACTTTGGGATTTCAGATGCCTTGTGGGCTTCAGCGAGTCCTGCAGTGATCTGATTAGAAGAAAAGTGCGCTTCCTTCAGATCCCTGGAAGTGTTATAATACTGCATGAATTTGTAGAGATATCTGTCTGAAGTTGAACAGCTTGATCTATGAAATCAAGTGCAGGCCTACTTGTGCATGTTGGCAGCTTGCTGAGACAGTATACTGAATGAAAATAAGATGATATTGAATTCAACTTGCTTCAGCGAGGCAGATGTGCCATTGCTTGGGGCGTGTAGCATATAGTCTGACCAGAACATACTCAGTAGGAGTGGCTGGGCAACTGAGGTTGTTCATTCAAGTTCACCAGTAGAAACGAAACTGATCTCATACCTGGATGACCCCCTCACCTTGCAATCACTTCCATTGTCTCCATAGCTGACTGGTAAACACATCCACCTTGCCTACACCTTTCTCCTCATCCATGAAGTGATTGAGGAACTTCTCATCGATTGCAATATGGAAGAGCATGAGAGGCGCATGGATTGCAGACATCAGTGCTGGAGGCTGTTGTACAGCAGAGTGCGTGCGGGCATTTTTCACCCTCCATCTATACTCTGATGACCACGTGACTCCATGATTGTCAGTTCGAACTGGTACCCGATGATCCGATCTTAAGCGTGGACAAGTCTTTTCCACGTGCCTTGCCTCTGTCAAATTTTATCACCGCATTTCTCCACAAATGTTGCTCACAATGAAAGATCTAGAGGGGTCAGTTTCGCATTATGATATATTTAGAACTTAGCTCAGAGAAATAAATTGCGGATGATTGAGGCATGCTCACCACAGGTTCCTTGAGATTTATATTACACTTAACTATTTTTTGATAAGTGTATCTCTAAATTAATTTATTCAGAATGATTTGATTGGAAACATTTTGTGCACACACAGGAAATATTCTCAATGATCACTCAATGTTTTCTGACATGCTTCGATACTGCATCCTGCCTTCAAATGCATGTCTCATTGTGTATGCATAGCATTGGAATGCTGGTTTGATTGACCGTTCACTCATGGTGTTTCAGAGAAATAATATGCAAATAGGCCATGTGCATTCACAATGATGTGGTTGATATCATTTTTGAAGGCATGGTAACAATATACGTGATGACTCAGCAATGCTTCCGCCATTTTCCTATCAGTCATATTGACTTCACACTCAAAATGTTGGATATAATTATGCCAAAACATTATCAACAAAAACATTGTGTTAAAATTGAAAATGTTCTCACAGGGTTAGTTGTCATAGTTCCTTTGTGATATTACTGAGCACAACCATCGTATGAAATGCATAGTTCTGCCTAGATCACTCTTAGGACACTACATTTGCATCATGAGAAAATTACAACATTTTCTGCTAATGTAAAATGTGGTAGCATTCACTGCAAAGAAAGCACCCTTTCTCTACATGAGAAAGGTGAGAGAAAGTGAGATGTTTCTCATACCTTTATTCAAGTGCTTAGTGCTGTGTACAGCTTGACTTTTCCTGAGTATGTAAAGGCACTGTAGAGCCTATCAACGGGAAGAGAAGGCATGAAATATGCCTTTCACAAAGCTTTCTTACAAATCCAACTACTTGATGAGAAAGGCTTAAATTATCAGTTCAGATCTAATGCCTTTCTTGTGTCAAGAAAGGGCAATCACATGCAGCATTGTGACTGTGATCATGATGTGATCACAATGATTCCATTGGAATCACAGCCCGATGCCCCCGGTGCTTTAGCGGTGACTTGTCGAAAAATATGAGTTTCAATTGGCTCATCAGCCCCCTGCTGAATTTGCTAACTTGCATTCAATAGCCTCATGTACAGTATAATAGTAAATAAATGAATATAGTATATGATTAAACCCATGGATACATAGTATATATAGATGAAATGTTGAAGCCTTAATTACTAGGCTGTAAATATCCTATCACCTCATGGCTAAGCACATTGATTGGGGATCTATCAACTGGTTAGGTCTAATTGAACACAAGCCACAATGTAAGAACCAACCTCATTGAAGTTAATGTGGTTCTGTATGTTCAAGCCATCTCTATGCTGAAATTTGATATGTGACTTGTGATGAGAGGCTTGAAGGCATCTGAAGAGGGTGGTTGCTCTCATGCTCCAGATCCATGCATTTGAAACAAGTGTTGAAGTTCAACAATGTCATGCTGTCATGTCAGCTAAACTCTGGCAAACAATCTGGGATCTGGAACAGATTTCTGTTCCAAATTAAGTGGCCTACGGAAAAGTCATCCACTTTTCATGCAAACATATGCTGAAGACTGCTGGGCCGAGTTTCTCGAGCAAGATGCAAGCGGAGTACTACTGCCCTCGAGCACATATGATTGCAGAAAGTATGCACCTACTTGGAAATAAGTCGATCAATCTGTATAAATGTAGATACGTATATGGTGATAAGGGGTGAAGTTGCGGCAAGATAATAGCAGACCAAGTTGCAATGTGATGATGAAAGGTAAAGGTGTAAATTGTGAGGCAGAGCCGACGGCATGAATAACGTAGCGTGGGGAGAAGGGCAAGTGCATGTACATGAACACGAACAAACTCGAGTATGCACGACAAGCATGACGGGCCCTCAATTTGGGCCAATGAACTGATACAAGATCCGGCGGACGAGGCCGGAGAGATGTTGCGGGTCGTTCTGGAGTAGAAAGGATCAATCGTCGAAGGAATGAACCATGACAGGCAGCTTACTTGGTACGTGTTCTGTAAAATACGATATCAAAAAAGTCAGTTTATCGTCCACTCGTCCCAGAAACCCAACGCACCATAACCATACCCATCCCCACCGCCGTCAACTACACCAACTTACATCAGCCACCGCCACACCCCAAGTCCAAAACAAAAACTCACCAACACCTCCCCCCACTGCCCAGTATGCATCACCCACCCACGCCCCCGCGCCATCAACCACGCGCTCTCAAGGCTCTTCGGCAGCACATACATCGCAAGCTCCTCCCGCCGATGCTTATCCTCCACAAACAGCGACAGCCCCGCCGCGAGCCCGAGCACGTAGTACGCGCGCCGCGCGACGAGCGAGTCCACCAGTGGCTGCGGGAGCGCACGCGCGAGGGCTGCGAGGAATGGGTGTGTGGAGGCGCGCGCGGCGTCGGTGCGCAGCGCGGTGAGGTCTTCGTAGAGGTTGTGTTTCAGGCAGAAGAGTGCTAGCGGTCGACGGCCAAGTCAGCACGACGCGTACAGGGTAGGCAGACTACGGCACGCACATTGATAAATGAACACAAACACGCCCAGGAACGCCGAGCTCCGCACGGTGCCCCACCCCGCGCGCAGAAGCATATGCATCGGCTCCCTCCACACACGCGCGCGGCGGAAGAGGAGCATCGGGATAAGGTGCAGTGCGCCGTAAATGGGCAGCATCCACCGGAACACGCTGACGAATCGGTCGAGCTGTGTGATCGTGCACGAGTCGAACCATGGGTGCAGCGCGGAACAGGGCACGAAGGGCGAACCGAAGGATTGCTGTGGCGGTGGAAGGGACGCACGCGCGATGCGGACAAGCATGTCTGTGCGATTAAAGGGGGTGGTATCCTGAAGAGATCGGAGTGATTAGCGATGTCGTTCGAAAGAGCACTGCGACCAAATGCGAAAGTTGGCCAGCATACTTTCTTCGCGACTAGTGCCTGCATCTCCTTGATCTTGAACGTTCCGTCGCGTACCATGTCTCTCTGGATGGAGAGCGTCTCGCGGTACACCTTGCTCGCCGTTGCGATCCTGTCAGATGCAAGGAGATCTGTTTGAGTACATGAGGCCATTAAAAGAAATGCTCTGCACGTACCAGGTGTCATACGACCTGGGGAGTGTCTCCGGACGGACGAACCACGCATACATGATCTGCGCACAGCTATACAGGTATCAGACTACCGCATATAGGGGTAAATCCAGCATGAACTCACCATAGCGAGAAAACAAGCACGTCCCCGTTCGGAATGCTGACCCCATGCTTCGACGAGAATGAATTGAACGAGCCCTGCAAGCCTCTGCATCACATATATGCGCACTTTCCATCAGCTCCACCGTATTCGACACGAACCTAGTCTCCACCACTCACCGCACAAACATCTGCTGCCCAATCGCAGCCCTCCGTCCCCTCTTCTCAAACAGCACCGCAAACCCACCCGCGAGTGAGCCTGCCAAAATCGAATACCATCTTCTCGTCTGCTTACGCACCCACACCTGGTGCGCCTGCGCGCTCGCAGAGAGGCGTGCGTGCCGCGACCCGCGGCGCTTGCCGGCCTTGACACCGTCAACGTCGACAGCGAGATCCCCGTCATCGGGTTGGAAAGGCGAGTCGGATGGATGGGAGGACGCGCGCAGGGACGCGCGGAAGAGGGAGCGCGAGCGCGTGTGCGATGTGGAGCGGTGCGTGGGGAGGTTTGGCGGTGGGAATGGGAGGAGGATAGGGAGCGCATTGAGGACTAACTTGTAGATGGCAACGAAGGAACCTGCGTAGTGACGCCGGAGACGTGTAAGATGGTGCACCGATACAGAAAGTGGGAGACGCACCGAGCATGGCTGCGAATCGGACGGAGTCTTCTCCAAACGCGGCACGGCGGACAAGGGCAAAGCGGTACTTTCTGTGACGAGCATGTCAACAGCCAGCACTTCCACCCAACCAGTCACGTAAGTAGAAGATGAGCCGACTTGTACTATTTTTCCGTCGCCTCTGCTTGCTCGCCAATTTCCAGCTTCTACGTATATTCTAGAGCCAAATGCTTACCTTGGAATCTTCTTGATTCTGGTCATGAGGAGAATGAGGTTCACGCCCGCACGTATAGAGAACCCCAGCCAGCCAGCCCCTAGCAACAGAGACAGAATAGGTCAAGCAAGCAACATTACAATCAGATATCGCACGCACTCATGCCGCCCCTCCCCGCATGCTCTAAGCACTCCCAGAGGTCACTCAGGTCGGCCGGTTTCTCTCCTCTGTCGCGCCACACGATCCTCCTCGCTTCGCGGAGGCGTTCCTCATAGTTGGCCAGCACGACAAGGTTCTCGAAGGACGCGACGGCGCGCTTGGGCGCGAAGGGGATTTGCATGAAGGAGGGGACGCGGGATATGGGCTGGTGCGCGGCGTCAGAGTCGGCATTATCTGAGCTGGAAGAAGGCGGGGATTCAGAGGGACTCATGGCGTGTCGAGCGATGTCGAGCTGAGAATGTTGTGCACGAGAATGCAGGCAGCGGCGAGAGGGAGGGAGGGAGGGAGAGGGCGGGAGGCGCGGGGCAAAGGCTTGGGGCGGATATAAAGCACGATGTCTCCGTCTGGGGAAACTTGGTCGATCAGCCATCGATCACCGGCTCCGCTGCGCACGCGACGGTTCTCCTCGCCGTCCTTTCGAGCTCACGAATGCCTACATCTTGCGAGCATCGAGCGTTGCACCCGCATCCTGTTGCATCTTACAGCGCACAATAAACCGGCCGTATTTGAATACCAAATTCCATGCGACTAGCATGTCGCTCGGGGGTTCTCCAGGCGGAGAATTCAACGCCATCACCTCCATTCGACGTTTCCGTCCGAATAGCACATGTCTGCCTTTATATGCTACCTACATCCCCTGAGCAAGCATCAATTGCCTAAAATACACGGATAAACCGTCGTAATCATTTCCCCCATCATTCTGCGTCTGCTCCACTACATTTTCAGCAGAAAACCCACTCCTTTCACCATCAAAAAAGAAGGATGCCAAACACAGGGCCCTTCGTACTCTCTGGCGGGGAGTCGAACCCCGCTTTCGCGCGCGCCATCATCCAATGACAGGCGCGTGTACTGACCGATATACTACCAGAGACCTGTTTTGCAAATTATCCCAAACATCTTTGGCGTGCGACCTGCCTGCCAAACAGGCCTCTATGCCAAAGTCTGCTATGGCAAATGAATCTGGCTTGAGCGTGCTGAGTGACGATACATTCTAGGCAGCTAATTGTAGAACTAATATGCCTCCGTTGAAAAATTCGACAACAACACAGGTAAAACAAGCACTACTCCCCAACTGTGCGACGCCTTCACGTCGGTAAACCACTCGATGCACCAAACGTCTGGGTGTTAAGCCGGTGGCCGACGCAATGTACTTTATACGGCTGCATGTCGCTTTTTTTCATCTTCTTCAGAGCTTCTTGCGCAGCCCGTCGGCAAACGCCCTCCAAAAGGTTGAAGACGAGGAACTCCTGTGTCACCTGCCCTCTGTGAACGCAACCAACGGCCCTTCTGGCTCTTCGTCAGCCTGTGCAAGTGTTTCGCAGGATGAGGCGGTTGGAATGCGTCCGATGCATCCGACGGGGAAAGCGTACGGAAATCCTAAGACAGAACGCCTGTCCATTCGCGCAGACAGGCCGGGGGTCGATGTGATTTTGAGAAGGTGGGTGCAATGGAGCGAGCTGTGTCGACGGTCGTCAGTGCGAGAAATCATATTACCATTGCCTTCATTAGTTGATGCACGTCGTGGGCAGACCACAAGATCGGACTGGGCGAGTATCTTCGGTCCTCCAGGTAGGTCTCGCTCGTCTAGACAATAAAGCACGATAATCTCATTGGTTTTGCGGCTACGGTGGACAAGTTTCCGTCATTCGTATACAGCGAACGAGAAGAATAGTTGATCATGGATTCACCGCAGCCCGCACAGACGACGTATGCGGCTGAAGGGGCAAGTCCGGACGGAATGGTAGGCGAGGGATTTGGTCGCCCTGAAGTGTTCCCCTCGTAAAATGCCTCAACGGCCCGTAAGCCATTCTCCTCTGACTTTGGGACTGGAGGGTAACAGTTTGCATTTGTGCTTCTCTCGCTTATTTAATTGCTTCTGTGTCGCTTTTGGTACGCGAGGAGCTGTATACTTCGCCTCAGTAACATTCACGACCAGGAATGGTAGGAAAGGAAGGCTCGTTGTACATGGAAATGCCTTGTCGTGCATCCACTCCGATATCAGTGGTCTATGTATCGTCCTCTGTATGAGCAGTTGAACTACCGGTGATGGATTACAAGAAATTGTGACAATTGACGGCAATATTGCGGGTAACGGCGACAGGTTTCGTGAGTTGCAACAGCTCCCAGATTCTCGATATAGATAGAGCTCGAGGGTTCGTTGTGGATGGTGCATGTCAGCATGACTAGAGTGGAGTTTCATCATTTCAGAGCTGAGCGCCACCGTGGCCGCTCCTAACACCACGGATGAGGTTGCACGTGGAGTTCTTCCGCCAATACTTGGAAGGGAAACATATCCTTCCCCAGACTCCTTCTAAGGCGCGTGCATGCAAAGCTTTGCTCTCGGTGGACTATTTGCTACAAGATCAGGTCCGATACTCCTAACCCTATCACATGCATTCAATTCACGTGATAAAGCCTCCCCACGTGCCTACGTCGCGCGCGAAGCTGGCGCTGTTGATGATTGTTTATCCAGTGTTAACGGTGGTTTCTTTCTGCAAGCGGTCGTTAGCGCCATCCTTCCCGTCCTTTGCGGTCGTCCTCGCCGCTCTCTCTGCTGTCGGCCTCTGTTCTCGGTTGTGCAGTATGCCCAACATGCAGGCATCGGACGGCCTTGCCCTCGAGTTATCCGACATCATGCACACCATGTCTCCCTCTCCGATCCCTCAGTTATCTCTCCCGCCGGATGCGATGCACTTCGGGAGTCCTCACATGCCGCCGCCTGAGCCTATCTATGCCTTGGAGCCAAGTGCATTCATACTCACACATATACGACATGCTCGTGTGCCTAGTCCTTCGCCAGAGCCGCTGGATCGGTCAGAAATACAGATGATGCGCTCGCGGATTGAGCAACTTGGTTTTGCAGGTCCTAGTCCTGGTAATTCAGGTGCTACATCAATAGAGCACGAACTTGCAGATATGGTGAGCCTACACGTCCTTTCTCTCATTGCGTAGCTGGACGTGTCGCTCCTCAGGTTCTTCGCTTGACTACACATCCGATTCTCAAACCCTCTACGTCCCAGCTGGCTGTCCAGGCAGAGACCATCGCCGATTTGACAGAGCAACGGAACCAAATACTACAAGAACGGGAGGAAGAACATGCACGCTGGCAGGCTGAACGCGAAGGCTGGGAGAGGAGCGCAGAAGCCCTCATTGGCAAGCGGCGGGCTGCCACTGACGCTGCGGAAAAAGACTACGTGAGTGGATAATGCACACATGATGGCTTGCAGGTTTGTCCATCATATGCTTGCTCTTTTGCCGCCCCCCATTTACGATGCATACCGCATGACATTCTGCATCCTGCCGGTTATATGCGCCGCTTGCTTCCCGTCACATGCCACAAGCCGTGAACGAGTAGGATGAATCTGATGGTCGCTTCGCAGGAGTCTGAACGCTTGATCTCCCGCCTTAGGGACGATAATTGGGCCCTCCGGCATAAGGTACGTCGCTTTTCTCGTGCTTTCGATGCATCTTGAGCTCATACTTGACAATTGTCACATTTCTATCCTCGATCGCGGTGTAGCTCTCAGACGCCAACAGTCGCCTGGCCGCACTCGAGCATGAGCTCTCTCGCCTTCGTCCACTATTACTCATGCAGCCATCAATACTGAATGACCCCAGTCTACTACAGCACCCAGCATTCGCACAGTTAGCCGTCGTCAAAGACAACACTGAAAATAGGAGGAAGAAACTCAAGAAGGAGCGAGAGCGAGCGAAGGACCTGGAGGCACTGAAGGAGGCATCTCAGTTGCAGCAGCAGCGGCAACGGCAGGAAGCTGAAGGGCAGGCCTATGCAGAAGCCGAGTTCTTGAATGACATGGAGATGGATGCGCCCGTGTTCGAGGCCAACGGGAGCAATGAGCTGCTCAACGGGCAAGCGTCGAATTTTCCTATGGACGTCATTGCGCCAGCAGCTACCATCTTCACGGACGCTCCAGCTTCGCAAGGTGTCGCAGGCCAATCAACCGGCCCGCCGCCGGAGGCGGCAACTTCGTCGAAGCAGTATCATGTACAAATCCTCGAGAAGCCGCAGAAGAAGCGGAAAGAGAAGGAGAGGAGGTTCCGCAGGGAGCGTGCCCCGCTTCTGTCCGATGCTCGAGCGGAGTGCTTGCTGGTCGCGGCTCGGAAGATCGGGCGCATGAGGGCGATACTCCTGGCAGAAATGGTGAGGGAGCGAGAGGAGCGGGAACGACAGCAGAATCTCGGCATGAGTTCGTTCGGAGGGCCATCCCAGTATCCTCTCAATGGTTGGCAGTTTGGAATGAATGGCCAACCGGGGCCGTCTAGTTTCTCTGGATTTTCTCCCTTCATGCCCGTTGTGTCTGGAAACCCACTTTCTGCACAGAACTCATTCTCAAGTATGTCCTTTCCCCACGCACCTCCCTTCCAGACCGCTCTCCAGACACCTCCAATGCACCATATGCAACCCCAGCCTCTGGCCGGACCTCCTCAATCCTATCCGATCTCTGCACCTGGGTTCTTGTACGTTCCTAATCCTATCTCGAGTCCCGCAGCCTCCGGCACACAGACAGTCCCGAGCACTCCAACTGCACTGCATTCTCAGACAAGCTCGCACACTCAGTTCTCTATGGGCGGGCGGTCGCAGGAGGAACCGACGACCCCGCTCCACTCGCTGCTCACCGCTGCGCGAACATTGCTGGTGGGCGAGGACTTCGACGTGGACGAAATAGTCGGTGTTGGCGGCGAGGCGACAGAGCACAGGGTACAGACGCGGAGCGCGGCTACTGCCGCCCTGGAGCCTTCCACGCCCAAGAAGCGCAGAGCTCTCGGCCGGAACGCGACGCTGCCCGTCGCCGCACCATCGCCTGGCGCCGCAGTGCGAAAGCGGAGACCGGTCCGTGCAGCCGCCACCGACCAGCCGCCGAATAGGAAGGGCAAGGGGAAGCAGAAGGAGGGTGCGCGTGATACGAATGGGCACGCGGGTGCGCCGACGTCCGTGCGGTTGACGCGCGTGCATAGTGCGCTGGATGTGCTCGCGCAGGCGGCAGACGAGCAGGAGAGGAGGCCGCCGTCGGGGCCTGCGAGTAGGCGGGGTAGTGTGGAGCCTGAGCGAAGATCGGTGGTCCCTCTTTCTCGGCTAAAGCATGTCGAGACGGGTGACGCGGCGCGTTCGGGGACCTCAGTTCCTGGAGCAACGTCTATTGTAGCTGAGGACGATGATTCGCGGACGCAGCCATCGTCTCCTCGTTCTCCAACGCAGGCCGATCCCGTTGGACGTCCCCATACATTATCGCACGCAGCCCACGGGGAGCCAGCAAAGAGGCCACCATCCGTGCCACCTGTACGAATAGAGCCGCCCGTGCTGCCAGACAATGCAAGCGTCGCCCCAGACTCCTCGTGGTCGACGCGGACACGACAGATCGAGGTCATTCTTGTCGATCACCCTCCGCAGGGCGAGTCGCAGGCAAACTCTGCTCTGTTTGGAGTGTCTGAAGATAGCTTTGCATCTTCTGTTGATATGCAGCTTCAGACACTGCAAGGAGGTCCGTCTCAAGCGCCGAGTTAGGACGGACCGGGCGGAAGGTACGTATCCTCTTCACATTGCTCCAACGACAGTAGCTGATTGCAACGTAGTTTATTCACTTAGGGTAATACAGCGCACTCTGCCAGTATCTGTGCAGTAGTAGAACTGGCGGGTGTCGTTCGTTCGGCTACACCATATATAGGGCATCTGAAAACGGTTGCGCATCTACATCGCATTTTCTGCATCTTAGGACATGTCTCGTCTAAAAGTATATCGCTCATGTATTTTATTGTGTACTTGCATATCGTTCTTTGCTGTGCTTTCAACCAGGTATCTATTCAATATTGCTTTGCGCATCTCGCCGTAGCACTACATTGACTTGACTCAATGATTCTCTCAATAAGCCGTGTTCTCGCTTAATCACCGACAGGTGGTGAATGCCAGTGAGCATTACCGTGGCACAGTCCTAATGCAGAACCCTGTCCTAGAGGTAATGCTGTCGCTTCATGCACCGGCTTGCTAATGATATTGAAAGAACTCCCTGTTGAGATAGTCTGTGAAGACAACATCCAGCTAGTGTTTTCTTCTCCAGATGCATGGCCCGATAGGCCGACACTCGACGTATGACAATGCCTCTATAGCCCTTGCGCCTGCATGTCACATAATCTACAGCTACAACGATACTTGTACATCCTTCCTTTCCTATGTAGAGTCCCTGGGTATCCCCATTTTGCCAGCCCACCCAAAACCCACTTCTTCACTCAAAACACAACGCCCACTGTCCATCCCCACCACTACTCGCATACGCCTGGCTCTCCACAAACGCATCCAGCGTACACAGCCCATCTCCATCCGCCCCACAAAAGCTCAAATCCTGCACCGCCTGATTCACCAACACGCGCACATACGCCTCCCCACCACAGCTCAAGCGCTCCACGACCATCCTTGACGCAAACGGGACGAGCTCGCTCGCTCGCCACGTGCGCGTCGGGTCCGGGAGGGTGTCGTCCAGCGGGGCGGGCTGCGCGAAGAGGCCCATGGCGGAGTAGACGGCGATCATGAGGTTGTCGTGCGTAAAGTCGGCGTAGATCGTGCGGTTGAGGGGGAAGGTGGCCGGGTTGCTGTCGAGCGTGGTGTTTGTCGACGTGCTGTCGTTCACGGGTGTGTCGGTCAGCCGTGCGAGCAGCTCGTTGATCCAGCCGACGCCTTGCACGGGTCCGAGCGTGGCCCCGTATCTGAGTCGAACGATAAACGATCAGTATACGGAGGAAGGAGCAGCGGGATACAACGTACCCGGTATTGTAATATTTGTCGAGATCACCCCAATACTCGTACCCAGCCCACACGCTCTCCCCACCCTGCCCGATAATCTGGTCGCCCACCCACTCAAAAAGATCACACCACTCGCTCCGCTGCTCATTCGCCACACTCTCGAACGGGCAAAGCGAGATCAACGCCTGGGTGTCGTCGTCGTCCAGATCTGCACCGGGTGCGCCGGCGTTGAGGATCGTGGTGATGTTCGGCGCGTACGTCGCGATCCATGCAGCTGTCTGCGCGTCGTCGGAGGTGTCTGCCGCGGCAGGACAGTCCGAGTCGTCTAGTGTGTCGTTGCCCTGAGAAGCATAGGTCAGGGTCTGTGGACAAACACAAGAGATGGAAAGAACGCACGCTCTCAGAGATGATAACGTTCAGCAGAGGCGCGTAGACGCCATTACTCGCCGCAGCGAACCCTGGCAGACCAGTATCAGCTGCCACACACGAAGACAGAAGCTTCTTGCCCACCAGCAGTCCAGTTCGTCGCGGATTGCACCACACGGCTCTTGCTCGATGCTCGCACAAAAGGCAACTCATCCGCGCTCACAAGAGCCACATACCGTGTGAATGCCTCCTCACCCGCATCATACGACCTTGATCCAACCAGGTCAGTCAGGCGGGTCTCACATCACAAATATCACATACTCACTCCTGCGCCCCATATGCGACCAGGTCGTCCTCGCCAAGATCGTAATCAAAGTCGGCGATGAATTCAAGCTGGGGATCTGTATAATCAGAGACTGGGATCGCTTGTACCTTGGCGAGTGCTGTCTCGATAGCCTTGGTGGAGGATTTTGTGGGATAACGTGCGCCGTGGCGTTGAAGCTGAGATGCATGATCAATCGCTTAGAGCCGATACTTAAAGTGAATAGTTTGCACATACGATGTTGACCTGTGTGGTGGACATAATCAGGTCAGTACAAGGCCACATACACGATTCGCAAGAATTTCATTCATATTCATCGACAACTAGATCGATCAGTGGCGCGTCTACGTTTGCGTCATCGATCGTGTTCGATGCCCACGGTCGCGCAGCGACGATCACCCCGCTCACATGCATAGAGTCAGACTGATACTCACCTGTGTGATCTCGCACTCATCAGGCGGCGCTGCGTACGCCTCAACAGCGTAGTATGGGGTGTACTGCGCCCAGCTCTTGCTCCCGTTCCCAAAGACACCAGCAGCCGCGACCACGCGCATGCGCAGTCCGATCTTTTCGCCGAAGCCTGGTCGCGATGCAACGAGAGTCATATACGTGCAGAAGACGAGCAAGATTAAAAAGAGAGTGGCCATCTTGCACGATCGCGGGGTCGAGCTGGGATAGCTTGCTGCGTCCACGCCATTGGGAGGGGGGAGGATTGGGCCTTTATACGAGCCCGGGCGGCCGTTGAATAGCTCGGGCTTCTCAAAATTCCGGGAATAATGGACATCTACGTTTGTTGACAGCTCGCCAGGGAGAAGCAAGGAACCAGGGGAGATTCGCTTCGGGAGGAACATGCGAGCAGTCGGGTGTTGTCAGAGCGAACGGCAGAGACAAAGACTCATGTGGATATAGAAAACACAAGTGCGGCTGAGCCTGCAGTCGCGAACAGCCGTGTCGTCAAATCACAAAAGATAGCTTTGAAAAATGAATGTGAACGAGTGGCGGGGCCATGTTACGGTGGCTGTGAAACACGCGTCCGAGCACGTTTGTCTCTCGCATGCAAGCGCCCAATCACCGATCACTCGACTCCAATGGTCAGCAGGCGGCATCCAGAGCGCGGCGAGCAGAGCAAGACAAAAGTGTACGAGACGGTGCACATGGGCTGAACATGAGCAAACAGACGGGCTCCCACGAGATGCACCACGACCAGATGGCTGTGCTATATTCGCGTCGAACGTGCGAGGAAATAAAGAGTTTCGATAGGTCATGAGCGCAGACATGGAGCGTCACCTGCATTGTCAAAGGGCCGGAGGAGCCGCCCTACGGAGACAAGTTTCGGCATTCTGAGGCAGGATGCAGCGGCCCCTCTTCCAGAGGCTGGATCAAGAACCGACACATCCATCGCGGTCAGATGAGCTTCCCGCGGCCTGGTAAAACCTTTGTCGGTCTCTGTGGTGGATGTATGTCACTAGATAAATCCCAACAATGTTTGAGACGTTAACACTACTCACTCTCCAGAGCATCGGTGCACAATAGACCTTACGGTTCAAATGGAGAGTTAATCATCGTATGCATGCAGCGGCTATTGAAGGTGAACGTGTGTGGGGTGAATACAGCGCTGGGATGACCAACGTTCGCAACTCGCGTTACCAAGAGAATGATAGCCACTGCAGAGCATATGCGCTAACGTCACCGCGCATAGAGTAAACGGCATCCGGGTTTTAAAAAAGGCTGGATGTATTGAATCAATTGATCATGCTAGTCGTGCAGCGTGGTCACAACAGACATTCTGATAGAGCGACGTTCAGGGCATTCGGTGAATTCAGTTCAAGGGGAAAATATAAAGTGGGTGAGAGTCGCCGACTCAGGAGCATGGCTGCGGCTGAACGTAGGCGGCCCGGGGAATGGGCCAGACCGCGAGGGTACCAGTTTTCGACGCGGTCACGTGGGCGCGTTGAAAGCATCGACGCCACTCGGCGATTTAGGTCAAACTTGATCATCGAGTCATTCCATTAACGAATTCAGTGCCATAAAGTCGAATCCAACTCTTTATAAACATCTTTTTACCCGTCCACGCTCTCGACGCCGTCCGCTATCTCATGCGCTCGTTCTGTTCACTGCCTCCCTAATTTCGAGCGACTTGCGAATCGCATCACGAGCTAGCTGTTGACTTTCCCAGCCAGCCCGCTGCGCGGCCAGGAGTTCGGGAGTCGCCCGCTCTCTAGAAGATGGCTCCACGGGGCCAAACCGATGGCCCGTCCCATTGTAGCCGCGCCCTATTATATACACGCGCGCTACTACTCTCCCACGCCGGTGGCGCAGGTCGCACCGGGGCCTCTCACATCTGTGCTCCGCGCCCAGATTCCAACACTAGCGTAGTATAGTGCCACCTGAAAGGTTTCGATGTGGTGCGTCAGTGTCTAAATCCAGAATGCTGAATAGGTTACTGACTTCTTCACCGAAGGGAAATCGTCGGCCTTGAACTCCTCATAGTCGGCCATGAACCCTTCTTCATCGAGCACGGGCATGTTCCATCTAAAAGAACATGAAGATTCAGCGTCGTAGAGCCACTTACTTCAGAAAGCAACAGACACACGGGATGAACGAAAGGTCAGCAATCGTGCACTTATCGCCGACCAACCAGTCCTGCTTTGACAACACAGACTCGAGCACGCCAAAGATGCGCATGGTCTCCTTCCTGTACCTCTCAGTCGCACTTGGGACTTGCTCGCTATGATACTTCCAGAACCAGTTCGCCTGGCCAAAGTACGGCCTGCGGACTATCATCAGAGTGCTGCTCTCGTTGGGCAGAGAAGCTGGCTCACCCTTGGCCGGAAGCTTGGAAGAAAAGCCATTGCAGCTGGTGGAAGCGGTCGTTCTCCTCGATAGCGGAAATTTTATGCTCTGGATCGTACTTCTCGACCAGGTAGGTCAATATGGCGTTCGATTCCCTGCATACCATGAGCACACACTGATCGGCATACACTGAACAGGAATCTCATACCAAACGACAAGATCGCCGTTCGCATGATCTATCAAGGTTGGAATGCGGCCATTCGGGTTGTACTTCGTGTGTTCAGGACCCTTGATCTCGGTCCAATACTCCAAGTAAATAGGATGGTACGTGAGGCCGAGCTCCTCCAGGACGAACACCACTTTCCTGAAAATGCACCCCAAGCTCAGTACGTCCCGCGAGAATGAAGTGCAGTGCGGGCTTACCATCCATTCGGACCATGGCAGTGAGTGAACAGTGTGAACTGCTTTCCGTGGGACATGCTGCTCTTCTCTGTTGGTGAGGGTGATGAGCCCGCGCTGATCATAATCACCCGGTTTCCGTGCACCTTATAAGTCTGGATAGCAGCAGCGCCTCTCAATAGATGTCATCGTCGCTCATTTTGCGAGGTGATTAAGCGATTAGTAACCCTCTCTAGTGGTGGACCTCGCTGATTCACCCATGAATCAGTCAGCAGCACAGTCAGCGCCACAGCCAGCAGGTCCAACGAGCCCTCAAACTACCTATGGTACTAATACGCTTCAGGGACGTCGATGTGGAGTTGTGGTTTATCGGAAACGAGAACAGCACCGGTTTAGCTGATGCAAGATGTTGGTCTCTTAGCGTGAACTGACTGTCAGTCGGCAACCGGTCTGAAGTCGATGTCAACTGTGCTCATCCTTGCGTCCATCTGAACATCGCGCGGAGAACACTGTGCACTATACGCAAGCACCAACTTCGCACGACACGGCCGCATGACAAAGGCCCAACATAAATGATGTATAGGTAAATCGTACAACGACGACAACACGGTGGCACAGGGGGGATGGCTATAGCAAGGTGTCTAAAGATACAGAATGAGCGGTGAGAGAGGTGGTTCGCAGGGCGGGCTATGTTATGTTATGCGCGCAAGTCGACCGTCCTGGAGGGTGATGGCGGCAGATCCGCCGGCGACGACATGGATCTTGGAGGTAGGAGATGCGATGTCGGTCTAGAGGGGTAGGATGTCGGCGTAGGCGATGATGCGTGGGGAGGCGAGGATGAGAGGCGTACTGAGGTGGCAATACTACTGTCCGATGGCATCGAGGAGGCATCTGGAGGGGACGTGGAGTTTATTTGCACTGATGGCTCATGGTGATGACCAGAACCTGGAGCATGGCCATTCTGCAAAGGCTTTTCGCTGGCCTTCTGCGGATCGACCGGCTCTGACCGACTGCTCACAAGACCAGGTTCTGGTGGCGACAAGGATAAGCTCCGCGGTGAGTGCGCCGAAACGCTATGGACTATCCTGGGACCGATGATCCTTGGTATGGGCTGCATGAGCTTCGGTACTCCACCTCCGTCGGGAAGGGAAGCACACGAGCCGTTCGCGTGCACATCCTCAGGTCGAACAGTCTCCTCTGAGCTGCAAGAAGAGCCCAACATGTAAACACTCGACCGTGGCATCATGACGCGCTCGTAGAACAACATGAACACGCCAGAACCCTCCAGTAGTACAGTCTCGAGCCCGACCTCCCGAACGCTATCATCGCTGATACGCAACCATCCGCGGCCGGGTCGCGGAGGCGGGTCTTCGTCGTCACGGATGGGTCCATAGCGCTCACATCGTTCGCATTCGCAACCAAGAAGGCACGCAAGTTTCGGAGGAGCGAACCGCCGTGCACCGACGGATGGCGGACGTGGCTTGCGACGATAGCAGATGTAGTGTCCGAAAGAATGATCGCCATAGTGGCAGACAACAGCAGCGAGGCGGTAGAGAGTTCGTGGTATCGCATATGTGGCGGGTGTCGGGGTCGTGCTGCGGGGGATAGGCGGAACTGGTCTGGAGATGGGATCCGATGGTTTCAGATTGAGCTGACCAGACGTAGTATATGGTGTAAGATCTAGAATCTCGGGAAACGCTACTCGGCAAGTGTTTTTGGTTGCGTAATGGCCATAGTGCATGGAGCGGTTGAGATGCAGAACAAGCACGCGTGGCGGCTGTTATCCGTCACGTATGTATTAGCGGATAGTGATGAATAGAGGTTGAGCAATCGTACTCGAGCAATCATAGCTTGCTTGGTGGAGCCCCTACTGAAGACTTTCTCCATCTTGACGCCCTTGATGTCCTCTTCAATCCGGCCATCATCAAGTGCGGCTTTCATGCGAGCTAGCAGCTTTTGAGCGTCCCGTACACGTTTCTTCTTCGATGAAGAAGCCTCTGGGTCTGCTTTCCGGGCTTCCGAGAGCCTCTCCGCTTCCTGCTCCAGTTTTTTGCAGGTTGCAAGCATAGAGCACTTCCGACAGATGCAGTCTGTGAGAACTTCTATCCGAGTGTACTCGTCAAGACAATCTTCCAAGCGGCACTGTGTCTTCAAGTTCGATATCAACTCGTGGCCACGCTGAATTGCTATGGCACGTACGCACCGCCAGTCGGGGAACAGCTAGCTGCCAGTTGTCGAAAGCGAAATGCATGACAGCCTCGGTGTAGCCACACTCGACACAGCTGCGCCTATTCGCCGTCAGACCGTCAAAAACACTCTTCCCTATCTCCCGACTTGCAGGACCCCCGGCTTGGCTGAACCCTCCAAGGCCGCGGTCGCGGTGAAATTCTCTGTTCACAGCTGCCGCCTCGTTCTTGATGCATTCTGAGAGAAGCTGAAAGAGCTCCTGCGCATCCTGATGTTCACGTGAAGAGAATAGACTGTTATGTTTAGAAGCCGATTGAGTGGATAGAGCATTGATGATCTCGATGGGTCGGAGCGCTCGAGACGAGGGGGCAGGGGTGTTTAGCTCTGCGAGACGATATTCAGTATTCGGAGGACGAGACGACGTGCACAATCGGCGGTAACAGATAGTACAAACCACGCAGAAGATCCCGAAGCGCATCTATGACTGGCGTCGGAACATCAAGCGCTACGGCTTTGGCGTAAATCTCCTCAATCTCGGGTTGAAGGTAGCATAGTGATGCCATGGCCTTTGCGTGTACGTAAATAAGCAATTTATGGAATGGATAAGCATCATGCACACCTGTAATGTGGAGTCCATGAAGCAGTACGTCCCTGAGATGTTGACCAGACCAGGGTAATAACCATCATTATGACCATTGTTTGACAGAGGTTCTATACGCAACCTTTAACAACGATCTCTCAACTGTTCCAGCCTCTATGCCACTCACCGAGCTTATGTACCTCTTGCCCTGATTGTTCAGCCCTAGTACGGACATGCTTCTTTTTGGACTTCCTTCTCTCCAGGCTAGAGCTTGAGCCTGGGTGTCCGTCAAACCAGTTCCAGGGAAGAACAGCGGATAACGCATCCAAGACCATGAAGTAAACGGTGTTCAGAGAGGCTCTATGAGCGCTGAGAGTCAAACTTAGAGCCGGGATAAGGAAAAGGACCACGAATGGGAAGAGCTGTTGAAACACAGGACTAGAGAACAGCTGCAGGCACAAATATTGGACGGCGTCCAGACTGAGCATCTGCGCCAGATGATTAGGCTTTGGAAGATGACATTAGCAACGCAATGCTGACGAGTTCTCAGCTTACCGCAGTGGTCGGCGGGCACTGTCGGGGTTAACCCCAGAAAGTAAACTTACATCTGTAAAAGTACAACACTGGTCAAAGCATAAGGCTACCTGGCGCAATGGTAGCGCGTTTGGCTTCGATTGCCGACGTCACCAAAAGGTTGCAGGTTCGAGTCCTGCGGTGGTCATCATTTTTGATCAGGAAGCATCTTGATCACGTGACGAAATGAAACCAAGCGACGCGTCGCGTCCGGGCGCCTCTCCAGACACGAATCATTGTCCCTTCCGCCTTCACATCTCCTCCACGCGCGCAGTACTTTTAATTCGTCGCCGACGCTCACAATCTTGAAGATTTGTGAAAGGACAATCGCCGTTGGCATTCGGTAGTACGGCTTTCTTTCTTGGATATCATATATGGCTACTGCAACGTTGTTGTCACGACACTCCTCTAATCCTTTCGAAGTGCCATCTTCAGATCGAAATCACCGCAAGTACCGCCATGACTCTGCTAGGGTGCAAGGCATAATTGGTGACGATGAGTCTCATCCTTCTTCAGACCATTCGCACGACAGTTACGCTCCCCCAATAATCGACGAATTCCATGCTCATCTAGCAAAACGATATGCAGACATACAAGACACTGCAATGAATGATGACACGAAGGCAGTTGCTTCTGCCCATGAACGTGACGATGAACCATCGAGCGACCAGGAGGAATACGCATCCCCGCATGGGACAGTCAATGATGAACAGGATGAAGACGAAGAGGAGATGAGGGAGAATCTGGGTGAAGATGACGAAGACGCAGGAGAAATACCCGCATATACAGATGAAGAGAGGACTATCTTCCTGAAACCGCGTTCGGAACGACACGAGATAGAGCAAGAAATTGCTGACCTCGAGGCTGCTGTGCCACAACTTATACCGGACTACAAGATCGTCGATCGCTTAGGGACCGGCACGTTTTCTTCCGTATACAAAGCTGTCGACCTCGGGTACCATACGAAATGGGATAACACCCCGTGGCATGGCTTTCATTCACCGTCATCTTCCGCATACTACCAGTCTGCTCTGCGACCTAGCGACAGCAAGGCATTCGTCGCGATTAAGAGGATCTACGTCACAAGTGGACCGGAACGCATACGAAACGAAATATCTATTCTCGAAGACTGCAGGGGGTGCCGCCACATCTCACAGCTGATCACGGCTTTCAGACACCATGATCAAGTAGTCGCTATCATGCCTTACAATCGACACCAAGACTTTCGAGTAAGTGGTTTAGCCGGCATATATGCATCTTCCTTGAGGTTTCTGCTAATCACGACCTTCAAGGACTACTACCGCATTCTGCCGATGGAGGGGATAAAGGCGTATTTCCGCTGCATGTTCCGAGCATTACGCGATATTCACGCGCGGGGAATCATTCATCGCGATGTTAAACCCGCGAACTTCCTCTTCGATCCCCGCACCGGCATTGGCACGTTATGCGATTTTGGCCTAGCATGTGTGAGTGCCTGAATGCCATCTCGTCTGCCACCACATTTTGTCTGGTACCGATGTACTCCAGATAGCCGCTCACTTAAATTGGCTTGATTTCCCAGCGCATGGAACGCGGTCCCACACTTGGTGCATGTCTGCACACTGCACCATCTCGAGAATATCCACATGGGCGCATCCGGCCAAGGGAAGAGTATGATCCTGAATATATCAAGCGCAAGCAACGAGAAGGTCGTTTGAAGAGCATTCTGCCGTCTGACAAGGTCGGTTATCCTCTCAAGGACAATCGGTGAATAGTTTTCCTTCCCATATCATCGGCAGTGATGGATCAGTCACCAGACCAGTCTCGAAGGCGAATCGTGCGGGAACAAGAGGTTTCCGTGCACCTGAGGTGCTGTTCAAGTGTGGCGAGCAAACAGGTGGTATGTCATTGCCTTGCCGGAATTCTTTTTGATTAGCCTAATCATCCACTGTCATCGCGCATTCGCCATATCAGCTATTGACGTCTGGTCTGCCGGAATGATACTGCTCTTCTTCCTCGCAAGGAAGTTCCCACTATTCCATTCCAACGATGATGTAGAGGCACTCATGGAGATCTCCACAATCGTTGGAAAGAAGAAGATGGAGAAAGCAGCCACCCTCCATAGTACGGCCCCGCTTTCCCATAAACCATAAGCAAGAATGCAGCACTGACCAACCTCAATCCCAGGCCGAGTACTCCAGACAAATGTCCCGAACCTGACCCAGGATGGCATTACCTGGTGCGACTTCGTAGAACGCCAAAATCCCCTCCTTCACGAGCCCCCTGCCCCTGATCCACGCTTCTTCCCATACGCCGGCAAATCAGGGGTCACATCCGGTCACTTTCCTACCTCATCACCGCGGAGCTCTCCAGAGCGTTTCTTGTCGCCCGAATTGCCAATTCCGACACCAGATGCCGAAACGTATACTGCGGAAGTTGAAAAAGCGCTCGACCTCCTTGAGCAGGTAATGCATCCAGAGTCGACGCGACGGATCACACCTCGACGTGCTCTGGCGCATTCGTTCTTGCGTGATCCCGATGCTCCGGATGACGATGAATTCTTTCCATACCCGTTCGGTGAAGGTGTGTGCGGAGAGCTTCACTTCATTGACGAGGACACGGATGAGTACTGCGTCAAGGTCCGTATACCTGGCGAAGAGAAGATGACGGTGCGACGCATCGCTGCAGGGGAAGGTATTGCGATCGGGAAGCGAGCGTGCGAATTCCACAGAAAGGAAAACGGGTACGAGTACTAACATTACGATGGACACAACTGGTAGATAGTAGTAATGCAAAGATGTGACGAGACATCAAGAAATATGAGAATAATTGAGGGATACATGCATTCGAGGGACAAAAACGATCATGACCACCGCAGGACTCGAACCTGCAACCTTTTGGTGACGTCGGCAATCGAAGCCAAACGCGCTACCATTGCGCCAGGTAGCCATATTAGGATGTTGTATCCAAATATTTATATGCGGTTGATGCCAATGCTCCGACATTAAAGCGTTGCGGCGATGCTGGTCAGTCAATGACGGTTGGGCGACGGTTGCAAAGGCTCCTTTGAGAAGAATAACCAGAAAAGTAGGCAAATCAGAAGTGGCGGAGAAAAGCAGGAATATCGCGCAATGCTTACTTGACGAAATCCTGATGCAGGCTGGGGTTGCACTGTTGAACTTTGCATACGAGACATGCACAGTTGATGTGGCAGTCGAATTGATTGAACATTGGATTATAAATGCAGATGATTGCAGCAGAGTAGAGGGATAATGAGGCGGTTAAAGATTGTCCACATCGTTTAAACCGTACGTAGCCGGTCTTGACAGCTCCTCAGCACGAGAGAAAGGTTGGTGCTATCGCGAGTATCAGCGTGAGTTACTACACACGCTGTGCGCAGCAGCGCATACTGTACCCGATAGCACCACTTATCAGATTAGGAGGGCAGTGGTACCGGTGGGAGCCGCGTGCGTATCGGGTGGGAGTGGGAAGAACGACGAGTTGGAATGGGAAATATGGCTCACCTTCCATTGTTAGATGAATTCGATGTCGTCGAGATATCTTCCGTTGGACAGCGAACATCACCCTTTGAATTGCACACTATCAAACGTCGAACCTTTTTTGAATGTGTGGTAGCGCGTCCGTGGTATGCGTTCTCATCATACGCAATCTTCATGAAGGATGACATGACGTGTGGCGAACGCATGAGAATCTACAGCCATCGTTAGAGGTTTAACTGAAACAATTTCATCGCCCGTCATACCGTAAAAATGGTTAGTCGTGAGCGGACGACAACCGCGTCCGAGGCAGCGCGACTGGGAACATCAGAACCCTCGAGCATACGTCCGGAATCCGAGATCGATCCAGATCTGGGGTCGTAAGCCAAGCAGCCGGTATCAGATTGCCGTTTCTAGGTGACGAGACAGAACATGGTGAAGCGGCACGCATCGATATTGCCCACCCTCTCCAACAGCCATTCTGCGGATGAGAACCTGGCCCTTCCGGAACGCATTGTCACATTGTCGAGCACACCATGTGTGTTCTCGCGTGGGTCTTCGTAGCCACGACAATGACTGCAACGCGCGGTCCGCACTGCCAGTGCGCGTGCTTCCATGCGACCTTCGCTCCAAGAGAACAAGCGGTCGTCATCAAATGAATGAGGCCGTACAGGCATCTCCTAAGGTGAGAAGGATCCTTGCAAGATAGCGGCTGGAGGTGAGTCTGCATGAGCGATATTTTGCATGCCAGACAGACGTGGGCGGCATCAAGTTCTTTCTTGTTTCGCGCCATGCTGCGAGCTGTCATCGGACCTGGAGTGACGGTGGATGCAATCGCAAGATTATCGGAACTCCCAGAGCACTTCCATCTCCGTCTGTGGGGATGGGAACGTCCATCAGCCTCCAATAGCAAAGATCGACACCGGTGAGGCTCATACCGGTTAGAGCGTCGTTCTGCTGCGACGTTTCCCTTGAAAAATTTGGGATTCCCCTAGATATTCCCATCAACGTGCGAGCGTGATAACTCGCTAGTATAATTGCTCCACCAGAAAGGTACGAGGAACCGCACCGTCTCTTGGCAATGGTATAAGAAGTTGTCGCTTCTTCTCTGCAACACGCCCTGGCTCTCTCTCTCTCCCGCACGTTACACGGCCCCCTCCCCCTTCCGCGCTCCCAACTCACCGCCACCGCCATGTCCGAGAAGTCAGGAAAGTCGGACCATGTTACTGTGCTCACCCCGTCAGAGGGTCACGCCAACGGGAACTACTATGCCGAGGCGATGACTCCCGAGTATCACTCCCCCGCCCCACCGCCTCCGACTCCACTAGCCTTCCAGTTCGGTAACCCTGTGAGTAACGGAATAGAAATGTCATCGCACAACATCCGTGAATTGACGGCTCGATTCTCGTTCAGACCCCACTGGGAATGTTGGCATACGGCACCGTATTCCTATGCTCATCGTTGTTGACTCTCGAGGCCGGTGGTGTGACGTCGGCCAACCTCGTTCTGCTGTTCGCGACGTTGTAAGTAACGTACTATAAGTAATCGGATACGAGCATTTATTGATGAACACTTACAGCTACGGAGGCATCTCACAAACATTGGTCGGATGCATGGAATTCTACCTGGGGTGAGTGCATTGCTGCGTAGATGGAATGCGCGCATACTGACAGCAATTTGCAGCCACACCTTTGCGGGGTGAGCTTGATTGACTTGGAAAAGATCGTTCTTTAATTTGATACGTCTTCGGCCAGGACCGTCTTCTGCACATATGGCGGGTTCAATTTCAGCTACGGCGCTCTTTACCTCCCCGAGATCGGCATTGCGTAAGTACTTCACCGCTGATTTCTTGAGATTACTATTGAACACGTTTTAGGGCTGCATATCCGGATGCGACTGAGTTCACCCATGCAATCGGCATCTACATGGCCATCTGGTGGTAAGCTGGATTATTGGCGAGGATGATCTGGATATTGACGTCGTCGTTGTGCGAACAGCTTGATCACCGGCGTCTTCTGGTAAGATGACCAAAGTCATGTCGGAGAACTTGCCCTGATGATTTCATCATCCCATAGCATTGGTGCGCTTCGCACCACAGGTCCTATCATCTGGACGCTCGGTATGACCGTGATTTCGCTGGGCTGCCTGTCAGCGAACTGCTTCCACCGTAAGTATATGTGTCTTCATCGCATACAGTCCGCGCTGATAGCCTACATTGAACAGCACATGCCGCCCTCTCCAAGGCTGGAGGCGCGTTCGGTCTCGCAGCGACGTGTGGCGCATATTACGGTGCAATCTCCGGGTTCTACACGCGAGACTCGACATTCGAGACGATCCGCCTGCCGCCCGTCGTTCTTGCCTATTCTAACCCACAGAGCGCGTGATCTTGTTGTGCCGTTGTGTAGAGAGGGCGTATGCTTTTACATTCTATACTTATGGGACCGGATGCATTAGTCGCGCCGATGCACGGGAACGAGGGTCAAAAACGCACCTCGTGTTCACACTGGCATATCATAAGAAGAGTGCACGATGACTTCGCACATTTTATCGTATCAGCCTGTAAATACTCGCCCATTCAAAACGCACCTTACACGAGCACTTGTGGCGTCACGAGAAAGTATTTCGCCGCGAACTTTGTGACGCTTGAGGCTCAGGTTGAGGTTGATTATCCGGTGGGATCTTAAGCTCACGTAACGCGAGGGCGGGCTCTTCGACACAGACCGGATCTCTAGGTTCAACGCACACGAGCCTGCCGACAGGCTATCGCGTCTCCACTCCCCGTTAGCCTCTCGCTGATTTCTCGCATCCACAAAAGCTTGTCTCATCTACCTCCCGTGGCCTTCTCGATAAACTGTAAGCACACAGCTTCGTTAATCAACGATCAATATCGTAGTGTACCCTGAAACGTACGAAATGCGTGTAACAGGCAGCAGTTGTGCTCCGTTTCCTCCCTGCACAAGACAGAACCGTCGCGATGATGATTGTATTCATACAAAAAAACAAGGCCTTTAATGTGATAGAACGTACTCGAAACGGGCGGGACTTGGCGCTGATCGCAACTGCTGGTGACCGCCACGTTCTCACGGCAGCGAGCTATAAGCTTGATCAAGGATCTGATGGACGCTGCCGAGGCACTCCAACAACTCCTGCTACTGCTGCTGCTGCACCGCTGCGCGAGCACCGGATAACAACTGACACTAACCCACCACACGCGCAACCTGCACAACGATGGCACTCAATTGTGCAATGCTCAGCCCAGCCCGCGCGCCCATCCCGCTGCCCAACGAGCTGACAATCAGGACGGTCGACGGCGGCGTCGAGGTTGCACTGTTCATCCCTGACGGACCGCCGACGGGGTCGTCGAGTTCAGGAGGGTTGGGAGGTGCGAAGAAACTGAAAGACGTGGGACGGCTGTGGCTCACAGATCAACGGGTGCGCGTGCCTCCTTCACTCGCTTCGCTCGGGATCGTTAACGCTGTCATTCCTGCTGCTTGCTTCTATTCATCCTCCCACAGCTAGTCTTCGTCTCTGATGGATCAAGCAAATCGACATCGCTCGAATCGCTCTCAGTCCCGCTCACAACGCTCCTATCCACCAAGTTCGAGCAGCCGTATTTTGGCTCAAATTATCTGGGGCTCGAGATCAAACCTGCACCTGAAGGCAGGCTGACGGAAGGCACGAAGGCAGAGATACGCTTCAAGGATAAGGGGATATTCGAGTTCGTGAGCGTGTTGGAGAAGACGCGCGAACGGGCGGTATACATGAAGCGGCAATCCGCAGACGAGGAAGAGGGCTTGCGTACGTCCCATACGCTACAATACTTAAGGTCGCTACTGAGCCAATTCACACAGCGACATATACACCTGGAGATGCGGGGCCCTCGTATAGCGGGGGAGTACCTGACGATGCCCCTCCGGGTTATGACGACTAGATGAGATATCGGGCGATCAGGAGATGTTACGATTGCGCGGAAGACATTGTATACCTCATGACACCCATTGTACCACACATGACCGTAACATCATCTTATATAGTTGAATACTCACGGACCATTTACGGCAGTGAGAGACAGCAATGAACATGCAAGGCCAACTGATTGTGCTCCTAGTATCTCGTCTTGAGCCATGAAAACTCAGCATGCGTCTAGCGTTAGCACTAATACGGCTTGAATTTCCGGGACTGCTTCAGTTTCTCCACCTTCGCCTTGTCCTCTTCCCACTTCTGCTTCAGGTCGAGCAACTCTATGTAATGCGATGCGATCAGATTGATACGCATCATCGTCATGAAGTGCACACTCACCCTGCCGTTTCTTCTCATGTATCTGGAACGCATAGAACGCCTCCTTCTTCTCTTTCTTCTTATTATTCCTGCTTCTCTTCCCCGCCGCATCACCATGTTCCCTTTGGAACTTCTTATTCGCCACACCGACGCCTCCACCCAGCGTCTTTCCATACGCCCCGCCGCGCGTGACGAGCGTGAATCCATCCTTATCCACGACTGCCTCGCCCATGAGATACTTGCTCTTCTGCCGCTTCTTCGCCTGCTCGTACTCAAACAGCTCCATCCATGTGTCCGCATGTGCACGTACGACGTCGAGCGGCGGCCGGAGAGATTCGTACAGTGCCTGGTAGTGTGCGAGGCCGGAGGGTGCGGAGGGGTCTGTGGGCCATAGTCTGGCTTTTGGTGGTGGCGAGAGGGCACGAGAGAGGGAGGACTCGTCGAGGAAGATGATATGCGCGGTTCGGCCTGTCCGCCGTAGTGTTCGCAGTGACCGAGAAGGCAGAGGAGTGACCTGCGGAACGACCTCCTTCCATTTCCACCGCTTCTTCCTAGGTCGCTCCTCACTCTCATCTTCGCCAGCATTATCCTCATCAACCCCCTCCTCATCCTCACTCTCGCTGACTTGTTCTAATTGGTCTTCTGGCGCCTCCGTATCGCCATCAAAGACTACCCTTTCGACGGTACCGCTGCCCTTGAAAAATTGGGAGATCTCACGTTCAGTTGCGTCTGGAGGCACGTTCACCAGAAACAGCGTGCGCCCCTCAGGAAAGGATTCACGATTCTGCTTTGCCTTTTCCTTCGCCTTCGACTTCTTGGATCCTGTGTGCGCTCGCGCGTAGAGTACGTGCGTCGACGATTCCGAGTAGGTGACGGGGATCACAGTGAAGCCGGATACAGAGGTCGGAAATCCGGCCATTTCACCCATCTATATAGAGTGTCAAGTGCAGATATAATGAGGAGCTTCGAGGTTTTGCGATGAGGGCCAAGCAGAAGACAGTGCAAGTTGCTGCAAAGACTTGAAGAATTGAATCTTGATTCTCTGTCGCGGTCACGTGCATCTACGTGCGGTATAGCATAGCGCTAAGCATGTGGCCCTCCTTCCCCGCATGATTGCTTGTCCCGTCTATCTCGTCTTAAATACCGTAGTGTCTGCAAGCAGTGTAGTGTGCAGGGGGCACTCGACTGTTATAGCGTGAACTGCTGCATTCTTCTCTCGTTGTCAACCGGGTCGTAATTTCGATTTTATCGATGATGCCTTCCTTCCTGAATCAATACCGATGCTCTGGTGGCTTTGAGGCTATCTGATAGTCGGATCGCACATGCTATCTTACTGTCATACTGTCTGCCTAGGACTGAGGTTAGTTATTCGTCTCTTCATTGTGATTGTGTTGACTCTGATTTTTGGAAGCCGCAGCTGTTATCATCTGGTTGCAACAGAAAGATCTCCGGATTTCAGCCGCTAAATGAACTACGGACCGTTTGTGGGCTTTTGTCTCGTGGACTAAACGAGGCAGTCTTTTCACAGTCTGTCACTGCAATGCGTAACTTCCAGACAGGCAAGAGTTTCTGCAACTAGAGCCCCGTGTCGGAGCTCGGACCCTCTCTTGCTTATCGCCCGTACCATTGAGCTGCCACTCTACGATGGTCGACGCTTCGCCCTACAAGTGGCCGCACGATGGCAGCTTTTCGCCCTCTACGACCGCATTGGTAGTGGTAGACATGCAGAACGATTGCAAGTATATTCCTATTGCTTACAATGAGAAAACCCAACTGAACGAGCGATTGATCCCTGCAGTCTGTTCTGAAGAAGGGTACCTTGCGTTTCAAGGGTGCTTGGTTGCAAATACCCGGGCAGTGATTCCACGAATAACTCAGCTGTTGGATGCCTTTCGAAGATACGGCTTTCCCATCTTCCACACGCGCGAAGGTCACCGCCCGGACCTATCTACGGTCTCCTCACGCGACCGCTTCCGATCGCACAACGTTCCCAGCGGTCTCGGAATCGGCGACATGGGCCCTCTGGGCCGGCTGCTCATTCGCGGTGAGCGCGGGCACGATATCGTCGACGAGCTCTATCCGCGCCCGGGCGAGCCCATCGTGGACAAGCCGGGCAAGTCGGCGTTCACGTACACCGACTTTGAGCTGCTGCTGAAGGTGCGCGGAGTGCAGAACCTGGTGCTGTGCGGTGTCACGACGGATGTCTGCGTGAGCTCGACGATGCGCGAGGCGAACGATCGGGGCTACGATTGTCTGCTCGTGACGGATGCCACTGGAGCGGGGTTGGACGAGCTGCATTCGGCCACGGTGAAAGGCGTGCAGATGGAAGGAGGGATATTTGGAGCGGTGGCAGACACAGCGGACGTCATTGAGGCTGTGGAAAGGTGGACAAAGTCCTCGGGTCGGGTCGTACAGTCGTGAGTTAGTATCAATGTGGATGCATTGAACGGCACCGTCAGCTAATAGACAAGTCATTTCAGCTGAAAATGCACCTCGATCGGTGCATATGACGAAATTGCTCTCGGACCACTTAGCGGTGCCCGCATGAACGAGTAGCTGGCAAGAGGCATGGATAATCTCCAAAGGCGTTAGACTGATTCTGTCCAAGGAATTGGCTTGGATCAAATTTAGAATGTACGTCACTCTCAATGAAGCGCATATTGCCTCCGTGGAAGTTTCATCGGCAACCTCAAAGTTTGTCGGTAGACTCGGATAACCTCGCTACTTTGTTGTACGCTTCTACAAGGGGTGTAACGTTGCACACATACGGTACGGCGATCAGTTATCGTTACCTGATCACCCCCTGTCTCCAAGTCTGCGCCCGAATAGAGGGTGGTTACAGCAGTAGCTTATATTCCTAGATAAGGAAGCGAAAGGGCCAGGACGATGAAACAAAAGGCGAGCACGGAGGTTTTCCGTCAAGCGCCCGCTATTTTGTTGACTGACCCTTTCCACCAAGGCACCGTCGGCGTTGTGGCACGTCCGAGTACGGAAGAATGTTCTCAAATCGGTGATCGTGCTGAATCCTAATGACCGAATCTGGACTCGTGACTGTAGTATCGATGCTCAAGTCGCCGACTGCATCTTCCATTCCACCACGAAACGCCCAAACACTGCCGGAAGTTTTCGTGAAAATGTTAATTGGCAGCTTGGAAGCAGGCACGGGCGGCCGATGGCTGATCCTGTCCGCTCCGCACCGCTCCACCAGCATGCACACACCGCCCTGTAGGCGCACCCGCACTTTTCGGATACCTGGCCCTGGCACGCACCTTTTACGAAGCCGCTCCACTGCGTGTCTCCCCTCCATGTCATGAGATGGATCTTCTATGCGATCATACGACTGAGCTTGCTTGACCACACCCTTTGACTCGCTCCTGCATCCGCGCTCCGCTTCCACTTCGAGCCATTCGCGGACCATTACGCGATCGCTGCCCCACCTCCGGTGGTTCTCCCAGCCTGGTCCACCGTCATATGTATAGCTGCCCGGATGCAGCTACCACGGATGCAGGCTTGCCTCTCATCCTCCCCAACCGCGTCGTAGCCGCACTGGCATGGCTCGCAGCCAGATGAACGTGCTCGCAAAGTGCAAGAGGGCCGTCTGGGACTGCACGAGGAAGCTTTTCGGACGGCGGCAGTTGTCGGATATTACGCTCGCCCATGTTCTCTCTGGCGACACTTGCGAGCCCATCAGGTCAGTTCATCATTCGTCATTCTTGACTATCGTCTAATTCCGAACTCGACTAACACCTTGCATTATGCAGCCTCCGCGAGTTTGAGACATACCTCGCCCACAAAGTCAGTAAAGACGGTGCATCCGCCATTTCCATCAAAGGCTGATCATAAACACGAACATAGGAACATACCATCGAGATCCTTCACTTCGTCGTATGGTTCCAAGACTACCGCCAGCGCTTCCTCGCGCTCCCCCGAGACGTCCAGGCCACCACTTCCGGATACACCTCCTTCACCTTCGCCATCCCCAGTGCCGCACGCACTGCACAACGCATCGCAGACAGCAAGCGCAGGGCCGAGGTACTGCGCTACAGCGGCGACACCTCGATCTGCGCGGGACCATCCTCAAGCTTGCCGAGTGCGTTCAGCGTACGCTCGGACTCGCAGGTGCCTGAGCCGGTCTCGCCGTACGCGAGGTCGAGCGCAGAGACTCCGCTTCTGCAACAGTTGGAGTCAATAGGGAGCACCCCGCGCGAGTTGCCGTTCAGGGACGAGTGCAGGCGCGTCATCGCGACGTTCTTCAGGCCGGGCGCGGCGAGCGAGCTTCCGCTCGATCATTTACTGCGAGACACTGTCGTCCGCGACTTGACCTGGAACACACATCCTGACATCGTGAGTGTTCCTCTAACTACCTTCACAGTGGAGATGGCTAAGTAGTATGTTCCTGGGGCAGTTCCTCCACGTCTACGAAGAGATGTACGCGCTGCTGGAGACGGTCAGCCTCCCGCGCTTCCTCGCGATCGCAGCGACGAACATCAACACGCCCAAGCAGCTATACTGGTACGCCATCGGCATCGCGGACGTGTTCATCGGGATCATCATCGCACTCGTGTGCATCACAGTCGTGCACGTCCCACCCAAAGGCAACCGCGCGTGGCGGCTCTTCGCGGTGCCGTTCTTCGCGTTTGGCGTGATGCAGGTGTATTCTGCTTATAGGGGGTACGTGCGCCTTGGCACTTCCTGTCTTGAGTTGTAAGTCGTTGACGCGGTCTTGCTCGCGAGATAGGTTCTGCAGCCAGGTATGGGGCCGTGGCCACACGCAAGTGCGCGTCTGGGAGATGCAAGAGATGGACGAAGAGGCCGCTGCGCACTGCGAGCACGTCCTCCGGCTGGAGGAGGAGGACGACGACAAGAAGGACAAGAGCAGCATTCGCAAGAAGGGCGGCGGCGATCCTGATAAAGCGCGCGTGGAGATGGCCGAGCATGTTGCGTGGGGGACGAAAGAAGACATGGACGCCATCGCGCCGTTCGAGGTGCAAGGCGTCTCTTCCTCATCGGCCAGTATTCCGATTCGCGATGCCCGTTTGAAGCCTAAGAGGTCGACACGCTGGCGGGGCCTAAAGCGTCTCTTCCAGACCGTAGATGACGATCGGCGGCCTAGCACACCAGACGGTTCGGAGGAGGCATTCCCCAGGCCACCCGTGTTTGGCCCTGAAAAAGTCGTGCTCGACCCGCGCATACGAGCGGTGCATAGGGAGATCTTGCGAGATCTGCTCTATGTAGGATTCTGGGCAACGTCGGTGAGCATCGACAGATTAGGGTACGTTGATAGAGCAGGATCTGATGTATGTGGCTTGTAGGCGTTCATGGCTTTGATTCTGGCAGTCCCTGCGTTGCATTCGTGACAGACTATGCTTGCAGGTAGCATATAGTAGGATACACCTAATCGCGAGCTTGGATATCAGCCACAGGGGCGGAAGGTATACGTCATTAAATTAGGGTACTAGCACAGTCAAAGGGATATCCAAAGGTCGTAACAACGTAACGTGTAGATGTAACAGTAATCGTACAGTACAAACAAAGCACCGCTGGTGTCAATGAGACCGAGTTCGTCGAAATCGTACAACACGTGAAAGGGTCATAAAAAGGGTGAATATCAAACAAGCTCAAAACGCACGTCATATCTGAGTCGTGACGATCGTTCTTACACCTGCGACACGCTGTTCAGCAGGCCGATCGTGCCAGCTGCGCCGACGCCCTCGCCATGCTCGCCACCCAGCATCATCCGCGACCCGGACCCGGACCCCGACGCCTGCGCCTGCCCCGCCATCTGCGAAACCACATCGCTCTGCAGCTGCATCGGCACGAAAACCACCTTACTATTCGCCGTCTTCGCCATCTGCTGCAGCGCCTCCAGCTGCCTAATCTGCATCGCCGCGGGGCTCGCGAGGATATCCGCCGCCTGCCTCATCAGCCTCGCCGCATCGACCTCCGCGCGCGCCGCGATGACCTTGGACTCGCCGATCCGCTTCTGCTGCGCGGCGGACGAGAGCGAGGCTGCGACTTCGGTGCTGAAGACGATGTCCTTGATGAGGATGCCCTCGATCGCGACGCCCCACTTGTCCGCGACGTCGCCTACGATCTCGGCGATCTCGAACGCGATCGCTTCGCGCTCGGTGACGACGCTCTGTACCGCTCGTGCGCCTACGACGTGCCGGAGGGTAGTTTGCGCGCGCTCGGCGAGAGCCTGGCGCAGGTCGGCGATACCGAACGCGGCGCGGTATGGGTTTGTGATCTGGAAGTACATAACAGAGTCGCTACGAAAAGTGTGGTTAATCCCTCGTTCACCGTTGTAAGCGTATAACGTACATCTCGACGTCGACATTGTCGCGCGTGATGACCTTCTGTCTGCCGATGGGGAGAATCTGGATCTTGACATCGACGATGCGGACGCCCTCCGTGCACGGATTCACTTGCACCAAGCCGGGGTCGACCGACTTGTAGAACTTGCCGAACCGACTGACGAGGCCAACGGAGCCTGTCTGGATGTGAGCATTCTGAACAAGTATGAAGATGAGGAGACGCGCCTTGTGGGATGTTGCGGAAGGGGTTGGGCAATGGGCAGCAAGGAATAGCGCCACAGAAGCCAACGCAGGCACCCAATGCCTGCATCATACTGCCATAGAAACCATGGGGAACCTGAAGAAGAACCGACTTGTCACCGCGTGCTCTCCCTTCGGCAAGCGGCGTAACTAACCTCTGAAGATCCGAGGTCCTGGGCGTAGGACGGCTAGCTCGACGCATCAGCCTCCGCTCGACAAAGGAGGTCTACAGCCACTCACCTGCATCTCACTCCGCTTCAACGGCTGCACCTTGATGACATGCGCTTCCCCGGGCTTCCTGACCGTCGCAGGTCCCTCATCTGTCACTGCAGAGGGCATGGCGGTCGGTCAGACAGGGTCGATGCATGTCAGCCCCAAGCCGGGCATCAAAGGGGCTTACCATGGGGAGCATTGTGATCTACGACGTTACCGCGCGAGGATCCCTCGCTGGGCGATGCGGGGCGGTACTTTGCATCTGGTTCCTGGGGCATCGCTCGATGGTGTGCTCAGCAAGACGTGCGCAGCGCGAAAAGAGGATAAGGGAGAGAGCCTAGTGAATGATGCGGGCTTATATATGGGCCAAAGCTTGATAGCGCTCGGGCGGATGACTGGTCGAGGCAGGATGAATATAGAATACGGACACGGTGCTCACAGCCCCCGCTTCCTCGCATTGACGCAAGCTAGGGACCATCATGTGGCCGCCGTGGGATGCACCGGGCGCCATCCTCGCCAACGCAACGCCCCTGATTCACGAGACCTTCATGGAGGAACAGGCAATGGTCAGCATAAGCAACAGATAACCGCATATTCGTTAGTAGGCATTAGTAGTCGGGGCCATTCGCGGCCTCGATGCGCTCTGAAACTCACGCTGTCATCTCGACTGAAGGGGCGAACTCGCCGGCAAGAATCCCTTGAGAGCGTCGGAAGACTCGGAACGGAGCATATACAGTCTCGGAGATCAGACATGCTGTGGCCACCCATCTCGCCTGCGCGCGACATGCGGGACTTTGGCCTGACAGATCTCTCCGAAATTACCCACCTAGTAGCCAAGGCTAAGACGCACTGAGTATATAACGCCACATCCGTACTTTCCGCCGCCGCCGCCCGTCAGACTGCGCAATACCGCGCAAATCCACTTCGACATCTGAAACGTATGATGCGTAATGTACAATGCAGTCAACTAGTCCCCGTGCGTAATAAATAAGCTCTACTCTAATAGATCAGCCCGCAACCATCCTTAGAGTCTTGTGATATAAATGTAAGGAGCGTGTCGTCAATATTATGCAAGGAATGAATGTGCCGAGTCTATGCTCAGGTGCAGCAATAGCTATAGATGTATGATCGTCAAACCGTCTCACCAGCAGCACCGAGTGCGTCTTGCGCTAGAACGGCCGGTGCAGGAACCCCTCCTCGCGCGGGCTGCCCGCCATATACGACGACGGCGCGCCTGCCTCTTCCAGCGCCGACGCCGCCCACGCCAGCCCCGAGAAAAGCCTCGCATTGCCCTGCGCCATCGCTCTCGGCGACGACCGGTGCAGCGTCGGTGTCCGCCGCCCATCCGCAGGCAGAGTCCTCCTCCCCACAGGCGTGTCCGGCCTCAACTCGGGCACACCACTCTCGCCGCGGAACGCCTGCACTTTCCTGCTGAGTGTCTGCAGCACCGATGCGCGATCCGGCACGGCAGACGGGCCTTTGACAACCGGGCTCCCGCTAGGAACCACCTGCTCGTCAGGCTCCCCGTGATTGAGGAACGTCGTGTGAATCGACGAGTCCGACAGCCCACGACGGCTCAGTGTACGGTCCAACAACGTCGCCTGCACCCCATCTTGCTCCTCCCGGTCGATCATCGCATCCACAGTCCGCGATAACGTATGGCCCGGTTTCCTCATCCCCGCCCGACCTATCGTCGCCGTCGTGGCAGGAGGCGGCCTCTGTGGCTTCGGCACGACGATCCACGGGTCCACACCATCCTCCGCGCGCGGCGCCCCCGCGAATATATTCATAAGATTCCTCGAGACCTGCTGCGATGGCGCAGGCTGGCTCAACACGTCCTCCATCGCGGCACTGATGCTGTTCTGCCGCTGCGGATGCCGGTGGTACGTGCTCGTCACGGAGCGCCCCGCAGCTGTCCCGCTGAACTCGACATTCACCGTCATAGACGACGCAGACAGCGCGGCCTCTCGTTTCGGCACGATGCGTGACGGCATGCGTCTGGGCGCTAGTGGCCGGAGAGGCGGTGACATTGATGCGCGATTAGCAGGAGATTCGTTAGCGCTTGCACTGGCGCTCCCTCCTGGGAGGCCAAGAAGCTTGGTGATTGGGGCGATCCAACTCGAAGACGTACTGCTCCCAAGCGCGTCATTGCCGGCCTGCGCTGCCGCGGCCTTCTCGGGATGCATCGCCAGGTCGCTAACCTTCGCCGCCACCGATGGATCAAGGATCACATCGTTAAGGGTGATGCGCATCTGACCCATCTCTGAGAACATGTCCTTGAAGAGCTTGAAGAGAGCACGGAGGTCCGTGCGCGTGCACGCCATCATCGCTTTCTCGTCTTCCAGGAGTGCGCGAAAGTGTGTTCGCATGGTCGACGCTTCCTTCAGGATGCTGCTGACGGTCGTGCGCGAGAGATGACTGACGTCTGCACCCAAGAGGCGTTGTCGCTTCAACCTGTTCGTTAGGGTCAGCGCATCTGCTTGCGTGATGCGGTTGAGTAGCATGGTGACCCGCTCGATGAGGGCGTTAATGGAGCCAGCTTGCAAGTCTGCGAGAGAAGACGATTCCGACCGCCCGTCGTTCGGCGTGCTGGACGACAGCTGATCTCCGAAGGAAGGAGGGCGGGAAGATGCACGGAGATTGCCTGTATCGGTTGTACCATCTGTTTGCACTCCTCGCGAGCGCGTAAGCAGCAGCAAAGATTTCTGCGCCCGCGTCCGTTCAGGGGACAACAGACCGTCATTTCCGCGACCGCGATCATCTATCTCAAAGCTATGATGAGATGATGCATAGTGCGACTGTGCGAATGACGACCACTTCGTCTCTGAGGGATTCAGTGAGTCGGTAGGAGACAGTGGCCTGCCATCCGTCTCCGGTGTCAATGGTTCCTGGGATAGTGATGAGTCTCTGATGAGAAACGTGACGGATCCCTACTTACGAATGCCCGCCGTAATGGCCTTTCTACACTTATTGCTCTTCGATCACTCATAGCGCTAAGACCTCCTCGCCTGTATGACGATTGTAAGACCGAACCAGCCGGCGCAGTGCCGACTTGGAACGAAAGAGACAGCGGTGAAGGTGCTAGAGCGGATGATTGCCCACTATTTGTATGTCGGTGGCGCAAGTATGACGAATCACCCGCTCTTCGTTCCTCGACCTCTTCCTGCAGAGACCGCAGGTCCTCACGAGCCTCAGCCAGTAGGTTTCGGAGTTCTGCGTTATCCCGCTTCAGGGCTTCATTGTCGGCGACCAGTGACTCGAGCACTTTGGTCACTTCAGCATCATCTAGTGTCCCGGCATGTCCGAGTTGCTTGAATGTCAGGGTTTCAGTGACTATGCATGTGACTGGGACGTATTCATGACCACCTACCGACTGCTGTAGCTGTGCGAGCCGCTGCCGAGCGTCGGAGAGGATGTCCTCGGATAACTCATGTCGATGCACTCGCTGCATATCTAGGTCTTCGCGAAGTCGCGCATTCTGAGCCTGCAGCTTAGCTGCAGTGTCTCAGCCTACATGACCAATTGAGTTGCAGCGTTGTACACGCACCACACTTGTCCTTCAGCGTGTTAATCCGCGCTTCTGCCAACTTCGCCCTTTGCGCGGCGCTATCACGTTCTTGTTGAAGGTCGTCCTTATCTTGCAGTGCTACTGCAAGCCGGTTCTCCCAACCAACCGAACGCGCATGCTGGGCAGTGAGACGCTTATTTGTACTGCGTGCTTCCTGTAGCTGTTCGAGCGCATTTCTCTGAGATGACTCCACTGCTTCACTGTTGACCAGTGCTTGTGTGAGACGCTACTTTCCCATTGAGCAGGCCAGTCATCACGAGGAACGAGTGTGCTAACCTTCTCTAGGACAGCGTTCTAGACTGCGCTTAGAGTTGGACTACAAAACGGCAGTTGACAGACATACCTCTTTCACCAACTCTGCCACCCTCGCGTCGACGTGCTCTTCAGCAGACCTTGGTTCGCCGAATCGTGTGGTTGTCGAACGGTCGGCTGCCTATTACAGCACGATTCAGTCGACAGTGCAAGGAAAGCCAGTAAACCAATTGACCTCATGGCGGCGTACATACGCCTCATGCCTCTCCAGAAGAGCCTGCCCGACCTCTAGGAAGACCGTCAACCATGTTTGCGGAGGTAGCAACCGATCACACACACCTGCGCTCAACACAAGCTTGCTCTCCATTTGCGCCTTCCATTGCGCCCAGGCAATGCTCGTCTCGCAGTCCTCCTTTCCACAGCAGCAAAGCGCAGTATTGGGAAGATCTGGAGACGCGACGCGAGAGAAGTTGGCCAGAGCGAGCGTCAGGTCGTCTATCGTGCTGGTCGCACGCCGTAGGCTATTCGCCATGGGCGAGTCGGGGGTAGGGGGTCGCGAGGACATGATGGTCGCGCCGTTAAAGGACGCTTAAAGAGGCCTCGTTGTCGCCAGTTGCGGGGTTTAATACGGGCTAAATGCACGCCCTCCTCGTGGCCTGTAGACCAAAGTCTACCGCAAACACGCGCGACACACCCGACGTCCAGAGCTTGTGTCCACCCTGGTCAGTGTAGAAGTGTGTTGGAAGTGCTTTGCAGCACGCAGACTCGACAGTTGAGAGCAGATATGCGCACATCGACGAACTCGTACTCACCCAATGCTCAGAGCTTGCCAGAACTATGGTACGCTGGTGCTGGAAGTGTCGAGCCAAGAAAGGAATCCCACATGGCAGCTGGGGTTTTGTTGGCGAAGTGGAAATATGACTTCTGACCAGCCTGACGACCGAGAACACGTTGTACGACATACACAATTCATCGGTTGATCGCCTAACATTCCAATGGGAGGAGTTGCTGCGAGCACATATACTTGTTCGGCCCGCGCATTCACGCCATCGATCGAATCAATTGCAATTGACAGCATAATACATGGATGTACACTAGAAGTCTGAAGAGATAATGATAGACGAAAGGAAACGAGTAGTATTATACATGGCTAGAGAGGGAATCGTCAATCCAGAATTTACACCGGGGCAGCGACATTATTGACAGGATATCGAAACGTGTGACGAACAACTGCCACGGAAGTCGGACAGCTATTAAACCTCCTATATGCAAGCAAACATGCAGAAACGGCGCGGAGAAACCCAGCAACGAGGTAAGAACGCATCAATTTACTCTATAATTTTCATAACCAGCTCCGAGATCCAGTTGATCATCTTTGTGGCATGGCCTTGGTTCGCCGGCAGGAATTGGAAGCTGTTCGCCAGACCTTGCATGCTCTGCTCCTCCAGGGCGAAAAGGTGGCTTCGGCCTGGTCCATGCGTAGCGGCATCGTCAATGCTGAGCGATGAAGTAGAGCCTCCTGTAGCACTCGCTCTATTATCGCTATCATGCACCGCGACTCGAAATAGGTTTGAGACAGCACTGAGGATGCCGGGGCTTGAAGAGTTCGCAAACGCTTCCTTGATTTTGTCTTGCAGGCTTTCGTACCTAAATGAATGTGTCAGCTTACACTTGAGTCAGTAACGTGCTCGAACGTACGTCAGCGACACGATGTCGGGGAAGGCATTCGCCACATCGGATAGTATGTTGTAGAGAATCTGCGACTCCGCATCGTCACCCTGTGCCGACGTCAGCATCGCCCCGATGAGCGACGTGACAAAAAGCGCGGTATTGCCATCGCTGAGGCCGAGTAACGCGAACGGGACTCTTGCCAATGGCTCTTCATCACTGCTAGACGAGAGAAAATCCTGCTTGAGCCACGATTCGTCTACATCGCATTCCTTCAACAACCGCTTGAACTTCTTTGTTGTAGTAACCGTAGGCAGCAATGCCACGAAATATCCTAGAACGTCTGGACACACTGGAGTACCCGGGCCATCATCGGCATGGTGATCACTTGAGCAAGACCCTGCCGTCACAGTGACGAGGCTGCGCAACGCCGTCTCTGCGGACTCTCTGAGACCTGCATGTCGAAGTCCTTTGAAAATGATCGAGGCGAGGGAGAAGGAGAAGCTCGACTCAAAAGAGAGGCCAAGGAGACGATCGAGTTGGCATGCCACCTCCTCTAGCGGTACTCGACCATCGAGTAGCGTTGCTGACACTCCTGAGTCGCTAAAGGCACCTTGGCTGTTCATGACTTCCAAGGCCACTCGAAGTAGATGGATCGCTTCTTCGTATAACAACATGTGGCCAGACTGCAATAGCGCGACTGCAAGCCAAAACAGCTGGCAGAGGTAGCGGGAATTGCGGGGAAGAGCAGGGACCACGTTACGGATGCAACGCAGCATGCTCACGACGGACGTCGTGTCGTTCTCGCTCGACTTCGCTAAAGCCGTCTTGAATGCAACGAGCATCTGGTATAGAAGATCGTCATCAACGTCTGAAGTCGCAAGGATCCCCAGAGCTACAAAGGCGCGGGTTTGGACCGCGGGGGACAGTTGGAACGCAGATGACGTGATGAGGCTCATCCATCGAGCGCGCCAGACGTTCAATAGACCTGGACATCGAGATACAAGAGTTAGAACGAGTGCAACGATAGGACCATTGTTACGGGCCTTTGGTTCCAGCTATTGTTTCCAGGACTCTGGAGAGGAAGCGTACCATGCTTTCCATAGTATCGATGTATTGTTTGTCATTCGAGGGATCCTGGTTCACGTAATCACTAGTCGGAGTAGGTCGACGAAGTCCGAACAGCCGAAGAGTCTCAGACTGTTCGCATTCACTGAGTAGCGCTTGGATCTCAGGACTTGCAGTGTCATCGGCCAGGCGGGCTGTGTACTGGGAATTCAACAAGTTGATCACAACACCATACACCGTTATCCGAATCCGTGTTCTACCGGTAGCGGCAGTGAGCACCACGAGATGAACAATCTCCGGGACAAACAGCTGGCTGTGCACTATGTTTCTGCAGTGGTGGCCTGCCACTAACGCCAATCGTATCAAACAGCAGATCTCATTCCAATGGGGATTGTCGGCCAGACTTCTTGTTGGGTTTGCCGAGCTCTTGCCGATAGTCTGGGAGAATTCATTCAATCACAATCCACAGCGAGAAGAGAGGCCGCACAACAGTTACCTTACGTAAGCGGGACAGGATCCTCCCGCGGACATTGATCGATGAAATGGCGCCCACTGTGTCAGCCACCCTGTCGCATCTTGCTGAATCCGCCCCTCCGTCTACGGCAGCACGCATCAGCTCATCCAGAACAGCATTGACCACGCTGCTATCGAGTTTCCCGACTTCGGTCCAAACATGCTTTTGGATCAGGTAGTGCAGCTGCATGCTTGTCAGCGACTACAGGCAATCAACCGATACATTACCTCTCACCTCGTCATCGGCCATCGTCAAATCAACAAGGGTACGTACACAATCTCGGAACTTCGTCGTCGACGGTTCATAGAGTTTGTTCGCCGGGTCAGTGAAGCATACCAAGTGTTTGACCCAGGGTGCCATATAGTGTATACAGACAACCCTGAGATGCACGGGTTCCCTGCTCATATTGGTTGACACCTCCGTGATGAAGTCTAGCGCCAGATGAGGAGCAAAAGCGGCCAAGGCTTCGCTCAATTGTACCAAAAGTGGTCCTTGAATGCCATGTACCAGACTCGCTGGAAAGGTGATCAGCGAACAGATATGCGGTCAGCTATTACAGGACAAACTTTTAGACGTGACCAACGGTTTTCCCTCGAAATCTAGATACGTGCACACGGCTTGTAGCAACTCATTTGCGGCTATGCGCAGCTCCTCCTCGCCGGAGCTTACACCTAGCATGCCAACATGCAAGAGAGTTGCGGCTACGTTTGAGAATCTCGACAGCCGCTCTGCGCCTGGGAACTGCACGGTTCGCATATTGCCCTTGACACCCCGTATTGCCTACGATGCATTAATGTGAGCTACTCGCCAAAATACGAGAAGTCCCTACCTTGACTATGGTCTCTCGAATAGAAGACGAGAAATACAATGTAACACCATGACGAATCTTGCGGATAATGAACTCATGCGTATCATGGCCAGCGGACACGCTGTAAACGTCGTTGATGTCCGTTAAGGGTATGATCTCCGTCGTCTTGCATGATGTGGAGCCGCCAATCAACTGTGCTTTCACCTACATGCAGAATGTCAGCCAGATGTTAGAGACTCCACGCTTCTTTTACACACAGTAGTAATGCGCAAGTGGCTCTGGGCAACCTCAAGCATCACAGGTACACGCATTGGATGCGTATGTCGCATGGTGACTTCCTCAAATCGAGTACAAGGTTCTGCCTCCAATGAGCCTGAAGAATCTGCATCAGGAAATATTCATGAACGGGTGTTTCCTACATACGAGCATAGGTTAGAGACGGAAGAAAAGTTCCTTCAGGCAGGCGCTGCAGAAGCTCCTCCATAGACGAATACGTCAAATAATTGGCTGAAAGGTGAGCTCCTGAATCGTGTGAAAATGAGAAGAAGTCTCAAATTATCCAGATGAGGAATTCTCACCGGAAGAAAGACTACAAAGCCGCTTGATGTACTTCAACGCCAAGGCATTCGGAGTCAATATATGTGCCGTGCGGAACCGTGCACGAATGTCAACAGGGATAACTTCGTACGCGAACTTCAGCCATTGGATAGGTATCTGTGAACCTAGTGTGAAACATGTAAAATCTACGATGAGATCGAAGTCCCGGCTCTCAAATGAAGGGGAAGTAAGGGTCTGCAGGGAATGATTAGCGACGTTGTAGAGCTCATACGTTGCACTCACTTTGAAGATGTAGAATAGAAGAAGTTCAATGTCGAGCACCTCGACGTCTATTTTGGATGCTGAAAGCACAAACATGACCGGATTCTGACATCTGCGTTAGCATTTGTAAAGGTTATTATCCGGCTCATATACCTGAGGTGTCGTCGTAATGACTTCCGAGAAAAGCTCCCGCACAGGGCTTGTATCTCGATGCTCATATCTCGACATCAAGTCGAGGTACTCCGCATGCATACGACTGCTTATAGTGACCATACGGGGACCTTCCAGAGGTTGGCCCAGCTCAACAAGCGCAGCACATAATGCATCCCAGATACGTTTGCCGTGTACGGATGATGTCTCTGTCTGAGCCGCACCCTTCTCGGCTGGCGGCTTTGAGAGACTCAGGAGCTCCTTGCCAACTTTATCGGCGTATTTCTCGAAGAAGCGCTGCAACATGATGGTGTCGGTGTCATCGTATGAAGTATCCAACCATTCTTCCGGCTCTTCTTCCGACCCAGAAGGATTGACCCTCTTCAACATAATGTCAGCGGCCGATACATCAACAGAAAAATGAATGACCAACATTGAGATCACTCAAGAACCGCGTTACATTCATGATGTTTGCCAATAGGAAGTCGTTGAGGACAATCATGTGCGCTTCTTTGCCGAAGAGGATATTGTTGGCTAAGTTCTGAATAATTTTGGCGACGAGCATCAGGCCACGGCGGATGACGAAATCATCCCTGAGGATCTCGACGTCAACGGTCTCCGGAGCGACGATAGCAGGAGATATGAATCTTGCAAATTCTGTCAGTCGTCTACCACCGTGCTCCTATCGCTATGGACGTACCTCAGGAACATGAACGCTCCGACAGCAGCAAACTTTGCCTCTGGCCACTGTTCATTGCTGCAGATGTTGTTATTATGTAAGAGAGTATAAAGGAAATGATACATACACAACTTTGGCGATATGCGCGCAAATTTCACGGAGCATCCTAACAGACGTCACTATCATGAACTGAGTGGTCGCTGACTCCCTATCACACTCACATAGGAACTGCATTGCTGGAAGAGATAATGATCTCAAGAAACGACGATGTGACCAGCTGAATGTTGGCTTGATTCTGTTTTGCAGCTTGTTCACCGACCTTAGAGGGATCTAGGTCATAACCATGGCCGGCCGGCATGGAGGTCATGGTTTTAACGAGCGGAATGATGAGACTTCGTAAGTAGTTGTAGCCGTAGATGTTGGCGAACGCGGACAAGAAGCGCGTGCATGTGGAGTTGCCACGGAACAACGAGGTATCGCTGTCTAGAGTCAGACGTAGTCAAGTCAGCTCTGTTCTACGGGGCGGTGTAGCGGGCCAGCCTACCTGTGCGTGCAACCTCGAGGTCAATCATACTCTTCAGCAGTGCCATCAATGACGTTCGGGTATCAAAGAGATTGAGCATGACAGGGATCAGATTATCAACTTCCGCAGGCGGACAAACTTCACAGATGGCAAGAGCTAAAGACAGCTGCTCGTCATACTATTAGTGAGGACAGCATCATGCGCTAATGAAGACACTAACGTCGGGGCCCTTAACAAGCTGGAAACCAATACATGAGGATGCAACAGTCAAAAGACAAAAGATAGCTTACTTCACAAAGTCGGCTCTGGCGGTGCACGGTTGGCTTGTGATCCTGGCTGACTAGAGTAATACCCTGAGGAAGCACGCGAGCGAAGATGTAGGAGAAGATGATTCGCTTGGTAATGTCCGTTTCATACGCTAACGGCATTGTATGTTTCACGCCAACTTCAGGGTTCGCACTGACAAGGGATGCCAGTCCTGTGATCACCAACTCTCTCATATGGCTATCCCGGGGACCGATCCGTACCTAAGAGCACGTTAATCCTACTCATTATTACTGAACACAGACTGGAACTCCTCACCCCAGAGAAGGATGAAGACTTGTCTGTAGAACGGTCGTCCGGAACCTGCTGGCAATCAACTGATGATACAATACTCTTGGCAGGCAGAACACGCACGAAGGTTTCAGAACGGGCGGATTCCCATGCTTTGAAAAGCACAGTCGAATACCGTATGAAGAGACGTGATACAACGTGAGCAGCCTCCTCGCCGCTCGTGCCCTCTGGAGGCTGCAGCTGTAAGCGGTCAAACAACTTTACTGACGCTCGGAAAGCGGAAAGGTTGAGGTCCCGCTGCGCTGCCAAAAAGTTTCTGTCGCACTGCAGCACATGTCAGCACCTGCAAGAGGAAGAGTACATATGTAAAACTCACCAACGCTGGATCTTGAATCCATTCAATGATAATGTCGGCAATTTTCTGCCTGCTGCCATTGTCCTTCCGCATTGTGATGGTCTCCGCCTGGTCGAACACGGCTTCGCACATGCTGCAGAACTTGATGCGCAGCCGATAGGCGACAGAGTCGTGGAAGCGTCCAATGAAGCCAGCTACCAGTGAGAGAGTGGAACATAGATCCATTCCACGTATCTCCTCCAGGCATTGTACGTTTTCGACAAGAACTTTCAGGATTGCCAAGAACTGCAAGCCATTATCAGATGTGAATGCCAGCGTGCCTTGCCTTTGGACGTACTTGATCGACAAAAATAGCTAGACTATCCCAGTCAACGCTATCGCCCTCTGCCGTCAGACGAACTACACTGCGAAGGAGAAAGCTGTTTGAGAATTAATCCACCATGATACACCAATGTATGCTTACTTGTCCAGTTCTTTGAAAATTCTTGTGTATAGGCGAGGACTAGCTTCGCTACCAAGAGCATCTCTTGCCGTATCACGCACGTGAATGTCTTCATGCAGGAGCAGGTTGAGGAGAGTTTGGATGAAGTGACTAAGGAGAGGGGTAGGGTCCCTCAGGTTACGCATCTGATCCGCCAGGTATTCTGATGCAATATTGAGCGATAGGTCGTCTGGATGAAGCTGATCACGAAGGCAAGCGGAACCGAACGCCGCAAGGAAAAGCGTGAGATTTTGCCATTGATATAATCCTTCCTAATGCATGAGTGAGTGGTGCTGTTCCTTTCGTGAGAAGATATTGGTACCTCCGCAGAAAGCGCTCGATCGCCTATCGGTGCAGTACCGCTATCGAAACCGTTAGCCGTACTCTCTATTGACTTGTTGATGGCTATTTCGTGCAGTGTACACCAACGGAAGTAACATTCTTGCCAAACACCGAGATGCACTGGAGATGATGATGGCATCAAGCGCATGAGCTTCCGCACACGTCTCTGATGTCCGATTCGACCTGAGACAACATTAGCTTTTCTTTCCCATTGACTCACCCAAGTACGCACCAACCAATAACACCTTCGGGTCGCCAAGCTGTTCATAAATCGGATAGCGTTTCACGCGCTCATCCTCGTTGAATCCATTGGATACGGGAGCATTTGGCGCAGTTTCCGCTTGGGCAAGTAATCGCAGGCAATGCGCAGCTGTCAATGTCACATTCGCGTCTGCAGAGGTAAGCGATACGAGAAACGCTATCTCCGCAACTGCAAACGCAGGCAGGCGCAACGGAGTGAGTTGGCACTCTCTCACGTGTTCCTAAACGTAGTGCATAAGCATACGATCGTGTACCCCAGTATCAAACGGACAGACGCACCACGTTCGTCTGCCGGACGAAGCGGTACAACACTTCATATGCCATGTTGATCCACATTCGCTGAGCCTGGAGATCTGTACGTGAATCGATCAGGTTCGTGCACATTGTAGCAAGAGTTGATGGACTGGGCCAGAGAGTAAGGTTGGAGCCTTCCGTAATCATCCACAAGGCACTCACGCTGAACGCTTCATCCACGATATAGTCGCCGTGAATGCGGGATCATCAGGACTGATCCGGCTCACTGCATCGTAGAGGCTACGGGAAGTACGAGCCATGGCTATCTTGATAGCAGGATCCATCGGCGTGCGCCACGCCTCGATGACATTGGGATCATCTTCTGGTCCGTGATTCTCTGTTAAACAACTGAAAACCCATTCCGGAACGGCACGGTGTAAAGCCAACAATGAATATGTTAACAGTTCGCGATCGGGGAGCGTTTCCGACGTGTATCGCTTGGCTTTCGGGCGCAAAGATCGTGTCTTAACGTTTCCGTGTTTATCAATCTCGCTACGACGGGTCGTAGTGCTCTGCAGCAGGTAAGTATCAGGCAGACATTCGCCATGGAGAGCTACTACCTCGTAGATTGCGAACAACCTATGCTTCACTGCATCCCTCAGTTCATCCAAGGGTGCTTGCCACGGGCATCGTACAGCCTATTGCACAGAAACGTCAACGTGGTGTTTGCAAGCACCCCCCCCCCCGCAAATTCTGTACGAACCTCATTTACCAAGGTGATGCAGGCCTTGATCACGGAGATCTTCACGGCGTCAGAGCGTTGAGGTTCCAAGCAAACAGTAAAGACGTGTATGACATCCTCTGCGGGAAGATACCTGAACATCGTGACCAGGATATCCGCAATCAGCGCCACGTCGATCTCTTCGGGATGTTCATAGAATGGCTTCGGACCATTCCAGCTTGCCAACATGCTCTGTGCAACAAAGAGTCAAAGAGCCATTAGCGAGGTCTCTGTCCGCGAAACGTGACGTGCATACTCTTAGATCATGAGCGATGTCGTGCGCGATGAGATGTATTGCAAGTTCAGCGCCATCCTCCGGACGTATGCGGAACGCTGCTCTGCACAAATCCAAAGCGCATACAACGGCCTCCTCGGAGACTTTCTGTGAAGTCAAACTGCGCATCACCATTTCATAAAAGTAACGATCCTTGGAGTTTATCAGTTAGCAGATAAACTCTGAATATTCCTGCATTGCCAGCTCACTCTACGGCCATGCTGACCCCTCGGCATTCCCAATGAATTAGCTTGATACTCGGTTCTGATGCGTTCCGAACTGATGCATGCTAGTGCTGCCAGCGTCGGCCATACATTCACCCTATGCTGCGACTCGCAGAAGTCGAAAAGGATATCAAAGACGCGTTCTGGGGCTCCTTCCATCCGGCGATGGTAACGAATGGTATCGTTATATTCTTCGGGACACATATCAATCCAGTTCCAGATAGCGGCGCGTAAAGGAATGGCAATAGCAGCCTGCGCATCGTGTTTCATGTTCAGCAGCAATGATGATAGTTCTAGCCATATACAAACTATCAGTATGTGCGTACAGTGACGTAGCCATCTCGGACGCGCCTTGTAGAGCTTGGACGAGTCTTCCCCTATCCACAGCACTATGCACCATGAGCTGCAAGTCCACGATCTCCGGATCACTCTCGGTAGTACTCGCCAGAAAGTGTATCTTCTGGCGGACGCGACTGAGGACGACATTCCAGTTCGACGCAGATAGGTGGTATACGACACGTCCGGCAAACTTGGCGACTAGGGTATTGAGCGCCGATATTGATTTAGAGGTTACGATCGACGTCCTCTCGTACATGAGCGAATGCTTCGACGCTTGACCGAATGAGACAGTACTAGGCGTCGTCGAGTTCAAGGACGTCGACGACGCATGCCTGGTGCGAGACATCATACGCGGAACCGGCGAAATGCTTGCGGGGAGCGCAGGTGCGCTCAGCAGGTCCACACTGGATCCCATATCCGACGCCTCCACCGACTCAAAGTCGTGATGCGACGCTGCAAAATCCATGTTCGCGGATGACATTAGTCGATACTTCGGTGGTGCTGTCTCTCGCAGCAGCAGCACCATTACGCTCAAGATGTACTTGGCGCAGTTGTCGTCCAGAGGGGGCGGCTCGACTAGCAGCGAAAGTTGTTCTGAAGGCCCGTGTTGCCGCCGCGTAGCGTGAGAGGACGTGGAGGAGGATTCGTGGATGCTAGGATTGGAGCTAGTGGTAGACATTTGCTTGCTATTGCGAGAGCTCGGCCGTGCTCCGTCCTGACGGCGGCCCCAGCGCGACGCCATGCATATTGCAAGGACTTTAAGCACAAATAGTTGAGACTGGAGGACGTCGATGCTCCTGTAGCCGTGCATGTCCGTTTGCTGGATAACCCGTCAATGTGACGCGATCTGCCAGCAGTGGTATCACACACCTTCGCCAGCTTCTCAAGTAACTCGGTGAGTGCCCATCCGATGATGTCCAACGCGTCCTGCGATAGTTCCACTAATGACTCTACCACCTGCTGTATAGCGTCGTCCGCCTCGACTTCTACAAGTGGTATTCCAGAATTACATGGTAGCTAGAAGATGTGTGAGCGCGCATATAGCCGTCTGAATTGAAGGGGTTACCTTGTTTTTGAGTCTATTCACAAGAACTGACACCACCTTCTGCTGCGGAGTCGCTGGTGCCGTAGAGTTTACATATGTGAGGCTTGAAGAGGGTGCCAGCGAGGAGGGCCCCGAGACGCTGTGATTCGAGCCGTTGCTTCGATGCACGCGCGATGACGACCCGGAGACGTTATGGGCCGCGCTGGAGCCACGCCTGACGGGCATCGTGGACAGCGTGCTCAAGGCTGGGATGCTGGGAAACAGGTTGTCGGGAAATGGGAGGAAAGATGGCGAGAGGTACGCGATGCAGACAGACGAGCTGCTAACCCGGCTTAGCGGGTACAGGTAATTTCATACATTGATCATTAGATAATATTTGCGAAAGGCAAGCCCTTCCTATTATGGTGCTTCATCAATTGATGGCGGTTTTTGGCGGTTTCGTCACGAGGATGACACGTTTATCTCGCTCCCTTTCGCAGGTTCATTTTGCACTCCATCTTCAGGTCTGGTTTGCAGCGGATATCTGTCTACGATGCATATTCTAATCCATCTATTTGGCGCTCGTGGTATTGTCGGAACTCTGACGAGACTAGGCTAGAACAAGTTCACTAATCCAAGACCGATGTCATCAAGAAGTCAAAGAATACCATCGAGCTTATAGCATCCGGGTGACGTGCCTGGAGGTGCCTTTCCACAAGGATCACTTTGTCAGCACGGGGGCTTCGCCGCTGCAGTTATCTTATGCACGACTTCCTGTGACGTTTTCTTTGCAGCTATGACAACTAAGCCCAGGCCTACTGAAGATTACAGTCCTTCAATATTTCAATATCGATCCTCGGGCCTTATGCACCCTATCAAGCCTGATCGATACTGCAGCCCCTGATGGTCTGCATGATCAGTGCTGGAAGAGGTGCGGCACGATCACTGTTGCGTCGAGCTGTGTAGTTTCCGGTTCATACCGGTGCCCATCGATAAGCGTGTACAGACATCTTGAGTGATCCAGCAGCCCTAGCTCAAGGCCTCTGTGTAGCCTGCATGCAGAGGCCTTCATCGCAGAACATCAGGAAAACTCAAATCCGGCTAAGGACACTTTTATCAGCTTGCCGTCACCAAAAAAGACAGTAAGTTCGAGAAAGTCTGAGGACCTTCTTGTTTTGAACTTTTTTTTTTCCGGGTTGGTGGGTACAAGCCAATACCAGCAAGAACAAGTCAAAAAGCAGGTCTCGAGTCACAACTCAATTTGTGTTTTCCTAATGAAGCCAATGAAGGACCTTCCGGCGCGATGGATCTTACATACTTATGCTGAATTTCTGTTATGTAAAAAGTGTGGTCTGTTCGCGTACGGTGCGGTATCTTCGAGCACGCGTATCTTCGATGTTGTTGCCATGCACAAGTGCTTTTGACAACAATACTTACGGTACAGCCGGTCGGCGAAATCTGATGCGGGCAGGCCTATTACCCGGCGCATGGATTGTTTTGGCGTCGTGTTACCGACGCTGGGCTGAGTACGGAGAGCAGCGACGATGCGCCATTGTGTCCCTAAAATGGGAGCAGCGCGTCGCCGATAGAATACAGGACGTGTGGACCCACAGACGCACACAGTAGATTTTATCGAAGGAGCGCCAATCTGACGTCGCCAGCTTCTTTCGCGAAGGCAATCAGTGACACGACGGCGACGGTCCTCAACAGACAATGCGCCGAAGTAGCTAGCCTGAGCCGCGAGAAACCGGCGTGCAAAGGGCCCGTAGCGCCCGGCCGTCCGCCTAGGGGCCTGCGGCAGCTCCTCCTGGTTCGAGGCAGCGAGTCTCCGACACGCTGATGGCAGCCAATAACAAACTCCGCCCCCCGGAATCCACACTCCGCAGCCTCTATCCTGCCCGCAATCGCCTGTCTCTCTCTCCTCTATCCGACGTGGTTCCCCCACCGACTTGGAGAATCCTCCTTAGTTTACATCCGACCCTCGGGTCGTCTTTTGTCGTGTTGCATCGCTGTCGAAATCCCTAGCCTTTCTCTCTTTCCAACTCGCTCTCTCCGTTTGTCGCCAACTGGTCGTTTGCGCATAGCTCTTCTGCTTTTTCTCTCTCAGTGCATTGTGTCCTTTTCTTGCTGTCGATTCCTCACCCCCTTGACGTAGCAAAGCGGCAGAAAATCTGCACAACAATCTGTCGAAAAACCTCGCCTTTCCGATCTCTTTCGATCTTCACGCCTCCTCTTTGACATGTCACGACCCGATGCACATCTCTACGAATACGAGCAGCCCCCTTTCGACGGCCGTGGATATGGCCAGTACATTGGCCACGGCTCTGGCCCATCCTTGCGCGTCCGACACAGCATCTCGCCGCCCGACTTTGTTCGTCGAGACTTGCTCGCACACAGCTTTTATTCCACCCCGCCTCTGGCCGTCGATCGCCGCACGTTGACGTCGAGCACACAGAATGCTAACGGCTTCTCTCCCCGCCTGTACAACTCACTGCCCGCTGGCAGGGACGGTGACAGCTGGAGCATCAAGCCGGCGCCGCTCTCGGCCACGCCGACGGCCAACAAACAGGACAGTGGCAGCGCGGTTCCACAACTTCAACCGCCACTCTCGTCCTTTGTCCACCACCACCACAGTCCTTCTCCTCCTCGCGCTCCCTCCGTTACCGAACTCTACAGTTCCTCTGTGCTCCCTCCTCCACCCGCTTTCAACGAGCGGGACTTGCGAGACTCGCGCGGTTTCTACATCGGCCACCGTCACCTGCAGCAGCAGTCGAGCTCGCCAGTTCAGGTACCTCACGCGCAACCCCCACCTCCTTCTATTCCCTCCCCAACTAACGGCACATCCTCTTCCCGCTGCACGCTGTGGTGGAGCGATCTTGAGCCTTGGATGGACGAAGAATACGCGAAGCAGGTCTGCAACCTTATGGGTTGGGACCCCGTCAATATCAAGGTGCCTCGTCCTGCGCCGGACCCGATCACCGGCCAACAGGCGAACAACCCGGGGTATTGCTTCCTGACTTTCCCTACTCAGGCCCACGCGACGTCAGTGCTCTCGCAAATCAACAACGGGAACGGCGCGTCCATGATCATGCCGAACTCTAACAAACCGTTCACGCTCAACTGGGCCTCGTCCATACCAACGGCGCCCGCCCCTCCCGTATTGCCTGGGCAGACGGTTATGATCCCCAGCGGTCAGAACCCGCAGTACCCCAAAGAGTACAGCATCTTTGTCGGCGACCTTGCGCCGGAGGTGTCGAATTCTGACCTTGTTGCGGTTTTCCGCAACCCTGTGCTTGGTCTGCGCAACGACAGAGAGCCGCGCTTCATACGTCCATTCCTGAGTTGCAAGAGCGCCAAGATTATGTTGGATCCTGTGACAGGCGTGTCGCGAGGATACGGTTTCGTTAGGCGCGTATCTGTCTCGGCTGTCGTTGTGAAATATGATGGGATTAATGCTTTGTCTGCCCAATCAGATTCACAGATGAAGCGGATCAACAGCGGGCCCTAATTGAGATGCATGGCCTCTATTGCTTGTCCCGTCCGAGTACGTCGATCGTCCTTCCCGGAATGGCTCATTTATGACAACATTGATGCAGTGCGAATCTCTCCCGCGACTGCCAAATTCAAGCCGCCGCCTGGGATGAATGGCCTGGACTTTTCACAAATGCCATTCCCGGTTGTGTCATCGTCTTCACCAGTGCTTCCGGATCAACAAAGCCAAATGACGATCGCACTAACTCTGCCCAGTGGAAACCAGACGAAGAGTGTTTCCGCACCCCTTGCCGGTCCGGCTGGAGCGTCGTCGAACGGTAACACTGTGTCGAACTCTACATCAAACTCGTCACTTTCTGCGCCCTCTCTCAGTTCAGGCTCTAGTACGGCCTCGTCGTCGTCGACCCTGGCTTCTACGACCTCCGATGATGCAATCAAGGCTGCGCAGTACGCCGGCGCTGCCTCTACCGCGTCTCCCGGACCTGTGAACAGTAGCGGCGCCCCATCGGTCTCCGTACCATTCGCATTGTCAAGTCAGGAGGCGGCGATTGCACAGAAGTATAACATCCCGGAGGAATCTTGGAAGCACCACGCCCAGGCGCGCGCGATACTTTCCAATCTGATTGGACCTAACGGAGAACAGCTCACTTCATCTGATCCATATAACACTACGGTGTTCGTTGGAGGCCTGTCACCTTTGATCTCCGAGGAGACCTTGAGGACATTCTTCGCACCCTTTGGCGATATTCACTATGTAGGTTTGAATATGGTTAGCATAGCACACTTTTCACTAAATGTTATATAGGTCAAGGTGCCGGTTGGGAAGCATTGCGGCTTCGTGCAGTTTGTGCGTAAACCGGACGCGGAGAGGGCTATCGAGAAGATGCAGGGCTTCCCTATCGGTGGCAGTAGAATCAGACTCAGCTGGGGTCGTAGTCAATGTACGACTTCAGCATTGTAGCTCCCATCTCATTGCTGACTTTGTTCTGTAGACAAGGCGGCTCAAGCTGCTGCCCAAGCAGCCCAGGCGGCCGCTTTCCAGGCTCAGTACCAAGCGCAAGTGTCTGCAGCGCAGAACACGACGTCGATGACGCCGGAGCAGGCTCTCCAGTTGTTGCAGAAGTTCGGACTCACGAATTTGTTGAACGGCAACGTCTCCCTAGGCAACGGTGGAGATAACGAGAGCCATACGGCTGCCTTGCCAGAAATGAACGGTGATCGTGCGAACGGGTTGAATTCAATCAATTGCACTGCAGGTCAACGCCTTCCGCCGCCTACATCATCGTTCTCTCCGTTTTCTCCGGATCCGAACTACCTTGGAGATGGTCTGAAAATGCTAGACCAGACGGCTTCTGGTCAAGGGCAGGTGTTTGGTAACGTTCCCAAAGGATACCCGCCGTGGTACAACCCTGCCTCGGACGAGAAATACGCGACAGGCGGCAAGGCTTCTCCCGCGGGGTTACAGACGATCCGTCCCCCGAGTGTATCGCAACGGTTCAATTCCATGCTTGGGGAGGTCGTGTCGTCTTCGCATTTGCCTTTCCAGCAGAGTCGTGCGTCATCTCGTCAGGAGACTCCGATCCCAAGAGCCGATGTATCCAGGAGGGGCTCGCATGATCAGTACGGCGCACACGAACAGGAACAGGATCCCATCCACGACCTCAATGGCACTCTCGCTAGCCTTGAACTCAACAGCCCAGCCATGTGGAAAGGAGGAGACGCGGTGCACACCTTGCCCTCCTCGCCTTGAGTGAATCTCACGAAACTTACGTCCTCTTCATTGTCTACGTATTCTCTCGTCATCTTTACTCCGGTCTTATCATGGCTTTGTCCTCCGATACCGTGTCTTCGACGTTTTGTCCCATATCGTCAATCTACCCGTCTCTTGGGTTTTAAGAACGAACGGTTCCGCCGCTCACGTTTGTTACGCGCTGTCGATTCGCATGGCTCACAGGCTCACCCCACTGTCATCGTCTCTATCGTCGCACGCGGGGTCTGTTGAATATGCATTCGTTCTGCATCATATCATACTGTGTTCACCTTTACGCAGCGAAAATTTGTCATTACTCTGTTCGATATACTCTGTTGTTTTGTTTCGTCTAGTTGCCCGGTTTTCTGTTGTCATGACATGTCGTGCTATTTCCCGCATAAATGCGGATGGGTTATGTACATAAAGTACACAAACTAACCAAATGGATTGCTCACTGTCTCTCCTTGCCACTTGCACGGTCGACTAAGAGTAAGTACTGAATTGGAGATGTGACAGGTGGCCCGACTTGAGTCACGGTGTGACAGATGCATGATCACACCGAAAGAAATCTCTGCTCGATCATTAGTCGGTGCTTCGTCGCGTACTTGCTCTCATCCCCACTTAAACACTGCTGACTTCTTCTGTGGCTCTGTTGTCTGCGAGCAAGAGGCTGGACGAAAGAGATATCATGGCACCAAACGGCGTGAACGGCGTCCACGCCGAGGACGACGAGGATGTTGACTACTCCGACATTGAGGCAAAGTAAGTTTGTTGCATCGGCTGCTTGTATGACGCCTGAGGCATTGCTTTAGATATCAAGTTCAGTTCGAAGAGGGTTTTGACAACATATTGGTGGTCGATGGCGTCCCCGTTATTGACCAGTCGAAGCTGGAGAGGCTGCTCGCGAAGATCGCGAAGGAGTTTTCCCGCAAGGGCGCGCCCATCAAGCCGGATGACATATCCGTGCCATGGGATGATGCGACTGGAAAGAGCAAGGGGTATGTCGCCGTTGAGACTGGCATTGAGTGTGCGCTCTCTGATCCTCAACAAGATATGTCTTCATCGAGTTCAAAAATGCGAACGATGCCGCTTTTGCGATGAATGCCATGCACGGGCATCCGTTCGATGCTAGACACACCTTCCTGGTCAACCGATTCACCGATATCGAGCGCTATGCTAACCTGGACGAAACGTATGTCGAGCCGGAGCCCGAGGAGTACAAGCCCAAGGTCGATCCTTCTTTTCTCAAATAGATTATCAGTCATTGGCTGACCTGTGGACAGGAGCATCTTCGTGCTTGGTTGGGTGATCCTTATGGCAGAGATCAATATGCTACCTACCGCGATGATGAGGTTGAGATTCATTGGCAGGGCAAGCCCTCACAATGTGAGGTTGCTTTCAGCCGAAATGTACGTATCATCGGATCGCATACTTTCCTCGCGCCAGAGGTTAAGTTGTAATTTGCAGAACTGGACAGATCTCTATGTCTCATGGTCACCTCTTGGCACATACCTCGCAACTCTTCATCGTCAGGGTATACAACTCTGGGGCGGCACTTCATGGGGGAAGCAGCATCGATTCGCGCATCCGATGGTGAAGCTCATCGACTTTTCTCCCAACGAGCAATATATGGTCACATGGTCGCACGATCCGATCATGGTTCCTGAAGGTGCGCAACAGGGCCCACAGTACTTCTCTCCCGAGGATGAAGGCAACAACGTCGCTGTGTGGGACGTCAAGACCGGTGATCTCCTCCGCACATTCCCGACAGTCTATTCAGAAGGTGAAGATGTCAAGAAGCAGCTGCAATGGCCTACTCTCAAGTGGAGCGCGGATGACAAGTATGTTGCCCGAGTCACACCAGGCCAACAAATCAGCGTGTATGAACTGCCAAGCATGGGCCTCGAAGGAAAGAAGAGTATCAAGATCGAGGGCGTAGTTGACTTTGAGTGGTGCCCACAGGGGGAAAAGGACCGCGAGGACGCGGAGGCGGAGGCCCAGGGCAAGACTACTAAGAAGCCCAGAGAGAACATGCTCGCATACTGGACACCCGAGGTTGCTAACCAGCCCGCACGCGTCACTCTGATGAACTTCCCGAGCCGCACCTCTCCTCGGCAGAAGAATCTGTTCAGTGTCTCTGAGGTAAGATTCTCAATAGCGTAGGTCAGCTGGCTAGCTAAGAGTTACCGCAGTGCAAGCTCCACTGGCAAAACCAAGGTGACTTCCTCTGCGTCAAGGTAGATCGCCACACCAAGACGAAGAAGTCCATGTACTGCAACCTTGAGATTTTCTGCGTGCGCGAAAAGGACTTCCCTGTGGAAGTCGTTGAGCTCAAGGGTAGGCTGTCGTCGGCTTCCTCCATATGCTCATTTCCATGTTTACGTTGGGTGGATCAGATCCTGTCACCGACTTCTCTTGGGAGCCGAAGGGGGATCGTTTCGCGATCATTTCAAGTAGCGATCCGAATCTCTCCAACCCTGCACCCGGCAGCGCTATCAAAACCGACGTCAGCTTCTATCAGCTCGTGCGCGGGAAGGGTGACTTTAAGCTGCTTCGTAAGTTCGCTCAATCGGAAATTGACGCTGCAGTCGTTGAGCGGACTTTATTAGGGACATTGCCAGGCCGAACTAGCAACACTGTTCGTTGGTCGCCGCGAGGGCGTCACGTCGTCCTTGCGACAATTGGCTCTTCGACGAAGTCGGAGCTGGAGTTCTGGGATCTTGATTTCACCTCCGAAGACATCGGTCGTAGGGAGGGACCTTCGAAGGAAGAATGGGGCAGCGGCATTCAGCATCTAGGCACGGCGGACCACTATGCCGTGACCGACGCTGAATGGGATCCTAGCGGCCGCTATCTGGCCACGAGTGCAAGTGCCTGGAGGCATACGGTAAGTAGTATGTTTCGCACGACCACCTCCTGATTTTAATGCTCTATGGTTCGTTCATTGTGATCAGCTCGAGAACGGTTATGCCATCTGGGATTTCCGCGGCCAGGAGCTCGAGAAGCACATCCTCGATCGCTTCAAGCAATTCCTATGGCGTCCGCGACCGCGCACGCTTCTTACCAAGGAGCAGCAAAGGCACATTCGCCGGACTCTCAAGGAGTACAGCCGCGCCTTCGAAGAAGAAGATGCTGCGGAAGAGAGCAACGTCAGCGCCGAGCTCATTGCACAACGTAAACGCCTTGTGGACGAATGGAATGCCTGGCGCGATCGGGTCAAGGAGGAGATCGCAGAAGAACGCACACGTCGTGGGAAGAAGGTTGAGGGAGAGAGCGAGGAGCATGGTGAGGAATCGAAAGAGGAGATTGAGGTATGGATGGACGAGGTCATTGAGCAGATCGAGGAGGAGGTTGTGGAGTAGGCGCGCTGGTGTTGTTTAGTTTAGTATCTGCTGTCGTCAATCGCTTGACAATTCCATCTGCCGCAAGCTGAATTTGTTGTGATCTCAATGTTCTAGATGGAGACGAGAGAAAACTTGATATTGTACACAGAGTCAACGGACATGGAGAGAATTCACTGTCAGTGTACAGAACTGCCACTTCTGACTTGTCGATCGCTGGGGCTTCTCTCACAGGGCGAATGCGTGCTCGTGTATACATTCGGACTACTGAGGAATGAGAGCGGCTTTCCTATTAGTGCTGGTACCCAGATGTGAGAATGTCATACTCACATCTTGCGACATGTATCTAAAGCGCCCCTCCAGTGACATTGCCTATCAGTTGTCGCTCAGCTCCATCAAGCCGTTGAGATACATTAGCGCTTCTATCAGCTGGACCCTCTCGTTAATATCTCGTATCTTCTCTGAGTCCATACGACGCTTTCGTGCGGTTTTACGTAATAGCTGTGCTATTTCTCAGTCGCCGCCATAGCCTGCCCAAATAAATTCATACCTTGAAACCATAGTATTCGAACGCGCCCGCATCGTCCAAAGGGATGTCGTAAATATCATATATATCTGAGACAGGCAGCCTGTTAGCTTGTTTCCACCGAAACGATGTGCTTCCGGTATTCGAACCTGATCCGACATCGTCGCCCTGAGAAGAGGCTGCACGCGACTCGTTCTTGGGAGGTTGGTTGGGGACAGGATCTACCGCGCGTCCCTTGCCTTTATCAACTTTTGCAGGGCGCGAGCTTGCTTCGCCCGATGAAGAACGTTGAGTATTAGAAGGACCGGGCTGCGGCGCTTCTGCGACCGACACGCTTCGCCGAGTCGATCGTGGCGCTATACCCAATTCCTGCAGGATGGCTTCATAGCTGTTAACTTACAGCGAAAAACCATGAGAGACACAAAATCTGCTACCTGTGGGCATGTATTGGAATTGAAATGTCGAATATGGTTCCGTGTCCAGCCAGCGGACACTATGAGATGGTTTTGGAACTTGCATGACCTCGTCGCTGAGACTGTAGACCATGTGTATGTTAATAGTATAGTTCATAGAGCAGATCACGTACGACACCACATGGGTTCCTGCCTTGTTGCTCCGTTCGTGGACAATCCTTTCCAAGTCGACCTCGGTCATGAACGTGGCGTTGTCAAATGTTGACAAGTCCTCGACGCGGAAAAACTGAACTTCTACAGAACCCAGTCGATCCCAAGCGGTACTATCATCAGGGCTTGCAAGATTGGCGTCGCCTGGAGGACGGTCGAGTGAACAATTGCGCTCTTGACAAGAATGAAATCGGATAACAAACCAGTAACGGTTACCTCTGTAAAGACGAACTTCTTCACACTACCATGTATCGTGCGGACGCCAATGCACGATCCCTCTTTTCCGCGCCTGAGAAATCCAGTGTCCACAGGCATCCCGTCGACGAAGAAAACAACAGCGACGTCCATATTCTCAGAAGTGTTGTGCACTTTGATGGAGAAGCTCTGCAGTTTCGATATTCGTCGATCTGGCATTCATATCGGGACCTTGAAGCCTGCTGCATGACTGACCTTTCCTGCCTCACTGGCTATGTAGCAGCCGATCGTACGGTTGCTGTCTTCAAATTCCACCATGTAGGCCGAAAGCGGCACATCGCCGCAGACTACCTCCGCACGCAAGCGGCCCAAAGACAACGACATATCAAAGGCGGTGTTGAGGGTTGCACGATCAAGAACGAGCTAGCTGGAGTACAAACTGCGTTGAGGAGATATCGGACAGAGTCGCTATCGCCACAACCTAGGAAGTATGATCAGAAAACGTGGCTAAGCGAAGAGCACGTGGATGTGTTACTCTGAGCTCCGTGCCATCATGAAGAATGACGGTGCCACAACGATATCTTGTGCAACGCCCGAAGTAAGCAGGCTACAGAAAGTCTATGACACTTTATTGGACAGGCAGGTGCGTGAACGAGAGGATCAGACCTGTATGAGCACATGCTGCACATCACCGATGAATGCGATACCAGGTTTTCTCGATCGTTCAAATCGCAATAATCGTCAGCCGCTGTAATGCATGCCATAGCCTGCGCATCCTCTTGCTTGGTAGATAGACTCGAAAATCTGTGGGTGTCCTTGGGGCTTGTTCTTTGCTCCGGGATCAAACGGATAGGTCGAGATTCCTCTTGTCCTCTTGCTTGACGGCCATAGCTTAGGCTCTGGTTCATTTCATATGGTGCCATCCGCGGTTGATTATTCCATTCGCTGCTTCCAAACGTGAGCTCAGCAAACCATCATAAACTAGGCGAAACCCTCACCGTACGCTGTGCAATGTTGGCAGAAGTCTATTGGAACGTCCCGGTGCGAGATGAAGGCATTTCCTGTTTTACAACTAGACTGACATGTTTAGGGGGACAGAAGGAACGGAGGAATGCGTCAGCTTGAGCAACACGTACGTGTCCCATTCTCCACGGCGTTTCAATCAAACCTTCTCTCCCGTGACGAGTCCTGCGAACAATTCGGGATGTATTCTTCCCATCTATGGATTCGTGCGATGGAGTTGACTAGAGTTTGCGACGTCTTGTGATCATCAGCGGCCGCCAAGGCGGTATGAGTCTCTGTCCTTGAAGAAAGCCTTGACTGTCCGGCTGACAATAAGATTGAAGGCTGTTATGCAGAGATGATAGCTGGCCACGCCTCTTCACAGGAGTGCGAATGTTGCATGCCGACGGACTTGCTCCTAGCATGCACCTGATGGCAATTTTGACAATTGGACACGGCACCTTCCTGTGCCTCTAATTAGGGGTAGATGCCGCTAACGCCAAAGGGTGAACAAGCTGATACGAGATGAAGCATACTTACAATTCATGCTGGACGCACGCATCTTTCTTCTTGAATCCGGTAAACTGTATGAGACAAAGGCAAATCTTTTTGGAGACAACCATCCTCCAAATGGCGAGAACTTCGGCATCTCAGGCAGTCACTTTTCATCATCTCGAAGGGTGTGTTCCCCGCAGTCTATGACTGTATCCTCAGGCCAACAAGTGTAGCGGTGCGTGAGGTTGTTCGTCTGCACACTGAAGATCATTTCGGATCTGTGGTCCGCGCAGAGCCCTGTAATGCGTCGACGTCGCATTTTTCTTCGCGTCGAGTGACCAAGATGCCCCGGTCTGGGACAAGAACCGTTAGAAATGCCGTTAAATGCGCCATGATGTGGGTTAAAAGCGTGAAGACCTGGTCAAAGGAATAGCTCTGCCGGTTTTAGCAGTCGGGCCGGGAAATTTACGCGTTTGCCGAGTATTTCATCACGTGATCGCGTCTCATTTACACCGAGTTGTGCCATATCGCGTGAAAACCGCCTTCGGGCTCACTGCTCCCTTTACAGTTTCTGGTGTGGCAAAACAAGGTGGACCCGCCTTCCCGCTGAAATCAACGCTCACTACTAGCCTCGGTAACCATTGGCTCACTGACTTTCTTTCTGCCCCTGACCATGGCATCCACATCATGTCTGTCCAACATCGGCTCTCCCAACCACACCTGCCTGATGATCGTCTCTCCCTCCTCCTTTCCATGGTTACAGACATCTCGTGCTCAGAGTAATAATATGATGCAGATAGCCGCCTGTATAGGTGTATGAGCCGGAATGGAATGTGCAGTTTCTCTTCTTGATCAGCCACCGACGCGTCTCAACCACACCACGTGTAGGAAGCAACACGTTTACCGTCCGGATGCCATTTGTGGCTTCGCATGAGCGATTCTATGACGTTGGTCAAAGCAACTTGCATCAACATGACGCACTAGCTGAGGCTCACTTTGGGCAGATTTAGAGCGGAACGCGATGCGGGCATCGGGCAGTTCCATCACTATAAAACCTCCTCCGCCGTCGTGCTCATGGTCATTGTCTTTCATCTACCAGCAAGATTATTCCCATCCCCATCCGCTACAGCGCTTTCGTCGCAATCTACACTTCTTGCAACTCGCCATACATTTACCCTTATCAGAACCCAAAACCCACATAACGGCAGCAGCAACAACAATGGACGGAGGAAACGTAAGGTTCTCAGTAAAGAACCTCTTCAACGTCGAGGGATGGGTCTGCGTCGTCACCGGAGGCGGCACGGGTATCGGCCTGATGATCGCGCAAGCATTTGCGAACAACGGCGCACGCGTGTACATAACCGGACGACGTGCGGAGACGCTGCAGACTGCCGCTAAGACGTGGGGCGCATCTCTTGCGCACCCACAGGGAAAGATCATTCCCATCACCGCGGATATCACGGACAAGGCGTCCATCCAGAACCTTGCGCAAGAGATCGCGAAACACGAGAAGCATGTGGACGTGCTGGTGAACAACGCTGGTATCGATGGAAGCACGAGCACGGTTGAGAAGGGCGATGAGAGCGCGCAGGCACTGCAGAAAGAGCTCTGGAATGAAGAGGTATTGATGTGGGAGAGCGTATACCGCACAAACGTCATTGGGTACGTGCAAATGACGCGCATACAGTCAGTGTATGCTCATTGAATGACGTTCCAGATACTTCTTCACCACTGTCGCATTCATGCCTCTGTTGTCTGCTGCCACAACTCGTGGAGGAGGACATACCGGCAGTGTCATCAATATCTCGTCCATCTCTGGCGTAACGCGCACATCGCAACACCACTATGCGTACAACACGTCCAAGGCAGCGGCGATCCAGCTGACCCAGCTTCTCGCGCAGGAGATGCGCCGCCCTGGCGTTAAAGTCCGCGTGAATTCAATTGCGCCAGGAATCTTCCCCAGCGAGATGACCAGTGCGTACATTGCCGGCTGAAGTCATTTAAACGCTGGCTAACATCTATGCCGTGGCTTGCAGCCGAGGGATCGAACGAGCAGAACAAGTCGAGCATCCCGGTCGATGAGTCCTACGGTGAGAAGAAGGGTATTCCTGCTGGACGATCGGGAGGCGAAGAGGATATGGCGCAGGCGGCGCTACTGCTCGCGTGCAACCAATACATTTACGGTCAGGTAAAAAAAATGTTTTTCATTTGTCATCGAGTTCATCTGTCCTGATAGGCGTTTCTGCAGACTGTCATTGTGGATGGCGGATACCTTCTCGCTCACCCGTGAAATAATTCGCGGAAGCAAAGGCGGGATACTACTGGGGAATTGAAGGTTAACTTGTAACCTTCGCGCATTTGCAGCATAGTCAAGCACTCAACTTTCTGTGTTACATAATAATGTTAGCAGCAAGCGTGAAAGCACTTCAATATTTCGTAGACGTAGTCAAGTTGTTTCTTCGACCAGTGTTGATGCGCGCTTGTTGAACGTAACGTTGAACTCCTGATTTGATGACGTTAGCAGGCGCCTCCGATTCCCCGCACACGGGGCAAAGTGCCGCAGGCTCATCGCTTCTGTCAACATTCAGCATGGCCCCTCAGACTCAGGCGACCTCCTCCTCTTCGCATTCAAAACCATCATCACCTCCTCCTCCTTACTCCGAGTTTGTAGAGCCTTCTCAGCAGAGCGCGAGGTCGCCACAATCTCATAACACCATGAATTCGCCTTCGCCCGCACCGGTTCCTTCGCACGTAGGGTACGGTCCCACACCGATACCTCAACAGACCCATCTTCTGCCGTACTACGACCCTCGTTCGCCGCATGCTGTTCAGGAGGCGACTAGGCGGGCCCGCCGGCGCTTTATAGAAGCGTTCCTTTGCGCGATAGGGATATTGGCCTTGATCAGCCTCCTGACGGGGGTCGAGGCACATATGAATTTGCATGCAGTGAGGATAGGCGGCTGGGTGAGGGGTGCACTGGGAGAGTGTCGAGACTGCGCACAGTGGTGATCGCTTGTAGGCAGCTTGCCCATGGCGTGGTGAGTTGTGCATCGACCTCCTTTGCATGCGGAGAACATCACGCTGATGTACTGATGTACATCGTGCAGACGCCATTAATCATGAATCTGATTGATCTCTGATGCATATATACTGCTATGGCATCGCAGCATATTATTTTCTTTCATCCTTCTCTTGTGATTGTATTGGATGCATACAGTACGCTTGACGTCGCTTACCCAGGTTCATACGATATGGTCTTTACGATACCTGACGAACGCTGTATTATGGAAATTAGGATACCGCGGTTTTAATGTTTCAATGAGCGGTCTTCTGAATGCGACAAGCCGAGTCGACTCGGCCTGGCACAGGACCTATGCGCGGTCGGCTAGGTTGGGGATTTTGAATATCACTGTGAAGAGTGTCTGGTTCGCGTGGGCTCACGCTGCTTGGCTCGTGCCCGTGCTCTTCTTCTTCACTCCTCCAGCGCGCTGCTCTCTTTCTCTTTCTGCACTCATCGCCTTGCGCTGTCTTGCTCGTCTATTGTTGTCTCCTCCCGCTCTGGCATCTGCTGCGCTGCCTGGATCTATTATTCTCTCTATTCGAATGGACCATCCTCGCAAGAATGCGCGCTTCGGACGGACTCAGCTGCTGATCGGGACCACAATCGGTGGTGAAAGGGCCCACACATCGCTATGAGCGGTCTCACCTGCCTCCCCGCCGGCGACAATGACGAGGGCGGGCGCACAGGCCCAAGGGGAAGTGGCGGTGGCGCGCCGCAAAGGGGCCGGAGCACGTGGATTTGAATAAGGTTAGGTTTGTGCCTTTGCTTCCATATTTGGCGGGGTTGGTCCGTGCGTGGGAACGGGAGCGTCGTTTGCAGGGTAGCATTACACTCCGGGCGCACGCCGGCCGTCCGCCTTCTGACCCACATCCTCGATCATCCTCCTCGTCGCCAGCCACAGCGAGCGAGCCCCCGCTCTCGTTGTCAAACACCTTTTTCTCGCTGCCGCTGCTGTCGCCTGCATCTCCTCGCTGCTCCACGCGCTTTGACCCGCAGCGCGCACGTATATATATTCCGCAACCCCGTGTCCCACGCGTCGCGCAGCTCGTCCCCATCCAGCACGCCGACCCCTGCCTACCCTACTGCTGCCTACTGTTCTAGTCTTCCTCTATCTGTATTTATATCGACAGCTGCACGTGTCTCAACTACTCTGCTCTGCTTGTCGCCGCCCTGGCTGTTGATGTTCTGAACCTGTCTTCGTCTCGTTTTACCCTGTTGCCGACCCCTATATCACACCCGCATACCAAGAGTACCATAGTGTTGTCCCATTTGCCCAGCCTGGCTTCTTCTCTCGCAGCACACCGCCCGTCCATTCTTGCTTCTGCCACCCTGGCTTCCCACCCGTCGGGCGAGGAGTTCATCAATCGCTCTCTGCTCGACAGCGTCGACGCCCAAGCAGACGCTGAGCCCATATCCTCTCTGTCGGATTTGGAGGCCTCCGGAAATACTGTCAACGCGTTCGGGTCGCTGTCCATCGCATCTTCCATGTCCATAGGCTCCCCATCAGCTCCATACCACATTTCCATGCAGACCCAAGCGCAGCTTCCCCGTCCTGGTTCACCCAGTAACAATAACGCCATTCCGGACCATCTCAAGTCCGCGCAGTCTGCCGATCCGTACGGTACGGGCCCGCAAAACACGAATACCAATTCAATGTATAACAGTATGAACAACATTCATCTCGCGGGCGACTATGCCCCCTTATCGTCGACGGAGCCCGATGCTCTTAATCTCCAGTCCAAGATCAACGGTTTTGGTGCGACGACCCCATACAGGTCATCCTTCAACCCGTTCCCTCCCCGTTCTCGTCACAACACCGTTCCCTTTGGTGACACTTCTGGGAGCTTCAACAACGCCACATACCAGACGCAGTCCCAGTCGACAGATCTATACGGCATTCAAAACCTCCAGAGTCCGCCCCCCTCTTCATATGCATTCGACTCCATGCACCACCCCGGGCGTGCACACGACTATACCCCCGTGAGACCTCAGGGCAGTGCAGGGTTGAACGGCGGTGTGCTTACGCAAGGCAAGCAGCAATCATTTTCTGTCGAACCATTCCGCTCGGCCGGGATGGAATCCACTCTAGCACAATCACAGCAAATCAACGTGCAGGGTTCCCTGTCGAGCGCTCTCCCGATCCACCAGCCCGGTGTCCAGCAGGTCTTCCAAGGTCCCTTCGCAAACGGGATGTCGCACGGACTTGCTCATCCACACCATGGAGCTCTTGCGTCGCACGCGCAGTTCGGACCCACTTTACCCACGAATGGCCCTGGGCCTGGGGCCGTCGGTGGGCCGGGAAATTCGCTGACGGGCGCTTCTGGTATGGGCCATGTGAACGGGAGCACGGCGAATCAGCAGCAGGAAGAGATCTCCACTATCTTTGTGGTCGGGTTCCCGGAAGATATGCAGGTGCGTGCCTTCCTTCCATCGGAGAGCTCTACCTCCGAGGCCATCTGAGATCATGCTAATATGTTTCATCATATTTGCAGGAGCGGGAATTCCAGAATATGTTCACCTTTTCGTCCGGATTTGAGGCTGCGACGCTCAAAATACCCAACAAGGAGTATACAGCGTACGGCGGAGCAGGAGCGACAGGCCCTGGTTCGCGCATGCAGTATCCTGGCGCGAACGATCCGTACAACCTGGTGACCGTGAATCAAGGTGGTGTCGTCGTGGATGGTGGGCGAGACGGCTTGACGACTTCCTGGCCGGCGCCGGCGCCCGTGCAGAATGATGACGGTCATTTCGTTCCGTCTAACGTACAGCCTCCCCGAAAGCAGATCATAGGATTCGCGAAGTTCCGCACGCGGCAAGAAGCTCTGGAGGCACGTGACATTCTTCAGGGCCGCCGTGTTGATGTCGAGCGCGGTGCTGTACTCAAAGCAGAAATGGCGAAGAAGAACTTGCACACAAAGCGTGGACCCGGAGTGCCTCCTAGTGGCCCATCTAATGCGAGCGCACCATCGGGTGGTGTCCCTGAAAATGTTGGGGGTTACCCCGGCTTGACAAGTTTGGCCGGATTGAGCGCGGGCACCCTTGCTGCAGGATCCGGTGAAGCGCTTGCTCTGAGAGAGAGGGAGCTTGGTGGTGCTTTGGGCGCCATGGGAATAGTTGGTCTTGGTTCTCGGAGGGAAGCGGAAGACGATCGACGTCGCGAGCTTGCGGCTGTCATGCCCGGCATGAGCCTCAGTTCGCTGCCCACGCGCGGTGCCCGCGAACGTGCGGAAGAAGAGAGCGAGCGCGAGCGAAAGCGTAAGGAAAAGGAGGCGGCACGCATGCGACAGAACTCGTTTGCGTTCGAGGCGTTCCATTCTGTTCCTCAGCAGATGGTTCGGCAGGGCGCAAACTCGCTGCTGTCGGCTGAGAGCGGGGCCCTTCCAGGAAGCTCGATCACTCTTCCATCGTCGCCTCCGATGCAGAGTATCGCATCCCAGATTGAGGGCGCCAACAACGCGGGAAACAGTCCGTGGGGTAACTTCCGCGACATTGGGTCCAATGCTACCCTTCGGAAGATGTCGTTATCCATGCTCTCATCTAACCTGTCGCTTCGCCCAACCTCCCCACCACAGCTCTCTCCTCCGGGTGCTTACGACGGGAATACGTCTGCACCGCTATCGGCGACGTCGCCAAGTGGGAGCATAATGCAGAGCATTCACAGCGCTCCCTTCTCGCCGCAGTCGAACTCGTCGTCCCTCCCTAGTCACCCGTCGCTACCCTCCCGTCCGCGACCATTCTCGCCGAGCGGTGAGCATCAATTGGAACAGAGCGTTATCTCTCAGTCGGAAGCAGTTGCGTCGTCGATCCCTGCGTCCAGTTCGTCGAGTGTGAGTGGGTCCCAGAGCGGGCACGAAGAGGAGCTGTCGCGATCCGTCGTGGCGCTGGCCTTGAATACCGAAGCCGGTGCAACTTCGCCACAGTTGCCTTCTCCGGCGTCGGGTGCTAGCTCTGGGACCGGTAGGAATCCTGGTGACCAGAATCCACCGGTATGTCATGCGTGATCGTTGTGATCGACGGGTTACTGATGGGATCGTGTAGATCAACACGCTGTACGTAGGCAATTTACCGACATCTCCGGCGCCTGGCGGACTTCCCCTCAGCTTTTTGGAAGATAGATTGCGGGATTTGTTCTCCAAACGGCCAGGGTATCGCAAGCTGTGCTTCAGGCAGAAGAGCAACGGGCCGATGTGTTTCGTCGAGGCAAGTCGCTATCATTATCTTGTGATGGTTTGTTGACTCATTCCTACCGTAGTTTGAGGATGTGAATTACGCCACCAAGGCACTTCAGGAACTGTATGGCAATACGCTCAACGGCCTGGTGAAAGGTGGCGGTATTCGTTTGTCTTATAGCAAGAATCCTTTGGGTGTGCGCACACCGACGGGCGGCGCGAACAGCGGGTCTAGCTTACAACACCAGCAAGGCATTACCATCGCTCAATCTATCGGTGATGCGTTTGCTTCCCGCCGTGACAACTCGGGCATGACATCGCCTACTTCATATCATTATTCTATGTCTCCTCCTCCGCCTCGATTTATCTCGCCGCCGCCGCCTCCGGCGTTCCCTAGAAGCAGCCCACAAGGTTTCGGCGCTGCGGCGGGCACTAGCAGCTCATTCTCCCCTTTCGGCATCTCTCCATCACATTCGACGATACCCGACCAGCCCAGCGCTGATGTCAACAACGATCCCCTCTCACACAGTATGACCTCAACCCCACCCAACATAGAGGCCAGCCGCGCAGGTTGATGGCCGTAAGTCTCATTCTGCATGTAAACGACATATGAACATCGCCCTCCATCTCTCCACTGCACATTTAGTCTGGTTATAGTTCCCGTTGATCCTTTCGGACGATCTTCCGTAAAGCTTCGCAATATCCTCGCAGCAACAGTCTTCGCATACACTGGGTTTCGACAATTAACTTTCGTACGAAACTACTTCCTAATGTCTCGTTCGTTGGCTCTTCTGCTGTGGCACTGTCTGTCTTCTTACGTTAGCATTTATTCTTTGTCTCCCGTCGCTTGCATTAGTTGCACATATGCTGTTTGGCTAGTCTCAATGAGAGTACATCACGCTGATCCTACTTTCCTACATATGTATAGTACTAAGTATTTGCCAAAGAGCATGCTGCCACCGCTGGACCCTATATGCTTGATGCGCATAAGTATGGGAAAGGATGAATGTGTTGCATGCCCCCGGAGAGCAATTTTGCATATCTTCAGTGAAGTAATACCTTCGGGCAGCATTCGGCCAATGCCACAAGGCCGATTTCCTCGCAACTCCATTTGTCATGTCGATGGACCACTGAATGCGTGTTCACCTGCAGCCCATCATGTTCGGGGATGTTCTCTGGGCGTGTTGTCCTCCCTCTCCTGCTCCTGGCAGTACTGATTACCGTATTTCTTCCTTTCACACGTCCGAACCAAAAGCGGACCGAGCCAACTGCAGGATCACAGCTGGGCGTAACAGGCACTTCCACATCACTTTGGACACCTTCCTCAACAGATACTAGCCCTGCGAATACGTCGCTTTCATCGCTTCAGATGGCGGGTCTACAACCGTTGAAGCTGATGAGCATCGCGCCGCGTCGTAAGCATACCGCGACGGTGATCATGATCCATGTTCGTCCCACCACATATGAATCGGTGTGGCGCAGACTCAGACTTGTCTGATCTTTGCGTTTCAGGGTGTGGGCGAGTCCGGTGCCTCATGGAAACCCAACATGGAGAGACTCGCTGCAGACTCTGGGCTGAGCCATGTGAAGTGGGTTCTACCGTCAGCGTCAGTATCCCTCGCACGCATACCGTCGAATCAGTTAGAATATGCTGACCATGAGATGAACAGTATCCTCACAGGGTCGGAGGCCGTCGATGCCCCATGGCCTGCATGGTGAGCCACATCAGCCCTTTGTCTCTCCTCATTTCAGGCTGGATGATTATGTTCATCCGATAGGTTCGACGTATTCAAATACCCCGAGGACGAAGCGGGTATCCTTGCCGCCGCTCGTGAGATCAACCAACTGATCTCTGCCGAAGTCGACGCGGGCATTCCTTCAAGCCGGATTGTCCTTGGAGGTTTTAGCCAAGGCGGCGCGATGAGCATCACGACGGGACTCACCTCCGAGCGAAAGCTCGCTGGGGTGTTCGTGCTGAGCGGGTGGCTCCCGCTGACGAACAAATTCAAGATGGTGTGTGCGATTTGCACTCTTGAGTATGAGGACGCTGACGTGCTTCGGTGTAGATGGCATCGGACCATGTCAAGTCCATTCCTATATTCTGGGGGCACGGCAAGCAGGACCCGGTCATCTCGTATCAGTTCGGTCTGCGTTCGGTGGATGCGCTGCAAAACAGGGTGGGCGTCCCGCTTGCGTCTCAAGACGCCCCGCAGAAAGGAGGAATATCGTTCCACGCGTACGACGATCTGGACCATGCGGCGAGCAACAAAGAGTTGCGAGATCTGTCTGATTGGTTGAAGATCGTGTTGCCTGCAGCGTAAAGAAACATTATAGAGTACACAGTGTCTTACTGATGTATGAGCGCATGAAATTTCGGCGCATTTGGATACCCATGAGTTGTACTACTGTAGAGAACCATCTGCAAATATAAAGCGCCGTTCGACAGTGGTCCCATCACGGTATTCTCTTGTGAAGCATTGAGAGACTGACAGCAGCAATTATGTTGGTGTCTCAGATGTGTAAAACATTCAGCGATGCAGTTGACAGAGAGCTACGGCGAATAGCTAGACACTAGAGGCATGCCGGCGTTGAGTAGCCTCATGGTGCAGCAAGAGGTACCTGGAGCAATTGGTCAAGCCTTGAATTTAGGCTCAATCATGGTTCAAGATATCAAGCGAAGAGTGTCAGGAACATGAAACAGATGGCTTGAGCTGTGGCTGGCCAGGGGCATCTGAATGCCATGCCCCTTCAATGGGGTAATGCAAATATGAGCCGCTTAATGGCAGATTCCAGTATAAGAAATCCGAAGTGCAAGGTATACAGAGCTAGTACGGTTACAATTCCTACCAAAAGCATGTAAGAGATCCACATATTCAGTTCTTCCTCAAACGCGTCGACCGTCGCACGAGTGCCTCATCTGGCTTCGTGTCTCCATCATCCACTTTGCGCTTATGACTCCGGCTTGTCACTTTCTTTTTTGTGGTCGCCACCTCGTCTGACACGTCCTGCGTTGCAGGCGGTCCGCCTTCTGCAGTCACACTAGGCTCATCATCTTTCGTCTCGTCCTTCGTAGCCTTGCCAGGGCCCTTGCGTTTCTTCGACGCCGCACCATTTGAAGCACTCTTCTTCTTCCCTTTTGCCTTTGGAGCGCTCACACCGGCCTCTTCCCAACCACCCTTTTCGGCTAAGTCTTCAAGGACTCCCCAGGTCTTCTCTTCCACCCTTTGTACGCTGAGTCTGCCGCGCGTGACTAGCACCATCTCTACGGGGAGAATCGGCCTCAACGTACTGTTAGAAAGTCTCAAACAATACGCTAGACACACCTTTGATGGCTTTAACACCATCTGACCCTATATATTCCACTCCGCTTGGAGGTGCGTCTGGTGGAGCGGCCGCTATATTCCGCAGCAAAGACAGCGGAACGAAGTGGGCCGCGCGAGAGACGAAGGTAACGTCGACCATGTACCATTTTGGATCTGCCTTATCTGTTTTCTGAAATGAAGGCGGTCAAGGCATGTCACGATTTGTGCGAAGCCCTACATACAGCGTCATAGTACGGATGTGTTCTGTGTGACAGTCAGGGTCGTCGGCAATCACTGCTTGTTAACAATCGATCAGGGTACGCACGGATCCCATGCAGTGTCTACACACAATCCTGGAACGATCAATAAAGAGCAACGTGTCACCAGCATTATACATCGACTTACAATCAGGATAGGCCTCTTTAGTGACCTGCGTAGGGGAAAAGTTCAACTTTCGCGTTTCGCTAAACGGCGACATGCGCCATTCACCATTGCAAAAGCCGCGATGCCTGAGATCATACAATCTCAGCAACCGTATGCACACAACGGATCATTGCAGAATCCTACCTGGATTCTTGCAATTGGAATGATAGAAGAGCACCTATATGCTAATGAGTCCGCGATGCATCAGATATGGTCGGTGCGACGCACCCTGTCGCCGGCCTTCATCTCCTTCATGAGATTCCGGGCTTCTGCATTTCGCACTCCCTCCCATGGCGTCGTCTTGACTGATTCAAAGTCATCCACGCTGAACTTGACGTCCTTGCCCTTGACAATGCGAGAGTCCGGCTCTGCCTTCATCAGCCAGAATTTCGCTGACATTGCTGGAGTCGAGAAAAGTATTCGCGTGTCCGACGTATATATAGCACTGAATATCGGACACAGGCGAGAAAGGCGAGGCAAACGCGTGTGGCCTGCAACGCCGGCGCGTGACGAGCGCGGAGTGGTTGCAAACACCGGAAAACACGCTTGTCGCCAACGCTGACCACGCCGCCTCGCCTCGTTGCATTTTCCATTATTTCCCGCACACCCTACTCCTTCCGCGACGGCGCATCTCCACTGTCATGAGCAGCATTCATGCTGCGCCCGGATCTGCTACTGAAACGGAAATCGTAGTGACGCCCGGTCCGGGACAACCACCCCAGCAACAACAACAGCGAGATCAGCAGCAAGGACGCCCTATCGCCGTTCAAGGTGAAAATATTCCCGATGTCACGCATCCACCGTCGATGCCTGCAGAGACCGTGCGACGCGTCAATGGTGCAGAGAGGATAATTCTAGGAGATGGAATGGACGCAAGCGCCACACTTGCAGCGGACACCAGGGAAGAGACCGACGGCTCCGCGACGTCCGAGCAGGCCCAGGAGCAGGCTGCTGTCATGTATGGTGAGGAAGCGGGTGGCTGGATGGAGGAGGAAAGCCAGGACCTTAAGCGCGTCAAGGTGTACGAGCTCATCGGCTCGCGCTGGGTCGACCAAGGCACCGCGTTCTGCTACGGTGATCTTCAAGAGACTGAAGCATTCTTGGTTGCGCGCTCTGAGACAAATCAGGACCAGATTATCCTCCAGACCGCTATTCGAGCGCACGACGTCTATCAGCGGCAGCAGGGTGAGTGATAAGCGTTTGATTTATGGGTACGTCGGTGCGGTTGCTGAGCAGCTATCCCATCAGATACCCTCATTGTATGGACCGAGCCTGACGGAGTCGACTATTCGCTCAGTTTTCAAGATCCGGATGGATGCGCGGAGGTGTGGCATTTTATCCAGGAGGTCCAGCGACATTTGACCATACGAGGTTGGGACAACGGCTTTGTATGAACGACACAGTACTAATATGTGATGCATGCACAGAGGAGGCAGGAATGTCTTCCTCTCCATTGATAGGTCCAGAACAGTTTATCGCAACAGCTAGCATCTTTCGTTCGGGGCATCTACCTCAACCGCAGCTAGGCATCATAGGTGATATCGAGAGAGCCATCAAATCTCTGGCGCGGACAAATGCGATCAAGGAGCGCATTGTGGAGTACATCCAAACAGAAGTAAGTGATAATTGGTGCAGGCGCAATTTATCGCGCAGACCCAACTTTCACCACTGCGATGAATAGGACTACATCAAAGGCCTGATCGACGTGATGCATCAAGCGGAGGACCTGGAGAATATTGAGAATTTGCATGCACTGTGCTCCTGCATGCAGACCATTTGTGAGTTGCAATATATTGTGAGACAAGAGTAGTCTCTGATTCCGGATTTTAGTAGTCATGCTGAACGATCATAGCCTCTATGAATACATCCTCGAAGACGACATTTTCTTCGGCGTCATCGGCATGCTCGAATGTCCGTCACGCTGATCTGACTATATGCATGCAAACTGTCTGACATACCTGCACTCAGACGACCCCGAGTTCCCCACGCACAAGGCGAACTACCGAGAGTTCCTGTCCCAGACGGCGCACTTTCACCAACCCATCCCGCTCCACGACGAGGCGGTCCAGAGGAAGGTGCACCACACGTATCGTCTTCAGTTCCTGAAAGATGTCGTACTTGCGCGTGCGATTGACGACTCGACGTTCAACGTGCTCAATTCATCGATACTTTTCAATCAAATCGACATCATCAATTATGTGCAGAACGATGCCGCCTTCTTCAAAGACATCATGAGCGCATTCAGCGGGGTGACTAATATTGCCGGCCTGAATGTCGGTTCGCAAGATATACCGCAGGGTGTAGAGAAGATGGATGTAGATCAATCAGAGGCAAAGACAAACGGCATTGCTCAGCCGAATGGGACGAGTTCACCGAAATCGTCGGACGAAGAGATGACGCGTCGTCGAGAGATCATCTCTCTTATCCAACAGCTCTGCATCATGGGCAAAAACATTCAACTGCCAGCACGCATCCACCTTTTCCGCACTCTCGTGGATCGCGGAATCTTGTTGCTCGTTCAATGGGCCTTGATACAGCCGGAGACTGATGAAGAAGGACGCCAGATGATTGCTGCTGCTGGAGAGATACTAACCACACTCGTGGACCACGATGTGTTCGGTATCCGCAAGCACATCACGGTCGATCAGCTCGGGGAGATCAATCTTGCGAAAGAGAAGGGTCAGAAGATCGGCGAGAAGGACACGCTTCTGGATGCCATGTGCAAAGTATTGGTGAAGAGTCGAGATCTGGCCGTGCAAAGCCAAGTTGGTGAGTTGCTAAAGGGCACCCTAGAGGTGGCAAATGACGTTCCAGAGCAGCACGTGAGTACACGGTCCGTTTGGCGGAACTGGGCTGTTAATATCGTCGATTACAGCCGCCGGGGATGCAGCCGGGGATCAAGATGCTCCAGCGTCAGAAGGATATCGAGGTTCACGAGAAGTTTTTAGAATACTTCTATGAGCAGTGTCTCGGTACTATCATGCGGCCGTTCGGAGACGTTCCCGAGTTTAAGGCGTTGACCGGTAAGTCGCATCGGGATCTCACTGCGCAGATCGCTCATTGTGCGTTTCAGATGATTCGCTCACCATGTCTCGGGAACGAGCGAATTTATACCTGATCTTGTGCGACTTGCTGTCCAACTTCACGCTTCAGCATTCGTTCCGGAGCCATTATTATTTACTCTCGTCCAATGTGGCCCCTCGCGTTGCATCGCTACTTAGTGCAAGGGACAAGCACCTACGGCTTGGTGAGTTTCCGGTGTCTAATGATCATACACGTGGCACTTATAGCCGACGGGTAATTCATTCAGCCGCGTTCCGTCTCTTCCGGGCATGCTTGAAGCTCAATAATAATAACATCTTCAAACATCTTATTAAGCATGACATCTTCCGGTCTATTCTTGACTTGACTCTTCGCGAGTCTCGTCGAGACAATCTGCTTAGTGCTTCCTGTCAGGAGTTCTTCGAGTATATGCGCAAGGTCGGATGCATGTTGAGCGAGGATCGCGTAAGCTGGTCGCTAATAATGACCAATGTTTTGCAGGAGAACGTGAAGGATGTCATCACGCACTGTATGGAACACTACGAGTCGAAGATACGAGAGTTGGCAGCAACGCCGTTCGGAGGTCCTCGATTCCAGAATCTCATCCATCGACATGAGATGAACATGGCTCCGCCGCCACCGGAGAATGTAGAGAAGTAAGTTCAGCCCCTACTTGATTTACTACGAGCGAAGGCATGACATCATTTTCCAGGCCAGCGCCGAACACGACGCGGCGCTGGGGGCAAGGCAGCCTGCTCTCAGCAGAGGAGGAGGATTACTTCAATGCGGATGACGACGATGAGGCAGACCTCCTACCCGTGCACAGTTCTCCACCCAGAGGCAACTCCCTCAAGCGGAAACGTTACCGTGGCCCGAACCTGTCTGCGCGTGGTCCTCGATCTGCACCATTACAACCCCTCAGTGCGCTTGTTGCGTATGATGACAGCGACGATCTTGGCGGTTTTGGTGAGGGTGACACTGCGGCTCCGTTGTCTCCATCGATACCGCGTCGTCCTGCGGCTATCCCGAGCGGATATTTTCCGACATCAGAGCGTATCCCTGCCAGCCCTCGGATCACTCACAAGCAAATCACGCCGAAGGCAGTGACTTCACCGCCCGCGGATGAAGACGACCTATTGGAACAGCTCTTCAGTTCTGGCCCACTATCTCCATCTCTGTCAGTTGATAAGCCGCCGGAGCTCGGCGTCAAGAGGCGTCGGGAAGAAGATGACGACGAGCTGCTCCAGCGACTCGCAAGCAAGGGAAAGCGACCAAGCGTGGGATCGAATTCGGAAAAGGAGGATTCGAATTCGCCGGCGAGTAAGGTGCGGGCTGCGAAGACGTCAGAAGGGGTTCAGAAGAAGTTCAAGCTAAAGCTCGGAGCGGTAGGCGCGGCTGTGGCATCAGCTACAGCTCCCGCTGCTCCTTCAAGTCCTGGCAAGAAGGAAGGGGACAATGGCTAGATACCATTCAGTTGTGACGTATTATTGTGCTTTCTCGCTCTTGCAATGGAGTGTATCTTTAGGAGTTCTTCGACTGAGACAATTGGGGTCTACATGATATTAAGAAAGGGACAATACAGTTACAGCCGCTGAGCCGGCTTGCTTAGTGGTATATATTGCACAGATGGTACATTCGCATACTCATAGTCCAAGCATGGTTCCGTTACCGCCCAGATTTATTGTACTTATCTGCGTCATGCATCCGGCATCACCTTCTTGAGCCACTCCTTCAGATCGTGCAGCTCTTCGTTGCTCGTCGAGTGTGGGAGATCTTCATACGAGCGAAAGGTGATTCCGCCCTTCTGCGGCTCGTCTGGCTCCGCGGTCTTGATCTTCAACTCAGTTTTGAGGAACTCTACTGAACGCGTCCCCATGTCAAACTCGACCAGCGGGTCATCCTCGCCGTGGCCCCAGAAGATTGGAGTGTTGATATTGTTCGGGGTTGCCATCTGAGCGTGCGTAAGACAGTGATCAGACCTTAGTCCTAGGACGAAGTATATAGGCAGCACGTACGGCTTTGATCTTTCGTGTCAACGGCAACCATCCGCTCAGCACCGCGATGGCGCCGAGAGTCCGCTCCGAAGTGAGTGCAGTGAGGATGCTCATAGCTCCTCCCTGACTGAACCCGCCGAGCACGATGCGGTTGGCCGTAATCCCTGCGTCGACTTCAGCCGATATGAGTTGGTTGATGGAGGCCACGGAGCGCAGCATCCCGGCCTCGTCCTCCTGTGCCCTCCACTCGAAGTTCAGGACGTCAAACCTGTTGAATGCATAAGCGAAGGACGTCCTGCGGACACGACTGACGACTTACCATGAGGGCATTTCCATTCCCATGTTGGCTGTGACTTTCATCGTGGGCCTATGTGCAGTTAAGCAACATATAGTAGCAGGGCAATGCAAACAACACACGGACCGATGCTACTCACGCATGAGGGAGGACCCATTTAATGTGGCCAAGCATGGAGTCTGTGCGAAAGAGATCTGCAACAGGTTTCCACCCATGCCCTGAATCGCCCAAGCCCTAATGAAAACGAACATGTTATGCCGGTCAATGTGCGGAACCCATCATGCTAGGAGTCTATCGGGACCGACATGGATGAATATCACGGTGGCTGTGTGTTTCGTCCGAGGATTGACGGTGAGGAACTTGAGAGGCTGCACTGTCGCCATATTCAGAGAAGACGGTGGGCGTCGGACGATAATGAGAAAGAAATACAAGAGGAAGATAGGGAGGACAGTGAGGATGACTTTGCGCAAGGGACAACCCACAGTCTGGGTTTCCATGTGCATGCGGTCACTCGCCACCGCGGCCCTCCCGCTCCTTCCGCCCCGACTCCACGAAACAGTTCTGCCTATGCAATGAGCTCTCATGACGTTGACGTGAAAACTACGGTGGACACGCCGCAGGCGACCGTGCCCGAAAACACGGCGAATGTCAGCCAGCCGCTATCGAAGAACGCGCAGAAGAGACTGGCGAAGGCTGCCCGGACAGCGGAGCTGAAGAAAGAGCGGCGCGCGGCCGAGAAGGAGAGAAAGAAAGAGAAGAAGCGCGTCCAGGCGGAGAAACGGGCTGCTGGGGAGCTCGAGGGCAAGGACGATGAGCAGGCCCTCTCGAGGAAGAAGAGGCGGATGGGCGAGGGTCCGCGCACGCCTTTCGGAGCGACGGTCGTCGTCGACCTCGGGTTCGACAGCATGATGACGGACAATGTGAGTCGTGTAGCGGATGGGCGTTGCGCCCCTCAAGCTCATAATGCAGCGTGTAGGAGGTCAAATCGCTTACGTCGCAGCTCGCGTACACTTACAGTGCGAACAGGAAGGCGGAGCGGCCGTTCGCGCATCTGCTATTCACGTCGCTCAATGGACGCACCTTGACGCGTCTGGAGAGCTTGAACAATGCCGCATATAAGCGGTGGGTAGACGCAGAATGGTGGGAGGATGGTTACGAGAAGCTATGGGAGGGTGCGAAGGAGGGCAAACATGAAGACGAGACTGTCCCGCCCATGGACAATACAGATGCCCCCGACAATGTTGGGGATGCAGAGCGGCAGGAGGAGCGCAAAGGAAATGGCAAAAGGCGGAGAAAGCAGCCTGTGTCGGCACCGAGGGAAAGTGTGGTCTATCTCACTGCAGACTCCTCCGAGGAACTCACAGAACTGAAAGAGGACGAAACGTACATCATAGGTGGCATATGTGATCACAATAGGTACAAGGTACGCATTGTTCCTTCGTCCTACCTTTCGCCCCTCGTCTCGCTTCCGACCGCTCACGTTCCCCAGAACCTCTGCCTGAACAAATCCCGCGATACACATATTCGCTCCGCACGCCTGCCCATCGGAACGTACCTTGCAGAGCTCAAGACTCGCAAGGTGCTGACAGTGAACCAGACCTTCGAGATTCTGCTCAAGTGGGTCGAGACACGCGACTGGGAGCAGGCGCTCTGGGCGGTGATCCCGAAGCGCAAGTTCCACGAGGCGCGCAAGCGGGGGAAAGGAGGGACAGATAAGAGCGGGGATGCAAGCGAGGGAGATGACGATGGGGCTGAAGGCGAAGAGGAGGTCAAGGAGATTACCATTGATGCACACGCTTTGGAGGAGGCGGGTGAGCAAGGAGAAGCGGACGAGGCGAAAGCTGCTGTTGAGGCACGGATGAACGAAGGTACGACGCAGGAGGAGCAAGAAGCAGACCAATAGCCGAGTTTGAACGACGGTGTGCAAAGGGCGTGTACGACCGTGAGTCGCATCATAAAACCTCTTTGAGGCTTTTCTTTGCGGAGCCTCGTTCGAGGGGCTGAGGTTGTTCCGGGGAGGGCTTCCAACCGATCTAGGAAGAGCGTCTCGCGTGAATGAGTGGATATCCATGGGCGGCTGGACCACACTCGCCAGATAGATAATTTGGAACGTCGCTGGCACCGTCCCGTCTTCAAGTCCGTGAAGCTCTAGAAGAGCCCTTAACAGGAGCAAGAAAAATGGACCAGAATGGGATACCTTTATAGATGGCGGATGCGGCTGCAAGAGTATCGCGATGTATATAGTTCCGCCTGGGGTGGGATGTCAGTACGTAATGAGTGCCGAGAAAAAGGTAACTTCACCGTCCGATCACAGCATTGCTCTCTCCCATATCACGCAAGTCCTGCATAAGCTCCCACATGGATGGGTAGGCTACCTTCACTTCATCCACGTCGACGGTCAACAGCGTGAAACCTGCGCGTCCGAGGAGGTTGGACATGTCTCGAGAGTCTGAGAGATGTGAGCATTCAGCCACTCGTCGGTCGCATTCAAGGACACACCGGTCATTGGGGAGATGTGAGGAGAGATGCCTCCTTCGCGCTCGACCTCGGCGAGCTGGAGAGCGGTGCTACATGAATCATTAATGGAAAGGCTGTCACGATCGGATGATCACGTACCGAAGCTCAAATAAAGTGTCTCCTCCGAATAAAGCTCCCAAGAACACGCCGTCAGGCTGGAGTGCCTCTCTGATTTGAACGAGGACACCTATAAATGATCTGAGGCTCAGCTGAATGTATAGTATGTGAGAAGTGAAGGGACGAACCAGGAAGGTCGTTGACCCAGTGCAGACTGAGGCAGGATACTATAGCTTCTTGCGAGTTCGGTGGGACCACTCTGAGCAGATTTTCCTCATCGGCGTGTATCCGCTCTACCTGAACTATTAAATATATTAGCCATTAGAAGAGAGACAAGAAATCCCTAGCTTTGTCTGCACCTTCAAATTCCGAGTCGGGATCGCGGTGAAGCAGCTTCTCTACAATTATGGTCAGATGGGAGGACGACCCCATGATCCGAAGGGTGTAGTACCACTCGAGTCCAGCATCACCACCTTCTCTGTCGTTTCTGGATCTAACAACTTGGAAAAATGACCAGGGCCGGAGCCTACGTCGAGAATGGTCTTGAACTTCCTCTTGATGTCCTGAGATGCGCCGTTCAGCCCTGACAGACCAGACTCCATGATCACAATGCACTGGACTGACCATCAGACGCTCAATCATTCGGTCTGCAACCTCATCGCGCACGTAGTCGACGGTCCTGCTTCTCTCGCCTCCGTCCCGCATCGCCGAGCGGTCTTTCTGGAGGCGCTTTGCATTCCGGTCGAACACTTGGTATGGGTTTGGATTGATGGACGGGGAGACATGCGAGGCCAAGGTTCGCGCTCGAGGAGAGGCAAGGCGCATCCAGCGCAGACAAGACGCTGCTCTCGACATTTCACGTTACTGAAGTGAGGGAGAGCAGTCCCGAAAGCTCAGCCACCGACGCGTCGAGCATGCAATGACTAAGCGGCCTATTAAGGCAACCTTCCTCCGCTCGATCTCATCACACAGCCGCCAGTCGCTTACTCGAAACGCTCTTTTCCTCCTCGCCGCCATGAACAATGGCCAGGCAAACAACGATAACAACACCGTGAACCCTCAGGACCTTACGCTTTTGCAGACAGCCGTCGTGACACCTACGCAGTATGCGCAATCCATGGCTCAGCTCCGGCAGTACAGAGAAGGCATCGAAGCGGCGCAACGCCAACTCGACACTGGGCTGCACAGGTACATGGCGGTGCATGAGGAGCTTCAGAGGCGGGCGGAGGCTGGTCGTGAAGCAGAGTGAGTGTACCGTGTCGTGGCTGTTGCGCGTCAGCTTACCTCTATACACTTTAGACGAGTGCTCGCGCAGCTCCATGGTGCAACAACGGCGGTTATTCAGTAAGCTCTCACATGGTTGGTTTTCTCTGATCGTGATTTACGTGGGGCCGTTCTTGTAGATCTGTCGCTCCGGCTCAGCCAACGCCCTCATCCTCGTCGGCTACAATGCCTCAGACAACACCTACCACTGCTCCGCCTGTGAATGCCGCGCCATCACCTTATTATCGCCCGGGATTGTATGAAAGGGCTCAATCTGTATGTACATCACCGTTTATATTAGGTGCCACTCTGACATATCGAAATAGACCAGGACTGACAATGTTCACCCGACCGCTCTCAATCCCTTGCTGCAACCGCAACATCGACCTTACTTACAATATCAAAATCCGTCGCCCTTCACGCAAACACCGAACCCATCTACTCAACAAATGTACTATTCCAGCCAGTACTCTCAGCCTATTGCATGGGCAGCGGATGCTATGACTCAAACTCAGGTAGTCTGCGTGAGAATACCGCTGCGTTACACCACTAATATCTATTTAAGCGCCCCGTGAGCACCCAAGCTCCCGTAAGCTCGCTATTCGGGGCCGTTCCTTCATCTTCACATGTTCAGCGCCATCACCAGGCTGTCCAGCCGCCTTCAACAGGCCAACAGGCGGCAGCACCCGCAGGTCATGGTAATATTCAGCAGCAGCCAATTCACCGCGAATCTTCTTCTTTACATGGCGCCCTCGGTACAACTGCAAGCGGTGCTGATACAGTCATTCATGCAAAGACGACGTACGCCTCTCGACATAAGGCAGAGACGCCAGCTGCAGCACCGACAGTGAATCCTCGAGATTCATACATGACTGTTATCAATCTACTGCAGGTATGTTACCTCCTTGTTCTGGTTGTTTCATACTGATTTTCGACGCAGAATCTAAGGCCAATGATCGTGGATCACGTCATGTTTGGAGTATTAGACGAGCTCAAGGAAAAGATGAAGAATAAATTCGCTCCCGAGATGATCGAACGCGCTGCTGCTTACCACGCGAGGATCGCGCAAGCATATCCGCCGCAGGATCAAGGGACGATCAAGGTGGTCACTCAGCTGATGGTAGAACAGTTGCAGGTCAGTCTTTCCCATTCTTATACGTGGTATTATGGCTCATAGGCGGCATCCTTCAGCCTCTGGATCCCAGCATTGTTCAGGCGATAGTCTACAACATCAGGGACAGACTACGTAGACCCTCCGGCGCCACAGTGCCACCACCCTCGCAACCTTCGGCGTCTCCGCAAGTCTCACAGCCCGCGAGTGCGAGTACTAGTGCTCCCACTCCACCATCTGCACCCCCCATGCGCACGCCAGTTCCAATAAGACCTAAGCCATCCGCTGCTGTGAACAATACACAGCCGCAGATTCCTTCGAGTCCGCCATTGCCGCTGCCGCGTTCGCAGCCATCTAGTTCACCCACGAAGCCGACTCCGCGTGAGACAGCGCCGCCGGAGATGTTGAACCCTCAGTTCTCGATGACGGTGTTAAACTTCAGGTCCGGAATCGGTAAACCACCTGAATCTCAGCGAGTGCATCCGCAACCGGAAAACACGGGGAAGAGGCAAGAGGAATCTGAAGCGGTACCGATGGAGGGTATCTCGAATCCTGCGCAAAATGCACCACAGCAACCTCCCCCGGCAGAGAGCTCTTCGCATATTCAGCTCGAGTCTTCGAGTCTTCCTCCTACTAACGAGGAAGAGAGAACGCAAGCACCGTACCCGATGTTCCACTGGATATCAGAGCCTATCCCTTCTTCGTCCCCACAGGTTGTCCAGGAACAGCTGCCTGCGCGAGACGGCGTAACAGGCACGCAAACACCTCCTAAACGGATGCCGAGCCCGCTGACACCTGCGAAAGCGGACAAATCTCGGCTTGCTCACGACATAATGCGCTCGCTCGGCCGTCCAACAGGCTCCGTAGCGCCAGCAATAATACCTCTACCTCTTCTGAGCACGCCCGCTTCGGAAGCGGAGCGGACGCCACCTCAGAGGCGGCGGACGAACTCGCTCTCTGCGTCGCCGGCAGAGCGGAATGAGCCCAGCCCCAGCGTTGTCGAGGAGATTGCGACGGCAGGTGCGGTGGAGCTCGCGCAGCGGGAGACGGAGGAGAATGTGCGCAGGGTACTGGGGTTGTCGGAGAATGTGCCACAGAGCGAGCCGTTGAGAGAAATGTCCTCGATTGGGGTGGAGATGCCGATGGACGAGGCGAATATGGGACCAAGCGGCCTTGTGCATATGATGAACATCATGAATGCTGGAACGGACGCGCTTGCAGCGCCTCAGCCTTTCGCAACTACTCAGCCTTCCGCAGCTCCTCAGCCCTCCGCAACTCCTCAGCCCTTCGCAACTCCTGCTCCGGTGTTTTCAGCACCAAACGAAATGTTTCCGGACAACGGATCCGAGACCGAGGGACCAAGTGGCCTTGTGCATATGACGAACATCATGAATGCTGTTACGGACGCGCCTGCAGCACCTCAGCCTTTCGCAACTACTCAGCCTTCCGCAACTACTCAGCCTTCCGCAACTACTCAGCCTTCCGCAACTCGTCAGCCCTTCGCAACTCCTGCTCCGGTGTTTTCAGCACCAAACGGAATGTTTCCGGACAATGGATCCGAGACCGAGGGACCAAGTGGCCTTGTGCATGTGATGAACATCGTGAACGCTGGAACGGACGCGTTTGCGGCACCACCTCAGTCCTTCGCAACCCCTGCCCCGGTGTTTTCAGCACCAAACGAAACGTTTCCGGACAATGGACCCGAGACCGAGCCATCACCTCTCATCCACAACATAGCAAATGTGCGTGTTAAAGAAGAGGCCGGCGTATCGGTCCTCGAGTTGTCCGACAACGAGGTGCCAGAAACGCCTCCCGCTCCCGAGTCCGTAGCTTCAGGCCCGCCAACGTCCAGGACGGCTTCTCCCGTTCCCGAAGACGTTCCTGAACACGGTCCTGTGGGTACCACTCTTGTAGATGCATTAATGAACAGCGCGCGTCTGCAACGTTTATCGTCGATGCAGGACCGACACTCTGCAACTTTGCTTTCTCCTACTAAGCATGGGGCTTCGTCAGCTCGAACGCCTCTCTTCCTGCCCTCGCCCGCCGATTCGGACATCGAGGAATCCAGAAGTCTTCCTCTACCCAGCTCGCAGCAGCGCTTCAGCGGCATGGATATAGATGGAGACGTGCAGATGGAAGAGTTTGAGGTTATTCAGAGCTCGCCGGGGGAACAGACGGCCCAGGTCGACCGGAAGGGAAAGAGACGGATGGTCGTGAGTGACGATGAGGATGAACTGCGAATCATCGGAGGCCCCTCTCGGCCGAAGATACAAAGTGGTTTGAAATACAGGCGGGAGGGTCAGAAGAAATCGCGGAGGATGTATGTGCTCATGCCACCAATGCCAGCATGGGCAAAGCGGTATAAGAGGAGCGAGAGAGCGCGGAAGACGAGGAGAAGTGAGAGGGGCCTGTCGCCGACCGAGCTGGAAGACGGTGCGTGGCAATACACGTAGGTATAACGGCTGGCGAGCTGAAATATAGGTTGTCGCATTTCAATAGAACTTGACGAGCAGCGGAGAAGGGAAGGTTCGTCCTTATAGTGGTCCGTGTAGCCGTAGATCTAGACATATCTCATATGCTGTGTTTATCACAGAAGAGCTTCATCAGCAGGCGGTGCAGCTGTCGTGCTCCCGGCTGCGCGAGTCCCGCTGCTTGTGGCAGGGCTGCGACGTTGTGATGGCTTCCGCCGAGTCCCTTGTGAGGCATGTCGTACAGCATACAGAGAGCTTGCGCTCTGTAGGCATTTTTTCTTGGTTGAACGCGGGGGTGAGCTGATGCGTTTGCGTCCGCAGGGCGTGTTCGCCTGCAGATGGCGAGGCTGCGCGAAGATATTCCATACCAAAGGGGCGCTCCAGCGCCATCTCGTGAGGCACGCCTCTCACCCGCTGTTCTGCGCTTTCCAAGGTACTGCCTTTTTCGAATAGGGCGTCAATCGCAACTGATGGTTTTTGCAGGCTGCGATCGGTCCTTCGAGAGCTCAAAGGAGTTGTACGAGCATCATCAGCATTTTACGCATAATGAGCAGGTACTGCGGCGGACTCCGGCACCATTTGTGCCAGTGCTGGAGCCACTGCCACCTCTGCCTGAGGTGGTCCCGTCCTGGTTGATCATCCCTCCGCGCGTTTCTAGGCATCCGATCGACAGGGGCGTGCACCAGTGGCTCGGCGCGAGGGTAAGTAACACCAGTGGCTCTACAGCTTGGACATTGACACACTACACATACACAGGTGCTAGAAGGCATCTCGACGTACAACTTCCAGGGAGGACGGCTGCATGCGGGAGCGTCATCGCGCAAGTCGCGGCGGCTCGCGGAGAGGGTGGCCGCGGTCGAAATGGGGGGTAAAAGCGCGCAGGAGAAGCTGGAGCTGCTCCGGCGTTTGCCAGATGATGAGTACGACAATATCGTGAGCGAGCGGCCGCTGAAAGCGTCTCAACGGTGCGAGGACCTCAACTCGGGCATGGTCTCGCAGTACATCCATGATGGGCTCGTGCTGTTCCCGCCACCGGGCGTCAGTGATGGGTGGCCGCCGCGGCTTGAGGAGGAGGAGAGCAGCGAGGGCGAGAGTGAGCCGAATGAGGAGCGTGACGAGCTGGACTTTTTACATCCATATGGCGACGAAGGCCGGAAGCCTGAGTCGCTGCCGCTGCCCTCGGCCAGTACAGGCGGTAAACCTTCCTCACAGGAGCAGTCAAGATCACAACTCGCCAGCGGAAGCGGGGTCAGGCGCCTGGATCAACGCCACGGTGATGCCGCCGGCGGTGTCAGTGCCATGAACAGCAAGGAGACCGCTGCGGTGGATGGGCAACTGCACCAGGACGGCGCGCCGCCCGTTCAGATGTCTGGTGGGGTCCACCCGTCTCAAGCATATGTATGGCCTGCCATGGAGGAGGAAGAGGATGCGGACCCGTTGTTATTTCGGTGAATTCAGGGATTTTGGCTCGTGGATCCATGCATGATTATCTACGAATTTGATATTACTCATCGCTTTCTAAATGCAATGTCGTATATTTGTTGGGTCATTGTTGCGGTGCCACAGCCGGCGGAAGAAGACTGATAGGATTCATATGCATATTGCCTCCGCGGAGCGCGGGTGATAATTGAATTACATACATGGATGTCGGCTCAGTCGCCACCCATCTGCTGCTCTCTTTCTCTCTCTTACGTTGATCTTGACGTCGCCTACGTCTCCATACTTCTTGGCAACAAATCACAGACAGACAGACAGACAGACACAGAGAGAGGCGACTGACGACCCAACAAGCTGGGTGTACCACTGGATCTCAATTCTCAGAGCTCTCCGGCAACGCCTTGACTGACGCTACGATGCTCCTCCATTCTTTTACGATCCTGCCATATCTACACTTTCAGACACAGAGTGCAACTCGGAACCTGAAAGCTCTGTCGTCCTTACGCCTCTAGAGACAGACGATAACTCGGACTCTGAGCCCAACTGTTTCTGGGAATCCCTTTCCGGCTACGACTTGGATGCTTCGTATTTTCTCTGTGCGCGACGTTAGCACTCGCATGGTTCAGCCGCCGCGTTTGGGCGCCCTGTCGCAGATATGAAAAGAGTAAATACAACAGCAGACAAGATATACTATAACACCGCGGAATATCTAGCTCAATTCGTCACATATATTTCTGCTCGTCCATGTCGTCCCAGGGCCAGTGACCCATGATCTCCGCCCGTTCCTCCTCTGACTTGGCCTCCGTCAACGCCTCCTCCTTCATCTGCTTGCAGAGTGCCACGGCCTCCTCGTAGTCCTGGGTGGGCACCCAGCCCTCCGGCCCGAGGCCGAGTATGTCCTGCCACACCTCGAAAGCCTCGTCTGCTTTTCTCTGTACTTCATTCAGCTCCGTCGTCTCGCGTGCGTCCTCAGCGTCGAACACGACCGGACACGGCGCGCCTCCCCTCGTAAGCGTCTCCCACCTCTCCGTTGCTCGTATGAGCGCAACCTTCAGCTCGAGAGTCTCGCCCTCCCACGGGTTACCGGCGTAGTGGAAGAGGCGGCTGCGGAGCACGCACATGGGGTCCGTCAAGGCATCGTAATGGGGCTTGTTGTACTCCTCCGTGTTCGTGACGTAGTGGTAGTGGCCAAGGCGGCGACGGTAGACTTCCTCCGCTGCGGTCCGCTCGGTTTCTTCCAACTTGTCGAAATTCTCCGGTAGCGAAGGCGGCGTCATAGATTGCGAGACGGGATCGTTGTGGTTCTGGAGGCGTTGGGGTATGCCGGCAAGGAGAAACAGGGGCAGGATGGAGGCGTGTTGCCAGTCGAGCAGGCTGACGACTTGCCAGCCAGAGTCGGACGACCACCGAACGACGATATTGCTCTGCTGGAGGTCTGGATGGCGGATGCAGAAATGACCGAGGGCGGGGTCCCTAGGCACGAGTGACGATGCGATGAGGAGATAGCGCTTCAAGTTCTCGATGTGGGCCGACGGCGACTGCTCCTGGTACTGGTAACCAGCCCTCCTCTCGCGGCGGAACGGCAAGAGCGGTTGACCGAACTGCTCGAGATAAGCCAGTTCCTTGCGGGCTGCTGGTACGAGCGCTGCTTCGGCGCTTTCGTCTATAGTAATCGGTTGGTTCAAGGGCGTAATAAAAAAAGGCAGAAAGCGGCGTACACGGTCCCCGGTCTACGTCGAGCTGTGATCTCCTGCCATACCACATAGGCAGTATCGTATCTGGACCAACGCAGAAACGCTCGTCCTCGAGCGGGATGGCCGCTCTCCCGGCCACCTTCTCCAGGTCGTGGGCGTAGTAGAGGCTTCCGCCAGCGGGGAAAGAAATCGACATCATTTGAGACTCGAGCTGAGCAAGTTGGCGCAAGATTGAAACGATATCCGCTTCCTCCAGCTTCAGCCATACATCGCTGAGTTTCGTACCTCTCATGAATTCCATAAAGATGTACTCGGTCTTCGCCGCGTTGTCCGACGCAGGCGAGTATCCGTATACCTGGGGAACAGGCAGCCCAGAGGAACGGAGGAACTCCATTGTGGCGACTTCGCTGGCCACAGCGAAGTACTTGGGGACCGTAGCCGGGTACGGAATACGAGCGACCATTTGGAAGTCGTCGCGCAAGGTGATGAGGAAGGTACGGTTAAATCCGCCCTCAGCGAGCTTTGATAAGTTGACGACATCAGCAGGACTTTGACCAACGGACTGCGCTGCAAGTCGACCTAGCCCCTCGACGTCGAAAACGAGTCTCCGCTCTGCGTGACGAAGAGCATCGTTAAATCTGAACAAGTTGGATTACGGGTCAGAAATGTATGCTATAGAACAACATGTATGAGACTTACACCCAGCGCCCTGATGTGTAGTCGAAGAGGTCGTGATGGGAATTTGCCATGATGGAGAAGGCGCGATGTGGCACCAAACGTGTCGTGGTGAAGATGGGGCTCGTGAAGGAAGAGTATAACGAGCGCAGCGAGGCTGGAGCTTTCAGCGAATTGAAGACGAGCCTCGCCATGGCAGGGCATGCCAATGTATGTGGAGGTTCTTAGCAGGCCCGGGCCGGGCCGACGAGAACACAGCACTACCTACATACCTGATCGAGAATAAGTTAGATCGCATCGCGCGTAGAAAGCGTCTCAGCGGTGCGAGGACCTCAACTCGGGCATGGTCTCGCAGTACATCCATGATGGGCTCGTGTTGTTCCCGCCACCGGGCGTCAGTGATGGGTGGCCGCCGCGGCTGGAGGAGGAGGAGAGCAGCGAGGGCGAGAGCGAGCCGAATGAGGAGCGTGACGAGCTGGACTTTTTGCACCCGTATGGTGATGAAGGTCGGAAGCCTGAGTCGGTCAGTGCGGGTGGTAAGCATTCCTCGTTCGCCAGCGGAAGCGGGATCAGGCGTTTGGATCAACGCCACGGTGATGCCGCCGGCGGTGTCAGTGCCATGAACAGCAAGGAGACCGCTGCGGTGGATGGGCAACTGCACCAGGACGGCGCGCCGCCCGTTCAGACGTCTGGTGGGGTCCACCCGTCTCAGGCGTATGTATGGCCTGCCATGCGGGAGGAAGAGGATGTGGACCCGTTGTTATTTCGGTGAACTCAGGGATTTTGGCTCGCGGATCCATGCATGATATTCTACGAATTTAAATGATACCTCTTGTGTTACTCATCGCTTTCTAAATGCAATGTCGTATATTTGTTGGTTTATTGTTGCGGTGCCACAGGCCGGCGGAAGCTGGGATCACAGCTGTGACAGAAGACTGATAGGATTCATATGCATATTGCCTCCGCGAAGCGCGGGTGATAATTGAATTACATACACATATGGGTGTTCGGCTCAGTCGCCGCCCATCTGCTGCTCTCTTTCTCTCCCTTACGTCGACCTTGACGTCGCTTAGTATTGACGGCCTCAGCGCTGCCATTGCTGGCTAGGGCCCTTTTCGACACACTATTTCTACTGGACACGCCATTACGCGATTCGAGTCTCTTCGGCTGCTCTACGTCGACCACTAATCCCACGCGAGCATGTTCTCGAGCCCTACAAGCCCGGCGTACCTCTCCTCGCGCTCCGCCGACGTCATCCTCTCCGACGTCCGGCCCATCAAGCTAGTCTACGAGGCGCTGCAATCCGTGAACGTGCTCCTAGACGAGCTACTCTACACTATCCTCAATGAGGCGCTCTCACTGGCGACCGACAGGCTCAAGGCGGCGCTGCTAAAGGTCGTGCCGACGACACTTGGGAAGGAGGCGTTGCTGGAGGCGGAGGTGGAGTTGAAGGCGTATTGTGAGCGGGCGACGGCGACGCCGGAGACGTCGCGGTCGGCGTCGGTGCGCAGCAGCGTTGCGGAGGATGAGCGACCATTTGATCTGCAATGGAGTTTCGAGGTGCGTGGCATGCCGTGTGAATGACAGGCTGATGCCAAACTGTGGCTTGATGCATGCGTAGTTACTGCGCCTTAAATGCGAGGCGTACTCTACGATGAACGACACGGACGAGGACACGGAGGCGGAGCGGCGTCTCAACGAGCGGATGGGTGGCGCGCTCCCACTGAGCGTGGCCGAGCTTGCGCCGGCTGCGCTATATTTGACTGCAATCCTGGAGTATGTACATCCATTCGCTTGCATGCATCAGTTACATCACTCATGACTGTGGGACCAGATACATCTGCGAGTGAGTGGGACAGACTCACCTGGGCCGCGCCCGGTCTGAGAACGCGCATACACAGACACATCCTCTCCAATGTGAGCAGTGTCGTTGCACGCGATAGCAGCCGCACCATTGCGACCGTGCAAGACCTGTTCATCGCGCTGTGCGAAGACGACGCCATACATGGGACGTTCCGGGCGACGAAAGGTGAGCCCGACCGCTCAAGGTGGGCTAGCGCGAGCTTGAATGATGACGAGCCGTGACGTGCGAACAGTGTATGATCAGATAGAACATCTGTCGCGGGCGACCAAGACACGTCGGAGCAAGTCGTTCTCGCGGACGAGCGACCGGGTCTCATCTCCCCTCCCGCCGCCGTCGACGCATGCCGAGCTGATGGCAGTCACGGAGTCTGCTGTTGCGCGTGCACGGACGCGGGCGTCGCTGGAGTCGCTCAAGTCGGCGAGCTCGACGGCAGGGACGGTGGAAAGGGGGAGGTCGTCGTCGGAGAAGGGGCGGGCGACGACGATCAGGATGCGACTAACGAGCGAACAACCGGAAATCACCGAGAAGGGGCAACCCGATCAGGAGGTGCGCGTGATCCGTTTTACGCGCCGTGCTAGCTGGTGGGCGCCTATATTGATGCTTCTGATGCACACGCAGGGCCTCGATGAGTTTGACGAGCTCATGCGCTCCGGCGCGACCATGAAGGTCTCCCTCACCCCCGACAGGCTCAAGTCCATGGAGGTGCGCCTACTCTGCTCGTTCCCTGCGCCCAATTTCCTTACTACACGTCCACAGGTGTTCAACAGGGAGCGCACGCTGCGTGCGAACCGCCGAGCGGGGCAAATTTCGGATAGGGCGAGTGGTGGTGATGGCCACGCATCAATGGCAGATCGACAGCGGAAGTCCTCCACTGCAGCGCGGCCCCTTCCTCGGCGCGTCGACTCGATCGTGGAAGACGAGGAGGAGCTCCCTAGCAGACCCTCCACCGCCCAACCTGCTACTGGGAACCGGATGCGACAAAGCAGCAAGAGCTTCTCTGCACGATCGTCGCCATCCCAGTTTCGCATACGGGCTGCCTCCATCTCGGACATGCCCTCACCGCGTCTCAACAGCGGAAAGGCATCACCTGCTGCGGAAAAGCCACCCACCAACGGCGCAGCGGGGCGTCAGAACTCACGCAAGATGGCTCGGAATCGCGAATCGATCGACTTGGATGAGATCATAGGAGGGTCAGACGGCGATGAAGAGGACGCCGCGGGCTCGGATGACAATGCCACTCCTACTTCTGCCAAGCCGAACAGGCCCAAGCCCAAGCCCCCGCACATCTCGCAGTCCGCGCGCGATCTTATCGCGTTCCTGGAAGAAGGCCCGCCCACGTCGCCCGACTCTCCCCCGCGCTCGTCGAACGCGAGTGTGAGCGTATTCTCCCTCGAGTCGACCAAAAGCCGATCGGGCAGGTTCTCGCGCATGATGTCCCGTCTGACGGCCAGCGGGTCGGCGGATAAGATAAATGGGCGGAGAGCGGAGGGCGACGAGGAACAACCCAGGACGCCGAGGACTGCGCGTATACTGGGACGGAAAGCGAGCATGAACAATCTTCATCCGCCGCCATCGTACAAGGCACCGTCCCTCTCGTCGAAGCGCTCCTTCCCGAACGTCGTTGTGGTTAGCCCTTCGCGGCCTTATCCTTCTCAGGCGCCAAAGCTGCCTTCTCCCGTGCCCTCGCTCCCATCCTCCTTGAGCTCCCCACAATGGCAACCCGCCTCGCCTGTCCCCTCGACTGCGCCGCTCTTGCCACATTCGATCTCTGTTGCGTCGTCGCAGGCGTCGACGGACGACTCGAGCAGCCATGCATTCCCTGTGCGTCGCAGCAGCGTTCGCAAGGCCGTGCCGACGTGGGACGAGAAGGTTGAGGTACGGCCACCTGTTCCCTCGCTTGCTATACCCGCGGACAACGTATCAGTCCCATCGCGCAATGGCTCGATTCGTAGCCACGTGAATGGTGCCGCTGTGCCGCCAGAGGACAACGCGATCAGGGAGAGCGCTGCCAGCCCTAAAGATACCACACCTGACCGTATTCCTTCGTTATCTATCAATACCTCCATTACCCAGCCTGTCAATGGGCAGACACTCTCTCCCAGCCCGCAGGGCGAGGCCTACAGAGGGGTGTCACCTTCACCATCAAGGTCGCGCCGCTCGCCGATACCCCGCAAGCCTGCGCCATCGCCCAATCAAGAAGAGGGACCAGCGACGCCCATAACCCCGAGCAGCCTCCCATCCACACCCGCGCCGACGTCTTCCACACTCACACTCACACCCCCGACCAAGGACCGCTCGGAGCGCAGGCGCTCGCGGCGCTCAAACCGGGAACATATCAGCTCGCGCGCAGTCGGCGAGCTGCGCCGGCTGCTCGCGGCGGCGCGCACGGCGGACGAGTGTCGCTTGCTCGTGGACATGTTCTTTGCGAGGCATGGGTTCCCGCAGGCTCCGGGGGTGGGCGTCGTTGCTGCTGCGGACTTTCCTGAGCCTCCGCCGTTGGATAATAGCACGCTGATGTCACTGACGGAGATGGAGTGCTCGATGGTCGAGCACCTGTTGGGCGATGGTGATGTTGTGATGAGCGAGGCTATGAACGCGCATGCGAGGACGCAGACCGCATCTGTTGATGCGACTGCTGTCAATGTCGAGGCCCATGCGCCGACTTCTTCTGATGGCTCATCGGGCAACGCCCCCGCTTCCGGGGCACCGTCGCAAGAGTAATGTACTGCACTATAATATACTGCCACACACTCCCTCCTACCTGTTACATGCCTCTCGTTTCGTGCTGTCTTTCGTACAACGCCTAGTTACATACCGGGATACCACCTTTGTTGTCTGATCGCTCTCGCTCGTTTCTCCGCGCCTGCAGGCGCGTCTGATATATCGTGATCTATGCTTACTTTGGAGCCCGCATACAGACGGGACGTCACATAGTGATAATGCATGGCTATTACGTCGCGCGAGCATGGGTGTGCGAAGAGAACCAAGATGAGAAACGCGTGAGAGAGCATAATATGATATGTAGAAGATGCACAGCAAGGTAAGGTCATCGAATCTCGAGAGAAATCTTGATACCCATAGATGCGAGCTCCGCACAGAGGTACCGGAAGACGAAAGGGACGGCGATGATATCCATGTCGCCGCCTTTTGATGCCCGGCCGAGGACGTGCTGCGAGGGTATCGCGACCCTGAGGTCGCTCTGATGTGCTGACCGCCCGTCTCCCCCATTCGCAAGCCTCTTCCGCTCCCGCACATCTTCCTCCTCAGCCTCCACGCGACAGACCCGGCAGTACTCCCCGCCCGGTCCAGTCGGCTTGAGCTTGCCCGCGGAGCCTATCACCATCTTTCCCAGGCTCACATCATCGTACCCCAGAGAGACCAGGCTGCCGCAGGTTCTGCAGACCCATGCGGTAGAGTAGTCGGAGCAATTCATGAGACGGTCTTGGAGCAGGAAAGAGGTGCCGTGCGCGATCAGCGCGTCACGCTCCATCTCACCGAAACGGATGCCACCCGCGCGTTTACGACCCTGAGTATGAGCGTTAAATTAGATTAATGAAGAAGTAGATCGATTGTCGATGGTAACGTACCTTGACTGGCTGTCGAGTGACAGGATCGACACGACCTGTCGTACGGACTTGGAACTTGTCCAACACCATGTGTCGTAGACGTTGGTAGTACACAACACCAATGTAGATGTCTGCGGCGAACTCCTGGCCGGTGATACCGGAGTACATGGGCTCGTTGCCGTAATAGTTGTACCCGGCGGCCAGGAGCTGTTCACCGAAATAATCGACAGCGGTGTCTTCTTCTGTGAACCTGTAAGTGTTCCGTTCAGTACAATCTCATTTGAGCGCGGACAGAATGACTCATACTGGAATGGTGTGGCGTCCTGTGCGAGACCATGCATCGCGCCGGCCTTGCCGGCCATACTCTCGACTAACATGCCGATCGTCATACGACTCGGAAAAGCGTGCGGGTTGATGATGACATCGGGTTGCATCCCACTCTCCGTGAACGGCATGTCGATCGCGGGCCATTTCTGCGAGCAGACACCCTTCTGTCCGTGACGCGATGAGAACTTGTCGCCGATGACGGGCGAACGCGTAATGCGAAGAGTGATATGGATCTTTTGCAGCTCCGAGTTGCCTGCGTCAGAACCTGTAAAACATTGCCCGTCAGCGACGTTGCGTCGTGAGGGTACGTTGACTTACCTAGGAGGCGAACGGTATCGACGTACGCAGCCTCACCCCCCTTGTATCTGGCAAACGACGTGCGGCCAGTCGTATCGTCAACATATGCGGCGATGGGGTCGCCCGTGGTTAATTGGACGCCGACGAACGGCAGCCCGTCCAGGTCCAGGAAGTCACAGCAGGAGTGAGCCTTCGTGCCCTCAGTCCGGATGTCGTACCCGAAGCCAAAATGCAGCGTCGACTTAGGCGAGCCCCTCGATGAGCCATACACGTCCTTAAGGTCCACGGTGTGTGACTTGTAGATGGTACCGTAGCCGAAACCGCGTTCGTGTGCGGACTTGTTCAGAATCATGGCGTCCTCCATGTCGTAGCCCGTATATGAGATGACTGCGACGATGGCGTTGGTCCCGTTCGGGAAAGAGTCCATGCCGTAGGTGTTGTGCAGAGCAGGACGGACAACTGGACTCTGGCCGGTCTGGAGTTTGTACAGTTTGTTGTCCGTTCGATGTGCGAGGGCAGTCGCTGGTGTTCCCATCGTTTGCTTACCCATCTGAGTGAATCTGTTCAGTATCCGCGTCACACAATAAGCAGAAATCGGGGCCAACCTGACATTGGTAGATATTTCGTGGACTCTACAAGTGAAAGTCAGCAAAGTCAGGCTTTCCTACGAGCCAAGATTCCGCACCTGGTTGAAGTCAGAAAAGGGGGTGAGATTAGCCAGGATTGACAAGAAATTCGTAGGCGCGTGTTCGACGTGGGTCGACACCCCTGGCTCGATCTCCTCCGGCGTACACGCAATATCCATATACACCTGCTCAAACGAGCCAATCTGGTCGTCGTTCCAATTTGCCAAATACTTGACTGGCCTCATCATGCGCGCCTTCGACGAGAACAGATACAACCCAGGGTATTGTCCACCCTTCGACACGGGTACGTATCCGATCTCCAGGTCAAGCGGGACGTTGTGCCTGCCCTCCGTCTTCCATATCCGGAGGTCCGTCGCAAGCTGCTTGAGCACTGCAGCAGGCGCCCAACCGATAACCTTGCCGTCGAGCTGCACGCAGAGATTGTGTCGGCCGTCGATGGAGGGAACGAAGGCCTGTGTCATGCCGTGCGCAGCCAGGAGGGCGGGTATATGCGCGACGGCGAGGGGAGCTGTGACGATGCGGCATGTGCGCGAGAGATGGTTGAGAAGACCGCAGGGGGCACCATCGGGAGTGTGCACGGGACATAGGAAGCCTGAAAACGAAGGGACTCAACGAAAAGTGCATATACCTGTTAAGTTGAACATACCCCAAGCTTCAGGTAAGAGCTTTCGCACTGCGGTAGTCTTCAGCTCGGCAAAGAATGCACCACGATGGATCGATCTAAAGTGGCTGATGTATCGCTGCCAGTTAAGCTTTTCAGCGACAATTGTGAAACCGGAGGTTTGTTGCAGGTCGAGACCAGATGGTGAAATAAGGTTGCCAGTGGCAAGGAAATTGGACACCCGCGCGCCGATGTCGAAGTTCGTACGGAGCAGAACCTTTTTGAAGTAACGTTCTGACAACGCAGGCAGCTCAGCGTTGCGCATATATAGGGAACATTTACAAGACGTACTGTCAAAGAAGTCGACGGACGGTTCTGAGCGATATATGTCTTGTCGAATCGCCATGTAGAGACTGTTCAATGCCTCCTCTAACCGCTCCTTGATGACCATGCCATACAGTGATCCTGGAAGCAGAACTTCTTGATGCTGAGGAGAGTCCGTGTTATCGACGCAACATGCCTTGGAGACCAGAGCGTACAATTTCCGTAACATGAAGCTGAGGCTGTCATCAGAAAATGCGACTGAGACAACGATCATGACTCACAGCAGCATGCGGAACTTCTCTCGAGGAGAATCCAGGTGAACCAGAATCACCTTCTGTACGAGCCAGATACCGACAGTCTTGTTTGTCCAGTCCTCCGGCACGTTGAGTACAACACGGAATTTGTCCCCAAGGAACTCGAGACACTGATCTCCGGTCCTTAATTTGTACATCTTGAAGCTGCGTAGAAGCAGTTCAACGCGGTCCGCCAAGAACGTATCGTCATAGTCCTGCATCATGATGCCCTCGAAAATCTCCGTGTCCGACGCTGACACGAGTGCCTTGAGGATAAGTAGGATCGGGATCACAAACTCCTGCTTGTGCCAGCTGAAACGCAGCATTACGCTACCGTTCGAGAGGTAGTGCAGCGTGTTTGTAACGCTCGTCTGGTCCGGACGCACGCAACGGATCTGCACCGCGTATGCCGTGTACGATGGCCCGCGCTTCATGAATGACGGGCGCATGAGTGCGATGACGTGGTGCCGCCGGGGGAGGATGAGGTACCGGATAAGCCGCTCGTTCCCGTTGATGATGAAGTACCCGCCGAACTCCTCAGGCTCCTCATGCTTCTTCACGAGCTGTGCGGAAGACATATTGCGCAGGTTGCACCTAACAGACTGGGCGCGGTCAGCAGTCTTTCGGGAAAATGTAGGCAGGTGCTCACTTACTCGGACCAAGATTGGCAGTAGGCCGCAATCTCTGCTTTCGACCTCGACAGGGCCGTCGTTTACCCTCCAGCACAGCCTGACCGCCATACGGCCGCGATAGGAAGTGAGGCGCTCTCTTGCCTGCGAATATGTGAGCTGGGATATCCGTGCGCGTTATAAGACCGCAACTTACCTCAGACGGGTAGATTTTAGTATCTTTGACCTTCTGGGAATTATCTGGAACTTGCGGTCTTCCGACAGACACTTGCTCATACCATACTGAGAATGCTTGTAAATGACGTTTCTTCTGTTGACAAAGTACAACTCACTGCTCAGACGGTTTCCCCACCCAGACTGCCCGCTCTCGGACCCGACTACACCCTTCCCATCAAAGACAACGCGTTCACCAATTTCCTGTACACCTAACGACAAGAGCCCGCGACCATCGCCATCTCCCACAGGCAGTCCAGAATCGTCGAAGAGCGCATTGAAGGACTCGATGTGCGGGGTCACAAATTCGTTCAATATCGGAACGGAAGAGCCATCCTTTGGCGGGTTCTTGAACTTATTTTCTCGCTCAAGGGTGTTGAATGTACCGCCAGACGGTATAGGTGAGCGCAACGAGTCATCCGGCATGATCCAAAGACGTCCTGTAGCAAGCCACTATAAGTCTATAACACTTGTTCGAAAAACATCAGGCGCACTATCCGATCGCCTGATTAGCGCTCGCAAGAAGCGTTTCGGTCACGGGACTTACACAAACAGATTGCCGGTGGGCCGAGGCCCGCGCGATCAAATTGTGATCGGGACGAAGTGTCGAACGTACCTCGACGCACACACGCTCCAGCTTTTCATGCCGACTGAAGCAGTCGCTATTAGCAAAGCTCATTTCAAAGCAAGACTTCCATTGATTCAAAAACTCAGACAGACCACTACATACATGTAGGGGAACAACATTGAGATACAAGCAAAAGACATGAACGAAACAATGCACTTCAGAAATGATCAACAGTGAAGGTCCATTTTCCGGTCTCGGTCTCGAACGACTCGAAATGCGTGTCCTTCATCTTCTTCAGCCGCTCCAGATGTTTCTTAAAGATCTTATTATTCTCATCCTTGATCGGCTCCCGCTTCTCCTTGTCCAGCGCCCAACAGTGCAGGAGCTCAATCCTCGCCTTGACGTTTAGACCCTCTCCATTTGGCGGCTTCTCTGCCTCATCGCCTTCGGGATATACGGTGCACTCCTTGTCCTCGAAGCGTATGAGGTCGCCGAGCAACCCAGCGAGCTTCGGCACATTGGTGAGGTCAACAGGCTCCAAGAAGGTGATGTCCCCGTAGCCTTTCCGACCTACTACTAGGCCCTTCAAAGAGACGAGCTCCTCGTGGCTGAGCTTCTGCAGAGTAGCAAGATCAGGCTTCACGTAATAGTCGCCTTCCTTGAGTTCCTCGAAGCTGACTGCCTTCTCAGGAGCACCCTTCTCTGCGGGTTGTGCGGAGAAGCGATTGGCCGTCCTGCCAAGCGAGCCCGCCAATGACTGGGCTGCACCGGTCTCAGGCAACAAGCCCGCTGCGGCGGCGTCCGCCTTCCGAGCCGCCATGCTCAGCGCAGGGTTGAACGTCACCTTACCGTAGATGCCGGTCCTGCTCTTCATGATATCTGCTGCATTCACCCTCTTGTCGAGGATGAGCTTTTTCACGCTCTGCCGCCCGGCGCTGCCCAGGGCTGGACTTGGTCCCCCGCCGGTCAAGAACGTCTCTGTGTCTAACTTGCTGCTAGGCGGTTTGCTCAGTGACAGCACGCCAGGCTTGCTGGTGGCGAACGACTCCGAGGTGCTGCCAGCAAGGCCTGAAGTAGACGTGAAGCCGCGGAGCTTCGACGTCGCGGGCACGTAGTTCAGGCCAATACGTGGCACAGGCGTGCGCGTCGGGATCTCCGAGAAGTAGGACGACTTTTTCTTTGGCTGTTCAAGCTGTATTGCACGTGGACCTGGAGGGAGCATGCTGTATATCGGCAAGTTGGTCGCAATAGGCTGTGCAATCGATGCAGTGAGTTGGGGTTGAGCGCTCTGCCCTAACATCGATGTGGTCCCAGGTGCAGCAGAAGGGCCAAACCCGCCAGTGAAAAGTGAGCCGCCCAGACCTCCACCTTGCTGAATCGATGGCATTGTGCCCAACGACGGGGCCGCCGGCCCGGGGCCATAGAGGCCGCCGCCGCCGAATCCGCCTTGCTGAATGCCCTGCTGCTGACCAATCGGAGTTCTGAACAGGTCTGTAGGCTGCGTCGTCGTAGTCTGCGCCGGTGGTCTGAAGAGCGTGCTGCCGAACAGCCCGGTCCCCTGAGCCTGCGTTGCTGTGCCAGCCGGTTTGGCACCTCCAAAGATGTTGAAGGCGCCTGTTTGGCCAGGCTGTTGCTGCTGCTGTTGCTGCTGCTGCTGTTGCTGTTGGCTCTGTGGAGTTCCAAACAAGCCCCCTTGTCCGAATAGACCGCCGCCTGCAGGCTGCTGCGTCGGTTGATTGCCGAACACTGGATGACATAATTCAGGGCCAAACATGAGATCGTGAAGAAAGACAACGTACAACTAGTCCCCTGTTGCGGCTGCTGCTGCTGTTGGCCGGTAGTGCCAAACAAGCCACCGCCACCGAAGAGACCTCCAGTCGGTTGAGCACCCTGCTGCTGTTGCGGCTGGGTGCCAAATGTACCGAAGCCAGTAGGCTGCTGCGCAGGCTGTGCCCCGAAGATGGACGGTTTCGGAGCATTTTGGCCTGCAAACGAGTCAATGAGCTGGCCTGCACTAGCTGCGAGAGCAAACGTACCGAAAGCTCCTGCAGTACCCTGCTGTGGTTGTCCAAATATGTTGGTACTGGTGCCTGGCTGTTGACCTTGAGGCTGACCAAAGGTCCCTGTTCCACCAAACGTACTGGTCGTCCCAGTGCCTCCTAAGTGCCAGAATCGTCAGTCAGCAAGGGCAAGGAGACACGCGTGATCGACATACCGAATGTTCCAAAGGCAGGCTTCTGTTGAGGTTGAGCGCCGAAGGCACCTCCGCCAAATGTGCTGGTGCCAGCAGCCGGCTGTTGTTGTTGACCAAAGGTGCCGAATCCGCCCGCTTGCGGCTGCGGCTGCTGCTGCTGCTGCTGCCCGAAGCCACCAAATGAACTAATGCCTGTTGTGCCAGTGCTAGGCTGCCCGAACGCGCCAAATGCGCCGCCGGATGCTCCTGCAGCTGGCTGATTAGCGCCCGTCGTCCCAAAGCCACCGAATACAGGATTGGCTGCAGGGGCAGTAGGTTGGCCTGTTTGCCCGAATAGTCCAGCAGACGGCTGAGCGGTTCCAGCAAAAGACGTCTGCCCGAATGACCCCGAGGTCTTGCGACCTTGCTGATAATCTTGCACGCGCAACTCCTGCGACCAAGACGATCATTCAGTTGGTGACTGCCACGGAAATGGCTGCGCACGAACCTCAAAGGAAGAGCCACGATATGCTGGCATGCATGTGATACTCTGATACTGCAGAATGACACCGGGATTTGCGACATCTTTCTCAGGAAAAGGCTGAAAAGGCGGGTTGGCAGTACCAGTGGTTACTGGAGCCGCGGCGGCACCTGAGAATGGCTGAGTAAGACGACGCAGAGCAAGCAGTGCAACTCACCTGTAAGAGTACCAAATCCCGTCGCAGGCTTGTTCGCACCAAATAAGCTACTCCCTCCTCCAAATGCAGTTGTTGTGGTAGTTGGCTGATTTCCAAAGAGACTCGTTGTTCCTGATGGCCCCGCGGTGCCCGTCGAGCCAAACGTGCCCCCCGTTGACCCAAATGCCGATGTCCCAGCTCCGCTTCCAAACGTCCCGAAACCGGTCGTTGGCTTTGGCTGACCGAAAAGAGACCCTCCCGAGGCGGCCGTGCCGGTAGCACCAAATGCACCTACCAGTATGTTCAGAACATGTTGTTGATAGGAGATACACGCGACTCACCAAAGCCACCGGTAGAAGCAGGTTGATTCGGCTGCCCACCAAGATTGCCAAACATCGGGTTAGTCTGCGGTTGTTGCGGTTGTTGCGGTTGTTGCGGCTGTCCAAAGGCACCAGAACCAAAGGCTAGCAGATAGGTGACAGGTCATATGGCCGTGTGGCTTGACTCAGAATGACATGAACTCACCCCCGGAGCCGAACGTAGTTTGCCCAAACGGATTAGATTGCTGCTGCTGCTGCTGCTGTTGTTGTGGTGGTGTGCTCCACGACGATGAGCCAGGGGTGTTGCCAAACATGATGGGAATGGTGTGTTCTGAGTGACGTTGTGGCCGTCGTTGTTGTTGCCAAAAGGCGCGAACGCGAACACAACGCGTGTTAAGGCGGAGTTATAATCCAGACGCGTCCATTGCGGGACTATTCGGGCGCCGATTCGTCACCAGATCTGCATGTCAGCGCGGTCACGTGTTGCGGGCGGAATTTACAGGGCTCGAGTATACGTAAATGCTAAGTGAAATGAATGCATAGATTACGTGCGCTCAGCGCTCAGGCTGCGAAAACGTTCACAATATGGCAGCTCTATATGACGAACGTTGCATTAGAAAATTGGATGCAGTGTGGGTGGGAAGGTAGTAACGCGCCCAGTTGATTAGTGGCTCGCAGTTGTTTAATGCCAATTCTTTGAGTCTCATCTGAGCATGATTTCCTCTCAATCGATGCCACACTCAGGCTCAGCTTCTCTCAGTCATAGAACACGCCTCCTGCAAACTCCAAGTTTCGGACTGTGGCTGCTGGCATGCACAATGCATCCATATCGACCTTATGGTCCGACGTCGGAGTTGCAGCCGTCAATGGGTGATGGCAGGTGATGGCCTCGATAGACGCGCGAGGCGACGCCTTCGCCATGAGGAGCAACGAACCGCCTGCCTGAATTAATATTTCGTGGATCAGAAAGACACAAGGAACGGCATATACAGACTGGGAAGCGTCTGGGTCTTCCATGTCCGTTTCATCAACTACCCAGGTGAGCGCTTGAGCTCTCACACGCCGCATGGATATCCAGAATAGTTAATGACGCCTGGTGATCAAAGGACAGGCCAAACTGGATTTGCTGCATATCTTATCCATCCCCAACTGTATTGTAATAGGTGAGTATGCCTGACGTTGACTTATACTGCACTAACTGTCCGACCTAGTAACCGGTGTTGTGCACGTTAGCCTGAATGGATGAAACGAAGTTCCCTCCTTCCCTCGCGGAAGATGTATCGTCTTTGACAAGGAGGGATACTGGGAAAGGACGCCGTTCGTCAGAAAGCTCAACGCGTGAAGTCGCCCGTCTGCTTATCGGTCAGAACCGTGACATCAAGACACTTACAAGCCAACTCGAAACCACCATTGAGCAGCTGAAGGCAGAGACCGAACGCGCAGATGCCGCGGAGAGCAGGTCATCGGAGCTTGTTCTCCGCCTCAAGTCTGCCATCGACACGAAGAATGCTTCCCAGCAAGAAGCGCACCGAGTAAAAGAGGAGCTGCGCCTGTACAAACTTCAGTTGGAGAACGCCCAGCGAGAGATCCACAAAGGACAGGAGATCATAGACACGCTCGAGGCGCAGAGAGTGGAGGCGGAGGAGGCCGCTGCACGCGCGAGATCGATGGCGCACAAGCTGCGAGAGCAGACTCTCATTGAGAGAGCGAGGGAGGAGGGCCGAAGGCAGGGCCTCCAGGAGGGGTTGGTACAGGCTGGGGGTGCTGGCCTTATGGAAGATGGATTGGACGGCTATGAGCAAGGCACGGCTTCCTCAACACGCTCTGGTGGCCAGTACGAAGATGAGGACTTGTATTCTCCGCTGCCGACTATTAGAGAGGATCGAGTGTCGGCACCATCTACATCCTCCCACGCGAGTCGTTCATCGCGATCAAGCTCGATTGATGAACGTACCAGTCATCCACCCGCTCCGCCACCCGAACATGTACCCGCACGCGCTCAACCTCCTTTACCTCCAAAAGATGGCAAAATCTATCCCATTGCTGTTCACAACACCGCTCCCTCCCCTTCTCATCCTCCAGTCAACTTCCCTCCGGACGGTTGGATACCGGAAATCGACAAGGACAAACGCATCCGCCTTCCACCTCCTCATGACCTTTCTCCAGCACCGCCGACGCCCATGTCTACCATCCGAGCGCTTGAAGATGGAGAGGACAGACCTCCACTCATGCTTCGACCACCTGGCACAGGCTATACAGAGTCTATACGGTCAGACTCGAGCTCAGTCGATCACCATCGCAAGAAGTCAATTGATTCTCAATCGACGACAATGTCGCAATTCGAACTGCTAGGGCCGCCTGCGGCTCAAGCTGCTCAACAGCCAAGGACTCTAAGTGCAATTACGGAAGAAAGAGAACGGGCGTCTTCCATGTCTCCTTCTGTACAAGGCGCGAGTTCGGTGAGCTACATTCACACTTTTCGACATGACCCCCATTTTTAACAACCCACCCGGTAGTATCTGCACGGGCCGCCAACGAGCTCCTCGCTATTTCTGGCTCCAGATTCTCAAAATATATACGCCCGCCCACCTCGCTCACCCTTCTCTTCTTCGTCAGTATCCAGCCATGGGCCAGCGCGTGCATCGTCGATGAGAGGGTTCTCCCAAAACCGAACGAGCAATGGATCGAATATATCTCGCGAGTACGACATTACCGTAGAGTCGCCGGTTGGTGTTCCATCCTCTGTATGCTTTGATGTTAATGATACTCAATGTCCTGCGGATAGTCTGGCCCAGGATCCGAACAGTCTTCTCCACCGTTGACGCCGAGCCTTCTGCGTGCAGAAGATGGACCTCCTTCCACCGTAAACACAGTCAATGGAGTTGATCATCAGCCTGCTGCTGAAGAACAGTTCGGGATGTCTATGCCTCCTCCTAGTGCGCCTGTTCTTTTACAACTCGACGGCCAGCTCCCTCCTGGTTTCCAGCCGATTAGAGCACCGCTCCCTCCAGGCTCGTTCTTCCCTCCGCAGGATGCTCAGCTGGGCACCCGCGTGCACCCGCAAGGATTGCACAGCCCCTCGACTGGCCCTCCCCTTCCCCTTTCCGCTTATGGTGGCACACCGTCGGCCGCCGGCTCTACGGTTCTTCCGGGAGCGTTTCCAGCATCGCCGGAGCAAGTAGTCATACCTCATCTCGTAAGTCCGAATGCACCCGCAGCACCCTCCGCGACGCGATACACCAGACCGGCCGGACGGGACGATTCGTCAGATTCTGAAGAGACCGTGTCTTCCCGTCTGTCTGGCTCCGCGGACACACTGACGACACCGCCCGCGCGGCACAGAGATCTACCAGGCCACGGTACGCCCACGTACGCCATCGCGCCAATTCCGCCGAACATCGTGTATCCCGAGCCGCTCAGCCCGCGCTCGACGGGCTCCCGTGGGACGGCCGCTGGGAGGATTCCGCAGCCCCCGTCTGCGGCTGGGTCTGTTGGAAGCCCAGGATCGACCGTTACGTACCTGTATGCGCCGACTCCTCACAGCCGTAATAATATGGCGCTGGACGCTGGCCGGACACCGATGAACAGGCCTCTATCTTCTCTCTCTGGTAGTGCGCGAGGGACGCCGGGCCCGGAACAGTCGAACTACCGCGCATCGTAGGTAGAATATATGATGACTTACGATGCGTGCTCATGAGGTTGATATTTTGCAAAGCATGCGGAGCAATACTGCTGCGGATGCGCTCACACGCTCCAATACAGTGACAAATGCTGGCCCGCCTCGTCCGCCGTCTGCAGCCAAGACTTACACGAGTTCTCCGACTATGTCTCAAGCGTCGGTGGCGCAATCCACCGGGACTTCCAGATCCAAGAAATCCAAGAAGGCTAAGGGCAAATCCAAGATTGCCACCGTTGAAGAGGTCGCAGATGAGGGATAGCCTTTCTGGACGACCTTATGCTGCTGCAATGCCTTGAATCAAGAATAAACAGATACCACTCATGCTCGCAATTGCCGGAGGACATACTCAGGGAGCTACGTACATCTGACATCTCGCATATCCTCCAGATTTCCGTTTTTCGCCATCATCTCGTGTACAAGTTCGCGTATCAAGCTTGAGAGCATTCAGAAGTCAGAAACTGTGACATATATTACATGGAGTTGTAGCTTGTCGCCTTATTTGCGCTATGGTGTGTGTACAATGAGTGCTGGTTCCATTAAATATGAGGATGGTATCATAATAAATTGTAATGGTATACGAAATGTCGGTGTTCGAATCATGAAGCAACGGAAGGAAAGTGCGATCAAAGAAAGCATTGATGGCAAAAAAACACCGCTGGATCGAGATGACTCGATTTACAGTCCACTACAAAGATTTTGAAGAGCCTGGCGATCGGGAGGCGTCAGCTACGGATCGAAAGGTTCGATACATCACGTACCGTCAAGTTGGCGCGCCGAAGCTGGTCCTATTAATACTCGCTCAGCTGCGTAGCAAGCACAATATCCCCCAAGCACCCAATCCTCCCGTTCTCCAAATGCCGCTTCAGAGAATCACGCCGGCTGAACGCCTTGAAACACCCGCCGACCATCTGCCGACCCTTGTACACGCGGATTTCACTGATGCGCGGCACGATGCCCTGCTGCAGCGCGTCTTCAAGGTATGTCCCGCAGCAGACCCACTTATCCTTGAGGCGGTGTGTTTCCATGTGCCGCAGGACGTCGCCTTGGCGGACGTCGACGGGCGCGAAGGGGCAGCCGTCCACGGCACATTGGAAATTATTTTGGTAGAACGCGATGCAGAGATCGTCTACGCTTTGCCATGCGGGGGCGTTCCTGCGGCTCGCTGCAGGGGACGCGAGAGGCGGCGACGGGGATGTGGTGAGATCCGAGGAATGGCGGGGATGAGACAAGGAGGATTGGCGCCGATGCTCGAAGTGATCTACGTTTGTTGACGATCTTTGTTGCCGAGGTGAGAAAACGGAGCGGATTTCGCTCCCTGAATGGTTACACGCGCAGGAGGAGTCATAATAGAGAGGTGGAGATGGACTAGGTTCGAAGCTGATGGCACAATTAGTTCTCAACACAACGTTGCTGATGCAATCAGCCCACCTCGGAGATGACTGCGCAATGATCTGTCGCTCCGTAGATTCATCGCCTTCGTAGGATGAGATGAATCCAAAGAGCGGATCAGCAAACAACATAGATGTGGGCGCTGAGTTGGAATGATGAGAAGCGGGCAGCGCATCGACATCGATGTCCATTAAAGGGTGTAGAGATCGAGTCTCCAGATCTGAGTGTAGATACGAAACATCGGGATAGTATGGATAGGATTCATAAAGACAATCATCCGTCAGGCAATCACTAGGCGACACTAGTCAGCATAAATCATTTTGATCCTCCCTTAAGAGAGCACATACCTGTTCCATACAGCCGGTGGACATGCAAGGAGCTCAGCGTGCATCCCAGACGTCACAGTAAAACCGTGGGTCGCGAAATAATCAGACGGCGGAGGGACATTCAAACGTGGAGCCTCTCTTGCGGTGTCTTGCGCGACGTAGTATGTCGCTCCATTGAACTGTAAAAGGAGGCTGGCGTTTCGTGTCCAGTCGGTGGGCGATGAACCCAAGTCATCCATAAAGCTGTCTGGAAAACTGAATTGATCATAGTAGGTGGCGTAGTCCATGGTAAGGATATCCGTGGTGCAGAGGAGAGAAAGCTGATGCTGTCGATCTGGCCCATCAGATGCACAGCTGTGGCAGCTGTTATAACGAAAGTAACACGCGCTCGGTAGAATTTCCCTGTAGACTCTGGGACGTAGTATAGACCTTCCTTATGAGGCAATTCGCCCAAGTCGGATGTATGAGAGCATGGAGGAGGGGCGGGGTTGGGAAGATGATCCACGTTTGGTTTGCGTGTGCATCGCGGACAGCGTTTACAATGCGCTGCGTAGTGCGCTGACTTACGGATGCTTATCCAGATATCTTGATCTAATAGGGAGACTCCGGTCATCAATATAGCATGGCTGCAGCAGCGCGTGTAGGCTGCACGTCGCGGAGCTACCAAAAACACGATCACGTGATCGTATAATGGGCGTCTCTTCCTCCGACAGACGCCCGTTGGCGTCTGTTGCATAGCCTACTGTATCGGAGATGAGAAAGCGACCATCGCTTTTGCGGTGGTCGATATCAAATTCCTGCGAAAACATCGAGCATATAATCACTACTACTTCACATAACAGGATTTTGAAGATCCGTGTCAATGCGACCGCGACGGCAGCTGGAGAGCGAAGCAACCATTACTAGTAGCGTTAGCTTCATATCGATAAAGACTATCGTGGTGACAGACACATGCATAGGTTTTTGATTGAACTTGTACATGGACACAGTTCACGTTCAAGGCGGCCACCACATGTACAGCGTCAACGAGTGCCACGGTGGCGCGGCGCCACCATACCCGAGCCACACACGCGTCGTGTTGCGATGCGCGGGACAAGCAACTGTTCTTTGATTCCGCCTTTTAACGAGGAGGGCTGAGAATCGACCTTTCATATGTGAAGGATATATGAGACCTCTCAGCCATGGCAACTGCTGGTGTTGAACGTTGAGTACTTACTGAGCGCTTAGCGCTTAGTACTAAATATGGACCTCGGCGCGCATGAAGTATCATACTGAATGGTCCGGGCGCTTAGTGCTTGATATCCACCACTGGTCTTCACCCATGCCTTCAACTCGCCCTTCACTTCACAACCGCATCTCTCGTTGTATTTAGGTTGACAGAAAGTCTCCGAACTATCGTCCTCCAGCATGCACGACGAAAGCGAGATATCCATCGCCAATCTCACCTTCTCTCACTACCCGGGCGGGCCATTGTCGCTCGTGGATCTGTGCATGTACCTGCCGAAAGGGTCGCGCACAATTCTGATTGGCGCAAATGGAGGTGCGGATTAGTCACATCGCTGCTTGTGCGTTGCAGCAGGCCAATGCGCCATTAAGCGGGAAAGTCGACGCTCTTGCAGATCCTCGCTGGCAAGCGACTGATTCTCCATGAGGGCACCCATGTTCACATCAAGGGGAGAGATGTCTTCAGAAACTCTCCGCCTGGAGTCACCTTCCTCGGGACGGAATGGTCTGTATCTCCTATTCTGTCGCAATGGCCGGAGCTGCTGACTAGTCTATGCTCAATAGGGCAATGAACCCGGTTGTCCGTAGTGACATTATCGTTCATGACTTCCTGAACTCCGTGGGAGGGTACCGTCACAAAGAACGACGTGATCGCTTGCTTGATATCCTGGATGTTGATCTTGACTGGCACATGCACGCCATATCTGACGGCGAGCGGCGCCGAGTGCAATTGGTCATGGGTCTAATGTCCGATTGGGACGTCTTGCTCCTAGACGAGGTCTGTCAGTTGCGCACAGCCCATCTCAAAGTTGTTGATCTACGTCCTTCAGGTCACAGTCGATTTAGACGTTCTTGTCCGCCACAATCTCCTAGAGTTCCTCCAAGCCGACAGTGAACGACGTTGTGCAACCATCTTGTGTACGTATGGGGCTGTCTGATTGCGCCCACTTTGATGCGAGTTATGTCGCGCGCAGATGCTACGCACATATTTGATGGGCTGGATAGGTTCCCCACGCATGTCGCCCACATGCACCTGGGCACGTTCCTCTCACAGCCAACGCCCTGGCCTCTCACGCCGGACGTGGCGTCACAAGCTGTCTCGGTTGACCTCGGGCCGACACCATCCTTGTACACGCTCGCTCTGCACTGGTTGAAGGAAGACCGGGAGCGAAGACGAGAACTGGAAAAGCAGGGGCTCAAGATGCGGGGTGCGAGGGTAGGGAAGCCTGGCGAGGTACGCCCTTGACCCTCATAGCTATTGTGACGGAGCTAATGGTGCCATCTCCAGGTTCCCTCGGACTCGGAAACGTTCTACAAGAAGTGTGTGCTTCTCTTTACACTATAGAACGATCACTCATAGCGATGCAAATGCGCAGATACGATTACAGCCACTAGAAGTGACTAGTGAGACGCAGGATCCGTGTCAGAATTCAACCTCACAGCATCGAGATCACGGATAGATTGGGCGTTGAGGAGGGTGTGCGAGCAGTGCGCAGAGCGATGCTTGTCCTCGGGTGAGATGCGAGAAGATCGATAGAGTAAATACGATGTTATTAACATAGCTACGGCGATGGTCACCAGGGTCAAGCATGTATTCGACGAGAGCCAAGTGGCCTGAGCCCAGGCCCGGGCGCTTGAGCGTGTGAGCCAGCGGTCGCGCACTGATTTTTGCCGTATCAGAGTTGCCTTAAATATGTCGCTAACTTGGCCCGCAGTGCCTGGTCTCTGCCATCGTTGGTAACGTCGACGCCGTCGTTCTTTTGAGTGCCTTCACCGCTCCCAACGTGCTGGCCATCGCAGGGCACCGTCGTCTTTCTCCTCTTTTAAACGAGTCTGTCTCAACCCACACGCTCTTTCAGTCTTTTGTCTTCATCGTACCTTGCATCCCGCTGTCGTTATGGTCGCCCACTCTAGCTTTGCCTACCGAAACACGACCGAGAGCCGCAGGAGCTGCGTCACATGCACCTCGCCGCTTGCTGCATGCTCCTGCAGCTCATCCGAGGAATGCGTTCTCATAGACTTGTGCGTTGTGCTCCTCGTCTCCCGCGCTTGACTTGGCCCTGTAGCTGACCACCCTCGCATTGTCAGGAGCTGTGATGCGTGCCCTCATTACGAATGTATCTCTCAACAGAGCTCGAGCTCCGGCTCAAGTGGGATCAGTTCGGGCGCACTTGCTGGCGCTGTGATTGCCTGCGTCGTCTTTCTTGCCCTGGTGCTTGGCGCCTTCTGGTTCTATCGCAGGCGCTTACGGCAGCGGCGCCTGGCGGGTGCAGCAGTGGAGGACAAAGTCGATGCTCCGGCTCGCGCAGAGGACGTGCTCAACCGGCCGGACCCCAACGAAAAGGGAGAGTCCGAGCAGAGCACGGTCAGGTTCTATACAGGCGCCACTGGTGGAACGATCAACCTTGATCCCGAGTCGCAAGCAGGCTCCACGACGCATGCAACGGACGGACATTCTCGCAGCGAGTCAAGCACGGAGAACCCCTTCGGAGACAACCATTCCATCCAGACGACGTCCACCGGCACGCAGTCGAACGTCATTCCGATCGCATTCGTGCCCCCCGCCTCGTTCACCGATTCGCATCACTCCGGAGCTTCCTCGGGTCCTGTCCGTCCTTCGCGTGCTCCAGATCTTGATCTCGGCATGGAGCAGTCGCGCGACGCGCTGGCGGGCAAGTCGGGCGACGGACAGTCACAGCTGTCGGGTGTTTCTGGCATCAACAACCGCGCATCGTACTTGACCACGGGCAGTTTTGGCAGCGATTTCCTGAACGAAGCTCCTGTCATCGTCACCCCGACGCGCGGTGTAGTGAAACAGCACGTTGTGGGCCTTGTCAAGCCCGAAATGATTCGCACCTCACCTCAAAGCTCTCCCAAGTCGGGCAATACTCATCTTCGTGCGCAGTCAGGTTCGACCCGTCCTCCTGTACGTTCCCCTTTGGCTGCTGCAAGCTTCGGCCCCTCGGACGTTGTGGCTGAGATTCCTGAGGACGACCATGATGCCGTCGCACGCTCGGATCCGTTCGGTGATGAGCATTCGCTCCTCAATAGGGATGGCTCACAGAGGTCGCCCGCACCGTCCACGTCCACGTTCGGCACTCCTGATGCAACTAAACTCCAGCATTCTCGCTCGACGTCTGCACAAAACTCTAATGAGCCGGACGTACCGAGTGCTGGCAATCGTCCGCTGAGCACATATACGCAAGCAGCCTCCATCGTAGGGTCTGTCATTGGCGCCGAGATCAGCAGTGGAACTCGTGTGCACCTCGGGCTAGACCAATTTAGCACTCCCGCCACCGCTTCCAGCGGTGTCCTCAACACGCCGAGGACCCCGTACAGGATGACGAGCGCCAAGTTCTTGAACACGCCTCCGTCTGGGAATAGTGCACTGGAGCAGGAGCAGCAGCGTGCGATGCAGGACATAGACCAGTTCCAGGGGAGTCGGATGTCGCTTGCGTCTGTCGTCTCGACATCGACGCGTGCCGACTCGATACTCGAGAGCTTCCCATTCGTGCCACCATCTCCCATTTCGAATCGCCCTATCCGCTCTCCGCCCCGTTCCCCACTTGCGCAGCAGTCCACCGCCGGTAACAAATTTGCCCAAGTGCAGCGGTCGCCGGTTCGGGAGGCGCCTTCGCGCGAGAGCGCCCGTGAGGCTCCTGTCTCCCCGCTGCCACCGCCCCCAAGGCCGATGAACCGCAAGGCGCTTGGGATCTCCATGGCATCTCAATCGTCGACCGCATCGAACGGACTGAGCTCGTTCCCATTCCAAATTGATACTGGGATCTCAGAGGACGCGTCAAGTAATCCGGCTCCGTCGTCCTTCCCGGGCCGGCAACGGGCAAGCTTGGACACGCTTGCGCTGACGAGTGACCTGTCGTCATATCCGCTCAACTTTGAGAGGAACATGCCTCCGCCGCCGCCTCGCCCATGACCGTCGAGCGCTGCGCGTCAATCCACTCCTCGTCCGTCTCTCTGTCGCAACTAGCCTGAACGTTGAATTCCGTGGCGTACGTGGTGTACTTTAGACTGTGATTGCATTAGTGTATCGAATTCTGAATTACCCGCGCATCGCCAAGCTCTGCGACATCACTGCACTGTCAATTCACCCTCTCCCTTTACCCAATTGCCCTTGATACCTATGGACTTAGCCCGCCTTCAAATCTTGCTTGGTTGACCTGGGCTAGATGCCCTTCCTTGGACAGTGGTAGCTTCTCTCGTCGCTATCCCTCTCCTTGTTTCCGCTTCCTTCGTGCAGTATCCTACCTGGTCGACTATATATCTTATGCGACTATTTCCCTTATGCCCTTATGACGCTCCGCCATGTTCTCGTTCTGTTGTTTCCTGCCGTGTGCACGACCGCTGGTCGCACATTCCGTGCCGGCCGCGGTGCCGTCGTTGGGCTGAGGTTGTGGGATTATTTATTTCTGTGCTCTTATTGCTATTATTGATCCGAGTTTGTTAGCGAAGATGGACGCTGCTCTGTAGCATCTGTTCGATACCGTGACAGCTCAGCTGGAGACCGGATTGCTGAACTGCTCGTTCGTGTGACGGTATGGCGCTAAAAGAGCTGAAACGGACCGTTGACAATATAGCGTTGTAATTTGATGCACTCCTTTCTGCCCAGTACGACCCAGTCGGAGGATGAGAAGTCTTAGAAGCTGTGCGCCGCTTGATGCTATACATAATCTCGCAGTTCTTGCTGACATTAGTTCAGGCTCCCTCCTATCTATACACAGGGCATCTTATGACTCGTGTGACTTGTGCAGTTCTAAAGTGGGCCGATTACCGCGAGCCTTAGTGAAGGCTTGTCGCTTCTCGTCCGATTCTTTCGTTCCAACTTTTAACAGGCACTCCGTGACCAATGTACTTGCTCGGACAGTTGACTCCCAGCTCCGAATCTTTTCCGCACGCAGTGAACATTGCACTGTTACCCTCAGAAGCTAGCATTGGTGCCAAATGAGGGTTCGCTGACTATGCAGCGTTTTCAGTGCGTTAGTCAAGGCGTACTTGAGGCATTCGCTGTAGAATCCCTCTTGTTCTGCGGAAACTTCGCAGCCGTCGGTTCTAGCGGAGTTCCACAACGAAGGGAAGAGTTGAAATTCTGGGTAAGGCGGATCCTACACTGCGGACTATTTCACAGCTGGTACCGATACCAGACCGACAACAAACCAATTTCGTCTTAGAGCGAACTTTGCGCTGCACCCTTGAAATGTTTACGTCCGATTCTCGTGACACTCTCCGATAATCTGCCTGTATCAGGCTTCCATTCAATCTATAAATTGTCGATGTAGACTGACGCCAAGGCTCCCCTGCGCCATATCAAGCTACGGCAGAATGGACAGCGTAGCTTCTGGCAATGGATAGCGTCTCAGTTGTGGAGTATCCAGGGCAAGGGCTACCATTCAAAGCTTGTCTCACCAAGATGCCAAGGTCCAGGCTAAACACGGTTACAGATACCCGCGATCTTCCAGGTAGCCCATGAGTATCATTGAACGCGGCCGCCTGGAATGGGCCTCTCGTGATTCCAGGAACTACTACGTCAGGGAAAGAGCAAATTAATCATTGGTATTCGAAGAGCAAGCCTAGTGGCGTGAACGTATGTCATAAGTAACTCATACCGAGTAACTCGCATTTCGCTGTCAGAAGACGTAGAAGCATATACCTTGATCGACAGGCCGAGAAGAGTCTGCTATCGTTGGTGCAGGTACCCTAGTTTAAGCAATGACAACCAACCAGTTCATGTATACTATGTATAAGATATAGCACCCGGTGACGTGCGCTCTTTCCGAGGTCCGTATTTACGTTAACCGTGCCTGAATGGAATAAACCCACACAGTAAGCATGCCACATGCGGAGTTCCCTATAGGTCCACTCGAGGCTCCAATGATTATGTGAAATTGAGAAATAATGCGTTTCATGCTATTAGACGGCCTAGACTCCAAGCAGCGAGCGGGATCCCCGACTTGGCCGCTGCGCAAGTCGAACCACAACTGTTTCCAAATTGGGAAGCATCGGCGCTTAGCAAATTGCGGGTGGCGTCGCGGTGAAGCGTGGCCTCACGCTCTGTCTAGTTACAACAACACTAGTTTCGGTCGTTCTTGCAGCCAGCCCAGTTCGAGGATAGCAGCACATGATGGCGCCGAACGAAGTTATCGATCTCACTGGTTCAAGCCCTCCTCCAGAATACATCGAGCTCAACTCGGACGACGATGCCGAATACGCACCTTCAGCACGGGTTTTGGACTATGTCGCCTCCCAACCAGATAACGGCACCCGCAGATCTAAGAGGAGGAAGAAACGGGTGCCCAAAGCGAAAATGATGGAAACGCTCGAGGAAGGTGAGGTGGCCGACCCGCTGCTCGAGCAGCCTCGAGAGAAGAACGCGCTTGCTGTTGGTGGCGAGGAAGAATCCAACTTCAATGGCACCCCGGTTGCCCCGAAGGGGAAGAACAAGCCTGGTTCGCAGAGCAAGAGATCGCTCCTCGATCGTCTGAGCAGTCCGAAGCGGGACGTAGAGGAGGAGGAGGCAGGACGGCGGGAGAAGGGCAGTAAGCGGAGGAGGAGGAATGGTAGGTCTCCCGATCGGCGACGCGAAGCCAATCGGAATGACCAGCGTCGGTCGCGTTCTCCGGAGTTTAGACGCAAGGACATGGACTTATCCCGCTCACCGGCCAAGGACGAAGCGGCGACTCTTTTCTTTGTCGATCTGGAGAAGATCAAGGTTACTCTTACTTCCAAGCCTATTCAGCCTGCACCCGAGCCTGTGAATCCGAACGTCGGGCCGACACTGAATGAACAGCCTCCGTTGTTGCTCCCAGCTCACGTTTCTGTGTTCGGGGAAGGAGGCGTTGATCCCGTTGAGATACTACCTCCGTCAACTCCTGACTCCGAAGACGAAGGCTTCATTCAATACTTGGACTATGATGATAACAGAAGAGTACGTATATGCGCGTAGCTTGTGATATACTTGACGTAACATTCTGTGACAGGCTCCGGGCATGGTACGCTATTTCGAGACGGTGGAGGAGATCGAAAAGTCCGCCAAACCGAGGAAGATTGTCTGCAAGAAGTGTGGAGCAGAGGGCGAGCATGAAACGTCCGAGTGCCGTGTGATGATTGTCAGTAGGCCTTCTCCGGGAGGTCGGTCAAGAATTTGATTTCAGCTAACTCATCGTTGAATCCCTTCCGTCAAGTGCTTGACCTGTGGGGCTCGAGATGAACATCCCACGCGCAACTGTCCAATCAGTAAGATCTGTCACAATTGCAATATGAGAGGACATATCAGCATGGTCAGCATCAGCATTACGTATCCACATCCACATCATCTCATCTGATTTCCCGACGTCTTAGACGTGCCCCAACCGTCACAGTTCTCGCCGTGGCACGGACAACTATGATATTTGCGGTAGATGTGGGTCTGGGACGCACAGCACCAAAGTGGGTCGATGGCGCGCATATATGCATGTCTCTTGTCATTCACCATCTTCAGGAATGCCCCACGCTCTGGCGATTGTATGAGTACGTCGACAACGTGGAACGCCAACTTATCATGAAAAACCGTGAAGAGAAGCGGGCCCTCGCACTGGGACAAGGCGGCGAAGGCTACATCGCAACAGACGAGTGGTGTTACAACTGTGGCGGATCCGGTCACTTGGGTGACGTGCGTGATCATTTAGTTCGCTACATTGAATCTTCTAATCAAATTCTTTCACAGGATTGCCAAGCCGTTCCCCACGTAGGAGATATGCCACGCGAACCGTCCGCGTTCGGTTCATACAATACGTCGTCAGGACCTTTCGCTGACCTCACTGAACGGCCTCTCTCGCGTCCAAATGCATCGCGCCCACCACGCGATTGGGAAGCCGCGGGCTCTTTTGCGGACGGCTTTGGATTTATCGCGCCAATGGACGTTGGGAAGAAAGGCCGATTGAAGGAACGCGAAAAATTGAGGAAACGCGCGCGCGAGCTTGAAGAAGCGGAGGATGACGAAGATGATTGGTTCAGCAGAGGCCCGTCTCGGCAAAGAAATCGTGATGAAGGCGGTCGGCGGTCCTCGAACCGGCGTGGGGAAGACAGAAGGGAGTTCTCGAGGAGAGACGATGGACGGCGGTATGTTGACGGCCGCCAACGGAGGGCCTATGAGGGCGACTCTGTGCCGTCACGGGAGACAGATGTGATTCACATACGGGGTGCGTCTCGGTACGATGAGCGGAGGTCAGACAGGTATGACCGACCGCGAGATCGCGACCGAAGGGACGAACGAGGACCACGGTACAAAGGTAGTTATTCGAGGTGATCTCCATACAATGTTTGTCTATGGGTACTTTTGTGGCCACAATATGCTGCATTGCCTTATCATGCGTACGGGAATATCGACAGTAACAGCATCTAATACATTCTTGAAAACACTACGTTGCAGTGCACTAAATGCACACATAAAGATAAGACAAAACCTCAATCCATTTGCAACATCTCAATGCAGGTCGACTGACGAGCAGAAGCGATGTCACAAAGAGAAGGAGGATCCCCCGACGACACAAGCCGGTACTGCAGTAGCAAGGTCATCACGTCCCCAGGTTGCAAGCAGAGCCCGAGGAGCAGGGGCGGCAAAAATTAGATAACCAATAATAGAGGCGGTGCCTCCATAATAGTGGTTAAACTATTAAGAACAGATACTACACTTGATCTAAGCCAAAAGGCCAGAGTGGTAAGGAATCATAGTGTCCGGGTGGCCCTTATATACTTCCAAGCGGTAGCGCGCACGGACCAGCTTGTTTGGTTCCACAGCTTTTGCCAAATAAACAACAAGGGGGTAACAGCGTCCGACATGTATATTCGACTGAATAAATACATAAATACATAAATAACACTCCGTTTCCGCAGTACTGTACGTACTCTTTTCCTATTCCCAGTAAATAGCGAGGTAAAGCGGGAATCTACTCTAGATGATACAGTGTGGTGCGAGTACCTATCCAACTGATACAGAATGGGTCGATCGGCATACAACTTTCACAATAATATCTGGCACAGAGCGGTCCATGGGAAAGTCAAATGTTCGAAGGAGAGTGATTATTCACCAGATACCGAACGAAGGAGAGGAAGATGTCACAGTGGGGAAGGTTTCGGCGCCATATCCCACGCTCTGGAACGAGTGGACAGCGGTCGGACTTTCGAGAGAAGGGCTTCGATACTGGAATCCTGGATATGGCTGCGACGTGATGAAACCGAGACCCGTGTCGAGGCCTAGCATGCGGCCAAGATTGTCGTAGGCATGCCCAGTATCCTTCACGAAGTGCGTAGAGTTCGATGGCGTAGGCATCTTCTTGGGGCTACGCTCTGCGTGCTCATCGTCGGAGAACACGTCTCGCGCTGGACGCTTAGAGCGCGTCGGCGATGATGGTGCAGCAACAGGAGTCGTAGTAGAAGGAGATATGGTCCGATCCAGCAGATTCTGCACGACGCGAGCCATTGACCAGGTCATCTAAAGGTGGATCGTTAGTTGACCTCGAGCGAGGCTCGGAGCAACAATGGCTCACCTCAATGCGTCGAAGCGAAGCCATCGTAGACCGAAGTCTAGCACTCGAGATGTCGTCATGACGTAGAATGCTCACTGCGAGATGCATAAGTCAGTTTCTTAAGATATAAAGGAGAATGATATCCGTACATGTAAGCACATCAATGATTCTACAAAGTGGACGTTCAGATGTTGATACGTGTTGACACTTTACGAGGATACGTACCCAGTGGCAAATAGATATCCAGGAAGGAATGCTGACATGAACTTCATCGGCTGGTTCTGCATGACCGTCACTAGTGTGGGAACCACTTAGACTACGAACGAAACATGGGGGACAATGCGGGCTCACATATCGACGAGATCTGGCCAGCAGCGTCTCGACAAAGGCCTAGGGCCTTCGATTGCATCCCTTCAGGGCCCGAATAGAAGCCCCTTGACAGGGGGCCATGGACGCTGTGCATAAGAACAGATTAATTATCAGCAACTGAAATTCGATGAAAACACTCACAACGCTCGGTACAAGAGGATAACCGCCCACCAGTATTGAATATGAAGTTCCAGAACGCACGGGGGCGGTAAGACGGAAATTCTGGATTGATCGAATTGCAACGACGGCGGTAGCGATTGCCGCCATTGCGAGAGCCGGTACTCCAAGTGTTTGGCGCGTATCTCGAGGACAGATTCCACCGGCTGGGCGATGGCATACAGCTCGTCCATGATCGAGGCGATGATGGAAGCTTATCGACGATTAGCCAAACTACTGGAGCGCAATGCTAGTTGATTGAAACTCACACAATGCGCGAGAACCATTCAAGCAGAGGAGAACGGTCGTCTCGCTCACCTGTTCAGTGCGGAGAGCGAATTCATGCGGGAGAGCGTAGAAGACGGTATCCTCATCCCGAAGCTGGCACAGAGTAAGTCTGAGAATGGAAGAACGGATGTATTAGCTGACCTGGCTGGTGTCCACTGGAGGGGTATCGAAGTCGGTAGCGCGGACCGCCGACGGCCGACCTAGCCGCGGTGTCAGTGCAATGGAAGAGGAAATTGCTCAAATTCATTACCAAGAAGCACAGAAACATATCTAAAGATTGGTAAACACCTGTTTCGGCGTGGGATCAAAGCACCATACCTGTCGGCGATCAGACAGCATGCCCAGATTTGCTGGCGCATCTGCTGTTCATCTTTCGTGACTAAACCTGACGCCGGCGCTGTGAGATTGTACACAGCTCGATGGATGCCCAGGGACTCGGCCTGCCAAGTAAGAAACTCAACGCCTGGAGCTCTCACATGTGATTGCGTGATTACATACCATCCGGATGGCCATGCCTATAGGAGGAAGCAATCAGCTGATATTCGCAATGACGTGTCGCCGTGGAACTCACCAATGTACATCCAAGCTGCCTCAACGAATCCTGACGATAGACAAATCAGAGCCAGCTCGAATCCCGAGTCATGCATACCCACCCATGCCGACGCTGCGGTAGCCGAGAAGCAACAATGCTTGACAAAGTAGCGGGTGCGACTGACCAGCCGTCGAGGCTAGTAAACGAATTGGTATGAGATTCCATTCGTACTCGCTCACGAGAGACCTACCAATGAGTTTCAGTGATTCAACGGCATAATCGCTGCTGTCTTGTTCTCCAGACTGGGACTCGATATGACGAGAGGCGACCGAAAAAACTGCAAGCAAAAGAGCGTCGAATGATATTCTTACAATCTCCGATAGAGCAGAAGAGCCTTGAACACCGCTAGAATAGATGCAGAATTACGTGAGATGCTGAGGGATTGGAGCATGGGGACAGAGCAAACCTATTCAGCCTGTGCCGTTTATAATTTAGAAAAAGCCGGGCGAACTGTGAAGAGGCGACTCACTTCTGATTATACAATGCTGTGAAGCAAGCCCTATTGATGACAGGGAACATGGGGTGGACATATGAAAAGAATGACTGTATGAGGCTGTGTTGTTCTGGCTCCGCAGGTAGGTTGGGTAGCATGGAGGAAAGGTCAGGAATCTGATCGATTCTCCTCTCTGCCAATGGCCAAGGGCACTCCCTGAGCACAAAAAATGAGCAAACGCAACAAAAACTGCGACTACCGCTTACAATTGCTGCTCGCGTCGGCCTGTCAGGATCCTCTGGCATTGGGACAGGATCTGCAACCCGCTGATGCGGTTGGCAATGCGCATCTACATCATTCTTGTTGGTCACAGAAAAAGAGCCCGTGGGTGAAGAAAATAGTCACCTGCGTATCCTGATCGACATACACATCCTCGATCTGAGGGGGCATCTTGATGTCTAGATCATCGGAATCGCCAGATTCACCTGTTGTCTCCGGTTAGATGAGCACGGTGAAACACGAAACGACGCACTGTCGATCTTCTCCAGACCCTCAAGGCTATCCCATCCCATCCGATCAACGCCAGAGGAAGACGGAAAAGAAGCTAGGGAGGACAAGGAAACCATCGGAGAGATAGGATGGGCTTTGGAAGGGAACGCAATATGGTTCGACATCAGCGGGAACGAAGCCCGTCTGGTTCTGGGATCCGGCGACGAGATTCCAGCATTACCCGTGTCGGTGGCGTTCTGCGGAAAGTTCGATCCAGGAGCTCGAGGTAGAAGCAGACGCTGCAGATTATCTTGCCAACTGCTGCTCGGACTCACTAAAGCCAGATTGTCTAAGATCCGTCCATCAAGTTTAACGCTTGCTCTCACAAGAGGGGGAAGATGTCTAGTTACCGGATCGCGGAGGGGATACCTGATTGCTCTTCGAGGAATCCGAGATGTCCTCACCAATGCCTGTCATTATCGATGCCAGAAAGTCTTCCTTCGTTGAGCCGAAACTGTTATCGACGCATTAAATCATACGATGTCAGTATCATGCGTCGTATAGAACTTACGGGTGTGCGACGCGGCCTTTCGGCCCAAACGGCCCAACGTCGACTCTCTGGATGATCTGACTAGCCAGCTGATCCTGAGATAGATCCTGGAGAAGACCGCGAGCACGTGGATCATCCGAGCCGATGATAGTGCCTAAGAGCGCTTCGACTTGATGCAGGCGACGCTCAATCGCGAGTATGTATCTAACGAACAGCGGTTGTTCAATGTTTTGCCTGAACATAGCATACGCTACTGCTCACCCTTTTGGAGGACCTCTCTTGTGGCTCGGGCCTGCAGAGCCGCTGAGCCGCAAGATCAATCTGACTGAGCCTGCTAGCACTCACCGGCATATGTGCAGGCTAAGCGATGTTGTCAGTCATGCAATGCGTTGAAGGGAAACAGGCAGCACGTACAGAGACCCAGAGCCACACACCCTCGGCAAGCTTGCTTGGTTGAAGCAGACTTGTCACGTTCGCACTTGCTTTTGGTTCGGCGACACTGATCGCAGGCTGCATAGACGATAAGGAAGCGAGAACAAGTGAGCGTCTGGCATGCGCGAGAACCAAAGTCTGCACGCACCGCGCGTGCTCCGTCGTCGTGAGGCGCGATCAACGCTCGCATGCCTCTCAGAAGGACTGTTGAGCCTCTCCTCATCGGAGGGCTCGGAGTAAGCAGCGTGCAAAGACATGGAGGGGGGGACTCAGTGGCGAGGTGCAGCTCGAAGGCAGAATAGGGAGGGTTATATGGCGCTGGACCGGCCAAATTGTCGGCTCCGGGACGCACTTCGCGGAGCTCCACGCAATCTTGGGATGGAGGTTTCGGTGATTGAATCGCAGCTCGTACCAAAACTTTCTATTACGGTCTCAGGCCTCAGAAGTGGACCCTCGTCCCAGAATCTGGTTTGCAAAACAAAGTCCGCAAAAAGTGTGACATCGAACCTATTTCACAGGTTCGATGTCACACTTTTTGGGCGGAAAGTCCAGTTCGTAGATGGAAATGCGAATCGAACCGCCGTCTAGATGCATGAGACGTGACGTCACTGCTTATTTCTGATTGTCGATAAGAGTTTGCGCTACTGTGGATGCCGAGCCATGCTGACGGTGCAATCCAATTGCAGAAGGTATCTGCGCGAAGTCAAATGAGCGCTGGGGAGTTCATGTCCGCGCTCTCTGTGCGGGGCTCATGCGGCCCTGAGTCACCTGCGCCGTCCGCCTTTCCCGAAAACAAACGCACCGCACGGGGCTGTCCGCCCCTATCGAGACCGATCCCCCAGGCCGGCGCTTGCTTGCTTGCAGGGGGATGTCGTCTGATGTATAACATGATTTGTCAAGAAAGATGATTTCGCATGTTCTGCATGCAATCCCGTCGCACAGCCGGCTCGGTTAGTCACTCGATACTCGACGAATGGGATACGCACGATCAGAGTATATACATATAAGATTTAATCCATGCGCCGCACTATAAGCGGTCTGGCTGGAGCTTACGCAGCAAAAAACTCTTGAGGTCCGCGGCGAGAATGCCTTCCAGATCCCGTGTACGAAGTAGCTTGGGACGAAGCGGAGTGGAGTTGCAATTCGTTAATGCGAATGCAGTCGAAGCCATTTTCGTGGACGAGCAGGCTGTCTCGTTTCTGATCGAACGAAATAATAGCTTTCACCAATCAGGATGCCGAGAAGTCCGTATGGCTGGACTTCGGGAGCCAGTTCTAAACTGGACAAGCGGGTCCAATGCCTCTCTAGGCGCAAGTACCCAAGCCAATGCCGGCATGTGGTTGCTCGGCGCCTTCTACGCTGCTGATCAGATCTGAGAAGAGCAAGGGCCTGAATTAAGTGGAAAAGAGTTCAGAGCGAATGCGACGAGCAGAAGATGCGAGTCTCGCAATGCAAAAAGGTTGCAGCTCAAAAACAGGCTGCAAGTTCTGCCCGTGAGCAGCTCCTGCCGTTTCGGGATATGCAGGTCTCGAAACGCGCCCGCGTGCAGCGCGACCATACCTTCGTCTCTGTATGCACTCTACTCGTCTTCCACGGTAACCTTCTCAGCGATGGAGAAAGAGGTAGTGCAGCTCGTGGAGATGGTATGGCTCACATCATGCTCTTTCGGTACCCGAAACCTCACATTCTCCGACGTAGGGCGCGACCGCGGCCCAAGCGCGAGCGGCATTGAAGAAGTATGGGGATGTCATGCAGGCAGCCGAACGCATATTTGATGGCGGCTTTGACCACATTACTGATGAGGATGATGGTGACGTGGAGATGAGTTCCAACGACGCGTCGGATATGCAGCCCAAGTCCAGGATGATCGTACGCGCCTCCTGACATCTCGCTGTGGGCCATTCACTGATTAGCATGGCCAGACGCCTGATGATGATGACGGGACAAACGAGGCCATAGACGAGGATGACGCTGAGGACGAAGGTATGCGTGCGTTTGATCTTATGCGGCGCCTCGCTCATCATGCATGATAGTGGAGGACTTTGCCGATTATGACTCGGACGATAGCATGAGGCCCGCAGCTGTTACCGTCTCCTCTACTGCCGATCCATACGCAGGTGATAATCTACGACATCCTCCTTGACTAATGCTGATGTTCGCACAGGCATCTTCTTCTCAAAAGACCGGCGTGAAGAAGTCATCGAAGTGGAGGAGGAACCGGAGGTTGTTTTTGTGCCCGAAGCCAATGAGCAAGTCACTCTTATGACTCAGGGACAGTGGATGAAGGGCTGCCCCGAGGGTGGAGAGCAAAGCTTCCTTTTCGGTCTCTATAGGGAACTCAGCGAAGGCGAGTGCCGCTGTCCTCATGGTTGTGGTGCGTCTGTCACCAGGAGAAAGCAGGATTTCTTCTCGATATTTGTGAGTTGATTCGCTGAGAAGCATCCGCAAACGTCTGACCGCTCCCTCAGGCCGAATTTGATACCTATGTGAAACATCTACAGAAAATCGTTCCTCGAACATGCACCAAGTGTAGAAGAACGTTCTGTTTCGCTTGTGGAGAGCCCATCGCTGTAGATTCTACCAAGTCACTGCGCTCTCCAACAGAGGATTTATCTTTATTCCATTGCTCCAATCTACAGGGTGTCATTCTCGGCATAGGTCTCGCTATGCTGGAGAAACTGTTCATTGGGCAGTCCCAGGATGTTCCAAGCAGTCAAGGGGGAAAAGTGACGGGTGGGAAAAGGCGGAAAACTGAGACTGTACCGCTACAGGTGTTGCATGATCACGACGAAGACGAGGATGAAGACAACTATTATCCTCCAGTCGGACAAGGGAAGAAAGCGAAGCTTGGTGTAGGTTATGCCGGAGACATAAGAGAGGATGTAAGTTGAGCCGTATTCTAGTATGAATGTCGCTGACATTCTGATATATAGACGTCGGGGCAACTTGAGGCATTAATGGCGCAGCGGGCGAATGATGAGAAGCTTGCGAACTTGCTTTCAGAGATTCGCGTCTTCCTGCCTTCTCTGCGTCGGCCTGGAGGAGCCCGAACAAGTGACTACCTCGTCCACCCAACTGCTCTGGCGCATCTCCGCCGACGATTCAACTTCGTCAGCAGTCAACTGCTACGGAATGATTCGCTGGCTGATATGTCTGACCGATCTGTGTTGTATCTAGAGTTGTTTGAATGGCTTGAGGTATGATTATCCTTGTGCCATGCATTGGCACATGTTGATTGACTATCTCCAGACGATTTCTTGTCACGAAGCGTTGGCTAGCATGATGGCTATGCCCATCATGGTTGTTGCATCCGTTAAGACCGTTGCCGGAAAGAAGATGCCGACGAAAGGGAGCCCCAGGATCCGTGAGCGTGCAATTGTTTACGAAGGCAGCTCTGGGCCACGGGAACTTCTTGAAGCGATCGTCATTCAAGCCTCTGCGGCTCTTAAAGGTCTTGAGGGACCGAAGCAGGCCGAATCGGAGGCGGAAATGACGGAGGAACAGAAGCGGATGACCACTGATGACAAGGGCAAGGCACGGGACAATGGGCGCACATTGTCCGAGGAGAACACCAAACTGCTTAGCTTCTGTCAGCGCATACTTGCTACTGCCAAAGCCATCGATCGTTCTCTCGGTGAGACGAAGGGAGACGCGTTCGTTCAGAGATTACATGCGAGTCTCCCAAAAATCCCTGGCTCTTCTCACGCAGACAACCCGGAGGTCCAGGCTGGGGAGACGGAAGAAGACACTATGAGGGCCTATGTAAAGTGGGCGAATAGGGTGCGCTTCGAGTACTGTGATTTGACAATTCCGCCGTCCGAGGCGCCAGCGCCAAACACCGACGACCCGACACCACACTACAAATTCTATTTCAACAATGAAGCTCGTATGCTGGCAAACGCCGACATTCCGAAACGTTCTCTTGCCATTGCAAAAGAGGTGCGTCGACGATGTTATGCGCGTTCCACAGCCGAATCATGACTGGTATTCTCCAGCTTGCCGTGCTCACAACCAATTTGCCCGTTGCCTGGAATTCGTCGATCTTTCTGCGGGTGGACGAGACCCGTGTGGATGTCATCAAAGTTTTGATCACTGGTCCCGAGGGTACTCCGTATGTTTCAACATAATCTTCTAGCTCTCGCTCCGCTGATCTTCAATACCCGCCCAGTTACTATAACGGGTGGTAAGCGCCTTTTGCTGCGCGTTGGGGTTCCGAACTCACCGGCGGCCACCCCAGTTATCTGTTCGATGTGTTCCTTGGACCAAGCTATAATCAGTCGCCTCCGAATGTCAAATATATGACGGTAAGAATGAAGACTATCTACTTCGCGAAGCCCCTGAAAACGGTGACTGCAGACCAACGGAGGCAAGTTCCGATTCAACCCAAATCTGTATGCGGTTAGTGCGGTGATTAGAACTCAGCATGTGGCGTGGTCTCACCTTGACCATTAGGATGGAAAGGTCTGCTTGTCTCTCCTCGGGACATGGACCGGTCCTGGATGGGTAGCAGGCAAGTCAACCCTGCTTCAGGTACGTCGACCGCCGTACCGGAGCCTTTTTGGCCTGTGACTAACGGTGTCTTTGTAGGTGCTCATATCGATCCAGTCAATGATCCTTTGTGAGGAGCCGTATCTGAATGAACCCGGGTGGGCACAAAGTGCGGGTACTCCCCAGTCACGCGCATGTGAGCAATTCGCCCAGTGCTCTTTTTAGACATCGGGTTCACCTTCACGCTCGTGCAGACTCGGCCAATGTGCGACGAATGGTGGTCAAGACTGCGGTAACCCCTTACGGCCCTTGTATCCTCATGAATCGTACTAATCACCTTCGTATAGATGTTGGGAAACCTGAAGAATCCACCGGAACCTTTCGAGGATGTCATTCGGACTCACTTCCGTCTCAAAGCACGCTCGATCATGGCGCAGCTCGACGATTGGCTGGCACAGGATGATGGCAAGCTTACTGATGATGGTGGGTACAGTGCTCACAAGACGACAGCGACGGGAAGCTCGAATGGTTTCCAAGCCGATGTGCAGGAGCTCAAGTCGTTGCTGACGCAGCTGCAGTCCGGCACTGCTTAGCTTGCGGACAGATTGACGTGTTGCTTCAGATGCATAGTCTTTACTACTTTCTTTACCACGGGCAAGTGTCGGTGAAATTTATATATTTTCGTACGGACGACTTTCATGTGTTCCCGTCGAGCCGGCGAGATGTGAAATGTGGCTGTGATTGGTGAGACGCTGGGGGCCCATGTGATTTCTCCGCATGCCACGGAGTTGTCCGCGGCCGATCATGATTACCGCCGCGTGGCTAGCGCGCGGATTGAGTGCGCCTCTTGCCTTTGCCATATATCCTGTTGCTCAACGTTCAACCCTGGTGTGATTGAGAAATCTATACCATAATGCCTAGCGATTCGGTTATCCATGCTGTGGCTGGTGCGGCTGGCGGCATCATAGCCATGTCGGTCTCATAGTGAGCCGCTCTTGAGTAGCCTGCGAACGCCGTTGGTGACAAATTGCGACGACAGTCCCCTCATTTTCCTCTCAACTAGAGCAGCCGTAGAGACGAAGAAGGAGCATAAAGTGAGCCGGCAAGAACCGTGTCTGCGAGCTGCAGTGACAGAGTGTTCGGGCAGTCAACCTATGAAGCGATTATAGATGTTATCAAACGCGAAGGCTTCCTCGGCTTGTACAGTGGCCTCAACTCCAGCCTCCTGGGGATCGCTATCACGAACGGGTACGTAACAGTCGTCGCAGGTCAACAACTGACATTTCGAGCCGCGTCCATCAGAGTCTATTATTACTTCTACGAGCGGTCGCGCGGTGCCATACTCTCCTCTAGAGCAGGAGGGAAGGGACTGAGCACTACCGAGTCCATGCTGGCGGGACTCATCGCCGGTTCCTCCACCACGATCATAAGCAACCCCATCTGGGTGATTCAGACGTCCCAAGCCGTCCAGTCGATGAGCCAGTCTTCATCAGCAGAACCCGGTAGTCCGAAGCCCAAGCGCTTAGGCATCGTTCAGACCATCAAGTACATTCTTCGAAAGGGTGGTATTGGGGCCTTCTGGCGAGGCATTGGGCCCGCGTTGATCCTTGTTGTCAACCCTATGTTGCAGTATACTGTCTTTGAGCAGCTGAAGAACATATTGGTGAGGCGCAGGACGGCTCGATTGCGAGCAGCCGGTCCCGCAGCTGCGGCGGCCATTGCTGTCCTGTCTGACTGGGACTACTTCCTTCTTGGTGCCATCTCGAAACTAGGTGAGCGTGAAGGATGTTATCGTTGCACTCACTGGTTGATTCGCAATTCAGTGGCTACATCGACGACATATCCATACATGTGAGTACCGTGGTTTCCGTGTAGTCACTCGCATTAAGATGACCCGTTGCGCAGCGTGGTCAAGAGCAGGCTGCAGGCGGGACAGGCGCATGCGCTCAAGTACAAGTCCTCGCTCGACGGCCTGCTGACCATCATCCGGGAGGAAGGGATCGAAGGACTATACAAGGGCGTCGGTAGTAAATTGCTGCAGAGCGTTCTGACCGCAGCTATCCTCTTCATGGGCCAGAGAAGGATCTATGAGATCACGAAGCAGGTAGGCGAGATACGCATATGGTGTGAAGGTGGCGCTCAACTAGATTCAAAGGCTGTTTCCCCTGTGTTGATTAAATAGATCAGTCGTGCTAGCAGAACACTTTATGCCTAATATACCAGGAACGCTTGTTCCAGAGTTTGTTTTAGTGAGACTGAGCACTAACACATAAGGAAGACTCCCCTGTTACGGATAGGCAGGCGCTCCATGTCGGACCTAACAGGGGGACGGCTTTTAGCCCCCGGCCAAAGTCGGTCCAGTTGCCCAGCACCAGCCGTTCGCACGTGGAAGGGACGCTCACTGCAGCCGATAGTTGGCGACATTCCGTCTTTCTGAGAACATGTAGAGAGCCACTTCCGTTACGCTATTGCTCATGAACTATCAGGAGTATGATGTGTCATGCTGATCAGCCACAGCCCAGCCACCGCCGTGCCACGCGATTCAAGCCCCGCTCTAATCGCTAATCGGACGACCTCCGCTCGGTCTTTGAAAGCCGCAGTCCAAGAGGAAGCAAGTAATTATTAATGACAACTGCCTTTACAACATTGATAGAACTGTATATAACTGCTGCCTACATGAAATGATAGGATGTCAAGGAAAGGAAACTCAAAAGAAATCCAACACCCTTCTCATAATAGGAATCGCTACTTTTTTTTTGCAGTGGATATGAATGCAGAAGTGAACAAATTAATAATTAGTTTTAGCATAGACTGTTTACATAATTGGCGCGTCACGTGCGCAGGAGCAAATATGGCACAGGGTCAGGTAGAGTGCGCAGGGCTGGTACTGCTTCGTCGAATGTTGCGATACTGTAGATCTCATGCTTTTTCCCGTCAATTTCATGCTACGGTGCAAAAAGCCACGTCTCACGAACACAATATTCAAGATATGTATCTTTACCCTGTCGATCAACTGAACCCCGCTATCACCACGAGGCGTGACAATTCGCCGTCATCCTCTGAACCCGCGCAGCCGACACCTTAAGCGGCCGCGATGAAGGGACGTTTTCGTATTAACAAATCTGCTACTGCCAAGGATACCTGTGGGTGCCGTCAATATGCACTTTGGGGCGTTAGGATGAAGAACTGTGACCGATGGAACTGCATCTCTACTCTTTGCTCGGACATCGCACGACGATAGTAAGCATTGTCGGTCGGCTTCATGATTATCGCAGCTTTGTGAGGAACTTTCTGTGAGCTAATGCCCGATGTCGAATAGATTGTTCACATGTGCAGCGACGGCTGAGCGTCTGGAACCCCGGAATAGCTATCATGGATAGCGGGCAGTGGCATCGCTCACAATGGCTGCAGTATGTACGCATATCAAACACCATCCGCGTCGTTTCCCATGCTGATTTCCCCTTATCACGTCCTTTCCAGCCAAGTACGATGGCTCTCCGGTGCAATATCACCCGGTTGGTTGTAGATGAGACCTATCCTTATATTGACGGCTCTTCTGTGGCAATTTGCTGGCATGAGTACCAGAAAAAAACAAGGGGCCACGAACGATGGCCAAACCGAGATTTCTCCTCTTCCGTGGTCGGTATTCACCGCGGTTGTCCAGCTTCACTACTCACAGTCTACCTCAGGTATCAGCATTGAAGCACACGGCTTGCAGGGTTTTGTCGGTTCCTCGACAACTTGTCACGTCTTACGCTATCGATGGTGTTCAGGCCCTCGAGGGACCAGAATCTCGTTATCGACCATGGATTTGATACTTCTCACAGCATATCATATTGTTCTTCGCAGTAATCGGCAGAAGAACATACATTCGCCGTGAACAATACGAATGGCACGGTTTGGAGCGAAGTCCGGATGGACTACATTCTGTTCATCTCAGGCCTGGCCGCTATATTTCAGCTCTTCGCCGTCCATGACAGCCTCACAGACGTCCTCTGCTTTGTCAGCATCCTCCCCACATCATCGATGGCTCCTTCTGCAAGCATGACTTCCTCCGTCATACCTACGTTCACGGGCGACCCAGCAGTACTATCGTGGAAGGCGCTATCGACGGAGCTGTTGCTTCGTTGCTGGGACTCACTCCGTGTATCTTCTACGCGTGTGGGCAAGGAATCTTTACGAATATGAGTCCGAGTGAGATAGTTTCAGTAATGCTCGGTCACGTTATGATCATTCTCGAGAGTGGGAATGTTTCACCCCTTCGCATCATGGAGTGAAGATGACGTGCCCATTGCGCATAGTACCGAGAAGCCTCCTTCTCACATCATACAATGGAAACAGTTGTTTTCGAGATCCGCCGCACTTTCCGTCGTGATTGTTCACGGCATTGGCGGTGGGCGCCATAGCTCTGCGCGAGGAGATTCCGATATCTTTCAAGGTCCTGCTGTCCGCGGTGGAACAAGCGACGGGCGGAGTGGCCGTTCTGTTGCATATCTTACAGCATAGCGGTTCGACCTTTAACGCAGGAGATATTCCACTAGCCCAACTCTGAATAATCGATTTGTATATCGCTCGTAGTTACATATATGATAGCGATAGACTGATCTCGAGGGACATCTGCTCTCCGACGAGTCGATGAACTGATTGCTATTAAACATCAGCATAAGAGAGGGCAAAACGCCGTAAAACGTCGTCTGGGAAACTCCGCGTTGCCGATCACGGGATGAGATCCAGCAAATTCGAGACAGACATCGCACGACATTCTAAACAACAGAGTTGAAGAGCATAGGCTCTGAACTGAAGCGGCAGCATGGAGAATCAAAATTCTGGCACAGCAGGATACATCACAACGTATACGGAAGCGATACGCACGAGGTAGAGTGGTCGTGACACAAATCAAAGCAGGCCATCCTTCGACGATCTTTGCGCATTGATTGTAAGTGCGTGAGCCATCCAAGATGTGGTGGACAGAGGGGGGAAAGTGCGACGAGCATGGGCCTCTGGCAATTCGCGTATTTCGGGTGACGAAAAGACGGCTTTGAATCGGACCTTTGGACGGGAAAAGTTGCTGAAATGGCAAATAGTTTCCTGCGCCAAAGTGAGGGGTCCTAGCTGTTGTTTTTGACACAATTAAAACGGAGAATTCGATAAATGCACGTGCTAACATGTTCGACCTTTCCTTCAGCCGTCACCATTCAACGACATCTGTCCGCCGGACCAGATGCTCTCGTTCTATCGCTCCGGTACTTCCCTGCACCGTACTTTCGGAGACTACGATGCTGCCGCACCCCGGATGCCGCGTGAAGCTGGCATGAAGCACGAGGCTACGGAACTTCTCGCGCTACGTTTGCCGCCCGCACTCGCGGCCTGCGCAATCCGTTAACATCGTCTGGATGTATTTCTGAGCTTCGCATGATTCCTGCATGATATCTGAGCCTCTGATATTCGCTTTGGTGCCTGTATTCTCACCGTTTATTTCCGTCAATTCGATGCAGGAGCGCCTGCGGTTCATCCCGGTTCGATTGAGGCCAAGAGGATCTTCAAGGGCATCTGATGGTCTACATGGAGTTTTGAGTGGCTGCGGTGAGTCTCTGCGGTGTAGAGCGTCGGATTTGACGAGAATTCACCCAAGATACACACTTACCCTTTCAGGTCATAGTGGATTGACACGAGGGTACGGAGCGTTTGATCGACTGCTCGGGACATCAAAGAGCGGAGCCAGATTTGCTTTGGATCCGCTGCTTCTCGATATACATATGCTTCTCGGTCTTCGAAGGTTCCGCTTGACTGTCAAATCTCGATTGAGAAAAGGCGCTTACGTGTCACGGATACCTCAGGCTGAACTTTAACGTTGCAGTTCAGCCGCCACCGCAAACGTTATCGTTTATGGCCTCTTCCATATACTCGTTTCTCCTTTGCCAAATTCGACCATAGTCTACTTCGCCAGGTGGCCGATGATCCAGCGAACGTGGTCGTCGCGATGCAGGTACGCCCGAAATCTCACGAATTCATCATAGAATCTGGCAATGTTTACGAATGTTCTGTCTAGCCGTGTGATAGTTCTCACCGTCGGAAGAAGAAATACGTATCAGCGATTTACATATGTACGCTGATGGTCGTGCTACGTAATTTGTAGCCCAATTTGTTTACAGACGGACCCGAGGATTCGGCGCCGGAGCAATGAACGTATTGGCTTCAATTTTCAGAGACTAAGGGCCACAAGTACTTTTGTATGTCCAACTCGGTGAACATGAACTCGTGAGTCTCCAGACTTTTCATACAGTGCAATGAGTTCGTTTCGCCTCCCTTAGAGCGCTCTTATGTTAAGTTTGCGATTCAATCCGCTAACACTGGCGCTTTATCGCAAGAGAAATGGAAAAGAACCAGTGGGAAGTCTTACTGATACTGTTGTTAGAATTTTGCGGCACGCCGCAAGCAAGTCACGCCGGCGACCCGCACCGTAGGGCTCGTTTAAATTGGTCCGCATAATTTTGCATTTTTTGTGTCAATGAGAAGGCTGTTAACGTCTCAATTCTCTTCTAGTCCTCCATCGACCTGCATTCGTTGAGCCGTTGAATGGGCTGAGAGAGTCTCGAGCCGGCTGACTTGTCAGCGGAACGTTCTGCAGATCGTTCGGATTCTTGGCCTTCTCCTCCGGTCCCCAGAGCTTCGTACCCCCAATATCCACAGAGTCTAGCTTGTCGGTATCCCCTCCTGCGCAATCTCGCCTTTCAGCTTAATGGCACAACTCTCTTGAGTCCAGTCTACTGGACCCAGCTATGACAATCAAGGGTGGTCAGAGAGCTGTATCGATGCCTGGAACGGTGCGTCACTCCGCAATTGGCGTTCGAACGGGGGTCATCGGACAGACAGTTTGCAGGGATGAACGTTCATCTTGAACGGCACATTCTCTGGACCCTTCTGCTCATATTGGCAGGTCTGGCGTTATTCCAGCGTCCGACGCCAATAGGGCGACATTTGCAAATTTTCCGGCCTCTCGAAGCAGAGGTTCAAGAAAATCTTGTCGACCGACCATATCGGAAGGTTTATGGTGAATCTCTGATATATTACGATGAGAGGTTTGTCGTCTCGAGATACGCCGTACGGAGGCCGCCAAATGTATCAGGCATTCGGCCAGGACCGTCGGCGAAGTTAGAATTATGGACAAGCAACTGCTACCCGCAAGCCCTTGTTCCCATTAAGGATAAATGCGAACATTACGACATTACGCTTAGAAAGATCACGGTCTCGTTCTCATGAGCGGATTCTCCGCTCTGATACGAATTGATCTTCAAGTGATTCTCTGACGCTTCGGGGACGAATGTCCTTTCTCCATGGGATTGTTCATATCTGTTGTCTTTGGTCCTCCGTCTAAACCACGACTGCTGCGGAAGGTTGCACTAGACACTGGCGGATTTGTCAGCTCTCGATGCTTCTGATGGTACTACTTATCGTCTAGCTCAGAGACAGTCTCGTCAATGCACTCCGGTATTCAAACGATACGTCCAGAGTCGACGACGAGCTGGCATTCCTCACAGAAATTCTGATCATCAGATCGTTCACGTAGCGGAAGTGTGGGATTTGCGGCTGCTGTTAGGATTGAGTAGTCCCCTTGTGCGATATAGCAAATTTAACCAGATTCATCGTCGCTAGGGACGTTGCCATCGATTAATTGCCGTTTAGATGGCTGGCTGGAATATTTGCCGTGTTCACAATTATAGTCTATGATCTATGTCTGCACAACACTAAAGGCATTGCAGCATGTGGCAACCAGTGATTGCCCTGTGCGAGACTCGACTTAGCGTTCAGACGCTGATCGATACCCCGCGGAAGCTGTTGGCGCCCAGCTCTATCGGCGCAAGTCGTGTGTCGTGGAACCACAATGTTCCCATTTGTTCCCCGACAAATTGCCCAGTCCTCCAAGACTGCTTCCGTCCCACCCGTTTCCCGAACAAATGGCCTCCACGCTGTTGCGGCTGAGCAAGATGCCGTCCCAAGTGCTGTCACAGAGCCGTTAGGTTCCACGGCTAGAGACAAGCAGTCGGGTAACGACACGAACGACTCAGACGATCTGGTGGTTCTGCTCTGGCTCAGTTTGTCCGACCATGCTGTATGGTCGGACCCGCAATTACGCGAGATGATTGCATCCGGCCGAGACGGATGTATGTGTCATTTTTTTTTCAACGATGAGTATCAGACTTGATGCTACAGAGCTGCCTGTACAGATGTTCCCTTGCGCTATGTGCTGAGGCATTCTGATTATGTGAGAGCTGTGAACCCATTGCCGCTGGAAACAGCTTTGGTGAAGATACTTCGCAACAAAGCCAGCGATATTTTTGATGTTCGCATGACAATGACGATGGCATCCCAGTCTACATGGTATAGGTCATATCAGGCAGTCGATCAAGACCAGTCTGGCGGCTTTGAGATTCGAAGAAGAGACTGGGAAACACTCCCTCGGCGGTTGCGCGAATATACCAAGCAGGACTGGGATTTGAGGTCTGTGTACATAGTACGTCTAGACCCAAATGCAGATGTTCCAATATCTAATGGCTGTGCATAGGAAAATCTACCGCCTCAGTATTCTAGTATGCCAGGCATCGCTCGCTTCGTAGCATCCCTGCTTGCAGACCAGACGGGGCATCTGCGTGCCTCGAGCTTTGTGCAGAGTGTCTGGCTTCCCCGTCACCATCAAGATAGACCAGGCAGTCTGCCTAAGTGTAAAGGATTTGCGGTTGTTACCATGGCAGAGAGTCGACACGCTGAATCGCTGCTCTGCGATTGGCCTTGGAACACCAGAGGGCCAAATCAGCAAAATGCGGTGCTCGCTATAGAGGCACAAGAAGCGACGAAATATAGCTTCCGTTCACTGTCAAAGGCGCGTTGGGATCGGCTTGGGGAAGAGTATCTCGGTCATCGACAGAAGCTGCTCGCTGAGATTGCAACTAGCGAATCAAAAGCAGAGCGAAGCGCGGAGGTGATCAGACTCTCAATATCCGAGATCCCCCAGCAATCTTCTCCTGCCGTTGCTCCTTCTGGCCCGCTACCAACACCATCATCAGACATACGCGCCTCGTACCCTCGTGAATGTTTGGTCTTCGTGAGGAACATACATCCCGAGACGAATAAGACCACACTACGCACCTTGTTCTCGCGCGCGTTTCCAAACACGGCTGGAGATACCAAGGTGGATGCAATCGACTACGTCGACTTCAACAAGGGGATGGATACGGTGGGCAATCTCCTAAGTTTCCTGATGCTGATCACAGCTACATATTTCCATTGATTCTAGTGCTACTTGCGTTTGACCGCACCACAACACGCTCGCACATTAGTGGCATCCTTAAACGAGAATCTCGTAATGCAAGCTCAAGGACTCGACTCCACGGGTACACAAGTTCCTTACACGAACAAGATCAAACCAATCACGGCGAAGATCGTCGAAGGGACCAGAGAAGAACTGTACTGGAACAAAGTTCCTGAGAAGGTTCGTTTACAGGCCATGAAGAAAGCGACCACGTCATCCGCATCCGCCCATGACCAAACGGGTACGAACGATACCAATGAAGTGATCGGACAAGGAGAAAGCAAGCGAAAGCGCAGGCGCAAAAAGTAAAGCATATTGTGTGGCGGCACATAGAACAGCTATTTCCGAAATCCTCTCGTTTGTAGTAATATCTTCGCCTTTCAGATTGTTATGAACATCGTGCTTCGTATAAGCTACAATCAGAGGGCTACGTGCTGACGCCTTCCTCCCGCAACCTCTCGCGGACGCGCATGAGTGCTTTGCCAAGTTGATTTGCGCCTTGTCCTATCGGGCCATCTCCAAAGAATGAATCTTGACTGTCCGAAACCAGTAAGCTTGTCGTTCCCGTACCCATCAGCAATGCACGAAGAGCTGGATGCTGGATGAACTTGTGATACAGCACTTCATCCAACTAAACAGAACGTGTAGAACACAATTCAGCAACGACCTGTTGAGACAATTAACAGTCCCGATCACTAACGTTTTCCAGGACGACGCGCTCCCAATCTGGTCGCACTTCCGAACTAGCGCTCTCGGAGACTGCACGCGCTTCCTCAACAGTCGGGCACGCACGAATACGCTCCGCGATATCTGGTTTATGCCCCATAAACTTCATCGCCTCGAACAAGTGGAGAGCGGTCGGATACGATTTATGCTCATAGTGTACTGGATGTGGTGAGTCGTGAAGAAGCGATGCAAAGTCATTTCCACGATGAATCTTGATAGTAGCATGCAACGGCGCAGGTGTGCGTACGCGATGAGCACTGCTCGACGGTCCAGGCGTAGGCACAGAAATTGTCGTGACAGGATTAGCGGGCATCCGCATGGGACGCGGTGTACCCGTACTCGAAACGATTTGCACGATCTGCGGTACGGGTGGATTAGAGGCATACGCTGCCCCTTCAGCCGGCTGGATTATAGGAACTCGATTATCGTCATCCTCGTGGCGTCGTCGTCGCGATCCGAAAGCACTGAATAGACTCCCTCTGCGACGGTGTCTTCCACGGGTACCGCTACTAATTATTGTATCGGTAGGGACACTTGGCCCGGCCTCCATGTTAGCGGTCTGAGGCTGTCTCGCTGGAAGCGTGAAGGATCGTTTAAGGGTGGATTCGTCGATTGGGCGACGGAGATCCTCCAGGATGGCCATGTAAGGGGATAGTTCAAACAGATCCTTCGGAGGAGCGGGAAGAGGGTTCCGTAGAGGAGACGGGGCACGATACGTTGGCACATCACGAAAGCCATGTGAGCCGGTGGCTGAGCCGGGACCTTGTGGAGGATGAGAAGGGGGAGCGTCGCTGGGTATCTGCGGCTCAGGAAAGGAAAAAGGCTCAGGCATCGTAGCCTGTTGAGGTATCTGCGACATGTTTAGGCCTAAGGAATTCTGTCGGCGACCGATGGTAGGTATCACTGGTTCATGCATAGGCTCTGCCACATTTTGTTGGAAGAATTGCCGCTGTGAAATGCCGGGAACGGCGTTAGGTATGACATTCTGTGCCGCTGGAAAGGGTATATTGGGGATGACGGGCATTTCGGCCGGCTGGCTTGGCTGCGGAAATCCTACAGGAGGTGGAGGAGCCTGCTGCATGTACTGTAGGTACTGCTCTGGCCCTGCGTCCCTTGAGCATTACTTCGTCAGCTTGCTGTGTATCCAGATCGACAGTGGTGTGATGACGCACGAAAGTACTGCGGTGAAGCTTGAATGAATGGCACGGAGCCGTACACTGGGCCATATCCCAGCTCGTCATAATATTCGTCTGAAGGGGCCATTGGCGCCGTTGTGTGTCGTTTCCCTGACCTCAGAGAGCGCGAAGGAGGCGGAATAACAGCTGGGTGGCGGTAGTCGGGAGTAAAGAATGTTTTCCGTTTCGAAGAATTGTTTCCCATGAGGTACGCGATGGGGACGATGGCCTACTCTGGTCAGATATTCTACGTGAATGTGCCGCCTGAAGTACGGTAAACGTCTGCTTTCGCTCTATCAGTACGATGGTGGCGTGGGCGCGTTCGGTGCCGCGGTCACGTGCCTGGTGATGGCGGTACAAGCCCGCGTCCAAGTTCGTTCGGTTTCCGTTCCTCTCGTTCCAACCGCTCCGGATTCCAATTTCTGGGAGTCACATGAACTCAACTCTAGGAAATTACGAGCACGAGAAACGGTCACATATGTAAATGGCTGGTTCGTAATACTTCCGCACGCAATCACCGCCGATGGCATGGTTGAATATGCGCCAGTGCAACCCTGGTATATGGCGACGCTTCGGATCTTGTCCCACTTGGGAGGACAAGGATCCCACGATTAAAAAAAAAACAATTGGCTAATGGCAAAGGCTCGTCCGAAGACCGTCTCTCTAATTCTTCCGCTAAGTTTGCATGATTCGACAGGGGGGAGAGTCTTCTTGATTCTCTAAAATACGGCACCAAATAAACGCTCTATGGAAAAGGCACTTGCCCAGAGAATAACCAACGCTTGTAGCTGCTATATTTTCGCGGCCCGAAGACGACTTCTAGTCAGTCGAAGACAGGTTTTGACCGCTCAGGAGATCGCCAGTTCATTCCTTGCGGCAACCTCCTAACGTCACGATTCATATCCCCTGGGTGGTCTCGACCATCCCTTTGCCGAATTGCAGGGCTCGTTGTCGGTCGAGTCCGAATGCCGATATCGCATGATAGCTTCCGGTCTCAAAATTGCTCACGTAAACGGTCGTTCTATGGTGCGCATCTCACGCTGAAGCTGAAGCTACTCCACTTTAATTAATTTTAGTTGAAAAATTCTTAAATGACACTATCGCTGCACATCGTTTGGACGGTGCAGGCCGTGACGTGATATTGACCACATGTAGAACTTCCATCGTGTTTCCCGCAGTGCATCGCATGGCTGGAGTCAGCCCATGTCTGGTCCGGTCCTTTAGATAAGAGTCATCCGCAGAAGATCAAATTTATGGGGCATTTGACGTTTATTCGCTCCAACTTCCTGGGACATAGTCAGGATAGCCGACCACCGAAGCTCGACACCACGTCCAGGCCAATGCTTCCGAAGGACCCCCCATTCTGGCCGAGATTTTAACAGGAGGATTATGAGAGCCGCGATGTTCTCGCATTCTTCACACGAATAATAGGGAAAACGGCGATTTTGGAAGAAATGTCGCTATCCTTTACGACAGACGGTGATTAGCTGTAACTGTATGGATTTTATTTTTTTGAGAACTCTATGGGTGGCGAATCCGTCGCTGCGTCGACCGCACCATCAATTATCGTCCTCTTTCCAGAGTCATGCTATGTTGCTTGCAAGATCGTCCTCAATCGCGGGAGGAACGCGGCCAATGCTCGCATGTACCGTGAACTTTTGATGGACTGGAGCGGCCTGAGTTGCCAGAACAACTATGCAAGGATCACAAGTGTTTTCGTCTTATGTTGTGCATAACAATGCAGCGTGCACCGAGTGAGTCCGCGAGGATCGTCGGAACGACAGCTATTTCCCCCATCAATATCACACATCCGCCTTCAATGCATTACCTTTGTAATGTAAGGCAACGAAGGAATGGGTGACGAGCTTTGCCCGCACGTCGGGTTGTCAATCTACACTCAAGCAGGCCAGTAGCTTAACCTTCCTCGTTGATGGCTCAATCTATGGATCAGGCCTGGTTACCGGCTGCTCAATATCATACCCACATCCCTGACAGGGGGGCTATCTTTAATTTAACATCAATACTACAATCTTCAACGCCGGAGCGTCCACCGGGCTGCCGATCCGCCTTAAAGAGAGCGAGGCTTGAGCGACCTGTGTTGTTGACCCAAAGGAAGATGGGACGCTGCCAGTATGTGAGAGGTATATTGAAGTGACCGCACTATGATTGACCTTGTCTCCACCTGCCAGACAGCACGTACATCCCATCAAATTGACCTGGACGAGCCTGGTGGTCAGCAGCCTGTCGACGTGAACAGCCTTCAGTAACGCAGAATTTTACTCAGGGGTCGATAGTAGTGCAATGTGGGCATCCCTCTGTACAACCCTTTCAAGCATCAGCACTAACGTTGCGGCAGGTAGTCATATTCTTCCTATCCTGGTAGGAACGGAAGAAGCGATCACTGAACCCGTAGATTGGCGGGTTGTGTAGGACGACTCGGACCGCGATTCGCGCTAGCGAGAGCAGCTCGAGATGCTACACGTTGCAGACTACAGGATCGCGGGGATGATACGCGAAGCATGGACAATCGAGATCTTCGAGGTATTATTGGTGCGATTGTGGTAGTGCGGAACTCGATGGATCTGACTTTACGTACTGATCCAATTGGCTTTGGGGATGCAAGGAGGCATATGTGGCGAAAGCTGACCACATCGGCGACCTGGAACGCAGAATTCGATTTGGGACGATGCATATCTAACCTGCCAATGTCGACAGCGGCTATCGCTCTTCCTTTGCCGCGGCCATTGAAATGAACGAGACTAAAGCATAAAAATTGTTTATCGTGGCATGGCATCGATGTTATCATATTGATTGGGTATTTCAGGTACATCAAAAACCCATTATACAATGTTTGTATGAGCTCCGTAGAAAGTCGCATCATTAAAGAGATTGCTGCTACTGGGTACTAACATGCGTCCGACCTTCAATGTCACAAGCTACACCAGGCACTGTCTCAGGTGCTTGACGTGGCATTGTATATTACGACATTGCTTGTGAAGCCATATTCGTAGGGAATATCTCCCTGTTCAACACATTAGCAGTGTATGCGACTTCCCAGATAGTACGACTTACCGGACAATCTTCGTATGTCTCGACAACCGTGAGGTAGAACGTGGCATTCGAGAAGATCTGGGAGCCCTCGGCGGCAGCCGAAAAGTCAGGCATGGTCAAGTTGTTAGGTGGGGTCTGCATGGGCGGGAGACCTAGATCACGTCGAATCCAGTCAATACCACAGATCTGAGCATGGGAAAAGTGCACGCACCGAAATTGTTAATGAGCCATTTGCCAAAGTAGTACAGATAAGTGCCATTCTGGAACGTTCCGTCGGACGCCATGTCATCGATGGAAGGCGGTTGCTCGAACAGCCACACTGTTATGGGCTCGTAACCCGACTCGCAGTAGTTGACCGAGTCGAAAACGAAGTCAAATACCGCTCCAGGGGCGATAGCGGTGTAGTTGGACGGTTCAACGATCGAGCCAGCTGTGGGCACTACGATCTGCCGCTTTTCTGGGAGGTGTGCTGCAGATCCATGCAACATTGGCATGCTAAACAGTGTCAGCAGAAAGGCCAGTGAGAAGAACTGTGGCTGCATGTTTGGTGGCCTTCTGTGGTTGGGGGCACACAAAGCTCGTGTGATGAGTTCCTTGGGGTATCGGACTGCAGCACTTATATATATTGAGCCGAAGTAGCCGTACGCTTACATAGATGACTGCCTTGAGGTACGGATCAAGGCACGATGAAACGTCTACACCGCCTTGACCTTGACGGCCCCGATCCTCCCTATATGCGATGAGGGCGTCTGTCCGTCAACCGGCGGTCTCGACTTTCAATCACCTAACCAATGGGAAGCGTCATACTCTCCACACGACTCGTAGTGCCGGGCTTGTCATTTGCAAAAGAGAGGCCGACAGTCATGGAAGTATTTCCCGATGATATCATGGATACTACGACTGGGCTGTATTGTTGAAGGAGCACGTCGATCCCCGGAGAGCCAGACTTTAACCAAGAATTCACCTATTGACGAGGAATGAGACAGCAGGGAGTTATGCAGCACAGTGTAGTCGGGAGCCAGAAGAGAAAAACTGAGGAGACCAGTTGACGCCCGCCGGCGCACGTTGCAGCCGAGCATACGGGAGCAAAAATCAAGCACTGAGACGTCCGGCGACTGCGCGACCGAACCAAACCGAAGTTGAACCCAAGAACACCATTCCGATGTCAACGTTCGCCTGTGATCATTAATGGGCGGCATCATGAAACCAGTTACACCTTGAAGGCACAGTGGCGCTATTCATAGCACTCACAGATTATGACGCACAATTCCGAGGTTTCGTATGATCTGAGCAGCATCGCGTGCCTCCGCGCGGCCAGATTTGCTCAGCGCACTAGCTGCGTCGCTAATCGGGAAGCGTTTCACTCTGATATGTATTGCGGAATGCATCTAGGCGCCGCAGCACAGACTTGTCGATGGCAATGGATTCAAACCTTGACTGGGTCTGTGATTATATCGCCTAGAAGAGCCCGTGGAACGAATCCGAGCCGGGCACGCCAACCACATCTAGCCAAGCGTTCGCATCTTGCAATGAGGAAGGCATTCTCTCCGTGGCGAACATTGAGATCCATAATCCAAGAGCGGATCGAGAGCGGATCGCCACAGCATAATGACACCTATGTAGATGCTTTCCGCATGAGCATTGTGCTAGCAAGAACTGAGTGAAGGCGAAACGGTAGCCGTAGCCGGTATAGACTTAGGCGGACCATGAGGACGAGAACTTACTAGAGCGCCATCGTCCATGATAATGCTCCAGTACAATCCAAACACGTTGCGGAAAACGTGCAGTGCTAGTGCTTGAGCCGAGTCCCTTCGAATGCATTCCGATCCGCACTTCCTGATTGTGTCAGAAACATGCGATGCTACTCAGTAAGACGCTGTATAGCGATTGTATGGTAAGTTTCGGCTTCGTCAGAGATTGTTTCTGATTCGGTAGAGCATGCAGGCTCACCTATAGTCATGGCCGGCAAACCGAACCTCTGACTGCAATTTCATCGGTCGATCTATGCGCGATGTCAATCCCGACGATCCCTGCGATGCGTAGCCATATTTGATAAGACATAAGCACAAAGAGCATATAACAGACATCGAGTTTCGGTTTATCGGTATCTTCATCGTTCGCTGCTGGCCAACTTGTCATCGTGTCGTTATTGTACTCCAGAAAATAACACGCCCTAGTAGTCTTGATGCCGAGCTCTGGCCGGATAAGCAGTCCTTGACCATTTTTGAGCATTATATGCGTGAAGCCAGCGGTGCACGACATCTTCCGCCTCGAAGCAGGATGAACACGGACAAATTCTGACACCGCAGTACTCTTTTGCAACGATGTTGCCCTAATTATGGCCAAAGACAGTATTTCGTTACAATTTCATGGTCTGCGGTTAATATAACTATCTTTTCCGAGTCGCCACCAAGACCGCGATCACGTGGCCAACGCGTCCTTGGGGGGGGAGGTTTACCCACTTGCGCGAGTTTGAGTATAGGCCTAGTAAGCTGAAGGTGCATGCACGTGGTTTAGGCATCGCTGCCATGCTCAAGTCGGCATTTCTGACCCCATCCTGAAAAACTAAGGACTTAATGTTACCATCCGCAAAGCGCACCTTAAAGGGCCCAATCAATTGTCATTGCCTGGCACTCACTAGTAGACAAAGAATACAGCATAGCTAACCGTTCGCACTGAACTGTCCGAGGAAATACTCGATCACTTATCCTATAAGTAAGCTAGAATTGCCGACCCATGTGCAACATTTTCTCGCGAAGTAATGAAAGCGATCAGAAGCTTGTAGTAGCGTTATAGACGATCACGTTCGCAGTAACGCCGTATTCATACGGAATGTATCCCTGGACGGCGGATTAATAGTTGTCTATCCCATCGGACGTGGATGCTTACGGGGCAGTTCTCATATGTCTCCACGATAGTCAGGTAGAACGTGGCGTTTGTGAAGATATAAGAGCCTAAGGCGGCAGAGGAAAAGTCGGGCATTGTAAGATTGTCGGGCGGCGGTGGCGGATCCTGCTGTGCAGGAAGACCTGGGGCAATGCAGAGACAATTTAGCTCATGATATCCTCTTGATACATCCCTAGACGTACCGAAGTTCGGAATGAGCCACTCGCCGAAGCGATATAGGTATGTGCCATCCTCGAACGTTCCGTCGGATGCCATAGCGTCGACGGAGGGTGCCTGCTCGAGTAGCCATACCGTGATGGGCTCGTACCCGGACTCACACACGTTGACCGAATCGTAGTCGAAATCGAACGCCGCTCCGGGCGCAATGCCAGTATAATTAGCAGGTGCGACTATCGACCCGGCGTATTCGTTGATGATTTGTCGCTTGATTGAGAGAGAAGTGACGCTCCCGTATAGGAGGAGAGAAAGCATTGAGAAGAGGGAGATTATCGTAATCAACTGCATGGTATGCGGTTGTCAATGAGTGGGCACAACAAATGGCTGGCACGGTGAGACCGTTGGTGCCCCCACCATGCTATGACAGCTGTTATATATCCGGAGTATGGGCCAACGTCGGTGACTCTCCGTGAAATACCGAATTGCATTAACAGTGTCGCCAGCAATACGTTCGGTACCGATACGCCTGGAAGTCTTCTTGAGCGCATCTCCCGTCATTCGGCTGGAAGCACGGCAGGAAGGCCAGGACAGATGGGAATGCTCTCACAATCTCAGCTTCGCCTGATGTCTGGAAAGTCGGTCTGGGTAGGGTCTGCTTCGACGCATAGCGGCCAATCGCATTAGATGCATGACGGTCGGGACAGCACCGGTATGTTAGGCCAACAAAGTGCGGTAATGCAATTCATGTCCGGTCTTACTGAATGGCTGTAACGGAGGAATGAAGTCGATGTGTAAGCCATGCCAGTCAAACAGACAGAGGGGCGGCCGCCGATTGTCTCCGGACGTTGTGCGCGCAACACGGTAGAGTTTTCTGACAAGACGTTCGAGAAAAAGATGCCATCGCAAGAAACGGAGAAGTGATTGACCGGCAGCACAAAGGGGCATTCGAGACCACGCCGGTCTCGGAGCTGACAAACAAGCACGTCGACAGCGGAGCTATGGAGAATGGGCGACGTGATAAAACCAGGTACGCCTTGGAGGTAAGCCGGCGACGGGATATGAGTGTAGAAACTTTGATGGGCGATCGTCAGGCCACATTGCTGTATATGGAGAAACCTTACTTTAACGTTGATTCTGGAGAATTTGTAAGCCGTGATGATTCCAAGAATTCGGTGATCAATCGCCCGAGATGATGCGTGCCTGCTTATTCTTTTGGCTTCTGTGCGGCGTTGCAGTGGCATTTGATAGCAAGGTGCTCAGGATGGACACCATTGAGATGTCAAATTGCCATAACATCTATGCATCGACACCCATTCAGTTCAACTCCGATAGCTTGTATGACAATTACCTAGCAAAACGTATGAAGGCCCCAGGGCATCCGATAGAGAAGTCTCGTCATGGGGTTGGCCGGAATGCCCAGGCACGTTGGTGATCGCAAGGGACCATCATCGTGTCTGTATTGCTGCACACATGATTGCATGTATCGCGGTCGACAGATTGTTTCCGAGCATCACCTTCCCGTCCTCAGGCTGCCGAGCTGACTCAGAGAACGCAGCCGTCGAGGCACACAATGGCACCGTCCGAAACTTAGAAAAGGAGCCAGAACCTCGACGGAAGAACAAAGCGAAAGGAGGATGTTGCCGTGGTGTGAACCGTACTTGAAGCCCGAGTCAGCTGATCACAGCCGGTGTTCTTGCAGTAGATTCGTCCGAGTAGCATCACGGCGAAGTATACACGAAGGACAGACTCATAGTCTGGATAGCGTCAACGCTACATGCGATGATTCCTTCACGTGTTCAAGGTGTCGGGAAGAGAATGCTTTCTGAGGCCCGAAGGAAATGTGTCGACTTTGAGCGCATATGGGTTGTCATCAGGGAAAAGAGCATAAGTGCGAAACCCAATCAAACAACGCATTATCTGAGCGAAAGTGGGTGGAAATAGACACGTCCCTGTAGCAGCATTATGCTAGTATAAACCTCCGAGCCAGACTATAGCGGGACAATGAGGTCGGTCTTTGTGTAGGACGGGCCTACTAACAGGCGGCCAATCTTCAAGCCTTCAGCGCTTGTTCGGAAATACCAAGCTTGATTGGCCACAGAACACAATTCGCACGTGACATACACCTTTTCGCCACGCGCCCCCTCATTTCTACTGTTACGAAAAAAGATCATGAGGTGATCTTAAGCCCACAGCATGCAAGAGCAGTTGGCTGCTGACAGGGAACAGGTACTGAAGTTTTATTTCAAGCGGACGCGGTGCATCAAAAGGGGAGTAGGGCTCAGTAGTAGGCCGTGGTGCTTCCGCCGCAGCATATGCGGACGGCTTGCGGCATCGACGCAATTCCATCAAGTTCCAATTTCTTCCCGCATCTCTCCATGAAACATGGAAGCTGTATTGTATTCTTGCGACGGTACTTGCCGCATGAAAAATACTTAGCAAAGTTCGATGTCAACATTCAGGAAGGCCGAACGCAGAGCGCTGTCACCGTCTCTCAGGTTCTTCCGGTGCTTGTACGGAGTATTTACCAGCACCCTGAACGTGCGTCCTGAACGTCGGTTTCCTTCTGAAGCCAGTCGTCGACCGCAGCAACTGTCTTTTCTTTTCGACATGAGACCACAGTACTAGCGCTTTGCAATCCGTGTTGCACCGCCGTCTGCGCGGCCGCGCTCGCCGGGACTTAAAGCGACTTTGCATCTTCACAGCCTTCTTTATGACACATATCACGTGGGCCATACAAGTCCTGGATATAGATCACAGCTTGCTTTCTTTGCTCGAGCGTGGGTACGTCAGTATCGCACCGATGGCACTCCGCCCAACAGTGGCACTTGTTCCACTCTCTTCTTGCTCTGCAGCAACATCAACTGTGTCTTGACCTGCCGGACGACTACATTGGTGGATATCCCTTACTAGGCGCTGTGCTACAAATAGCTTTGAGCCACTTTGAGCGTAACGCGCACACTTTGCGGAACAGTGCGGCGCGAATGCTTATACGATTGCCACCTTCAGCCAGGGAGCTATCCTTATAACTCATTCCCATGGGCTGCTTCCACTCCAGAGCCGAAGCCAACGCGCACATCGAAGAACCCTCGCCCATGGCCGAGCAGCGACTGCACCATCTCTCCCGCCCAGACCGTTACCGCCAAGGCTTCCGCCCTTCATTCTATGCAGCGTATGCGCGCGCAGCAAAAAGATATGGTTTCGAGGCCGGTAAATATGGCGGATTCGCCTTCAGAAACAATGTCGTCGTAAAAGTGAGAGGGATGCTCGATCGTAGCACGGACCATGAAGTTCCTGCTGAGTCCATCCAGAACGGTGCGATATACCTTGTGGGCGCTTCTGGGCGACTTCGAGATCGCTGACCGTTCGAATGTGCACTTGCAACCCTCGTCCCCCCAGAGTGAGTCCGTTAAAACTCGGTTGCACACGACGGTTCCGGAATATCTGATCGGATGGTCCGACAGTACGGAATATGTTGTACCCGTGAGCATCGGGATGCCTCCCATCACGCTGATGTTAGATTTCGACACCGGCTCGTCCGACATGTGGGTCTGGAGGTGAGTTACATGCCTGGTCACATGCTTCAGGAACCGGTTCACCCTGGCGCGGAACCGTCTAGCTCCGAGATTGCGGGCGCACTGAAGTACCGCCAGCAACACCGAGTGTATCATCCCCACCGCTCCGCCACAGCACGAAAGGCTGATGGGACCTGGGAGATATCGTATGGCGACGGTTCTTCTGCGTCGGGAGATGTCTATACCGATCACGTAAGAGTCGCCGGCGTGCACATCCATGGCCAGGCATTGGAGGTCGCGAAGGAACTCAGCTCCAGTTTCTTGTCCGACGGCGGCAACGATGGTCTTTTAGGATTGGCATGGCCGACGATCAATACCGTGAAGCCTCGCCGAGTTGCTACTCCCATGGAAAACATGATACAGAACAAGTTGATTGATCTAGCAAGTCCTCAGGTTCCTGGAGTGTCAATCCGATCGCTCATACGCAGATACGCAGCCGGTCTTCACAGTCAAGCTTGGCCACGGATCTGAGCAAAGCTTCTATTCGTTTGGTAAGCAATCGTCTGTGCACCATGCCTTTAAAGTGAGGCCTGAAGCCTGACGAGGCGACATTTCCGAATCCTAGGTTTCATCGACGAGACTGTGACGCGTCATCCCATTGTGTACCATCATATCACCACGTAAGGTCCTCTCCATATGCCCGGTCTTCTCTATTGATCCTCTTCTTCCGTCAAGCCAATTGGGATTCTGGCAGGTGGCGTCGGCCGCTTGGATGCTCAACGGCAGATCACACAACAGGCACCAGGACAACTCGGCCATACTCGATACTGGCACCACGCTCTGTCTTGTGCACGACGATGTCGTGGAGCGAATCTACCATTCCATAGATGGCGCGCAATACAGCAACCACCGAGGTGGTTGGATCTACCCTAACCACGCTCGGCTCCCCGAGATCTACTTCGCCATTGGGCATACGATGTATAGGGTATGCACAGGCCCCCGATCCTCTCTGTAGAGTGCAGCTAAATGACGCGGTGTTGCAGCTGAATGAAGTGGACTTTGGATATAGTGATGCCGGCCAAGGATATACGTTCGGCGGCATTCAGAGTCGTGGAGACCTCAGATACGACATCTTCGGTGACGTGTTTTTAAAGTCGCTATACATCGTCTGTGAGTGCAATCACAGAAAACCTCATAAACTTCACTGACAATTTGTTGCAGTCGATCAAGGCAACAAACGAGTCGGCGTCGCGCAAAGGGATGACTGAGATAACGGCGTACAAAAATTTCTTGATGGGTGGTCTGTTGATTGTGAGACTGTATATATTGGGACCTTAAGTGATACCCGACAACCAATATACCGTGTAAGCGACCAGATAACCAAAAGTGATGGCATACTTACTTATTCGGAAAACGGATAGAATCTTATACTCTCGTATACCCGAACAATGTGACGAATTAGCGACCAGAGTCGGGGATCCATGTCATTAGACTAAGGGCTTTTCACGATGCTCAGGCCCACCAACCACATCTGCGCCTGGCAACAACCAGCGAAAAGTAACGCTGAGCCTGAGCTCTCTAGAAATCCTCCTTGGAGGCGCATGCATATCCTCGGACTCGACCAGATCTTCCATGCGTCTGGGTATCCCATGGGTCCATTCGTACCGCGCCTCTTCCGAGAAGACGATGACACTGCCGGGTGGGAGATACACGCCGCAGGCATCGCTCTCCTGGGCATCATCATCAAGTAACCTCTGAGACGCAGGCTCGTCGCCTCGGAAACCATCTTTGACCTTCGCGAACTGCATCACACAGCCCGAGCCTAAGCTCACGCAAATTATGCCATCGCCATAACGGTCCAGTAGATCGACATGGGCAGTGATGCCGTCTCCAGGCCAGTACAAGTTCAGTATGGCCTGGCGCGCGAATAGTGTTGGCGCTGGTGGGAAAAGCAGGGCGTGCTTCTCTGGCGAGAGTACCGGGAGGAGGAGCTCGGATAGCGATGCGAGGAGAGAGGTGAGGATGGGAGGTAGGCCGCTGCTGGACGAGGAACAAGCACGCTCGAAAAGCATCACCTGGTCTGCGGTGCTGCGTTGGAAATAGGTACGTATGCAGGTCCACATAACTTCCTCCGCAAGCCCGTCTGGTAGACGGAGGGTCGGATCGAAATAGAGGCCTTGAATGGGTGGTCCAGTACGTCGCGCAGGTGACATAGTCGCTGCGATTGATGAAATAGGCGTATTAGTCGTAGAAGCCTTAGCATATGAAGGAATGCCATGCCGGTCGCGAACATCATGAGTTGGATTCCGGACAGCATGAGCAGCGGCCGGCGACGTGTCATCAAAGAGGGAGTCTGCGTCAGAGCCAGAAGCGGACCCTTTGATTGCATCTTTGGGCTCGTTGACGACAGTTTGCATCTGATGAAGGGCCTCGCTGTCCGTAACTATTCGGAGAACCATCTTGGGCTGAACGGTCCCCGGCTCAACGTCCTCCATCTCTGCCTTGCTTTGCTTGTTTGCGAAGGCACGGCTTGGCCCAGACTCCACGTCTTCATCGCGCCTGCGCTTTCTGTTATTTGATACAATTGTGTCATAAGGGTATTGTAGCATCAAGCTAGCCAGGAAGGGACCGCAGGGTACAGCTCGCAACAGTGACTGGCGGCCACAATACTTGGAGCATTACATAAGCACATTCCTCCCAGCTTTCTGGCGCCTAACCATCGACCAACGGTCACTAACACTTCGACGCGGACGAACCGAACTTTAGAGGACATGGAGGAAACCACACCCGCAGGACGCCCCATTATTGATAGAGAAAAAGTGAGCGGCAATAAACTTGATTATCGCAATCACACGTTGAACTTCGTCTTAGACTGCGCCGTTCCTCGTCCGCACATTCATCAAAATTGGCAGCTTCCATCGCCTCCCACAATTCGAGGAGGGGACATTACCAATTGCCGATGAGCAGCAGATTTTTACCTGGTGGGTGAAAGCCGCTGATACAATATGAACATGCACACTAATATACCCCATTGACCTCTAGGAAGGATGCCACCTTGCGCGAAGTCCTGACGACCCTGCGCGCCACCGCACCTGCCCTTCCAGAGATCCGCCATCCCCTCGCCCGCTATTCCTTCCGCGCACTGTATGCTGACAGCGCGACACGGGGTCGTGTCACACAGAAAGAGCTCGGCGTGGTCTACTCACGAGACATCCTTGGCGAACCTGGTTCGCTCGACGCGCCAGCAGCTCGCCTTCTCGTCGACGAGGACATCCCTCCGGGAAACGATGAGCGCACGCTTGACGAGCTGCGATTTGTCCCTGGCGACTATCTCTGCGTCGCTGTGCACCTTCCAAAGAACGCAACAGTAGCTGTTGGCCCGGGCGGCGAGCTGGCTATCAAGGGAACAGCGGGACCTGGGGCGGGTGCTGGGGCGGCCAATGGGTGGAAGAACGGCAGCCGTGCGGATGGTGGGTGGGGAGGAGGACTCGCGCCTGTGCCTGGTCCACCTGGAGGATTGGGCCGCGGGGGAGGACACTGGCGAGGAGACTCCAATCCTGCCCCGTCTGTCCCTCGCGGTGGACGCGGAGGGCGTGGAGGCGACTTTTCTGGGAGAGACGTAGACAGGCGTGTGCCACCGCCGCGCCGAGACTCGCCCCCACCCATCAGGCGGGACCTCTACGGGGACCGTGACAGAGGAGGGCGACGCGCATCATCGCGGTCGAGGAGTCCACCGAGGAGGAGAGGCCGGTATGACTGAGATCTCCAATATATCCACGTTCTGCTTGATCTTTGTACGCTTGCTGGTTGGGTCCGAATCGAAGCAGATCTTTTATATAGTATGAGCACGTTCAGAGTTCAGCGTACTCGAGATGAGCGCATCTGACGCTGATGCATGGTTCATGTACATAAAATAAGCAAACGGAAAGCATTGCGATTGCGATTATGGCACAATTCTAGCAAGGTATGACATGAGGAATACAGCTGACGATTGTCATGGTCTCTTCTTTCTCGTTATCTACGCCCCGGATTCGAACCAGGCGGGAATCCTAGTAGGCTTAACAGCCACCACGAAGAGCTAATACCAGGTGCAGGACCGTTCCCGCTGTGATGTTAACCTCCTTCGCTGTCTTTTCATCCACCCTGCGTGGAGAGAAGGTAGATGGATGTCAAGGATCGACAGACGTGGCGCGCCACTCAGCGTCTCGTAACAGTGATAAATACGATGAACAACGTACAGTTGTCTCCCAGCAAAAATCAGACGCTGCTGCGGTGGTGGAACACCAGACTGCTCCTCGACTTTCTCCTTGATGCGCGTGATCTGCGCATTCGAGCAGTCAGAACTCTGCACGACCGGGTCGAGGCTTGACACGCACTTTATCATCGGGGTCGATATCGAGCTCAATCTATAGCGCAATATGCGCATCATATATGTGAACACCGCGCAACCGGAGGCGGCCTGTTGCCATGCAAGATTGCTCAACTTACCTCCTTGCCAGTAAGCGTCTGCAATTATCCGGACCAGTGAGGACCGACAAATCCAGCTAATGAGTTCACGACGCCAACTTACCTTCACCTTGATCATCATCTTGGCTGATAGATAGAATGAAACGGATGAAAGAGAGAGGTGAGACTGGGAGACTGAAGGAACGCGGGTGGCTGCTGCTGAGAAGACGAATGCGAATGAACGCTTACTTTGGCAATCCTCGTGGTGGCAGCCAGTCGCTGAGCTTATGCGAGGCTGATGACAAGCGCGCACTCACAACCCCCACCATCACCCATGGGCGTGCATCTCTTTTGTCTTGGGATCCTGGATTTCGCATAAATCATGTTCGAACTTTGCAATCCTGTTTTCTCCGACATCTCCGTTGTTTCCCTTCAACTCTGACGATGGCTTCTGAATCGCGCTTACAGTTCTGGAAGGATAACGTCGACAATGCAGGAGGCAATTTGTCTCGAGACGTGAAGGATAGGTTCGCCCGCGTGCTTCCGGAGTTCACGAGGAAGGATGACTTTGCCGACTCGGTGATAATGAACCTGAAGATCACCGAGTTGACAGTGTTCGAACGGCCGGAAGATGGGAAGACTCAGGCGCGGGTGGTATGCGAGATAACGGTAAAGAAAGGCGAGTGTCTTCGTTCACAAGCCCGTCATAGACCGTAACATTGACGAAATGCAGATATGGCCAACGCGTATGACATGATGCACGGAGGGTGCGCTGCATACCTCATTGATATGTACGCAACTGCATGCAGTGTATCGCGCCCCAAATCTATACTAACGATGCACCTCAGGTGTTCTACGCTTGCTCTGAGCCTTCTGGGAATTGTGACCGACGGAAACATCGAGTCTGTCTCTCAAGCTCTCAGCACAACATATCATGCCGGAGCTCCACGGTATGTCCGGTCTCTGCCTCACTTCCCGCAATCGAGATTCATAGCTTGCTTACAGGGGAGCTCGTTTGCGTATCATCAGCGAGACGACGGCCGCTGGCAAGCGGACAGAGACAGCTCGTAGTCAGGTAACTAGCATAGTTTCTTTCGCAACATGATCACTGACATGAACGCTCTGCAGATCTGGAACGTGACAAATCGCCGTCTAATAGCATCTGGTGTTCATACAAAGATGAGGCCGACTACTCTAGCGCTGAAGTTGTAGCGTTGTTTACCATCGAGTGGTTCGTTCCAAACGATGTATCCTGCTAGGGGCGTATAGTCGCCTCACAGCCACCACAGTGCACTTGTAGGATGGAGAGTACAGGACTGTTGCATACATTCTAGTAGACTGCAATGGATATGACCGAGAGGACCTGACTATGTGGGGTTCCCACGGTGAATTTAATCTCGTGCTCATCATGCGGTCCGAGCGGGGATCGACTCTATCACCCTCGCACATCGCTGGCGGTCGCGAGCTCTTTTGCAGCATGAGTACCAGCGCACGGGCCCGATTTTGGAGAGAGGGCGTCGAAAGTGTGCAGAATACTAATCTCTCTCCGGACGCAAAGGAGAAGCTCATGCGCTTACTGCCGGCGTTCACTCGGGAGGGTGATTTCGCCGACACCGTTATAACGAACCTGAAGGCAATTGAACTGACAATTTTCGACCGCCCGCAAGATGGGAAGCAGCAAACGCGAGTAGTTTTCGAATTGACTGTCAATAATGGTCGGTGTTCCATGTCAGTTATAAACCGGATTTACAAAAATGAGATAGATATGCTCAATGCATTTGATATGATGCATGGAGGATGTATCGCGTTTTTGGTTGACGTGTACGTCGTTAATATACTGTTGTCTTCGGACTTGACTGGAGTCCGTGGCAGGTGCTCTTCTGTGGCATTGAGCCTGTTGGGCATCGTCACGAATGGCAATGTGGCATACGTTTCTCAAGCTCTGAATACAACGTACTTTGCCGGTGCTCCACTGTGTGTCTCATGTCATGCATATCTGGACCGGCGCATTGAATGATGTAGAGGTGCGAAGCTGCAAATCATCAGTACCACAACGTCCGTCGGCAGTAGGATCGCGATTGCAGAGACTGAGGTAACCATGCTCTTCAGTTCGTGGTCCTTGGGCATCATCTGAATCAAGAATGACAGATCTGGGATATGACAGACCGTCGTCTCGTGGCCTCTGGCATTCACACGAAAATGAAGCCATCCAGGGACGCAATCAAGTTTGCCAGGTTATAGAACTCAATTCTCTCATAAGGGGCTATCGCCTTGTCATTAGGTTCGCGGCTTGTGTGATGTTGACGTTAAAATCTGTCCTTCCCTGGCTGACTCTGCCCGGGTATATCACTATTGCGACTGACCATCGATCTCGAAGCACGGTGCGCATCATTCGATAGTACTGGATCTAGGTAAGTTCGAGATATGTATGTATAGCAGAAGTTTGTGACAGCGGCATTAATTGAGAGATATGCTGACACACAAATCCAAATCAAACGGTGCTCAAGAAGAATTATCGCCTCCTCATTTCGACTTCATCAAGCGGAATGTTACCCCCCGGGACGATGGTCGTTTCGGCCGGGCGCTGCGACCCTGGATCCATGGTAGAAGGGTATCCTTTACAGATGAAAGGGCAGCATAGAACAGTTTCATCTGTGGTGAATACCTCTCACAACCTCCACGCCGTGAAGTTCGGACTGATTATGTCACACGACAACAAAGTTCAATTGCGCACATGATTACTACATATGCAAGACCGGTTTATCAAGGACTCTGGGCGGAGCTGAGAGCTCAAAAACGCTTCTGTGCTGCTATCAGCTGAGACTTATGGCACCTAGCCATGCACCTCTGAACGTGTTTTCGCTGATGGTATTATCTCTCCTGTCGTCCGGCAACCACAACAGGCATAAAACTGATTTTACCGTTAACGACAGTTCTGTGCAATATCCTTCATGGTCGGGTGAGTGTTTGGTCCAATCCAGGGAGGTTGCCGCTCTGCCGAATCCGAATGGATGATATTACGTCCATATTGCTCACCAGTAGCACGGCATGCTGCATCCGGAGTACCTGCTGCATGAGGCATACCTTTATGCTCATTCGCAGCCAGCGTGCATTTCGAGGAAAATGAGGTGTGGCCTCTAGTGCTAGCCAGCCGTCACTTTCCTGTCTCGTGGGTGCAAGGAGTGAGAAGCCGGTGAAGTGCACGAATGACTGGGGCAGTAACTACGATAGGTGCGTGTATATAATATTTTTACTCTTCCGTACTCGTCCGCTCCATTTCCGGGAACTTCCCTGTTGAGTGCGTCCCCATCGGAGGTGCTGATAACAGGCTCTTTCCAACAGTATTCTTGTCCTGATCCTCCATCGTAAGCATTTCCCCAAGCTCCCACCGTGAATCGAGCATCTACGCTCGTGAAGAAGCCTGTAGTCGTTGTATAAAGGCATCGAGCCCATGTTCACTATTGTCCCTCGTTCGTTTCTCACTCGAAGGATGACATTTGACGCGCGCATTCAGTTCTGGTCACAAATCCTGCACGATGCAGACGGCAATGTTTCTCCACAGCTCGTGACAACTGTATCCGCGAAGTTGCCCTCCCGAAGCACGAGGGAAAACACACGGGCGAGTTTGTCCTTGAGCGCGAAGGAGTTGAGTCCGTTCGAGCGCTCAGAAGATGGAACACTGCATGTGCGAGTGGTCTTCGAGATCGTGGTCAAAGAAGGTAGGCATTTGTGAGACTGGGAAATGAAGTGCTAAAAGGGGTTCAGACATGCTCAGCGGATATAAAACTGTTCATGGAGGATGTATTGCATACTTGATTGACATGTACATTCATTTGGCGACCGTCTACATTGGTATTAATGTCTTACTGATAATTCAGATGCTCCTCGGTTGCCCTCGTATTACATTCCCTTCCGAGCAAGTTGTGCTCTATCGTAGTAAAATGCTGTCCGTTCTGTAAAGCAGATTAGAGGTGGTCAATAGGAGTCACAAACAGTTGGATAAGCGTGTTTGTAGCTGTCTATCGGGATTAAGACATGTACATAGGGTAGTAGAATGACAATAGCGTTTTTTCACAGCATTACAGTCCCACATTGTCAATTGACAGCCGTGAGGAAGAGTGAATGCTCGACGTTCTAAATTCAACTTTGCTCATGGACAAGCTGAAATGGTGGATATATTCAAACTTGCAAGTAACACAGCTCTTCATCTCACAGAGTGTTATATGTTATTAGCCATTCGAGCGAGCGAAGGTTCCGTGCAGCTGATTGTTCACATAGGAGTGAAGCATTATTGGTACATGATTATGATTATTGATACAACAGATTTGACTTCCCGCTGTCGTCGATGACCAGCACCTTGGACAGTCTGCGCAGCGACCACTCTTAAACCATGACCCTGATCCTCTGTACAGCACCCTTAATCCTCTGCCACGACCGCGGCAGCTTCCTTTTCTTCATCGCCAGCGATGACCATGAGACCGCCGCGCCATTTTCTGCAGCGACGCTCGCAAAGGAAGACACGGGATCGGAGAGTTGTGGCATATCGAGCTGTAGCTCGGGAATAGATGTGGAGAGCACGATGGCGAGATGCTCGGGAGTGATTGGGCTGGCGCTCTCGGATCGAGAGGAGCCACTCGAGAGGCTCGGCACCAAGGAAGGGACGTGCACCATCGTCGAGTCTGTGCGGCCTGCGCGGACAGGAGAAGGGATGTCGAGGAGTGGCCCGACGCCGTCATCGTCGGGCCTTGAGGACCGAGGTGCAAAGTCCGAGGGAAGCGGGAGTATATGGACGAAACCGCTGGAACAAGTGCTGCAGCTGATGGGGCGCGTGGACAGGCTGAACAGAGATGCCGGCGCAGACACAGAGCCGACGGTAACCTTGACATCAGGATCGCGGAAGAATGTGTCCACTGCGAGGATGGCCTTGCGGAGCTCACGCAGGGTGATGCGGTACTCTGCAGGTGCGAGGATGCGGCCCAGGATGTCGGCGACGGCGGGGGAGATGGGAAGGTTGCGGAGCAAGTAGGTGTTTCCCTCGCGGGTGTATCGCGCAAACCCGTTATCATTATCCATCGAGGCGATGTGCCAAGGATTGTGGCCAGTGATCATATTGATGAGGATGATACCCAGGGACCAGATGTCAGAAACAGGGTTGAGGAATGGTTGATGCTCCGTATCGTCCCCAATACATTCTGCATGAAAATGTTGAAATCAGTCTGGCGCGTATGATGAGGTTGTGAATACCGACCTGGACTCATATAGTATGAGCTACCGCAGCCATGTGACATGCTGACCTTGGACCTCGTCGCTAGTCCGAAGTCGCTCAGAAAAATCTCCTCGCCGTCCTCAGAGCACAAGATGTTCTCTGTTTTCAAATCGCGGTGAGAGATTCCAACGTCGTGGCAGGCGTGAACGGCATCGATGAGCTGAAGGAATGCCTTCTTGACGAGCGCATCGTTTCCTTCGAATACTTTGCGCTCGGCGATGGCAGAGAACAAGTCTCCTCCTTGGCAGAAGTTGAGGACGACGAAGATGTAATGCTCGTCCTCGATGACTTGATGGATTTTGATGACATGTGGGTGGGCTGACGCCTTCCGGTGTAGCAAGACCTCTCGTCTCTGGTAACGGCGGTATTCCGAGTCCTCAGTGTGTCTCAGGAGACACTTGACCGCGTATGTGGTTGGACGCTCCGAAGGAGAGTTGAGGTCAAGCGCAGAATAGACGACACCGTAGGCGCCAGAACCAAGCTTCTCGGTGAGGCGCAGGTGGAATACGGCAGACCTCACGATTTCGCCCGTGAAGTCAGGCAAGATGGCGCTAAATTGAACCATGGCGAGCGCAATGTAAGAACGGGAGGGAAGGCGGAAGAATGGAGAGGAGCAATGCGAATCGTGTGCAACTTATGTTGGTCGATGGGGTTCGTGGACGTGCTCGTAGGGCTATATGCTGAGCCATCGGATACGGGCAGCGGAGGACGGAAGACACGGATGGATGAGTGCATGAGGGATGCGGATACACTTCTCGGGTATGACAGCCACTGAGAGGCTTGTATCCGCGTTCCGCGCCCTGAATGAGCTACATTACGATCGGGACTGTCCTTCGAGTAATCAGGTGTGGCTAAGAATAAACACATAATCAAGCCTTGCTTTGTCAACAGAACAAGACGCAAGTACGTATCACGCGGCACTCACCGTCCCAAACATTATCTTGCGGCATTGCCGGGTGGTAATTTCGCTCGAGGATCAGCAAGAGTCTTGCAGATCTACCTGCGCAAGACTCGGACGTATGGGTGAAGCGCCGATTTTAGAAAGCTATGGCAAACTTTTGATGGTTTGAAGACACGTGTGGACATTTTTCAATATAACAAATTCCGGGATGCTGCTGAGGGAGCATTGAAAGAGTGTTGGCATGCAGGCGATGGCACGAGACTACGAGCGTCTAATATCCCCGCGCAATCTGATCTAGACGCCCAATAACCCCGGTCAACACCTTCCCAGACTTGAATATTGAAGAGCAGCTGATAGGGTTGAGGAAGTTTGAGGCTGTACGCGACGAATTGTGGCCTTCAACATCCTGCCATCAGGCCAGACAATATGTCGACACGAGCTTTCCTTGCTGCACTGCCCCCATATGCATCTATTTCTCGAGGCAGCGCTCTCATTCTTACCGACGCTGGCAGCGCTTGTAGACGAAGATGAGATCAGAGAATAATGTGGGGGACGCTCACTTACCCGGCGCCGCAAGCTCGATATCGTGTGAGAGTGCTTTTCTGTTGTCCACATGGGCGAATCAGGATCCCTGCAGAACACTTTCCTCCGGAGTCTCGTGCCTTCTGGGGAAAACACGCCTGCTGGGTTTCCATCACAGTCGACTCCCATCCCAAATATCAGGCCAGACGAAACCTGCTCCATTCGGTGCTGGCAATGATATATAGCTGCCACCTTTCACACGTGTCTTAACCTGCGCCTCCTGCGATGGACTTCCTCGCCAAAGCGCACAAGCTCCCTCCTGCGCCTCCGCCGAACAATGACCCCTCCTCAGTCAAAGGCAACATCTCGTTAGAGAAGAAGGACCTCGCTCAGAGGATCATGGCGTGGCACATCGGGAACTATCCTGGCAGCAAGATCTTTGGACGCTCGGAGCTGAGCGACTTGAAGCTCACGGAGGTCGCCGTCAGGACCGTCGGCATGGGCGATCATACGGAACTGGTGGGAGAAGATGTGCCAGTAGAGGAGCTGAGGAAGATGCCACTGGAAGTGCAGTCTGTAATGGAGATCAAGGTGAAAGAAGGTACGCGGTTGTGTATTGACCAGGGGTATCAAGTGACGCCACAATTGTCCTAAAACATAGAAATGCTGAACGTTCATAAGACGCTGGCTGGGGGTTGCTCGGCTCATCTGCTTGATGTGTACGTGTGCTCCCTTCACAAGCTAGAGCGGAGCGTGATGCATGGATAACAGAGGCACCTTCTCTCCTTTATTAATTCTTTCCCTCGTTACCGGCATAGACGCGACGGGAGTATCGATGGCTATGAACCTTGTATGGCACTCTGCCGCACCACTGTAAGATAGATTTCTAGGTTGCCAGTAATCATACAGGACTGACATCCGTTGCAGTGGCACGGAGTTGAAAATAGTGGGCACTTCGCTATCGCTGCGTGGAGGCATCACTGCCGCACGATCTGAGGTGACGCGTTGTATTGGTTGTTTTAGCACCGGCATCAACCTAATGGATGCTACCCATAGGTATATGATAAGAAGACAAAGCGTTTGCTGGTCTCCGCTGTGCATACAATTGCACCGTTCGCAGCACGAGCACCGAAATCGTCAGACAAGCAAGGGTCGAAATCAAGATTGTGAACCTGTCGATCGTAGAAGTCGTGATATTCATTTCCAGGTTGTCTTCTCAGCTCTTCTGTGCCAGTGATATTGTATTACTAGCCACCAATCAGACTCTATTCTTTCAGAGTGCTCAGGTACTCCTGCAACTTCGACAGCGCCCGATATCGATGCGATAGTGAGTTCTTCTTCTCCGGCGTCATCTCAGCGTATCTGCATAAGCATGTCAATTGTGGACTCCACTGCTCACGACCACATCACGAGAGACGCACGTCTGACCTGTGCCGTTCGGCTCGAAGATAGGGTCCCAACCGAACTTGCCGTCTCCGCGAGCAGTGACGACGTGGCCGTCCGTCCGGCCTTCGAATAGGATGGGCTCCGAGCCTGGCCCTGCGCTGTATGCAAAGGTGCAGAGCGCCCAAGCAGCTGTGGTCGGGAAGCCCACGAGCAGTTTGTTCAAACCTGGAGGGTGCATGCACGGATGAGGCAGACGGACTATGAGTCGACTTGTGGAGTGGACGGACCATCGTGACCGAGCTCCTTAAGAAAATACTTGATGTATGGCCCTGGAAGACCGTTCAATGCTTCAAAGCACAGAGCGGTGTCCTCGGTGATGCATGGCCCTCCTAACAGTTCAGCGGCGCGGCGGCATTTTGCCGTGGCGACTTCACGTGTCGTTCCCTGTATTTCTGGGACTATGAATTGATAAAAGGGGAGGTGCGATGGTCAGAGATCAGTCTTAATCGAAAGGATAATGGAGGTGTGTACTCGCTATCGAGGTCTTGCGAGTCGATCTCGACGCCGGACTGGGCGAGGATCGCGCGGACTTCCCTGAGCTTGTTCGCGTTGCCGGTCACGAATTCTGGGTGGCGACATCAGTGCCTGTGTTACATGCCACATGGAGAGACCTCACTGAGTTTCCTGGATGCCATCTTGACCGGCTTGGGCAGCATGTACGATTCGAGTCAACCTGATACCATTGGGCGCTTGAAACTTACAAGCGCTGGTTAACCACTGAAGTAATAAATATTTTGTTGCCCGGGTAACAACCGACTGGCCCTGAACAAGGGGGCGCGCTAACCGACGCGTCCCGCTCGTGACCTGCAATCACCGCGTGCACTCTAGTCTCTTGAGTCTTGAGGCACGCATGCCCGCTATGGCTCGCAAGGTGGCCTCGCCTGTTAGCGACGACTCACAGAAGGAGAACACCGGCGTACGCACTAGGGTCAAAGCGGAGAAGATGAACCAGAAGAAGCTGTCGAAGGGCAAGGAGCCGATGCGGCGGCGCGTCGAGATAGAGGAGCAGGAGAATGAGAAGGAGCCTGAGGAGTTTGAGGAGGAGGAGCAGGAAGACGAGTTGGAGAACGATGAGGACGATGCGCAGGATGACGAGGAGGAAGGGGAAGAACGAGAAAACGCGTCCCCTAAGGGGAAAAAGCGCGTCCGACTCAACGCCAACGGCGATTCGCGTCCAGCGGATTCGCAGCTCAAGGCGGAGAAGCAGGGGAAACCCCGAGGACAGACGCTGCCACGGGATGTCGATGGGTGAGCTCCTTTTATCTCCCATAAGCTGCATCCTGACGGTTGTATGATCCTATAGCTTCATTCCAGGATCTATCGTCCGCGTTCAGCTCAAGAACTTTGTAACGTATGATTTTGTGGAGTTCAAGCCTGGCCCGTACCTGAACATGATCTTCGGCCCTAACGGTACCGGGAAGAGCACAATAGCATGCGCGATCTGCCTTGGCTTGAACTTTCCTCCCAGCGTGAGCCACTTCGCATCTCAATCTCAGACAGGGGAGCGGAAATTCACTGTTGATCATACAGGTTTTGGGCCGCGCGTCCGAATTGAACTCGTTTGTCAAGATAGGCACGGACTCCGGATATATCGAGATTGAGCTGAAGGGCCCAAAGGGCAAACCCAACCTCGTTATCAGACGCAGTCTGAATGCCAGGACGAAGAGCTCGACGTTCACTTTGAACGGTCAATCTGCTACGGGACGCGAGATCAATAACCGCATGGCGGAGTTGAATGTGCAAATAAGCAACCTCTGGTAGGTCCCAGTCATGGTATCTGTTGCGTGCGTGTGGTCAAAGTAGCGATCCACTGTAGCACCTTCCTTCCTCAGGACAAGGTCTCCGAGTTCGCCCAGATGACTCCCCAGCAACTCCTGAGGGAGACTCAACGTGCCGCGGGCAATGCTAACCTGACGGCATGGCATGACACTCTTATCGGCTCAGGTAAAGAGCTGAAGAGCATCCAAGAGGTATAAGCCTCAACATCCTCGTTTCTTAAATATTCCACTGATGCGTCCATTACAGCTTCTCACGGCGGATCACGACCATCTGAAAACGATGGAGGAGCGGAACGCCAACCTCGAACGTGAGGTCAAGCGTTTTGAGGAACGTCGTCAGATTGAGCGTGACGTACGTGCCACATTACCGTAACCGTGGGTAGGCCTGACGGTGAAGCAGATCGAACTGTTGGAGCTCATACTGCCGTTCAGAGAGTATGTGGAGGCCAAAGAGAGGTACGGGACATTGAAGGAGCAGCAACGCAAACTCCATGAACATGTCATGACGCTTCAGAAGAGGAATGCGCCGATCTTAACACACAAGGGGTTAGTCCGTCTCTATATGCTGCTGTCCGACTTGCTCATTGCCGCATAGGACTCTTGAACGTGAGATTGAGAAGTGTAGCAAACAACGGGAACGGAAGAAGACCTCGACTAGACAGAAGTTTGATTTGATTTCCCGAAAGGCACAAGATAATGAAAAGATGGTATGTGATCCTGTATAGGGCATCTTAACAACGAGTGATCCATGCGACCTTAGGAGCAAACGTCAGAGGATCTAAAGAACCAGTTAGAAAACCTCAAAACTGCAGAGAAGAATCGCCTCCGGGAAATCCACAAGTTGGAGAAGTCGATCGGGGACCATCAACAGGAGCTCGCCAATCCACCGGAGACGGAGGACTTGAATGAAATTGAGCGAGAACGCGTGAGCATATCCTTATGTCGTCTTGACAGCTGAATAACTTTGCTGGATGGCTTGAATCATCTCAGAAACGTGTCTCGGCGGAGCGTGCAAACCTGAACAATGAACTGCTCGAACTGCAAGGGAAGCAGAAGGACAACGTCGCAGAGGAGTCCAAAATCAAAGCGACTATCGATTTGCAGTTACGGAAGTGAGTTCGTGTCATTTAATCACACCGAATAGTGCGCTCATTCGTTCACATAGCTTGAAGCAGCTGGAGGATGCCTCACATAGAAAGTTCGAGGCATTGACAAGATGGGACCGTGATTGTGCCGATGCCGTTCACTGGTTGAGGGACAATCGCCATAAATTCAAGATGGAGGTGTTTGAGCCTCCGATGTTGTGTCTTACAGTTCCGAACAGCAATTTCGTGCACGCAGTCGAGGGGTGTTTCTCGTCCAGTGCCTTGAAGGTAGTCTCATTTCTTTTGTGTTCGTGAGATTGAATTGATATTTTGTGCTCTCAGACGTTCGTCGCACAATGCGAAGAGGACTATTCGCTGCTGAACCGGATGCTGATTGATACCCCTGACGCGATCGGTCGCCGGGCACGTATTCATACTTGGTTCAAAGTTGACGATGGTCGAGTGCCACCTCCGCCGATGACTCAAGAAGAGGTAAGCATCATCTCCACATCATGAGCTCTTCTCACGATATGATGACAGATGCGTGGGCTGGGTTTTGATGGTTATGCAATTGACTACGTCAACTGCCCCGAGGGACTCAAGTGGTTCCTAAAGGCGAACTTGATGCTACATCGCACTGTAAGTTGCACCACCTCTGTAGTCTCCATGGCTAGTAGCGTCATCTCACTCTCTTCCCCGCGTGATAGGCTATCGCTCTGAATTCGCAAGGCGTCGATCCAACCCGCGCAATGGAGCTGGTATCGCGTATTGGTCCTCGTGGTGAAGGTGGCGGCGCTAGCTATATTGTTGGGACCGTCTACAACAATGTCAGCCGCTCGAAGTACGGCAAGCGCCTTCCGCAAAACACTACGAGAACCATCTCGCAAGCTAGAAATCTGGTGTCAGAAGCGAGTAAGTCATATGGCAAAGCAGTATGGCCATTGTTAATGTCGTTTGGTATCGTCAGTCGACCAGAATGTGAAGCGTGGGTATGAGATGACCCTTGCTGACTCTCGGGAACAGCTTGCGGCATGCAAGCAGGCTGTGGAGGCTCTTGCCGAGGCAGAGGCGGCGATACGCAACGAAGATAGGAAAGTGAAGGCTGAGCTTGTTCGTTGTGTCTGAATTACGCTTGCACGCATGCTCCTGACTTTCTTCACAGCAAACGGTCATCGAACGGAAGGAGGCTGTGGATAAGGTGACGAAGCGATTGACGAGCTTGCAGCTTCAGATTGGTATGCAGATCGCATTATTTTCTGACTTGTTAGTGATTGTGTTTCAGACCGTGAGCAAAAACGGCTTCAGCAGCTTCGCATACAGCCTCCTGTCGACAAGCAACGAGCACAGTTAAAAACCGAGCTCGTATCATTAGCCAGACAGCGCGCGAGTATCGTGAAGGATTATGTGGTATGGTTGACTCTCGTGTTCTCTGATCCACCGATTTGACATCTCGATGAAGAAACTGGTCAAGGCTGCAATTAAGGAGCAAGAGGAGGCGACGAGGCTCGGCCTGCAGCAAGCTCAGCTTGCCGCAAACAAGCAATACCTCGAAGACCTCTATAAGGAGAAGGAGGAAGAACAACAAAGAGCCCTCGCCGAGTATCAAGAGGGTATGCATCCTTCTAAATCAGTTCGCAGTGAAACTGAGCTGATTTTGAACAGTGAACAAAAAATACGCAGAAGCCAAACAAGAGTCCAAGGCCAAGCTGGCCCTCAGCAAGGCGAAGCTTGAATCCGTCGACGATGAGCTTCGCGAACGATTCAAGGAGATAGAAGAGGTTCGTATTCCTGTATCTACCGCGATCCGTCCTCACCATCAACACGTTATAGCGCGGAGAGGCCAGAGAGAAGAAGTCAGAGCAAGTGTTAGCGGATTTAGAAGAGAAGCGTGCGCAGCTTGACATGAACATGCATACGAACGCAGGGGTCGTCGAGCAATACCGAAGGCGCCAAGCTGAGGTGCGTCCCTATCTTGTTGGTGCAACGGTCGATTGGAATGACGATGAACTCCTCAGATCGAGACCCTAACTAAGACGATCGAGGAACGAGAGAGGAAAGCCGGGAGGATCGAGCGAGCTATCAAAACAGCCAGGGTGCGTCTCCGAATGATGCTCTACGTTTTTCGCACATCACTTAATTCCTCTTAGGATCACTGGCAACCTGCTCTCGAGGCGCTCGTTTCCAGCATCGGCAAGAAATTCTCGGCGGCGTTCGACCGTGAGTATGCGCGATGCATCGGTATCACCGGATGCTGACGGGCGCTTGCAGGCCTTGGGTGCGCCGGTGAGGTGAGAATCAGCGAGCACGAAGACTATGACAAGTGGGCGATAGACATCCTCGTCAAGTTCCGTGATGAGGAGAAGCTGCAGCTTCTGACGGGAGAGCGACAATCAGGAGGTGTACGTTCTATAGGTCCTTTTCGTGCTTCATGTGGCAACGAGTTGATCGCGCTTACTGTAGGAACGTTCGCTCACGACGATCTTGTACTTGATGAGCTTGACGGAGGAGGCTCGCGCGCCATTCTCTCTCGTCGATGAGATAAATCAGGTCCGTTGCTTCCTCGGCGGGCGCTGAGAGATGATAGATTAACCTTAAATGTACTACAGGGTATGGATCAACGCGCCGAGCGCGCAATTCACAACTCCCTCGTCGAAGTAACCTGCAAGGCCGATAGCGGGCAGTACTTCCTCATCACACCCAAGCTGCTGCCTGATCTTGACTACGCGGAGCGTATGAAGGTGCTATGCGTGAACAATGGCGAGTGGCTGCCAGATGAGACGCGGGTCGGCAACATGATGAGCATGATCGAGGCGTACGTGAAGCACAAGCACTCCAAGGGGTCCATGTAGATTCTTGTGCAGAACTATCGAGTATTGATGCTGTAATCAATTAGTCCTATGTACAACATGCGACGATGCTCTTATACGACGTACAGTACATTAGGTTGTGGTCGTAATCACTGTATGTACAAGCATAGCCAATGTTTCCTGTCTCCAATGCCGCAGTCAGAGTGACCGTCTGCAACTTCGGGCGCGAGCGCTTATCGTATCAACTGTTGTTCACCGCGTTTCGGGTTCCTACTCGCGTTCAGTCCACGCCGTTGTCGCACTTGTGTTTACACTTTCACCAACTATCGAAAACCTTGGCTTTGTTTATTGAGATCACACTATTCTGAATGGCAACGGCGGATGCGACGACGTCCTCTGCCGCTTCAAAGGCAGAGCAAGATGCCCTCCGCGCGTCCACATTCCAGAGGCTTCATCCCAAGGTCTATCTGGAGCGCTTTCTGGCAGAAAAGGTCCGACCTGACGGACGTGAACTTGATGAGTGGCGAGATGTCTCGTTGAATGTAGGTCCGTGAACATGGCCCTTCTGATGCAGACTCTCATACGGATGAATTCTTGACTGTATCTCTTAGGCTCGATTTCCACTGCGGATGGTTCTGCACTTGTTCGCCTAGGCGATACGACCATCGTTTGTGGAGTGAAGCTTGAGATTGCGGAGCCTGAGCTGGATAGTCCCGAAGATGGTTTTCTTGGTGAGCGTAATCGATTCCCCTCGAGAGGCCCATTGACAGAGCTCCTCCAAAACTAGTACCTAATTTGGACCTCCCGGCTATCTGTTCCCCAAAATTCAAGCCTGGGCCTCCTACGGAGGAAGCACAGGTGCTCTCCAACAGGCTGAACGATATTTTGGTCGCGTATGTCCTATTTCATTCCCCAGGGTCGCTGTTCCTTGCTCATTTGCAGCAGCTCGGGAGTCATTTCGACTAAATCACTTTGCATTGAGCCTGGAAAAGTAGTATGGGTATTATATGTCGATGCAACTTGTATCAACTATGACGGAAACGCCTTCGATGCGGCCCTGTTAGCTGTGGTGGCTGCTCTGAGAAACAGTACGTCCACGAGCTGCTTGTCTTTGGCATGAAAACCCCGTTCGCATTGTTTATGCATTTCGACAGCCACCTTGCCAAAGGCGACCTACAATCCAGAGACCGACCGCACTGTCTGTTCGCGAAAAGAACGGATACCGCTATCAGTCCACGGCCTGCCGGTATCGATGTCGTTCGGGCTCTTTGATTCGTGCGTATAAATATGTTACGCTCGGTTGTGTTGAGTCTCATTCTTTAACGTGTATTAGAACCCATGTCCTTGCAGATCCAACATCTTTCGAAGAGCCCTTGTTAGACACTACCATCTCCGTTACTGTAGAGGAGAATGGCGGGCTGATCTCGGTCACCCAGATAGGCCTTGGTCTTATTGGGAACCAGGACGTTCTAGCACGATGTATCGCTGCTGCGAAAGAACGTCGGTCGGTCATAGGACGACAGGTCCTGAATACATAATCCTTCGACTTCTTAACGGATGCAATGTTAGCGTGCGACTGTCAGGGTGTCCACGAAGTGCACAGCAGAAGAGCAGGCGACTGGTAGTCACCTGTTACCTTATTCCCCTACCTGTCACTGTTTAATATGGATGAGTGGAGGCTATTAATCTCAATCCTGAAGGCCTCGTGTCTGGTGTCATGTACTTATGCTGCATGCTTCTACTTCATATACCGATGGCGTGGTTTCATCCTGCACTCACACTTGAACAGAATCAGACCGGCTGACTGCGAAGTTGATAGCCGATGCCGTTTGATACTACTATCATCCTTCTACTGTGCCTCGTGGTCAAAGATGTACCCGTCTTGTCTTCTCAGGGAGAGTCATACGCGCTCGTTAAGGAAACAATAAGAGCGACTGATCCTGGGTGATCAGCAAATTTGATAATCAAAGTACGTAAGTCTAAAAAACTCAGGGCTGAACCTCAGCTCGCTTAGAATGCCTCCGTCTCTAGATAAAGCGTACCTCTGTGGTGCTGGACCCACCTCATTTCCACCACTGTGTCACCCATCACTACACTTGCGGAGACACTACCATGAGCTCACAGTCAGCTACTACCTCTAGTCTACAATTTCAGCTCAGATTGCCTGCATTGACTCGCAAGCACAGCCGAAATCTGTCTGACTATGGCAGGGAAATCGAAGAGCATGATAGTGCAGGGAAACTTCGCAAGGTTATAGTTATTGCAGATGACCCGCCGCACACCGTGAAGCACCTCTTGTAAGCTTTGGCCGGTTTTAGAAGTTGGGTCAGCTTTGTCTCATTATTATGCAGGGGATCGACTGGCGCGACGAGTGCACGAGGTTCCGCGGTCTCGTCTGATAGAAAACGGAAGCGGGAGCGTCTTTCGCCTTTCAATTATGGCAAAGGCGCCCTCGTACGAATGCCTTCATGGGAGGCGGCAATGCTACAGCAGAAAACTCCCTCCGCTCCGCCGAAGAAGAAACGCAAAGCAGCGACGCAGCCTCCACCACCACCGCTGCCACACAACACGGGAAACCTTCTCTTCAACCCGAGGGTGCGGTCTGCAATCGCGCAAAGAGAAGATGCGGTAAATCCACCGCCTTTCGACAGAACACGAAAGTTGGGATTGATCGAAGGAGGCCCGATCACGCAGAGAGCGGCAGCTACTGGCATGAACAGTACTTTTGAGAGAGCCTACTACAGAGATGCAATTTCACGTCCGGTACGTATATCTGCGGCCTTAACGCGTCCTCAATTTCATGATCATTGTTTTGTATTAGCCGCCCTTACGCGTCGACAATTACGTACCGCACTGCAGTCAACGCTGTAAGTTTTCTTTCTATTTCTTTCGTTGCTCCCAATCTGTCTGCCTGTGAATCGATAAGATTGTTCAATTGGGATGGTTGCTAATGGCAAGCTGACATCTTCTCGTAACGTCGTACAGATAAGCGGTCGAGGCCAGAATCCGCAGGTGACACTGTCAGGAATCGCGCATCCAAGAGTACCAATGAACTCCGTAAGTCGCGTTCTCCTCACAAATGTTGGAGAACAAATACCGACCGTTCTTCTAGATACCCGCGATCATCGTGCAGGGCCCAGTTCTGCCGGTAGCTCCACTAAAACAGCCGTGTCGGACAAGGCTATTGGGTTGCAGCGCCGTGAAAAAGCTGCTAACACCATTGTTGCGACGACTAGTGCCAATACGGTCGCCCACTGCCGCAGAAAAACTGTTAGTAAGGCAGCTGAGACTCGACATACCCAGACGGAGACGCGGCATTGGAAAGAGATCAGGCGTACCGGGGCGAAGTGTCTCATACAATGACGTTCTTGCAAAGCGGGTTACATTTTGTGGCGTTCTAGTACAGTGGACTGGTAGATATTTCCTCCGCTTCTCAAATTCACTATACATATATCTTCGTCCACCCTGACACCTTGCGCGACCATTCAGATGATCCCTTTACTGACTGCGAGCTCGGCATTGATGATGCTGCTTGTGGCCGCTCCAATGGCGACATTGTTCGCGAGGACGACGAACTTGATGTCGAGCACTTGGCACTGTCGGACGCGGCCCACAGAGATGCCCGCGCCAGCCTGGTAGTCGCGATCTAGTCTAGGTTGCGGTCTGTCCGGCTCTTCGTGCACGAAGATAGTGTGGCGCGGGGCGGAGGGACACGATGCCGTCCAAGCATCAGACGTGAACGAGACGAGAGCCTCGCGCACCTGCTGTGGGCTGGGTGGCGGTCTCCGCGCGAAGCGCACAGACACGCATTCAGTGTGGCCCTCGATGACAGGTACTCGATTGCATTGCGCCGAGACGCGCAGAGGTTGCCGCGCGTGCATGTCGAACGATCTGACGCCATCGTCTGACTCGGAGATTCCACCGAGGATCTTGAGGGTCTCCCACTCCATCTTTTCCTCCTCGCCGCCAATGTACGGAACGACGTTGTCGAGTATGTCGAAGCTGGACACACCGGGATAGCCTGCGCCGGAGATGGCTTGCATTGTGGTAATCATGCATGACTCGATGGGCCCGAATGCCCTCTCGAGAGCGGCGAGAGGAACGACGACGCCGGTGGTGGAGCAGTTGGCGTTGGTGACGATGAAGCCTTTTTGAAGAGGAGGCGAATGCAGAGCGCGCTGCTGGGGAATCATGGCGAAGTGAGACGAATTGACTAGGGGCACGACCAGAGGGACATTCGGATCCCGTCTGTGGTTCTTTGCATTGGAGAAGACAGCGAACTCTGCACTCCGGAATGCCTCCTCTACGACGTATGTTCAGCTTCGGACCCAAAATGTTATCGCGAAGATCTCACCAATCGGGCCCGCTACATCGGCATCCAAACCTGAGAAGATGACCTCGCACTCGGCAAAACACTCGGGTTTACACTCCTCGACCACCAAGTCGCGCACTACTGATGGGATGGGCCTTGTCTGCTTCCATGTCACCGCATGAGAATATAGTTTGCTCGCAGATCTGTGGGACGCGCCTAACGCATGTAGGACAAAGAACGGGTGCTCGGACAGGAGGGAGATAAACCGTTGGCCTACGGTGCCGGTCGCGCCCAGAACGCCAACCTTGATCTTGCGGGCATCGTGCATCGCGGAACGCGGCTGCTCAGCGTTGGAAGGAGCGTTGGCGGGAGGGTCGTGGATCAAGTCTGCAATCATTGCAGCATCCCCTGTCACACGACCGCTTGTCGCAGTGTGACTACACGAGTGACACTACTTGTGTCACGGATCACGCACTTGAGCGCTCTCTGTGTCGTAGCCACCAACGACCGCGACCATGTCGACTACGCCTGAGCAGGCTACACAGCTCCTCTTTTCGCCAAATGTGCAGTACAACAATACACGCCTATACACTGTCAAGTTCCTGTCTGCGTGCCTTGCGGGTGCCGTTGCTGGCATTCTAGGCCTCGAGAACGTGCTCGGCTTTGCCTTGTTCATCTTGTCGACACTGCTCACCTCTGCGTGCCTGTATGTCAAATGCAAGGGAAATCCGGTGAAATACATGCCCGGGGGTTGGTGGGAGCTCGTGAACCCCGGCCAGGAAAATCTGTTCTCCTTTGTGCTCGTATGGACATTATTTTATGGTATGGAAGCATATGTTCTACGTCGGAGTCGGTGGTAAGCTCATTGCCGATGTGTTTCAGGCATTGTACATGGTATGGTCCCTACGCACTTCGTCCACGAGCATAACTGATTTCTGTAATGAATGACAGTGTACGATTGAGTACTACGTCGCACCAATCCAATTCCTACAAGGAAAGCGTGAGAAATCGGTGGGTTCTCTCTGCCATGAACTACAACTTCTCTCTGATGTGAACTCGGCAGTATGATATCGCGGTAGGCTTCTTTGGCTGTTAGCTCTGTGTGTTCGGTTTATGCAGCGGTGCTGGGCCAGCTGATATCAGCTTCTCTTGCGATCTCCGGCTCCCAAGCTCGATTATGTAACATCATCTCTACGAGAGTTTTACTTGACTTTTATGTATAATGGAGTGGCCGAACTACGAGAATCGTGAGTATTCGGGTTGCTCTCAATACCACTGAAAGTCACATGGACGTGCTGCCACTTTGACTTTGTTCGCCTCGAGCTGTCTCATGAAACCATCGATCAAGCCGAATAATCGCACATTCGCTGGGAAGAGAAGCGTGGGGAAAAACGCTTCTTGATGTGTTTCAAGATCATCGACTGTTCCGACTTTGTGATGGCTCCGTTCTCTCCCGTCCTGTGGTGAACACGATGATGGCTTAGGCGCACCTCGTGGCTCGCACGTGTGATGCAGATGAATCCTGTGTTCCCGGAAGGGAAGGCATTGTTTATTGCCATGATGATACGGAGCTGGCGGAAGAATATGAGCAGCATTCCGAGATCAGCTTATCTTCTTTTTCATCCCCGACAACATGACAGCGTCGCACGTCCTACTTCAGTTCAGCGCAGACCCATGGAATGCGAGATTCGAAGACTCGGAAAGACGCAAGGCATTTACAGTGTAAGTATCAATTGGTGTTGCCTTTGCTCTAGACCCACTCATAACGGCTATTTTGCAGGATCATGGTATTGCGCCACTACACATAATATCTGCGACGTTACTGACCTTGCTCTAGGTTGAAGAAGACCCCAACCTGATAATGAGACTCACGCTAGAGGATGAATGGTCCAAACAACACAACGACATTATGGGGCCCAATAGGTCATACTTCTACTTTGGTCCCTCTCGGGCTCCTGGATTTCTGGTCTATGGCAATGGCTCACCGCTATCTATGGACAAAGTGCTTCGTCGAAAGAAAGAGGCCAGTAGGTACGTGTATGCAATGTTCCGTTGTCATCGGTGTCGTGAGCTCAACCTGTGTCAAATCGTGTCTCAGCTCCCGCTATTTCACCGCACAGAACGGCAGAGAACTTAAATGGAAAATTGCACCCGAGAGGTATGAGGTGCGTCTGTGATCATCAGACGGCTTGTCTGCTTCTGCTCAGCCGACCTTGCAGTGTGTAGATAGCAAGGGAACCACTGTGGCGCTATGGGAGAGGAGCCGACTACAAGACGAATTCCACGCACGTTTGACCGTAACGCAGTCGGGACTTTCTATAATTACAGAACTATTGACAACCCTGACTCTGAATCGCATTGCGTCCATAATGAACTGGTGAAGAGCCACCACGCATTGTCCTCGTGTCCCCAGCATAGATGATGGATTGTGCAACTCAGAGATCCGAGATCTGGAGTGTGGGTTTGTCTCAGATCAATTACCCTCAACGACTACGATAATTCGGGCTCCATCAGCTGGTGAACTCTTTGTTTGTCATGAATGTGGCAAAGACTCATATATTTTCGACGTGAAATCCTTTAAATACATGCAGTCGTATCGGCAAAGATGCGTGCCGATCTCACTTCCATGCCAGGTTTGGTCCAAGATCAACCGCGTGCTTCCCCTACTCCTCCTTACGAAGTTCCTCCTGCAATGCAGCCAGTCGAGACCATTCCGGCTCGTCTTCGAAGTCTCGGGTCCTCCCCACGAAGGTCCGTACGATGCTTCTCGCCTGCAGCTTCCAGTTGTATCCCTCCGTCCGCGGCCCGAGGTTCCTGAGGACATCAACGATATCTTCCACTTCGGCCACGGCCTCTCGCCACCTCTCCAGGTCCGTCTCCCCCTTCTCCATCGTCCCTGCGACTCCACATCTATAACCGTCCAGATAAGCCTTGAGCGCCTCCTCCCAGCGGCCCTGCCAAGTCAACAAGCGGGCGCGGGCGCGGAAGATGCGGGGCGATGAGACTCGTGGCAGGATCGTGCGTTCGAAGAGACCGGTGACGCTTCGTAACAGTCTATGCCCTTCGTTGGCATTCCTGATGTTGCTCGTGCTAGATCCGTGACCCTGTACAGCGTCTTCAGTGTCTACAGGTGCCCTCGTGACAGCATCCACCAAACGCTCGAGTACATCTTCGTCGACGCACTTCGCACCGTCCTTCGCACTGCGCTCCTCCACCACCCGGCTTAGAGCATGACACGCTTCGGACAGCTCTCCTACGTCCATCGCCACAATCATGTAGTTGGACCACATCCTCCAGTTGTCGTAGCTGTATTTCAAACCCTGCTTCAAAGCGCGGAACGCCAGCATCTTGTTTGTAAATGGTATGGACTTGTTCGTCTCGTCTGATAACGTCAGTTCACTTGTCTGCTTTGCCATCTGCACACCGTAGCTGAGCATAACGATGCGTGTCGAGCATGTCTGTACTCACCTCCTCGTCCTCTACACCTCCGGCTTCGATCTTTTTCCCGGCCTCGCCCATCCGCAGATAGACGCTTGCGAGGTTGCTCCAGCTTTCGGCATCTTCGTCGTCTATGCTCACACAACGGGCGAACGATTCGCGAGCCCCTTCCCAATCTTCTACGCGGACATAGGCGCAGCCGAGTATGAACCAAGATCGGGCCAGAAGCGGGTTGATGCTGACTGCGCGGCGGAGACAAGTAATCGTGTTCGGGTAGTCGCCTCCAGCGAAGTAGTAACCACCCAGTGATCGCATAGCCCTTCCCGATGACTCTCTCGATATCTCCCATGCGCGAGTATAGTGCTGCAGCGCATTCTCCGGCTCGAGATCTCCCAACAAACACCAGAGTTTGGCCTCCTGCATGGCATCCAAGTTTCGTCTTCGAGTCTCGCTGACAGCCTTCTCCCGAGAGATGACCGTCTCCGCCTCCGCCTTTCTACCCTCCAGAAGATCGCGCACGATGGCGATGCCCTTATCGCGTCGCTCCATCGCCTGCCAGCATTTCACGACTTCCTCCCACATCTCCAGCCGCTCGAAAATCTCTAGTGCGGACTTGATCACCCCGATGGATAGGAAGCGGAGCGCGAGCTCCTTCTCCATTTCCCACTTGCTGGGAAGGGGGATGGAATGGAAGTGGAGCAGCCGCTCCGACACGGTGGAGTCCGCCGTGGGCATCTGATCGACCAGCGCTTGCAGCTGCAGGGTCGCTCGCTCGACGGTGCGTGTGCGGTTGGCTTCTAAGCGTGATCGGAGGAGGAGGGCCATGGTATGGACGGACCAGTTGCGCGGATGAGAGATGACACGCGCTATGTATGGCGACATCTGCTCCGCGGTTAGACCGTGTACCGGTGAGGTATTCCGGACGTTCAGGCATAGCGCTAGCAATATACATTGGTCCAGGGGATGCAGGGGTGGCTGTGATGCAGGATAGAGGTGGCTGAGGCGCAAACCGGGAGTTCCGGCAGAGGATGAGGTAAATTCGGTTTGCTCGAGCAGCGTATCGTCATTCAGAGCTAGCGTCTCTGGCATCGCCGCGCTTGAGATGTCTCTGGAGGCTTGTGAGACATCGGAGGACGGCGATTTGTTTTGGTTAGCCGTATCGTTCGGCTCGGCATCGCCTTCCCTTTTCCGAGACTCAGCGAGGAGGACGAGCTGCGTGACATCATTCTGCTGGAACTTTGTGCGTTTTCCGGGTGCGCCTGTTAGCTCGTACTCAAGGTGCGTTGTGCGGGCCGCGCGGACGAAAAACTCTGCAGCTGCTTTGTCATGACCGAGCTGGTGCTCAAGTATTCCCTGTTCGAGGATGAGGCGGCCAGCAAGATCCGGGTGGGAGGCGAATGTCTTTAGGAGGGGCTCAACGTCAGTCAGTGTATATTCGGGGACCGCTACAGGTTCGTCGAGCACTTGCTCGTGTACTAGCCATACCCGGAGTCTCCACCACGGAGCGGATTTGCAGTGTTTGTAAGGCAGATCTAGGAGTAGCTTCGATAGTCGTAGGAAAATCGGAACCTTTGCGAGATGGTATGCGGGTTCTCCGCCATATGCCAATTCCGAAATCGAGTTGCGATGAAGCAGCTCTTCAGATATATTTTGAGATGATTCGGTCGAGATCGAGATGACCTCCAGAGGTTTCACGTCCAAGTCGGGTCCCGTCCAGTTCTCTTGGACGAAAGCGTGCAGACAGGCTACGGCCAACGTCAATCGCAGCAACTCTTTCTCTGGGGAAGTATCTGTCGAGGAGGTAGTGAAGGAGAACCACTCATCTAATGGGCGATCGAGGATATTTGTCAGTGAATAATTCACCGCGAAGAGATCCTGCGCTGGAGGAGCAGTGAGCGCAGAGCGGAATTCGCCGTTGACGACGCTCTTTGTAACATCCAGCACCGATGCGAGTGAGGGATCCTGGATTTGTTCATCCCATTTTCCAGTAAGCAACGCCTTTTCGACTGCATCCAAGCTCATTCTTGTCGATCGAAGAATAAGATGGTGGGCGGAAATTGCCGAGCAATCGCACTGACTGCAGCACCAATACACACAGTTTTTGATCAGCGCATCACTAAACACTTTTTTTTTTGCCCGCGAACGATAAATTAGTATATTGCACGATAGCAAAAAACAAGGGTACGAGGGTATACGATGGAATGCAAACGTGTCCGTCCGTGTGCAGGCAATCCTACAAAGTACAACGATTACGCACAAACGCAGAAGCACGACGAGATAACATATTCAAGAAGCGGCAATTCAGGAACCCCCTGGTGGCGTTCCTGTGCCTAAAGACTGTGCACAACTGCTTTCCTCTTATCCTCCCATGCCTTCATCGCCCGCAGCAGCTGCTCGATCTTCTCCTTCTTGCCCTGCCGGATGTCATTCATGCTCACTGAGTTTATCTTCACGTCGTTATCAAGCAGGAAATCGAAAAGTCTGAACAGCCCATCCAGCTTGTCATTCTCGGAACCGGAGGGGAAGGCCGAGTCTGGCACCCTAGGCGACGAGGACTTGCCCTTGATGTCTTCTGCTAGACGCAGAAGCGCTAGACCACCGAAAGGTGGCCCAGACGGATCAGATACCTGCAAGGACGTTGGCAAGTGAGAGTTCGCCCACTCGATCAAGTTGGCGTCCATAGCAGGTTGCTGGAATGCATGTCAACATGTATATTCTAACGTCACCGACTGTGACAAGCTCACCGGTTCTGCAGTCGAATTCAGCCGTCGCAACTCTCGCGACGGTCGCGGTGGAGCAGCAGGAGTGGCAGCCTTCGGTGACGGTGGTTCAATGCCCTTCGCGGAAAGCGTGTCATTGGCGAACAAAGACTGCCGCCTCGAACGTAGGGAACTCGGTATATTCCTGTCCTTCGCCTGCACGCCCATGAGCAATACCTGTGCGTCGCGTTCGGACAGCTGATGTGGGTTCTGCGGACGCATTGCTTTCTGAGTGGCCGCGCGCGATCCAGGAGACGGTGGCCGAGGCGAGGGGTTCATGGCTTGAGCAACAGTGAGAGGGATTGTTGGTATATTACATGATGAGACAACAATGTCTAATTGGCGACTATGTGAGGAAGGTTATTGCCGGATGCGCTGATGGGGCATACCAGTATAGTCCCTCGTGATAGTAGCCTTCATGAGGGCCTTCATCCACTCTCGAATGACAGCATGCTCTTCAGAACTGAAGTAATGGGCCTTCTCGTGCTCGTGCTCGATGCGGATGCCATAGCGTCCAGGATCAATGTTCTCATCCGGAGAGACCTTGCAGCCAGCAATGTTGATGTAACCTTTGATCTTGGTCTCCTGTAACGAACCATCGAGATTCAGAAGCGAGCTCAATGGTAACAAACGATTACACTGACCGTGTCCTTGTCACTCCGCAACCAGTAGAGATGTGGACCCGTCAGAACGAAGTACCGCATCTTCCACGTATTGTACCGTTCACCTCTTTTCCGCATCCAGCCTTTGTGATCCGCCTCCCCCAGCTGTCGCAGAATGCTCTTGCCTTGCTCGAACCGTGGCTTACCATTCCCTTGAGAGTCCGGCGGAGTAATGTTCACCGCTGGCACCCCGGCAGAGGACACAGTGCGTTTCCTCAGAGTAGAGGGATCCTTCCCATTGTCTTTGGGCCTCGGCGCTTTCTCCTTTACTTCATTAAGCTTCGCTTTTGGCGATTTCAGCCCCTCCTTGCTCTCCTCCTTGCACTCCCTATGATCCATCTTCTTCTCGACAGACTCGAGGGCTCTTCCCGCGGATTCCTTGACCTCTCTGATTGACGGAACGTGATGAGGCTTCTTAGTAGAAGTACCATCAGATGTGGATGGTCGCCTGGAAGACCTCTTCTCCCGGATCCTAGAGAATGTGCCATGGTGTTTCTCTTCCTCACCTCCAGACCTGTTCACGTGGAATATCAGAATTCAATACTATAAGATCCTAACAAAGGTCATCAACACGTACGTTGAGATGCTAGGCGGAGGCTTCCTGTTCTTATTTCCCTTCCCGAGAGTGCCGGAGAAGGTACCACCGAACAGGCTGAGACGATCCGAAGCCTTTCGTCCTTCTGAAGTCTCCCTCTTCCTCGGAACCCGTCTCGTCGCGGCAACCTCCTCGATCGGTTCTGGCTTAGCTACACTCGGCGATGGCGGCACTGGCGGAATCTCCGTCGTCGAGGTCGTCAGGGTCGTCGAGGGCGTCTGCGGACTAGCGATATCCTTCGAATTTCGACTGCCCGCGTCCTTCGACTGCCGACTTCCCGTATCCCTTAAGCGCTGGCTGCTCGCATCCTTCGAGTGGCGACTGGATACGTCATTGATCGACGTCTTCTCCTTGATCGAACCAGATTCGGATCGCCAGAACATGCGGCGTCCCTTGCTCTTCGAGTTCACAGACGGGGCCATTTCGCCCTGCAGCAAAGGCGGATATTCAGAGACATGTCAAATGGATATAACGAGCGACGCACCTCGCTTGCAGCGCCCCTCTCCTCGTCAACATGGATGGCGTTATCACGACCAGGTGACATGAGTACACCGTCGCTAGGCGATGGTGAAAGAACCAAATTCGGCGGACGCGACTTCTACAGAATCATCAATGTCGACATCAGCAAATAAATAGCATCGTCAGGAATGAGGCTGAACACACAGTTTCCTTCCCATTGACCGCAGGAGGCGCATTCAACCCGAGACCAAGCCCAACCAGAGGCTCGTCTTTGGGCTTCTCCGTCTCTGCAGGAGCTGTTGCCGGCTCAGGCTCAGGCATAGGCCACCCATGGCGTATATCACTGTCCCCAGTAGGCGGTGGACTCTCCTCCCTTGGCACAGGAGGCATCCCTGGACTGTTCATGTTCCCATGCATGCTGGGCGCGTACAATGGTGAGTAGCCCCACGAGCCATGCGTCGGAGCTGAGCTCTGCATGCTGGCGGAATGTGAATGCGAGTACTGCAATGACTGACCGGTCTGCGAGCGGGGCGTCATGACGCGCGCAGGTGTGTGAGAAGGGGATTCGTAAATCGAGGGCGGACGGCGTAGCTCGGTTATCGCGTTTATGATGCGGGCACGCTTGCCGAACGTGAAGATGCCGATCTCAGACTTGAGAACGTTCGCATCGAGTTCCATGAGAACATCGCCTGTGATTTCTTGCTCTGTCAAACATGCAGATCATGAATCAACACCCAGTAATAGACATTTCGCGTACTGCAACGCACCAATAAACTTCTCGCAGACGCCATCATCAAACCCTTTCCATTTCAGCCACTCCACTACCTGCTCGACAGTCCACTCCGATGGGTGACCTTCTGGCTTCTTGCCCTCCGTTCCCGGGGGCTTCTCTACCCCTCCCACGCTGTTGATTGACATAGTAGTCGCTGGTGTGAGCGCCTGCTGCACGCCTGCAGAGCTCATGCTGGTCGAGCCTGCGAAGGACGACGCAGTGGGCGAAGGCTGCACGGAAGAGGAGCCCGTGGTGATCGGGAGCGCTGATACCTCCCCAAGACGAATCGTACTCGTCGAAGGTGTCACGGTCTGCACGGTCGACGCGGCCCCAGAAGTGATGGTGGGGGAAGAGAAACTAGACATCCTGTCGGACTGGGGAGGAGAAGAAATTTCATCAGCCTGTGCCAGAACACTCAGCGGCGCTGACCCGACGATGGTATCTGCAACGGCTTGTGAAGGTGGAGCGACCTTTGCCGCATGGGAGGCGAGCAGCGCAGGTTTCGGAATTGGGCTCGAAGACAACTGTTCTTCGGTGAAGATAGTCTTCTCAGCGCGAGCAGTCGGAAGCTCGGTCTCGTCCCCGGCAGGAGAGGGTACGATGAAGTCTTCCGATGGTACGATCTCCGTCGAGTCCGTGTGCAGCGCAGGCTGATGGTCAGTCACAGTAATCGAGGGTGTTGATTGAGAATCGAAATCCAAGCTGCGATGTGGGGTCGATAGTGGCGGTATTGACGTCGGCATGCCTTCCTCCTCGTCTTCCTCGGGTATGTTCGGGTAGATAGGTGAGCCTCCAATACGCGGGCTTGAGCTTGTCCGTCGAGGGTTAAACCGCATCTGCGAAAGCTCCTCCTCCTCGTCTTCGCTCTCGTCACTCATCTCTACGTCGATAGGGGGAGCCGTAGAACGCATTGGTGTCGGGGGACCTGAGCTCAACCTCGCTAGTTTGACCGCCTCTGTGCGTTCCCTCGAGGCCCGCTCCTCGTTTGCCTGTTGTGCACGCATTGCAAGCTTCGTCCGAGTGCCCTTCGACCAGCCATAGCCGTCAGCTTCGTCGTCTCCATCGGTGTCGTCCTCGATCTCCGAGTGGTCCGTTGACCGAGAATGGGAGCTCGCAAAGCTGAAGCTGTGCGAGCCGTCGTCACCGCTGCGACCGAGTTGCTCAATAGCCTTCTGAACGTCGGTCATGGTCGCCTTCATCATTTCACCATCATCCTCGCCTTCTGCGTCGGTTCGAGGAGGGAGTGGAGACATATCTTCTGTGCTATTGCTCAGAATCGGATCAGCTGCACAACGGGCAAGCTGAGACCCACTTGAAGTGCGTCGCCCGCTCGCCTCTACAGTAGACGATGAAGACGATACATTGGCGCTTTCCTGCGCTGCGAGGATGGACGGTATAGCAGGGGGCTTGTAGGAGGTGTAACTCTGCGGAAACAGCCCAACTTGGCCCGCAGTATTGCGTCCCTTAGAAGGAGCGTTAACCGCGACATGAAACATAATCAGGATGAAGGAAGTAGGAAGAAGCCGCCATAAACATCGTGGGCGCAATGTCATATCATCCTCGGTCCCACGAGGAAGTGGCTGGATGAAAGACGAGTAGCGCTGCAAAGAAGTCGACGAGATGACATCGTATATACTATGCAAGTCGGTCGCCGTCCTCGAAGAAAGCCAGCTAGCACCGCTGGTCGCGGCGGGAGACAGAGCGGCCTTCATTCCCAATGGAGAACATGGGATGCACTCACCTGCCACCATCCGTCCTGATATTCATCATCTTTATCAATAACTTCGATGCGCTCCCCCGTACGCATGGGAATCTCGTCCGGATTCTCGGGGATGAATTCATGAATCACGTAGACGTATTCGGGCATTGTGGTCGAGGTGGGTATAGAAGGGTAGTTGGTAAGATCCCGACCGTTTGGACCGTTTGGTGTGCAAGAGAGACAGAGTAAGGAGAGTGACGGGCTGTGCAAGAGCAAGAATATGAACAAGAGGGGAACGGACGAAAGAGGGAGATTCTGGAGTGCGATGGACGGGCGTAAGAGGCGGTTCGCGCCAATTCTCCCCGCGGCCACGTGTCACGTGCTTCCCGCTAAGCCACGCGAACTCTTAACGACTCACCTAGGCTGAATGATTTCAATCATTTCCGAGCTACTGAGTCAGCGATCAAACTAGAACTGTCTGGGACTCCAAGACTGCTATGCTCCGAAAATGACGATTTGTACGAATGCAATTCGGTGGCACCACTACCGGGACTCAGCGATATATGCAGGCGCCCACATTGACAGGCGCGCGAGCCTGATTGGCGCCGAGACATCAGGAACTTGGACGGGACTCGTGTCCAGAATCAAGAACTTATGAGGAAGCATTCGTATTCCATCATACGAGACCGCAGAGGGAATTGGTTTGCCAACGACGCTGGGTGGATCGGAATTAAACTCCAACAACCTTAGCCGGTGTTGAAGAAAGTGAAGATGGCGAGGAACGGACCTCACTTGGAAAAGGCAAGGGATATGCTCAGGATGATGAAGAACCAATTCGAAGAGCAGTGAGATGGCGGCTGTTTGAGCCTTAAGCTTCATCTGTGAGTGACCTTGCAGGTGAAAGCTGCTTACACACACCCCAGGATTTGCTCAAATGTATACATCATTCGCAAGCTCTTACTACACAGGACGGGACAACTGCGAAATGTATCCAGAGAAACAGACATGTACAAATGCTCGACGGCTCTGCTCTCATTGCTATTGGTGAGTGCTCAAGATGCACACGGTGGACAACACTAAAGCTGTCGCATCCTTACGATTGTAGGCATGTTGTTCCGGGAGCATGTCCGGTAAATGGTTGCCGCGGAGGTGCCAGATGGCTGGGAGAAAGCGATGGAGTGGGCGGAAAGAGGGACGGAAAGAGTGGCAGTAAGGCAGGCGAAGAAGACATGATATCGCGTCTTCGGGACTGCATAGAACGCGCAGGCATATGCTTGACGCAGACGAGGCAAAAGAAGGATGGCTTGGAAATAAGCGAAGGGAACGTTGCGATATTTGGAGAGCGAGAGGAAGTGTCAGAGTAGACGAGCCGAAGGTTTGTTTCTTCGTGGCATGAGTTTGTTGTACAAGGACGACAATGTGGAGGACAAATACTGTCTCTCAGACCACCGCATTTCTGTTCCCCGATGATACGCAGGATGCCGACAGCATTAGCAGAAAACACAAATTGCAAGCGAAGTAATTTAGATGGACAGGCCAACTACCGCATAGTACCGTCTTCCCACCGCTTTAGGATGTTCTCCGCAAAGATACCCATGTCATCTCCCTCGAATATCCGCAGCCTCTCCAGTCTGCGGTCGCGCAACTTGTTTTTGGGCAGCATGCCTGAGACTGCCTTTCGGATAATCTACATACAGTACACATATCATTTGAGCGAAACGCGAAGAGGTCAGACCGGAACGTACCTCGTCGGGTTTCCGTTTCATCATGTCTTTGTATTTAATTTCCTTCAGATTGCCCGGATACATCGTATGATGCCTGTAAATGATTTGATCCGCCTTCTTTCCCGTCACCTTGACCTTCCGTGCGTTCGTGACCACTACATAGTCACCACAATCCACTGTAGACATGTAGCTTATGCACGAACATAATAGACCTTTGAGAAGCAAACGTACAACTGGGGTCGAATACGGGCTTGTGCTTGCCCATGAGGACGATGGCGATGCGCTCGGCGAGTTTGCCCAGGATGCGGTCGGAGGCGTCGACATGGTGCCACACCCTGGCGTACGCGAGTGCAGTCTGTGCATTGTTATTCAGCAAGGGCCATGAGACTGGCAGAGAGATGGACGAACGTTGCCAATGGCCTGGGACATGGTCGTTAAGAACGAACAGTTAGTTAAAAGGCGCACAATAGTCTCGGGCGCCTACATAGGCCTACATCGTGTTGTCTTTCAACGCGTCTGCCACTGAACCCATCCCTTCCGGACTCTGAAGTCCTCGTTCGTGGTCTCAAGCCATCATGTCGGGCGAATCGTCAACACGTTCGGACCTCATTGATGTGTAAGTAAATCATGGCGCTATATCGAACGTCGTGCTCATTATTTGCAGAACCTATCAACACATCCACGCAGCTTTGTCCAGCCACTTGGAGGGGAACAACAACACTGACCAGATCATCGACTACCTCGAGCCGCGCATCCCTCAGCTTAGCGATATCTCAGCACCATTCGGCACGCCTACAGACGCGTCGAAAGAAAAAATTGAATCGGGTTCGGTCACTCTACGCGATGATGTCGTGCTCCGCGTCGAGCCCGCTGACAAGGAGTACGTATATGCCATCAGCAAACGCTTCAATATAGATGAGGTCGAGGCACTCGTCCTGCTCCGGTCTTTTGTCTACAATGAAGGCCTCCCAGAGCAAGCCGGGTCCAAGGAAGAGAGAAGCCTTGTGGACGAGCTCCTGGAGGCCATCACCCCGTTCTACTACTCCGAGCGACTCTGCATACTACGGACGCTCATTCCTCTTCTTCGAGCACATGGGAACCAGAGCGATCCAGCAAGCAAGATCTCTAGTGCTCTTCTCTCGATGATTCACCCAAACGGAACCGCGCTCGCAGAGTCGCTGATCACGGAGTACGTGCGAAAAGTGAACGCGAAGCTACCAGAATATGAGAGCAACGATCCGCGTCGGGCGGCTGCATGGGCGCGTCAAAACGCGAAGGAGCAGCTAGTCATGCTAGAGGTGCTTTTTTGGGCAATGTGGAGCTATGCACCGTGTAACGGGCCAACGGTTGTTCGCATCTTCGAGACCGCCTACGACATCGATCTCGGATGGAAACAACGGAATGAAACGATGCTTCTAGACGATGAAGGCACACAGCTAAAGAAAGACAGCACAGCTCTCTGGATGTTAATTCTCGTCGAGGCGCTGGAGCTTGAAGATGCGGCAAGCGAGGAGTTCGGGCCCAGCGCCACGACCATTGGAATAGACCTGACAGTTGAATCCAAGTACTGGTCATTTCCGGACTCTTTGCAGCGGATACATGAGCTTATTTTGTCTCATACCGACGGCCGTTTTGCATTCATCTACGTTGCTTGGGCTTACGTGCTATCACGTTTGGAGAAGGCGGTAGCGCAGATGCAGGAGGTGCCTCCATCATATGCACAGTTCTTCGAATCGCTCGTCCAGCAAACTGGCAACTCTTACTCAGGTGATCGCGAGCAGATTTATACATTGATGGTGAAGAGATGTATGGATCCGGACGTTGGACTATTCAACATGTTGTATAATCTGTTGACCGATTCGCCGCTCTTCGTGACTGCTGCCGCATGGAGGACAGCATCAACGGTGACAGACCCTAATAATGTGGCGTATCGGGCCCTGATGAAAGGTGCGTAACGGTAATCCAGGGTATATGTGCCACACTGAATGGAACCCACAGGCTTCGTCGTTGCGATGGTGGAATTGGTACCTGTGGAAGAGATTCCTGACTTCGAGAGCTTCGTTGAGGTGTGGATTGCCCTATTTGGCCGGAGCGAGAGCCTGTCCATCACCGCCATATGCGCACAATTCTGGGAATATGATTATCCGTCAATCCTCTCACACCGCGCAATCCTCGACGTCGCTAGGACAAGGTTCCCCATTCAGTTTCGACCGCTCATTCGAATCCTGCGTGCAATGACCGCAGCCGGTTTTCTGGGTACCGACCCGCTTTCGACAGCAGATCATGCCCTCGAAGGAGAGGAGCTCACCGAGGCACGCGAAATCTGCATGCGATGTGTCTTTAACTACTTCCAGAGACTGCCCACCTACACGCAGGCCATACCCGCTACGGCCACCACAGGTTCATCCGCTATGTATGAGAAGCTGCCAGAACGGTATGGCTCCTCCTCTGTTGCGACTGGAGTGACCTACGCAAACACGAAGGCTCTGAAGCTCCCTGGCGGATCTATCCTTCCTCCCGCGACTCAAGGTCGTCTGTTGAGCGGAGATGGAGGAGATCTCCTGGTCATTGCTTGGCACCATGAACATTCCGGGTGGAAACTTCTGCTCGAATTCCTGAACGACTACGTTAACAGGAAGCGATTGTCTTCCGGTGCTGGCTACTACCCAGTCTCATTTACGAGATCACGGCAGATGGCTATCCCAGTCAATTTAGAGGACATTGGTGTCGAAATGGATCTTGCAGGTGATGAAGCCATCGTGACAGATATCCTCGACCTCATTCGCAGCGTCATCCAGGACAATCCTCCGCTAGGTGAACAATTGATGGTGGCTATGGAAAGCGGTGGTGCAGTAGTGGCTCACACCATGGTCGGGACGCAGCCGCCCGACCTGATACAACTGACCGTCATGATCCTGGAAGATGCTATGTCGCGCTCGTCAGCTCAGCCCAGGGACAACTCGTTCACTCCACTCATCACCTCCGCCATGAGTGTGCTATCCGCTTTGCTCGCACTTCCAAGATTTGCAGCTAAGGTCTGGCTGTACGTCCGGTCGACGACCTCGCTTTTCGGCTCAGAGAAAAGCATCGGGTTCACTTCCGCCGTTCTCGCTACTGAGCGTCTTACAGGCCACTATACCATGACCTTAGCGCTTCTACATTTGGTGCAGCAGCTATTCCGTGAGGCGTCCTCATCTGTGGTGCAAGTTCTGCAGGAAAACCCGAAATTGCATCCGGTGAAGCAGGAGGTCTTGCTGCGCATGGCAAGATTTGTCCATGCTGAGATCTGGGTAGAGCACATGAGCTGGAAATATGCACAGCTGGGCGCCAGGTTCGAAATCGGCAGACGAGTGTCGTCATTGTACGCGGAAGTGCTCCAGCATTCATCGCCCGCACTCAAAGATGGACCCTTCGGATCCTTGAGTCAAGCCATCACAGAGGTGTTCTTGCTTAGAGCGACGACATCCACGATCACGCCTCTGGTATCATCCTTAACAACTGCAGGAGCTCTCCTCGACATGCTATACTCGTCACGGCGGTATAGTGATGCTAGACGGTTGATCTACATGCTCGAGTCGCATCTCTCATTGACTTGCGTGCTGTTGACGTGCAAGCAGACTCTCGCCTTGTCATCCGAACCGTCCCTACTGGAACAGGCTCTCTGCGCCAAAGTGGGTGGCAGTATGACTACTTTCGATGCAGGGGTTCCTAGAATCGATCCTGTCGATGCATTAGCGGCTTATATTAAGGGGAAGAGCGTGGGATCTCTGGTCCCGGTCCTAGCCACGCGGGTGCTATTTGCTCTGTGTTCGTCGCTGTCTTCCGCTCATGGCTCGCCTCCTACCATCATTGGTCATCTCAGCGATCCTGAGGCCACCGTGTCGACCCTCGTCCATATCGTGCAGCATCCGTATGATGATCCACACCTGCGCAATGCGGTGTGGGACTTCATCACACTCGCGGTTGACAAGGAGCCGGCGCTGGCTAGGTTGTTCGTCACGGGGCACTTCCGTGCACCGAACCTGAAAGCATCGGAGAAGGGCAAGGAGAGAGCCAGCGAGAGTGGAACTGTGGTCAAGACCATCAATGCGGTGAGCGTAGCTTGCGACATGCTTGTCCAGTGGAAGGAGCTGTATGAGTCCAATCCGCAGTTATTGGCTTCCCTACTGCGTTTCCTGGACGTGGTCTGGCAACATGGACACGAGCATAAACAGCATTTGGAGGCGATACGTAATGACATGAATCTGTTCGAGCGGTTAGCTGCTATCATCGCGGAAGAGTTGGGGCCGTCTCCTGACTACAGGACTCAAGATTACGTGGAGATTGATGGCAGGCGGCGATCAATCTGCCATGAAGCAGTTTCGGCGCATTGCTATCGGATTGCCATCAAGGCTCATGCGGTCCACATTGTAGCGGTCGACATCAGGATGCATCTCGACTCACAGCCGCAGGCGGATTCACCAACAGCCCCCAAACCTCCAAGCTACATTGCATTGGATGGCATACTCAGGTCAAAAGAGCAACTGACGAAGCTCATTCAGGAGGCGGTGACGAGTGTCTACGACCCCGGTCTCTACGACGAACTCGCTGATCAGATTTGCACAGAATTCCCGAGTCTTATCTTGTCGCATCTGAAGGTCGAAGAGCCTATGGTTGAGCGGGAATACGGTGATGCCTTCGCATTCTCTACGCCCCTATTCCAACTTCGGTTGCAGCCATATGCCACGGAGAGTAAGATGGTGGCAATCATCGAGGCTCATAAAAGGCTGACGTCTATCAACCTGAATCTGTCCCTCACCTATGTACAGACAACTCTGACAGAGTCGTGGCAATATCTGCTGTTGCAGACTGTCACCTATGTTCGTGCGCAAGCACCAATACGGAGTACGTTCTTGGAGCTAGCGGTTATAGTGTCGGACCTTATCGCTTCGGAGAGCCGCTCTGGAGATATGATGTCCGAAATCCATTGCGCGAGGCTGTCTCTGCTGCTGGCGATGCTGGAGGTTGTCTGGTTCTCTGACTCCAACGATGCACAAGAAGTCGAACAGTTTGTCAATTTGGTAGCGAACGTGCGAGGAATTATCCTCAATGCATCACAGCCTCCATCAAGATCACTCTTGAGACAAGTTACAGTGCCTTTCCACCAGCCGCTACTGCAGATCGTCTATTTCTGTGTACGACAGAGCAGGAAGTTCGCTCGACTGCTGAAAGCTGCTCAGCGTCTCAAAATCTCCGCGATGCTGGAGGCGACGCTCACACTCGTCATCAGCCATCTCCGTCTCAGCTTCGACAACGCAAGCGTCTCTCTCGATCTCGAGCTGGATCAGGACATGCAGCTGCTCGTTGCTGTCTTCGAACAGTGCACTCGGCTCGACCTCAACCCCTCCCCGCTGTTCTGGTTGACCCGATGTCAAGAGACAGACGTCATCCGAGCGAGCCTCCATCTGTGCAGCAGGATGGACCTCGTAGGTCTGTCCGACATTGCATTGCTCCGGGCGCGGAAACAGCCGCTGTATGCGCCACACGTCCTGATGTTCCACATGGCGCTGGCGAACATTCCATCGGCTGCCGAAAGACTCGCAAGCGAAGGTGTCCTGTCGGCGTACAGCGATAACGGTATAAGTTCTGCCATCCAGGCTGGGCTAATCGACGTGGTCATCCCGGAGCTCCCAGGTGAGCGGAGTCCAGCACATCACGCCTACTGTTCGATGCTCTCGGTCGTTGCAGGCGTGATCACAGCCGTCGGGAGACACGGCCACTATTTCGACTCCCAGGCGAGCGGGCTCCTGCAGCTGTTCGGTGACCAGATCCACCGGGCGCTATCGTGGACGATCGATAGCCCGCTGTCACTGCCTTTGATCGAGGAGATGGAACAAAGCGTGAACGTGTTCGCTGCCATCGCGCAGAACTCGCCGAGGGATGGCGCGAGTGACGCAGTCAAGGAGGTGCTGCGCTTCTTCACGATGGACGCACTCTTCTTGCTGCAGCAGCTCAACTACGCTCTCACGCACCCTAACCATCTCGCAACTCTCTTTGAGCCGATCACTGCGGACGAGCGCACGAAGTTCGAGGCGGAAAGCGGGAACCCGGCGATGAGTGCATCGGGAGAGTTTGTGGACTTTGTAAAGAGGCCTTTCCTTACGAAGATCGTGCATAGGCTGTTCCTGCTCTCGGGCTCAATCTTGTCCGCACTCATCGCCATCAGCGGGGCGGAGACGGTGTTGCTAGGTGATCAGGAGGACTGGCCAATAAGTGAAGCGTTGGTGGTACCTGTGAGCAGATTCCCATTCCTATGAGTTGCAGACATTGACGAACGGTTACTAGCATTCAAAAGTGGTTCTTGGGGAATCCGCTTCGATGGGTACACTGCTCGAACTAGGGAACTGTTCTTTGGACGTCCTACGCTTCCTCGTCGACCGGCCACTCTCTCAAGCCATCACGCTCACCTCGGCGAAGGAGAAGGGCCTTGACGTGCGCGACAGCATCCTGGCGGTACGGCGCACGCTCGACGCGGTGCTGCTTTACGGGGTAACGCAGCTCGCGATGTGGCTGTCGAAGCCCGAGTTTGACGTGGCGCGCGAGGCCGAGGTGGACGAAATGCGTGCGGAGGACACGACGAAGACACGGCGGCAGGCGGGGATGACACTGGCGGAGCGATTGAGGCGGGGTATGACGGGGGAGATGGCGGCGGATCTGCAGGCGATACTGGTGAAGGCGAAGCCGATTATTGCGAAGTGCGAGGCAATGTTGAAGAGCGAGGCAACGCTGAAGAGCGAGGATGTGGATTTGACGCAGGTGCTGTCACATTTTGTGCATGAACGGATAGCGATTGTGTCGTAGATTGGTCTGTGTGTCTGTAGTGATGTAGCTTTGATGCTGTTCGTCGAGTATCTGTAATAGTTGATCATAGCTCTTTCTCATTCTCTTTTTCCAGGGACTGAAACGATTAAGGGGCAGGTAGTACACGGTATATCGATCCTACGATTTGCTATTGCTCGTCGCTCCGTGTGAGGACGTCTGCACCATGTTCCATGATGAGGACCATGTGTTCGGCCTGTGCGCTGCGTGCACAATTCTATCAATAACACATTAGTCACAGTTCCTTGGGAGGAAAGGACATTTGCAAGGTACGTACCTCCGTGGATGCCGTCCAGCCGTCTGGAAATACGCATGCCATTGGGTCCGACCCTTGGATGATGCACGGCTGCTTGGCCGTCAGCGAACGTTCAGCTTCAGCTTGAGCAGCGCTCACCTCAATTGTGAAGCAATGTCCCGGGAGCATCACGCCGGGCTCATCATTTCCTGTTAAAGCCATTTACATTAGACATACATGAAATGGGCAACGAGCGCACGCACGATGATGCCATATCCACGGTGGTCGATGGAAGACATCCCCGATCCCATGCCCGGTAAACTGCGTAGACACACAGTAGTCTTTGTGCCGTATGACCTCGGATATCGCCCTGCCTATGTCTTTGAACGGGCGTCCGGGTGCGCAGGCTGCGATGCCCGCCTGAAGCGCGGCCTCTGTGACTTGCACCAGCTCGCAGCCTTTCTCATCCTATGGTCCGTAAATGGGCGATCGACCGAGGAAGGGGAGATCGGATAGCTTACGACGTCGCCGACGAGAAACGTCCGGGAGGTGTCTCCGTGGAAGCCGTCCTTGAACACGGTGATGTCGACATTCACGATATCCCCGTTCTCGAGTGGACGCCTGACCGCGCACGTTCAGTAGCGCAACGAAGCTACGGCGGCGAACGTACGAAACTCGTCTGGGATTCCATGCGCGATGACGTTGTTCACGCTTGTGCAGCATGACTTTGGGTAGCCTTTGTACAGCAGCGGAGAGGGGTATGCATCATGCGCGATGATGTACTCGTGCACCGCGGCATCGATCTCGTCCGTCGTCACGCCCTCCTACGCATGACTTTATATCAGCACATGGACAATTGACCCTACCGCTGCACGCCGCTCCAGACGTACATGGACAGCCTGTAACACGGACACAACTCCGTCCGCCCGCTCACCTTCACCAAGCTCCCCGCAAAGCTCAACACCTCCGCTGCAAACTTCGCCGTCCGGTGCAACACACGCTCCTCCTCCCCGTCGAGGGCAATCCGCTTCTCCGTGTGCACGTCCTCCACGCCCCCCGCGAGCGCGTAGTCCGGCCGGCGGATGTGCGGCGGCACGGAGCGCGGTGGGATGTGCGCGGTGCCCCAGACGTGTGGTTCTTTGGGCAGGATCACGTCGTAGTAGCCGAAGTGGGCGTCGTGTGAGGATGGGGAGGCATTGTCGTCGGACTTTCTGAGGCGGGTGGTCGTGAATCTGCGTACGTTTTGGCGAGGCCGGCGAGAGAGGCGTACGGCGATGCCTGCGGTGAGAGACCGCACGCGCATAGGTAGCTTTGTGGTGGTGGGCGAAAGCAAGGCGCGTTGCATTATACGCGCACGGTGAGGCTGATATATACACCTCCGCTCCTCGATTGAAGGTGCAGTAAGAGATGAAGCAGCAGTAATTACAACATTGAACCATAAAGAACAACATGGCGAGAACTACAGCGCGCGAGTGATTATGTCCAACCCCTCGCGGAGCCCCTGCCTCCTCCGTGCCCCTTCTCCTTCTCGATAACAAACAGTGCATCTCGCAGGGTAATCGCCCTCCGGTTGTCTTCTTCTTTCTGCGTTTGAGGTTTCAACGGCACATACGGCCGCGCCCACCGCCCCGCCGCACTCGTTGCAGGCGCCGTCGTCGTCGCCGGAGTCGTCGCCCCGCCCCCGCCCCCTCCCGTCGGTGTCGTGGGCTTGGGCTTGATCGGCGCGGGAGCCACGTTCGTCTGCGACATCCATGCGTACTTGCCCGTACCGAGCCCCGCCGCCTGGCTCGCAACCGCATTCGACATCTTCTTCCGCGCGTCCTCTGACATGTTGCGCGCCGTCACGCCTGGACCCTCCTTCTTCTTCTTTTTCTTTGGCCCTCCCTCCGCATCCTCATCCATCGCCATCCCCGCGCTCGCCTGCGCCGCGAGCGCCGCGTTCTGCGCTGCCGCCTCCGCTCGCTCCTTCCGCTCGCGGCGCACACGCATCTCCTCCTCCCGCTCCACCCTCTCGATCGCCGTGAGCTGCTTCGCGACGTCGCTCCGCACGACGATACCCCACATCGGGCTACCGTCCTCGTACAGCGACGCGGGCCGGTCGAACTGCGTGTCCGTCCGGTGCGCGGACGCGGCAATCATCTCGGCAACGAGGTCCTGCAGGCGCGCGCGCAGCGAGAGCGCGAGGTAGTTGACAGAGTCTTCGGGTATCCTGGTCACTTTGTGTTTGGTGCCGATGCTGCGCATCGTCGGGCCCAATATTCGCGTGTCGAATTGCGGTTTTGGCGGTTGTTTCCGCGAACGGTCTTCATATGGGCGGTAGGCGGCGTATTGATCATAGGGACCTGTTCTTTGCAATGTTTCTTCCTCAGCCTGAATAATGCGTGAAGTACGAGTTGCACGAGAACAGCAGCGAGACGTACTCGGAGGTCAACCCCTGCACTCCCTAGTGCATCGTTGAGCATGGCGACATCTGCCGTTTCCACCGAGCTCGATGCGACTGTGCGCGAGACAGACGCGACCTGAGCCTGCACAGGCTGCTGTGCGGCCTGCGGCGCAGGATACGTGTACGAATATTGTGCCTGTTGTTGATAGTATTGCTGGTGTGCCTGGTAGTAGCTCGCTCTACACGGATATGTGAGTGGGTGCGCAGCATCGACAGCGGAAATTTCAGTACGTAGATTGCTGTGATTGTTGCTGCAGGGCTGGGTCAATGACCTCTTGAAAATTCGTTAGTATTTGGATGCTACAGGAGGTCGACGAACAACGCACGAGAGCCCCATTGTGCGGCCGAGAATGTTGGCACTGGTGTTTGCGAGTCGTGCTCTTGCTTCATCGTGAGTGAAAGCAGAAGAGCTGATGATGGTCGTCTCAGGGCCGTTCAGCGCGTCGTAAGTCAATGAAGTTGGAGACAGAGAGGAGAGTGTCGAGCACGCGCGGTGTCCGGGCTTTGTCGATGGATGAGGTAACGGTGCCCCGGGTACTGCCCGAGGACGAACGCTCGAGTCCCCTCGACACCCCTAATCGAACACCTCGGCCAATATATTAAGCCACACTCCCCTTAGACTCTCTCATACTTACCTGCCCTCTGAGCACCTGTGCTGTCCACTCTCCGTTGAAGTAGCGAGCAGAACATAGCAGACGATGGTGAGCATCTCACCGACAGTTCCGAGCACAATTCATGTATCTATCGCCCAACACACAGGTCGTCTGTCCATATTTCCTCCGTGGCCAATGCAAGTTCGGTAGCCAATGCAAGAATGAGCACCCTCGCGATGGCAGAACAGGCGGATTCGGCTGTATGTCTCTCCCTCCCTCCTTCTCTGCTCGCTCATCACTCCTCAATTGCAGACACAACTTGGAACGCTTCAGGCCCAAGCACGGGCCCCGTAACGCCCACCACGCTCTTCACGTTCGCATACTCTCTTCTATCGTCGCACACTTTCCTGAGTTGATCGCTGCCCTAGTGTAGAGAGCATCTTGCGCGACCTTGACCCCAAGGTCGACCGGCCTGGCTGGCCGCTCTCCAGCTACGGCCCCGCGAAGCAGCAGCCGAACGTCATCTCCGGGCTGGACGAGTCGCCCGAGGAGCTCCGCGTGAAGGCCTTCCTCGCCACCAAGGCAGGCACGGTGAATGAGTATGTGCGTCGCATTTCCGTCGGTTCTTCATGAGCCTCTCTGAAGTTGCTGGTCAGATGAAATATGAAGCAGACAAGATCGCAGCGGCGGAACAGACCTTCGCGAACGCGCGTACGAACGTGAAGCAGGTGTACGAGCAGGCCACGCGTAACATTCCCAACCCACAGTCAAGCAGCACCTCTGGTTCTGCATCCGCCGGCGGCGGATCAGCGTTCGGCGGCGGCTCCGGCTTCGGCGCACCCGCCAGCAACTCTGTATTTGGTAAACCTACTGGAGCTTTCGGCGGCGGGACTGGCTCGGGATTTGGCGCATCAACATTTGGCTCTGGTGCGTCTACGACAGCAGCATTCGGTTCGAATGCCTTTGGGCAGACTGCATTTGGGAAGCCTGCGCAGGCCCCGTCTGCGTTCGGCCAGCCTGTTCAGAGCACATCTGCGTTTGGCGAACCTGCTCAGAGCACACCTGCGTTCGGACAGCCCGCTCAGAGCACATCTGCGTTCGGACAACCTGCTCAGAGTACGTCTGCGTTTGGCCAGCCCGCTCAAAGTGCTTCGGCGTTCGGTCAACCCGCTCAAAGTGCTTCGGCGTTCGGTCAACCCGCGCAGACGGGCACGACTACGTTTGGCCAGCCTGCACAGAGCATCTCGGCGTTCGGCAAGCCGTCGGGGGGGACGACTGCGTTTGGGCAGCCTGCACAGACGGCGCCTGCGTTTGGTCAACCTGCACAGACGGCGCCTGCATTTGGCCAACCTGCACAGAGCGTGTCTGCGTTCGGCCAACCAGCCCAGAGTGCATCGGCTTTTAACCAGCCACAGAGCACGCCTGCGTTCGGTCAATCCCCCCAAACTACGTCCGCGTTCGGCCAACCTGCTCAAACTACGTCCGCGTTTGGCCAGCCAGCACAGCCATCAGCAACACCATTCGGCCAAGCACCAACTACCACCACATCCGCGTTCGGCCAGACAGCGTTCGGTCAACCCACGCTCATCAAGCCAGCCACAGGTGCCTTCGGCTCAGGCGCCTTCTCTGCGTTCGCGACCCCTCAGCCTGCGCCGACTGCGGGTGGCGAAGCGGGAGGAGGCGGCGGGGGAGCGTTTTCGTCGTTCACAAAACAGCCACCCCCGTTTGGCCTCGCAGCTGCAAGCAATGTGCCGGTCACGACAGGCGGTGCGACCTTTGGACAGACGCCAATGCCCGGGACGGCTACCGCCTTCGGGGCCAGCACGACGGCTGCGCCTGGGCTCGAGGCAACCTCGGCCTTTGGGGCACTCGCGCCCCGTCCCCCGCCCTTGTTCGGCGCCCCTGCTGCGGGGACCTCTGCCTTCGGCGCGCCACAACCCGCTACGCCCGCATTCGGGACTCAACCCGCGTCAACGTTCGGCGCGCCAGTAGGCGGCACGAGCGCGTTCGGGCCGCCAGCCCCCGTCCAGTCTGCGTTCGCCGGTCCACAAACGCCGCCCAGGCCAGAAGCGGCCGCACTACAACAGCAGCCTATATCCGCATTCGCGACCACTACACCGACACAACCACCCGTCTCTGCATTCGCGACGACACCACAAACCCCGACTCAGCCGCTCACTTCTGCGTTTGCGGCATTACAGACGCCTACGCCTGCTTTTACCGCACCTCCTACGCCCCTCGCGACCAGCACGAACACCACCGGTGCGGCAGGCCCGACCGCGCAAAAGGCACCCGTGGGTAAGCCCGACTTTGCCGCGGCGCGGCTGCGCGTGAAGGGCGAGCCGAACGTGAATCAGTATGATGGCTTGTTGCCGCCAAATTATATGGATTTGTTGCCAAAGTCGGCGATTGAGGCGTTCAAGGCGGAGAAGTTCGAGTGGGGGAAGATACCGCAGTACGTGCCGCCGAAGGAGTTGCGGTAGCGGAGGGAAAGAAGGGAGATGTCGTTCTGAATAAGGGACTGTTATATTGTATATGAGACTAGCTCTGTGCGTGATTGCTATGATTTGTTACATGTAATTCTACAGATTCACCAACGTTGCATTTACAGTAGCAGGGAAATTACTATATTCCTACATTTAACACCCACGAGTCCATCAAGGAAAGGATCGTACAGATACACTCTGCTAACAGTGAAAGAAACCATTCAACATATCAAACCGAGGACAGGCTCTCAAACCTGAAGCGCAAATCCGACATGTCGTTCGAGTGATTCAGCTCATTCAAGAACACGAGCACGGTCTTGAGGAACTCGGGAGGTTCCTCGTCGAAGCTGAATCACGTCTTCATCAGCGCATGCAGCGGCAGACAAAGCTACACTTACAATGTCTAGGCAACAGAGCCGTATAGCAACCCCAGCTGGCGGCGGTTCCTGTCGACCCTCTCCCTCATCTTCTGGGCGAGGTACCGCATCTCCCAATCAGGATCTGACATAGCGAGCACATACTTATAATCGAGATGGGGCGACCCAAGGACGTCAAACTCCATGGTCACAGAGAACGTCCCACCATTATAATCTCCCCTCGCATGCAGGAACCAGCTCGCCACCACCGCAGGGTCGTGCGTGAGCGCCCGGGTGCTGGCGTTGTGCCGTGTCCGCCTGTCGATGCCCTCCGTGTCGAGCGGGATGACCCAACTCTTGCCGTCGTCCATGCCGCGCAGGCCGAGGCTCCATGCGGGATTCTGTAGGTAGAGCTCTTGCAGCGGGAGGGAGAGGATGTGTTGAACCCGCGGTCGGCATACTTGGAGAGCCCGCGATCGCGCCGCGGATTGCGGCCGAGGCAGGAGTAGCTCGCGAGGGTGCGGTGCTGCTCGAGCGTCGCCTTTGGGAAGAGGCAGTATGCCTTTTCGTACGTTATGACATTCATGACGCAAGCTGTGAGAAAGAAGCGAGAGCTCCAAAGTGTGACTCGAGCTGTGATTCAAGATGAACTTGGTCACTCACTGGAATGGAAACCCAAGACTACCGCCATCGGTGCGCCGATGACCATGATGAGCTGGACCTTCAGCTCCTTCCCGTCTGGCGCGGACTTTGAAAACGTGAAAACGCGCGCGACGCTGGGAATGTTGTATACCTCGACCGGAGCGTCATTCAGGTCTCCCAATGCCGACTCGAAATCAGCATGAGCCGAGCGCGCTTGCACGTAGCTGTAGCCTTCAGCCAGCAGCCACAGGCCCACTTCTCTGCAGTGTTGCATGAACACGTACAGATCGAGGTCCGAGTTGGGGAACGAGGTTCGGTCGAAGAACTGCAGGGCAGTGGAGCCGGCAATAAGGGTGCCTGTGCGAGCTTGCAGGGAGCGAAAGGATAATGGGTTTTGGAAGAAGCGTGACGGGTCGATCCTGAACGTGGAACGGATGTAGGCATGGCTGGAGATGTGTGCGGCGCAACATGTTCTGGCGATGCGGAGAAGCGTTGCGGGTGAGCAGCACGAGAATATCACATCCGTGATAAGTTCGATATGTATGATCCTGTCCGTGAATAGAGGTTTGACCTGTTGGCAATGTTAATAGGAATGAAAGCTGGAAAGGTGAGAATGAAACTCACAGACAATAAATCGCGTTCCGCACCCACCTTGGAGTCCTTCAGGAAAATTCACAGGGTGAGGAGTCCCCACCCGCACAGGGCACTGCCTGTGCAGTGGAGCAGTGGCTGGAGTCGCGCTCGTCACATAGCACGTGCCACAAAAGGAGCACTTGTCACGCGCTAGCTAAATGCGTTCCCGATAAGGCTTGTGGCCACCGCGGTCCCGCGCATGCAGCATCGCGGCTGCGCGTGAAGGGCGAGCCGAAAGCGAACCAGCATGATAGCCTGTTGCCTCCGAAATATGTGGATTTGTCGCCAAAGTCGGCGATTGAGGTGTTCAAGGAGATACCGCAGTATGTGCCGCCGAAGGCGTTGCGGTAGCAGAGGGGGAGAAGGGAGACGTCGTGTGGTGTTTGCGTTTTGAATTAGGATTGTTATATTGTATGTCGGACTAGCTGATTTGTTACATGTAATTCTACAGATTCACCAACGTTGCGCTCTCATAAGCACGAAATACCCTATACGGCTACATTTGACAACTACCAGTCCATCAAGAAAAGGCCATACAAAGAGGTTTATGTACACTCTGCTAACAGTGAAAGAAACTATACAACATATCAAACCGAGGACAGCCTCTCAAACATGAAACGCAAATCCGACATGTCGTCCGAATGATTCCGCTCATTCAAGAACGCGCGCATGGTATTGAGGAACTCCGGAAGTTCCCCGTCGAAGCTGAAGCAAATTACCCATCAGCGCATACAACACTCGACAAAGCCACACTTACTATGTCTGACCAACAGAACCATACAGCAACCCCAGCTGGCGACGGTTCCTGTCGATCCTCTCCCTCATCTTCTGGGTGAGGTACCGCGTCTCCCAATCAGGGTCTGACATAGCGAGAACATACTTATACTCGAGATGCGGCGACCCAATCACGTCAAACTCCATCGTCACCGAGAACGTCCCACCGTTATAATCTCCACGCGCATTCACGAACCAGGTCGTCACCGCCGCAGGGTCGTGCGTGAGTGCCCGCGTGCTCGCGTTGGGCCGCGTACGCCTGTCGATGCCCTCCGTGTCGAGCGGGATGACCCAACTCCTGCCGTCGTCCATGCGGCGCATGCCGAGGCTCCATGAGGGGTTTTGGAGGTAGAGCTCTTGCAACGGGAGGGAGACGACGATTTTGAATCCGCGCTCGACATACTTCAAGAGCCCATGATGGCGTCGCGGGTTCCGCCCGAGGCAGGAGTAGCTCGCGAGGGTGCGGTGCTGCTCGAGCGTCGCCTTAGGGAAGAGGCAGTATGCCTTTTCGTATGTGATGACGTTCATGACGCAAGCTGTGAAGAAAGAAGCAAGCGCTTCAAAGTGTATCTTGAGCTACCGCTCAAGATGAAGATAACTCACTGGAGTGGAAACCCAAGACCACCGCCATCGGAACGTTAATGGCCATGATGAGCTGGACCTTCAGCTCCTTTCCGTCTGGCGGCGTCTTCGCGAACGTGAACACGCGAGCGACGCCGGGGATGTTGTATACCTCGACCGGAGCGTCATTCGCGTCTCCCAATGCCGACTCAAAATCAGCGTGAGCCGAGTGCCCTTGCACATAGCTGTACCCTTCAGCCAGCAGCCATAGGCCGACTTCTCCGCAGTGTTGCATGAACACGTACAGATCAAGGTCCGAGGCAGGGAACGAGGTTCCGTCAAAGAACTGCAGAGCGACGGAGCCGGATATCAAGGTTCCTGTGCGAGCCTGCAGGGAGCGAAAGGATAACGGGTTTTGGAAGAAGCGTGACAGGAGACGGTCGATCCTGAACGTGGAACGGATGTAGGCATGGATGGCGCTGTGTGCGGCACGACATGTTCTGGCGATGCGGAGAAGCGTTGCGGGTGAACAATACGAGAATACCACATCCGTGATAAGTTCGATATGTATGATCCTGTCCGTGAAGAGAGGTTTGACCTGTTGGCAATGAATGACGATGAAAGCTTGCAAGCTGAGAATAATCAAACTCACAGAGGATAAATCGCCTTCCTGAAGAGCCTCAACACTCATCTTGGAGTCCTTCAGAGAAACTCACAGGGCTGCCCTGTGGCAGAGCTCAGCAGTACGTACGAAATAAGTGGAACGTAGGCGCGGCGGCTGAAGTCGAGTGTCAAGAGACGCGTCTCGTCACATAACACGTGCCACAAAAGAAGCACTTGTCACGCGCTAACCTGTACTATATGCAGTATGCTCATTCCTCAACGTCGTCCAATACAATATAGCAGTGCTCAATCTCACACAGCAGGCTCAATCTCCTCCGCCTGCTCAGGAGGTAACGAATTTAGAAGCTCGTGCATGAATTCTTGTATTTGCGTTTACAGTGGGCAGTGGGTGTTCAAAAGGCATTGTCATTGGTATCTGTGACTATTATCAACTCACCGAAGGCCAAGCAGCCAAACAGGTCTGAATGCAGAGTTCACTTCTCGGCAGATATCTACCCCCTTCTGGTATACTTGCTAGCGGTCTCCCGTCGAAGTTCCCAATTGCCACAGCCACAGACAGAAATGATCTCCACTGTATGGCATTGTTCCAACGTGCCTCGTGAAAACAGACCCTGGCAGTATGCTTTTTCGTACGTAATAAAGTTCTTGATGCATGCTACGGTACATTTCAGCACTCAACGGAGCTGCTAAGAAGATTTCACGTACTGACTAAACCCCTAGAATGACAGCCACCGGTAAATCTTCTGCAAAAATTACGTGGACTTCCGTTTTTTTCCCTAAGTACGACCACTCCAAGGAATTAATAATGCGAAAATGGACAGGGCCCGAATTGGCGCTGCTATAGCTGTCAAAGGCGCACACGCGATTGCGTCACGTCCGCACCGGCCGTTACGGTTCCAGGGCGCGAAGCTCGCAAGCTTGTCGTTCAGTTGTTGATGGTGACCAAGCAATAGCGGCAACGAGTAACGGTGCCTGAGACGGGGTTGCTTCCGGGAACAATCGTAGTCTTGGACTTGGAGGCATCGAGGTGCTCGCAGACATGCTGGGGTACCATGACATCGGCTTCATGGTGCTGTCCGGCCTCTCTCTTAGGCAGCCAATTGTACGTGGAAAGCTATGCTTGAGTCAGGATACCGAAATTCGTCTATGTCAAGACAAGGCATCTCATGTGGTGCATTCAACGGCTGCTTGTTATGTACACCACGGCAACGGCCTGGACAGGTCAATGTTACCTCCGCTGATGATGATCCCAACCGCCCCCTTAATGCCTAATTCCTGGAACGCCGGACTGCGTACCGCAGCGAACGCAGCCGCGCCACTCGGCTCGACGACGAGTTTCAACCGCTCCCACATCAGCCGCATCGCATCGGCAATCTCCTTCCATTCCACAAGGCAAACGACGTCAGCCCGCATAGTCAATCACCCAGCGCGCGCCCGCTGCCAGACGCCAGCCTGCAAGGTATGTATCACCGGCACGCACCTCGTCAGAGACGACAACCACCCGCTCGACCTTCTCCTGGATGATGGGGAAATTGATCACGCCCACCGGCGTCCGCAGCCCGTCTGCGATTGTGTTCGCCTTGACGTCTTCCTGTCGCTTGCCTTCTTTGAGGCCCTGCGCGCAGTCGTCTGCACCCGCAGGCTCAGCACCGAACACTCGCACGCCTGTGCCTTCCGCAGCAAGCGCCGTGCCCGCGAGCAGACCACCACCACCGACGGGAGCGATCACTGCCGCCAAAGGCTCTGGGACCTGCTCGATGAGTTCCAGTAGGGCGGTTCCTTGACCAAGGATCGTGTTGACGGCATCGTACGGAGGTACAAACGTCGCGCCCGTTCTCGCCTGCACCACCGCGAGGGTCGCTGCACGGGCGGCGGCATTGGGCTCGCAGAACGTGATCTCGGCTCCATAAGCCCGGACGGCATCAATCTTGGGCTGGGAAGAGTTGTTTGGCTGGGGATCAAAGTCAGCGCCGCGCGATCAGTTGGATCGGGTGATGCCAGATGTGACGCGAGGTACCATGACCACGTAGCATTTCACGCCCTGTTCCTTGGCTGCCAGCGCCAGCGCACCAGCATGATTGCCTGTGTCGAACATGTCTAAACTGAGTTGCGGAGCAATCTTTGGCTCGCGTACCTGAACTATGCGTGCAGACGCCCTTGTCGAGCTCTTCTTTTGTGAGGCAGCTCAAGCTATAGCTTGCGCCGCGAAATTTGAAGGCACCGCCTTTCTGTAGGTTCTCGGCTTTGAAATAGAGCGTATTCTGTCCCGGAAGAGATGCAGACAGCGAGGAAGACGCAAAGATGGGGGTGTGGTGGATGCGAGGCTTGATCACTTTGTGAGCGGTTTGAACGGACGACCGGGTGAGAGGAAGCGGTGGGTTCGCCATAGTTGCAGTGTTCAAATCAAGTCTCGCAAAGGTAGACTTGTTTTGCAGCCAGTGATTGACAGTCAGGCCTAGTCAGGCCCGCATTCTCACTATGCTGAAATGCGTTCGGCAACGCCCGATGGTTGGATGAGCCAGCGAAAAATCACATAGCAATCGTTCTTCGCGCGAATGGGGTAACAGACACAGCACCGTGCGGAGAGTTTTTAGGCTTATGGAAGTAAGAAGAATTGCATTGTCCAAAGCCTCGAGGGGACTGTCCGAGACGTGTCCGAACGTTGAGACGCTCGAGCAAGCAGGAGTTGGTAGATGCAGTGTGAGACATGGGACTTGAGCACAGTATAATCGACATTATGGGAACCTAGCTTTGCCTAACAGTAGGTCTGAACTCGACCTGCGGAGTCACGTTTTCGACTGTGTGACGACACGCGCCCGAGTGTGACCGGCTGGCCTGGATTGTTGGCAGTAGTGCGGCTGGTTGTTCTTCTCAAGCTCGCACCCTTACCCGGCTTTAGATTCGCTATCCCCTGCTTGACAAACGCTCGACAGCATGGGCGCAGCGGCTAGACCTCGTAGTGCAGAAACCTGTTTGGAGGGCGTGCGCGAAAGTGCGGCCCGACGGTCGTCCTCAGACTCAGTTCATTCGATCGTGGGAGTATCTCAGCCAGAGTTGGAGCCAGGCTTGCAGGTCTATTGGCATTGCTCTTCGTCCGCTCCCGAGCATCTCACTTTCACCGCGCGACAGCCGCGATGGCCTCCCAGCACTCTCCCGGCACCTTCGTTCCTCTTCCTAGCTCGCAGGACTGCGACTCTGAAACTACTCTGCGCAGCGCCACTGCCATCGTCCATCTGGAATACGATAGCACGAATCCTCCTCCCGTTCCATCTCCGCACTGGACCCGCTTCGTGTGCATCAGCGACACTCACTCGCGCATGGTCCATGTGCCACCAGGAGACGTGCTCTTGCACAGTGGAGACCTCACCATGGTGGGCAGGTACTCTGACTTCCAGAGGACGATAGAGTGGCTTGGGGACCTACCCCATCCCAGAAAAATGTAAGTGCCAGTCAATCGCGGAATGCATTGTATGTCACGCCTACATTGGGCACCGAGGGAATCTAATCTCCTGTTTCATGAGAATCATCGCGGGCAACCACGACCTGCCACTTGACCACCACGATGACTGGTATGAGAAGAACTATATGCGCTGGCATCGCACGCAGAAGCAGGTTTGCCATCTGTCTTCTACCGCGTTGTTCAGTGTCGCTCAACGGGCGGTCCGATGCAGAACATCGGTCTGATCCAAGACCTCGTCCAAGGGCATAAAGCACAACGATCGGGGATTGTTTATCTGGAGGACCAATCGTATGAGTTCAAGGTCAAGGAGGAGGGACGGATATGGACTGTCTACGGATCTCCGGTAGGTGGGCGGTGCCTGGCATGCGCTGTATGAACTGTTCTCACCATCAGTCTTTCCTTCGTTCCAGTGGTCACCTTATTTCCACAATTGGGCATTCAACTACGAGCGCGGCAAAGAAGCGGAAAGTGAGATTCAGTTCGATCGGCCTTCTTAGTTGTGCACGCCACTGGTCTTACTTATGACCTTCGCCAGAAATCGTCTCTGAGTTCCCGAAGGCTGATATTCTGTGAGCCTCCTGGCTTCGGACAACCCGTGGCACAACAAGATGCTCATCATATGCACGTCAGATTAACTCATGGGCCGCCTTACAACGTATTCGACACGACAATCATTGGTGAACACGTCGGCTGCGAGACACTAGCCGCGCGCCTGCCCTCTCTTCGGCCGCGCCTGCATGTCTTCGGACACATTCATGAAGGCCACGGGGCGCTCATTCATGAATGGCCTGCTTCAGATCCAAACAGTAGCGCCGAAAAACCGGGGATCGTCGACGATCAGACGGTCTTTGTGAATGCGGCGAATTGGCCGATGGGGCCCAAAGCGCGTCTTCCTGGAGGTGCAGCAATACGGTTTGGCGAGGCACCGTTTCAGCCTGTCATCGTGGATTTGCTGGATGAAGTTTTGGAGGCCGGTGGGACGTGTTGAGGACAGTTTGCCGTAGGCCGTGGCATATTGTAATTCATCAGCAGGGAAGCAGTCGTTTGTATTTTCTGTTCTTCATTTCGTGTCTGGATTGAACTGTTTCACTACCGGAAATAGGTCTATCGTCGCTACAAATTACATCATACACGAATTTGCTCTTCTGGTGCCGCATGGTTCCTGAAGCTGAAGCACGGCGGTCACCGACTGTGGCTGTACATCTATCTGTCAGCGGTGAAACAGGCGCCCGATCGCACTGCTTAATCTCCCCGTCACGGTGACTCGTAAGCTGCATGTACAGTGCCTTGCATGATTACGTGAAGCCAGGCGGGAAAAAAGCCCATTCTTTATCCTGCCGAACAATCTGACCCTGACATTCACTGCAGCTGTAGAGTGGAAGAATGCACTTCCACAGATGGGAAGAAGTTTTAAAAAAAAGAAGACATGCAGACATGGGCTAGACTTCGAAGCTTGTGGCCACCCAGGAGCACCTACCGCATCACTGCCACATAATCATTTTTTTGCGCATGCGATTCTCACGGGGCCGGCATGAGGCGGTGTCCATTGACTCTGTTTGACCCGCCGATAGAAACACGGAAGTGTTTCAAGACGGTTGTTACCGTGGGAACGCCGGAGCGTATTAATCAAAGCGCATAGCTGTGCGACGCGCTGATGGGCGCCGACGCGTCCTCCACTAGGAACACAACATGCTCAGCGGAGATCACCTGCAGCGCTCTCCGCTGAAGTTTAACGTTCCTGATCATCTCCAGAATTTCGCAATTCCAGTTTCCACGGTACGTACACGGAGCGCACAGCAGAGCAATCAAGGCATTCCGTAACTCGCCCGGACGCGCGTACTTGGCAACTGTGCCACCGCGGTCATCTCATCACGCAAACTGTTATGGCGACGCGCTTTTATCTGCCAGTCGCCGATGGCTGGTCCATGCACGTAAGTGTCTCGGACAAACGGATGGTGCGCCAAGATCCGGGGTATCATACGCCCGCGTAGGCACATATGGCTCAGTGCTGTGAGGGGCTCGTGGGCTATAAAAGTTAGAACGGACGTGTCAGACCGCACAGAACGCTTTCCCTCTCCGAGGTGCATTGGCCGTAGCCTCCTCTCTAAGATGATTAACACACTACAATTCCACCAAAAGGTCTGGCTCATCACAGGTACGTAGATCTATCAACGCTGTCATTCGCTGTGTATGTCTAGTCTAGCCTCTGCATCGCAGTATCCGTGATGCAGAAGTCGGACGAAAGGCACCTATCTCCGTGAATCAACTGAGTTAGACGAGCGTGTCGCTCATTTATCGCTTCTTCAGGCACCTCCTCTGGCTTCGGGAAGCGCCTAGTACGATCTGCGCTCGCACGGGGAGACTATGTCATTGCCACTGTGCGAACGTTCGACCCTTGCTCGCTTCCAGAAGGCGATCGGAGTCGACTGCGCATTATCAAGCTCGACGTTGCGGATTCCGCAGAAAACATCCAGCGAGCCATGGATGAGGCGCTCTCAATATGGGGACGCGTAGACGTCCTGGTGAACAATGCCGGCTATGGCGCGAAGTCGCTCATAGAGGAGGGAGGGTGAGCGGTTTGCATACTCTTATACGAGCATACGCTGAAGGAAACCGTCCGGTTGTAGATGCGAGGTTGCCATGAAGCAATTTCAAACCAATCTGTTTGGTGTGATCAATGTGACCAATGCTATCCTGCCGCACATGCGGGAACGAAAATCGGGCACTGTCGTCATGATCGGCAGCAGATCCGCCTGGAAAGCAGATATGCCCGTAAGGACGGACGTGTTTGTCCGCAAAGAAAACGAACTGACAACGTTCACATGCTACAGACTGCAGGCATCTACATCGCATCAAAAGCAGCTCTGCATGGTACGTCACTCTCTCCGCCGTCTCCATCCAGATCGCTCATATGTATCTCATTTTAGCACTTGGAGAGTCATACGCGGCCGAGCTCGCCCAATTCAACGTCCGCGTCATGGTCTGCGCCCCAGGCGCCTTCCGCACCGAAAACGTGCACAACGTGCCCTACAGCTCAACTCAGCACATACCTGCGTACGACGCGTTGCGCGAGCGTTCGCTCGCGGGCTTCAGCGCGGTCGCGAAACAGGCGCGAGGCGACCCGGACAAGGCGATGGAGGTCCTTGTGGATGTCGTCAGGGGCGAAGGCCGCGCGAAGGGGCGCGAGATGCCGATGTACCTCTTGCTAGGTAACATCACGTATACGCATGCGCGGGCGTATTGTCAGCGGTTACTGAAGGAGATGGATTATTGGGAGGATGTGGCGAAGGATCTAGATTTTGATCCGGAGGAATGAGAGCTTGTTCGGGACTGGTAACGGTTATTATTATATGGGACTCGTAGAATACTTTTATTGCTTTATAGTTGTAGCTTAGAGTTCGGTGCACTGTTCACTAGACATGAATTGTAGTACTGTACACATACTTCGATCTTAATCTCATACGGCCGGTGACAGCTTATGAATTGATACAACAGTCTCTTGAAAGGCACATTGGGATCATATTGGTCGCTTCTGGTACCGCAATCAGGCCCAACACGCATGTCTATAAAGAACGTCTTTACGAAGATGACATCATAACTGGCATGACAAGTATTCTCATTGAAGTTATGACGACGGAAGAATGTCATAAGGTATGCAGAGATAATACTACTAACGAACACAAGGCATCTAGAACTAGTACGAGAGCATACAATCTACCGATATATACACACACGCGGCACTTGAAAAACGAACATCACACTAGCGGTCACTTCGATCCCCGATTGGCTAAGCTTTCGGTTTTTTTAATCTCCGATTGGCTGTCTCCGACTCTCCGCGAGACTAAAATTCGTGAGGATGCAATAAGTCGGGCGTGGGAATGTTTCGTGGTTGTGGCGGAGCAGCATGCGCTCCTTCTCCCTTCTCCCCCATCCGCCACCATGTCTGGCATAAGAAAACCAACGAAGCTTGACCTCAAGAAGTTCAATTGTCATGACCCTCACATAGTCAGCGTCTACACAGTTTGCTCCGAGGTCCAAGACGAACTCGCACGGAAGCTCGAGGCAGAAATGTCGACCAGCGATCGAACCTCTCTAGAAAGGGATCTGATGCTCGTACGCCTCTTTGGCCACCTTCTGGCGGAAGCCCCTACACGTAACGCTCAATACAATCTTGCGCGTGAAGTACTGTCCACCCCGTCGGAGCCCGGGACGCCCAAAATCGACGCGCAGGTTTTGGCTGCTGCGGGAGACAAATACTACAAGAATTTCATACGTCTCTGTATGTAACCTTCTCCTTACCTTCATTAGCTTATTCTCTCCCCTCGCAATTATGCAGTCCGCAGGAACAAAGGCCTCACACCCAATCCATCGGATCATCCCTCCAGGCCGTCGTTTGACATAAGGAAAGAAGAGATTTTGCCATTGCTAAAAACAAATAAGCTGGATCACAGAGGGGCTAAGGCTGCAGTGCGGACTCTCACTTTTTGCTCTTATTGACAGGCCTCACATCATGATCACAGGCTTTGCTTCGCGACGATAATCGATGCATGATTACCCGCCAGTTCGATTCGACTGTCTTCGAACAGAGCAGCGTTGAACTTCAAGCCGAGCTGTCGGCCGCAAATCAGCCTCTCTGTGTCACAGAATGCTGCCACATTTTCCCAGAGTCTACAAATCGGGGTATTGATGACAAGCACAAGGTGTTTTTGACCTCGTCAGCGTCGCCCGTTCAACTTTTTGACTATCTCCGTTCTGTAGGGTGAATATGCAGCAAGCGTGTGGACTATCATCGAAAGATTCGGATACCCGAAGCTCCGCACGGAACTTGAAGGAGAACAAATTCATTTATTGAAGAATATCCTCACCTTGAATCAATATGCTCACGGCATGTTTGACACTCTACGGTTATGGTTTGAGGAAACGGTGAGTGTCTGCATTTTACTGCTCTATTTCTGCAGTTTATGGTGCATATACAATTAGGACATTCGTCATTGCTACAAAATTGGAGCCAGCAACCCAACAATGGTGTTCGGTGGCTACCGTTTCCCTCGCGAAGTTCAGTTCAAGACGACTGATGAGAGGTTTGACTTGCCTGATCCCCGGCTCTTGAAACTACATGCTGCGTGCTGCAAGGTTGCGTGGATGTCCGGGGCTGCAGGGTACATGGACGAGCTGGATCGGAAACGCGACGATTACGACCCATACGAGCCTGTTGCGGCGGACACCCTTTCCGCTCTTTTGTCTGAACTCCCCACCGCGCCGGTCGATATGGCCTTGTCCCAGCTCATTGCAGTGTAGAAGGTTTAAATAGGGAGGCGTAGAATTCGATAGAAGTACCAACTGTTCATTCGCTTTACCAATAGACATATTACGAACCAAATAACTTATATTCACGAGGATGTCCCATCGCTCTTACCCTAACCGTCAGCTCGGTGCGAATAGCCGAACGGTCAGTGGAATCGGATAACTACAAGAGCATACAATCTACGAATATATACACAGAGAGCACTTGAAAAGCGAACATCACAATAACAGCAGTGATACAGCCGTTAGAGCACTACAGGTAGAATATGATGAGTTGCTTCCAATTTTCAAAAATGCCGATGGACTCACGCTGAACAGAAGAACATGCCCATGTCTGTCGGTGGGAGTATTAACAGACATCTCAGGCACATAATGAATGGACATACATTGAACGAGCAAGAACGCCTGAAAGAAAGAACGAAAAAAATCAGTCGAAGCCACCAACGAGTCCGGTAACGATACGAACCGAGAGCGTATCAACGTCCCCTGTTGTTGAATACAAGTTAGACACTATGAACTGGCTGTACACATCGAGCGAATTAGCTACAGGCCCTCGACCAGACATCCATCAGCAGACACCTACTTGACCGCCGCGGGAGTACCACTGAGAAACATTGCAACAAACCGCTCAGCCAGCGCTTCCTTGGCAATCAGCCCGCCCTTCACCATCGCCTGCACCATGAACACGCCAATCACGGGAAGCACTACCATCTTCGCGACTGTTGCAGCGATCATAGCCATGATCGGCAGGCGAGAGAAGGGCCGGGGAACCTTGAGTCGCGCGAAGGAAGCACCGAGAATGATCAGAGATAGCGGGACTGCCATAGTCCCCAGGAACTCAGCTTAGGACACGCACGACGTTTCAATGCAGCTCATCAGCGACCCGATAACGGACGGACTCACCTGTTTGCATGATGAAGTACAACGGTGGCTCTCCGTCCGGCCCCTTCCAACTCGGTCCTCCTTTGACAGGCGTGAACAATGCTTTGAGATCCGGGATCAGCGCGATAGGGAGCGAAATGGCCAGCGAGCAGGTGATGGGAGTGATCGCAGCAGACAGAGGCCGCAGTGTCTTCTTCAATCGTTGGAGGAACGGTGGTGGAGGTATGTCGCTGGTGACTGTTTCGATGGACTCCGGTGCCGGCGATGATGGGGGAGCCGGCGGGATCGGTGAAGATAGAACACCGCGAAAGGCAGAGGGCTGTCTGGAGCGATACGTCGTCGCAGAGAGACGCGACGTGCGTCGGGCCAGCTGAATATCGGGGTCGTTATCATAGGCAATGTCGTCCAGCTGTCGCTCAACGTCTCGTGCATCGTCCGTCTCCGACTTCGTGAGCTTGAGTTCGCCTTTCTCGACGCTCGATTCGATGTTCACCTTTTCGAGGTCTGAGAAGGATGCTCTCGGTGGTGCCGGTATGCGCAGAATATAACGTGCGATGAGGCCTCCTATGGGCTTCTCCTTCCACGAGTAATGTCGTTCTGCCTCTGCTCCCTGAGGAACGCCTGGCAAGTAGTCCCAAGCAAGAGAGCGAGCAGCACCGGCCACCCAAAACACAAGGTGGTATGACACGATAAAGATGGCGACATATGACACTCCCACTGAGATGGTACGATGGAGTTAGTGACATGTCGCAGCAGGAAATAACTAATGCGCACATTCAGGATCAGTGCTCGGGTTGAACGGAGACTCTGTCATGATAGACGATACAATAGCGTTGGCTAGCAGAGCATATTCAGCTCGTCGTTGTCCAACACACAGCGCGCAACGCCTTATAACGGTTACTAACGTAGGTTACCCCAGTTGCTCATGCCGCATAGAACAACGATACCCTGCCAGAAATTGCGCGGAACGTAGAAGACTTCTCGGATGATCAGTCCAAAAGAGAATCCTATGCCAAGGTAACTGAACGCGGTCAAGAACAGTGGACCAAGGGCGGAGATGTTGGAAGACGTGAATGCAGGGACGACATTTGCAAATATCAGAGCCGGAAGAGAGATGTTCATGGAAACCTGCGAAGCTCCTTTGGAAGCGTCCGCCGAGAACAGACCTCTCCGAGCAAGAAAATAGCCAACAGCAATGGCAATATAGCTGTAACAATGTGATATTCATCAGTGTGGTGGACGTGCAAGGTATGGAAGAACCAACGTTTTGAGCAGTGGCATAATGCCGCAATAGATTAGCTGTCCCGCGGAGGTCATGGCGGATTGAGTACGGTAGTTGCAGTCGCGAAAAGTCTATGTCTCGTGAGTCTGACTCGGCCTACGTCTATATAGTTGCTCTAGGGCGTTCAATCCGCAAAAGTTTCTGCGTGGGTGCATGGAAGCTTCAGAAGCGCGGCAGCCGCCTCGAGGTCCTCTCGTGGGGGGGTGAAACTTGTGAATGACTCGTCACTTACGAGCCGCAAAACATGTATGGCTCACCGAGGGGTCCGTCAAGAGAGCCGCGCGACGCGGGGCACTAGTACAGGTGGGCCGGCATGGCATGGCATTTTATACGATCACAACTCACAGATAACCTACCGGCTCCCCGTTCCGGTATCTAGTCGCGCACTGGAGGGCCCGGTACGTTTGAGGTGGCTCCTCCTCATGAGGATGAATCGCACTGTACAAATATCGAGCTAAGCAAGGTGCTGAGGGCTATGCAAGCTGTTATTGGCCAAACGATACACGAGTGAACGACGCAATCCGAGAGAGCAATTCAGAGATTATGGCGCTATTATTTTACAAAATCCGATCATCGATCATTGATCTCGGTACACAGATCCTCCATCGGAATCTTCCCGTGTGTCTTGTCTTGTTCTGGCAGACCTTAGAGGAGCTAAAGTCTTGGAAAGACGCGTCGCAGATGAGGTCGCGTGAGCTACAAGGCTTTCATTAACCGTTGCATCGACCGTGAACGACAGTTCAACGATGCCAGTGCGACTCACTAATATTTCCGGGGCCGGCATGGCCGCCTTCGAACCATATAAACAGAGGATTTTATCACGAACTGCTGCGAGCCTACGTTTCAAATGTCGTATGACATCTGTACACTCTTCAACGCGCTACGTATACTGGCGGCCGAAGAGACCTGTTAGTGTCGGCACGGCACTGGTCGGTGCGAATTTGTGGAGAGAAGACACAGTATGACGAGCGCCGTGCATGCCGATATCGTCGTCAAGCGATCTATAGGAGTTAGAGCGGCCCGGTACCGGGCAGATGGAAGGGACACCTTCGACGGCTGAGTCACTGCAAATGAGTACATATGGAACACGACTAGACAGCTGGTGCCGCTGCCCAGCTGCAAAGATAATAACAGGGTTTTACTAGTCTCGAAAACGCCATATACAGCGTTGATCAGCTGACCGCGCAGAAGCATCGAGTACTCATCTTCCCGCTGCTGTCCTTGGAAGTAATGCTTTTCAACGTGCAGTCCGCATGCTGGCCAAGAGAAAAGTAGCGAGCTTCTCTGGATGGAGCGACTGACATATATTGTGAGTTATTTCCGCTTGAGAGGATTTCGCCGCTCGACGATGCGAGCGCAGCCTCAGGGGAGCACAAAGAGTCAAGGAAGATCGCCCTGATTCTGTGACTTAGTTCCATGAGCCTGACGTGGCAGACCTGCAGCAGGAGTTCCGGTTCTCCTATATAGAATGAAATTCATGCCTTCTGCACGCCCGTGCGGGCATTCTTGCGTGAGTTGCCATATAATGATAAGAGAAACACCCATTCGTCGACAGATTCACGTTCGCCTGCCAGCCCCCGGTGCCCAACAAAGCGGGCACGCAATCCTTGAATACGAAGGTGAGAATGAACTCACGCGTCACGCACACACAGAGAACGCACCGCAAATAATGCTTTACTGCTGCGCTGTTCCCGTGCTCGCTCATGTAATGGGTCATTTTTATACGACTCAGCTTCGCTGCCACCGGAGATATCGCGCTCCTCCCATATTACTGCGAGACAGATACGACTTTTGGTCTTGAACATTTCATGACGATTAGAGTGCTAAATACCAGCTATCCTCCGCAGCTCTGAGTTGGTCGCAGCAGAGATTTTTGTTATGTCTCCAAGTATTGGTTCTCAAAAGCGTTGTTCCTGCTGTAGCGATATGGTAAGTTAGTAGTGGTCCGACAGGGCTCGGAGATAACCACTGCACGAGACTCGAAGCTTGAAGCTACGTGCCGCACGTGACAGAACGCGTTACATGTACACGTGATTGTGACGGCACGCGATCTCGCTCTCAATTCCTCGCTCGTTCCTACGTACGCGTTCACCCAGGTTGACCCCCATCGGCATGTTTCAATCTAATGTGGCATTCTGTGATCTCTATTCATCGCTCGTGTCCTGTGATGATAGCTAGCTCTGCCTGCCAGCGTGAAAGCGTATTGAACCCGTTACTTCTCTCTGATCTATCGCGCCTACCCTGCCTTCAATTTTGCGCGTCAGTCCCCTCCGCAACCACACTCTACGGTATTTTCGGAGTTAACTTTGCGCTTACTAAATGATTCTATCCTGTGAGTTTTCTTTTTGCTTCTCGTAATGTCAGCTGGTGCAAGCTGTATACTCTGACTGTTAATCTGCTCGGCGGACTCAGAGTTCTGCACGTGGCACGTTATGCACAACGTCATAATCTTGATGATACAATTCACTCTAGTTCATACAAGATGCCCTACGCTGCTTAATTCCCTGATTATCTGTGGTTCGTCTTCACTGCGACTTCTCTGGATGGTGGCCACCGGCAGACGCACCCTCCGGTCCCTCTCCCGGCTTGCTTACAGTGTCGCCCTTGCTTGAACGAGCATCAAGCGCGCCCGTTCCTCCATACCGGAACTTCTCGTCCTTTTCCTTACCGGGAAGGTCATATGGGTTGCGCTTATCCACCTTTTACGTCAAACTATTTAATCGTTCCGCCACTCAGCAGGAGATTACTCACGGTCTCGTACTCTTCGGTGTTTGGGCCGGCTCGGGAGAATTCTCCCGTCACTGGCTCATTGGGGCGCACTACCTGTGCGCCAGTGCCTGACGGGTCGACCTGGTGCGTCTTCTTCGATGACGGTGGCGAGTTATCAACGTCCTTGGAGTAGGTCTCGGTGGTATGCTTCTCCTCAAGGCGTCTTGCGGACGTGTGAAGCATACGTTTCTGAGAGGCGTTATGCGTCTTGTCGCGGAACTGTATGCAAACTATGTGCCTCATCGACACTTCTTGTTGAGGGAAATACGCACCTGATGTGAAGGCAGGCTCGGCTGCTCAGCAGCGTTGCCCTTGCCTTGAGAGGGAGCCGGGTCGCTTTGCGACCGATGCTTCAAGTGATCGTTTTGGTCGGCGTACGTACGGTCCTTGGGTTGCCTGCTTGCGTCGGGTGCCTGGCCCTTCGTCGGATCCGCCATCCTAGCCACCGCAGATGTGTGTAGACCGCGCCGATGCTCATTCTCCTTGAGCCTTGCGAAGGTGCCTGTGCCTGTGACTCCCTCGCCTCCGCCCCTGTTCTGCTTCACTTCGCCGCTCGTCGTCTGGAAGCCAAGTTTGCTCTTAACGGCATCAAAAAAACCCGGTGGGGTGCTCTCTTCTTGGCCGCCCTTGCCCTCCTCCGCACTCGCTCCGTCGCTGGCAAAAGTGCTCGCTGAGCCGACTTGCTCAGCAAAACCAACACCCTCTGGATTACCAGATAGCCCCTCACGCGACGCCTTCTTGCCCGGCTCCTGCGAAGCGGCGTCAAGTGGCGTTTTGTCACTCTTCGATTGACCGGCGCGCGCAGCTTGGTCGTGCGGGTCGCCTGGGTGGTAGTTCTCCTGCTTGGAGACAGTACCCTGCTGGAGAGACGGATCATGGCCTGCGACGACGCTGGAGATGTGGAGGAAGCGAGCCGACGACGCCACCGCAAGAGGTCGCGCGACGAGGACAGGAGGTTGCGAGAGACGGATGAAGCGTGCCGAAATCATGATTGATATGCAAGTCGGTTTGTGGGGTGTGGATGCAAGCCATCCTGATTATATACGTAGAACGAGACGCTCCTCCGCTTCGAATGTGGGTTGCAGCGCGTCACCCCCGCGCCCGCGGTGACGTCAGATACAATCACATCCATATTTGGCATTCGCTTCACCATTTATGGATGCGTCCTCCGCTGTGATTCTTTCGTCATCCCTGTTAGAGGCCTCGAAAGACTGATAGTGAAAACCTTGGTAACCTCTAGGTATCAAAATCTCTGCGAATACCTTTGTCTGGCGCTAATTCTTCAACCGTGAACTCAGCCATCAATATACAGTACACCTGCTCATAATGCATTCCCTCATAGTGCATAACACCTCATAACGCATAGCTCCATGTGGGCACGGAGTTGGTGCCCGCCAAATTATGCATGAGATCTCATACCACATAATGCATACCTAAAACGTTATGCATTATGATATCGTGAGAATAATGCCTAACTAAGAAATTTCACGTGCATTGAAGGTTATACAGACGCATAACACCATTTTTGTCCCATAATTATGTTTATCAATTATGTTTATGTCCAAATTTGGGGGTACTAAACCAGGTTTGTCGCAAAAAAGTAGTAGAAATGTAAGGCCTATTTTGTGTGCGTGACAGCCCTACCTTGAAAAGTCACGCATAGTCACTCAACGTCACACTATGTGACAGCCTGGTAATGCATACTACCTCATAATGCATAGCCAAACCTGGGCACCGACGTTATGCGTTATGAGCAGGTGTACTGTATGACCAGTCTCGCTCCGATGTATATATTTTCGCACGTGTCTTACTGAACTGTAGCGCGACGCGCTAGTGGCTCTAAGTCCGACGCCCTGGGGCCCAGGCCTCTCATGTGACCGACGCGACGCGCGACGCGACCCGGGCTCTTCCGATGCCGTCGCGGCGGCCCATGTGGCGCAGGCGTCTATTAGCCTTCTTGTAGTCGGACACGCCGTCGAGCTGATAGCGACGGTCGCACCTTCCCCCCCTCACCTCGCACGTCTTCCCACTTCATCGACCATCATTCCCAATATGCATATGCGTGATTGCCGAGTTGCTATTGTTGCTGAAATCGAAAAGTTGACCGAGTATGCGACCACGCGGGAGAGTGACGCCATGACGAGCTGCTACATCCCCAGCGAGGCCGGACGGGTTAGTAGGCATCGAGACTACGGGAAGCCCTCCGCATCTTACGAACGACTATGTTTCAGAAATTCAAGATCCGGTTTGGGAACAAGTCGGCGACCGATATGAGCGTGCACTGCTTTGTAAATGGTCAGCTCGTCGCGAGGGAGTTGGTCAAGTCCTACAAGTCGCGAAGTCTCAAGGGTATGCGCATCTGTGGGTGCACGGTCAGGCCATTCATGTTCTCAAACGTTACACTCACCGGTGCGTCGCTAATTCCTGAATCCGGCCTTATCACTGACAGATCAGCTGCTCTTGCACAGATGACGACAACGTCGCGTTGGCGGGTACCACGAACGCTGATAATTTGGGGGTCATAGAGATACGGGTGTATAGGTGCATGACCATTGGTTCAGGTCCGTTTGAGGCCGTCCGGGGCGTGTCGTTCACGGAGGTTGGCCCAATACACGAGAGGACAAAGAAGGCCGGCAGTCATTGCGTATCGTCAGTAGCATTTTGCCGCATATACTTTGGCTCGATGCTGATATCTGGTACCTTTAGCCTGGGTGAATCTGAGGCAACACACAGAGCCCGTACCATGGACGTCAGGTACATCGACGACCCGAGACGTTCCCCGCCGCATATCACGTTCAGATATAACTATCGGCCAATGGGGATGCTCATTGCACAAGATATCGCTCCGCGTCCGCTGCCACCTCCGAGCGAGACCACTAACGTTCATGTGGAGAGAAGGGGCATCAAGCGATCTGCATCATCGATGGCCGAGTCGGACAGGCAGTCCAAACGGTCGCGCACGATGAGCACGCCGATGAGCGTGGATATGAGGTTTGTTCATCCTCTTGCGTGTAGGGGTCACGGCTGATATTTTGTAGTATCGCGCTGCGCACAGTTACTCCTATGTCGGTGGTGAAGGAGGAGCCCGAGGTACAGGGAGTACCAGTTGCTGGCCCTTCTGCTGTACGTGAACCTCCTTTCCACCTAAGACGTCATCTCATTCGCGTCATTGCAGCCACGTCCTGTAGCGAGCGGTGAAGAGAACCGACGGCCTTCCCAAGCCAGAACAGACTCCCAGCGCAGCCGCTCGAGTACCGTAAAGACCGAATGGGCCATCTTACCGATCCGCTGGCTGTTCGGTAGCGGAATCATTGATCTGACGGGATCAGGTTCGAGTTCGGGTTCACGCTCAGTGTCCTCGGGAGAGGTTATTGACCTCACGCAGGACTGATTGAAGTCATGCTGACTTAGCGCGTACGTTCGGTCGGTCCGGCTTCTTGCATCCTGTAATTCTCACAACTTGTCTCTTCGCAGCAAATCTCATGCCACGTGCTGTTCTTGTCGTACATACCCATGCATCGCTATCATTCTGGATTCTATCATTTCTGTAACCTTTGCGCGCATCATACTCAGTCTTGGATCTCTCTTGCTCAGCCCAAACCACACATTTTTATTTATTCTCTGAACGGGAGCTCCTGTATATACTCTTAGCGCGGCCTGGAAATGTCTTCGCAGTCAGTGTAATACATCATCTTGGCAGTCCCATACATAAATAGCCTTTCTGTGGCACTACTCGACACGGTTGTCGCTACCACTCCAAACCTCTAACCCAACCCACGACCACGATATGAATTCCGCAAAGACGTTCCTCGAGACGATGGTCCCCGGCCTACTGTCTGTCAGCAGAGGTGGTTGGGACAGCATGTTGCCGCCCTCGCCGAAATGGTCGACGGATCAGATCCCGGACTTGTCGGGGAAGGTGATAATCGTGACGGGCGGCAACGTAAATATCGGTCGAAAAACGGTCAAGGTCGGTCGCATACCCCTTGCATGCATTAGCGGCGAAGTGCTGAGTTTGTGAAACCTATACTGTATAGGGGCTATTGGAGCATAATGCCAAGGTGTATATGGCATGTAGGAATGAAGAGAAAGCGAGAGAGACGATCGAGCAACTGAGGCAGGAGACGGGACATGAAGCGATTTACATACACCTCGATCTCGCAGATTTGCGATCAATCAAGACAACGGTAAATGAGTTCCTGAGGTACGTGTACCGGCACGGAATCCTTTGCGTAGCAGCTGATTCGAGGGCGTAGAAAGGAGACACAGTTACACGTGCTCTTTAACAACGCAGCATCCATGTATCCGCCGGTGGAGGACCTCACAGCGGACGGATACGACCTGCAGTTCGGAACGAATGTCCTTGGTGAGTTCATGGTAGTTCACGTATGGCAAAACTAACCACCGCTCACCTAGGCCACTTCTATCTGACGAAGCTGCTCCTTTCAATACTGTTCGAGACGGCCAAATCCTCCGTAGGCGGCAAGCCACGCGTCGTACATGTCGCCTCGGTGGGACATGAGTTTGTGTCCGGGCTCGACTTTGAGACGTTCAAGGATTGTCCGAAGAGGCGAGAGATGAATACGGTCAAGCTCTACTTCCAGAGCAAGTTTGTGAGCAGACGGCTTGGTGCGGTATCAGAGATGCTCGCACTGAGAGAACAGTATATAGGGCAACGTCGTGGTGGCGAATGAGTTCCACAGAAGATATGCAGAGCAAGGTCTTGTTTCATTCTCTCTTCATCCGGGCAACCTGAAATACGACACGGCACGCAATACCCGACGCTTCGTCAAATTCCTGAGCGTGATCGTGCGTATCTTGCGCTGACATGAAGCATGTCGATTTAATTGACAGCCAAGAAACAGAATCCCGTGCTTCCTGACGCGGAGATAGGTGCGTTAACCCAGCTATGGGGAGGTACCGCGCCAGAGGGGGCACAGTTTGGCGGAAAGGTCGGTCTTCATATTTGCTGGAGGCGCAGTGTCGTAGTGACGAGCGCCCTCCGGGACAGTATTTGATACCATGGGCACGAGTGGGAAAAGCAAAGCCAGAGACGGACAATCTTGAACTTGGACAGAAGTTGTGGGCGTGGCTGGAGGAGCAGGTCAAGGACTTGGATTTGTAGAGGCTGTAATTTCCATCTGCGATTGATCGACATCTGATCTCCGATAAGATAAGATGGATCGTTTGCCGAGATCGTGCCGATCTATTTCAGGATTCTTGAGTCGAGTGGGACTCGACTTGAGTCTGAGACTCGGACACTTCTTCAATTTTCCTGACACACTACTCTCCTCGGTTGCTGCCTTTGCTCTTGTGCTTCCGCAATCTACTGTTCAATTTCTTGGGATTATTGAACCAAAACAATCATGTCGACTGACGCCTGGACTCCGAGCTCATGGAAGAGCAAACCCGCTGCTCAAGTATGCAGTGTCGTTATGCAGCCACACGGCATGTCGTTGACTCAGGTTTTGATGCATAACAGGATGTTGAATATCAAGACCAAGAGAAGCTAACAAAGTATGTCAATGCTGTTGTTATGTTGTTCCATTTTTTGACCTACTGTCAGAGTACTGAACAAAATCCGCACCTTGCCTCCATTAGTGACACCTTCTGAGGTGCGCGCAGAGTATCTACAGACGTATTTCCTGATAAAATCAGAACTCCACAGATTGAGCGACTTCGTCACAAGTTGAGCGAGGTGCAGCGGCATGAGGCTTTCCTTCTGCATGCAGGAGACTGTGCAGAGAGTTTCGATGCTTGCACTCATGTGAGCCACGCATTCCTCTTTTTTTTTTGTGACTCATTGACATTTAACGCCTAATAGGAAAACATATCCAACAAGATCGGACTGATACTGTCGTTCTCATTGATCCTCATCTGGGGTGCTCGCATGCCTGTGGTGGGTGTAGCCCGTGACGAATTTTCTCTGTTGAATTCAACTCATCTCCCCCAATATAGGTACGTATAGGACGTATCGCCGGTCAATATGCAAAGCCTCGGAGCAGCCCGACGGAGAAGATCGGTGACAGAGAAGTACTTAGTTTCCGGTACGTCCGATGCAGCAGTCTACAACGTAGACTCTTAGTCACATGAATACAGAGGTGATAATGTCAATGGGTAACACTCCGCTGCTTTCCCTGTCCTTGGCAGCTTACTGACAAGGTGACAGGCTAGATCCTCATGACCGAACACCCGATCCTGAGAGGCTATTAACGTAAGTCTGCTTGCTTTGAGTCGTGCAGTAGTTAGTGACTATTTGTAGTGCTTACTTCCACTCAACTACAACACTCAACTATGTCCGCGGCCTGCTCACCTCAGGGTTCGCTTCGCTGCACCACCCACGGGACTGGTCGCTCTCGCATGTACGATCGCCAGAACTACGGTAAGTGTCCCTCGCAATTTTCTTTAGCTATTAGGTCTAACGATCTTCTGTAGAGAAGAGTTTGAACGCATTACCGAAGGCCTATCTGACGCTCTTGACTTCACTCGAACGATCGGACTCGGCAGCCAGCACACGAGTTACGAGCAGGGTGGTGGCAGGGGCGTGCTGGGAGAGGCGGACTTCTTCACCAGGTATGTTGCCGCTTCAAATCGCGGTGCTCCCTTCACCTACACCAAGCCGCAGCCACGAAGGCCTCTTGTTGGACTTCGAAGAAGCGATGACGCGCGAATTCCCAATCCCGTCCTCCCTCTCCTCGACGCTCCACGATGACACACCCAGTGAGCCGCTCCCGCCGAACGTGTACTACAACACGTCCGCGCACTTCCTCTGGATCGGAGACAGGACGAGGCAGCTGAACGGCGCGCATGTTGAGTACTTCCGTGGGATCAGAAACCCAATCGGGATCAAGGTGGGACCTAGCATGGCTGCAGGCGAGCTCGTCCGGTTGCTCGACAGTGAGCTGTCATGGTCATGTATGCATGAATGATATGATTTGTTGATGATGGGTATGATGGTAGTTGTGAACCCGAACCGGGAAGCGGGCAAGGTCACGCTGATCACTCGCTATGGTGCGGCCAAGGTGAGCAGAATGCGCGAAAAGCCAGCGCATATATTGACAGAATATATGAAGATCGAGAGCCACCTAGCCGGCCACATCAAAGCTGTCCAGCAATGCGGACATCTCGTAGCCTGGATCTGCGATCCCATGCATGGCAAGTACGTTCCATGGTTCTCTTGCTTGAACCTTGAACACCCGACTGACGTGACACACCACGCAGCACACTGACATCCTCGAGTGGGCTCAAGACGCGCAACTTCGGCACAATCATCAGCGAGCTGACTGCGTGCATGCGCATCCACGCCGAGTGCGACTCGCGCATGAACGGCGTGAGCCTCGAGTTCACCGGGGAGCTGAGCGAGGATGGGTTCAGCGTCACCGAGTGCCTTGGGGGCAGCATGGAGCTGAGCGAGGAGCAATTGGGGCTGCGATACCAGGTGCGTTGTGGTGCGATGTATACAGGATGACAACCTTGACCTCGTCGCGTTCGATCCAGTCGTTCTGCGATCCTCGTCTGAACTTTGAACAATCGTTGGGTGAGTTTAATCGTAATTCCCGAGCGGTCGAGATGTGTATGCTGATCACATTTGGCCAGACGTCGCGTTCCTCATCTCAAACCATTACAACAGGAGGAGGGTCGGACGCAAACGTGCGGACAGCGACGTGCTCTATGCTGAGCTCGGTGGTCGCAAGTTCTCATGAGAGCTTCCTGCGCATTGTTTGCGCTACTTCATCCATCCTGAAGCGTCACAGCGCATGAATACAAAATACCTGGCACGTACAGTGTAAATGTGATCGTCAAATGTGGCCCACGTTTACATCCGACTGTGCACTCCATTGATAATTCGGAAACGAAAAATAATGCAATCTGCACGACGTGATAAGATATCATCCACGTCACTCCACGGTACCGCTCTGCTCGTAGAGCGGGACGTGCCTGCCTAAAAGGAGCGGGTAAACACAAATTTGCTTCACCAAGTCATAGGTTGCAAACAACCCTCACCCAGATAGCATCAAATGGGTGAGAGTCACCACGCAGTCGCGTATAGCAGTCTGGTACGGTGATCGCGAAGTTCTGGTACAGACTCGTTTTTGGCGTATCAGGGTGGTACGAGCTCTGTTGTAGAGGGTGCCGCCGACGCCATTTAGGGGATCGTATGAGGCGGAGTCGTTATTAGGGCAGTGATTTAGCCCAAGGACGACGGCAACTTGAAGCTCATCGCTGGTCGATCGCTCCATTAGATGCCTCTGAATCGTGTGGACCCTGAGACGGCGGTGGCAGGCCTCGAATGAAGGACACTGACCACGGCGGTCAAGCATGCGGCAGGTACATGTCGAGGCCAGTACGTACCAAGTGCGAATCCAATGAGCATCATTGGAACGATTAGTGCGGGACGCTCACATCCTCAACGGATTTGTTCACCCGTGATTGGTGCACATATGAGACGGAGGTCAAGACCCGCCGACCGCAGCACCTACACACCCTACATTGTGACGGCGTCATCTGCAATGTTCCCAAGAAAGCCTCAGGACGGATAAGTAACATTGCAGTCTCGGATCTGCGATCATGGGGCGCATGTCTTGAGCAGTTTGATGCGCAACGACGTACAATTTCCTACTAACTGAACTCCATTTGATCGCGTCATTACAAGCTGAGTATACATCCTATCACAATGACATGTTTCAGCATCACCCAATCTCATCACTAAGCCACTCACCAATCGTACACCATCGCCCCAAGCTTCTTCACACCAAAGGTACCCTCCCGCCCTTCAGCACCACCAAACTCACCGCATCTCTACTTCTTCTTCTCCTCCACCTCAACCACGTTCTCCTTCGGCACGCCCTTCAGCAACCCCACGCCCTCCTCGATCATCTCGACGATATCAACCGATACATCGCCCTGCACGACGATCTCGTCGAAGCCCTGGGTGTTCTTCGTGACGGATGCACCGGTCGCGAACTTTTGCGCGAAGAACTTGGCGGCTTTCTTGAGATCGACGTCTGCAGGTGATCAAGGAGGGATAGGGGAGGGGAAGGGGGGATACAAGCAGGTTCATGTCGACTCGGTGTAGATGAGAACACGGCCTTGTGCAGACGCACCGAACGCTTCCAATCCATGTATCGCAGTCACATATTTCCGTCTGTTGCGTTCTATTCGTTTGACCGTGACCTGAGAACGGACCATCCATCACTCCCAACTCCACCTACAACTCAATCATTGACTTACTTGTGATTTCTGTCGAGTGCGAAAAGTATCTCAAAAGTCGAAACGGATCGTTGCAAGCAGGGACGCACCATCTTCTTCTCCTTCTCCGCATTTGCCTTGGCCTCCGCCTTCTTCTCCTTCTTCGCCGTATCCTTGTCAATCTTAGACTGCGCTTCCAAGCTGAGCGTGCCCAGTTTCGCTTGCAAGGCCTCTGCACAGCACCGGATAGCAGATCAAATGCGCGCATACCACAAGAGGAGAGAAAGACGTGATCAACACCTCACAGAAGCAACGGGGCGCGACAAAGAGTACACACCTTCAGAGTAATACCTTGGGTATACATCCGGGTGCTCCTTCTCGAGCCATTCCTTGCACTTTGTCAAATGCGAACCAAATTCGCAGTACTCAACAGGGAACGTGCAGACTGTATCGCAGCTCAAGACAGTCAGCTTCCAAAGAAAAGCGGGAGCCTTTACTGACCTCCGCAATACAGGACTTGCACGGGTGCTATGGGTTGAGATGCAGATTCATTTGCACTCTCTGTAGATGCCATGGCGGTGGATGGATGCCCTTGCTCAACGTTCAACTCGCAATAGGTAGAATATAAGCGAGCGATTGAGCGGATGGGAGAGAGAGAGGAGAGAGCAGTCCAAGTCGAGTGCGATCAGTGAAATCTATACCCGAGCCATGCCCGAAGCAGACTCCCTAGTTCAAACAGGACCCTCGAATACAAAGTCTAACCCAGTCAAAGAACATGCAAGACAGCTCTTCCAGTGGGAATACATCATCAGTGCGTATAAATTATTGTCTGTCTATTGCTTGAAAGCGTTCCAAGCGTCATTCAAAGATCCAAACACCCCATTGGCAATCATCCTCTGCTCTAGCGTCGTATTATTCACATTCAGCTACAAACGACAAAAGTCAGCATCACCAACAAAAACGAGGACTTTAAACGCACGCGCCTTATCCGGATGCAGCTTCGCGATCGCCTTCGTATACCTAACCTTCACCTGCGCCGGCGTCACCAGCTCGTGCATCCCGACCTTCTGCCACTCAAGCTCTGGCCACAGCACCATGTCCAGGCTGGCGATGAGAGCGCGTATGTTGCTCTCCTTCCCATTCTTCCACGCCACGAGCCTCGCATCCACCACGTCCTTCAGATCGAGCCGCGCCTGGTCCTCCGCCTCCGCCACCCGGTTCGCCTCGCGCACCCTATTGAGCGCCTCAGTGGGCACAGAAACTCGCGGCGGCTTTGCAAAATGAGGAGCGGGTTTCGGATTCGAGCGAGATGCGGACGATCCAGCTGTGCCAGTCGACGCGGGAGCGTGCGCATCCCCGTTTGCGTTGGCCGCCAACATCTTCTTGCATCTCCCAACACCCTTGACGGCCTCCACCCTCACCTTCCCCGCAAACTCCACCCCCGCAACCGCCTCCCAATCCTTCCTCGCCTCCTCCCACCTCTCCCGCCCCTCATACGCCTCCGCCCTCCTCCACAGCGCCTTCACAAGCCCCTCGCCCAAATCCACCCCCGCGCCCTCCTCCTCCCTCTCCACCCTCCTCTCCCTCTCCGGCCTATACCCCATGCCCACAATCTCCACCACCGCCGAGCAATCCTCGATCGCGCCCGCATAGTCGCCGATCTTGTTCCGCGCGAGCGCGCGATTGTTGTACAGAGGCACGAGCAGGAGGTGCGCCGCGGGCAGCGCGGCGATCGCGCGCGAGTAGAGCGTCTCGGCCTCTGCGTACCGCCCGAGCTTGAACATCTCTGTGCCCGCGGCTTTGTGCTTCGCGGAGGCGGCGATGGCTGCGGGCGACGCGGGAACGGTCTTGCGCGTGATGAGCGGGATGGGGGAGGGCGTGCGTGGCGGGGCTGGAGCCGTGAATATGGACACGGACGAGGAGGCGACAGGCTCGGTGGGTGTTGCTACCTGACTGCGCGCAGGCGTTTTCCGCCGGAATGGAGAGCTGTATACGGCTGTCATCTCATCTGAAATGAGATTCCCCGCCTTGAACGCAGCCGCCCTCGACATCTGAGGCTCTTGCTCACGCGGCGGAGACCGACGAGTCCGCGTCTTCGGCTTCGGTGGGAGCACCTCCTCTCCATGCTCATGACTGTCTTCGAACCCAGCACTCGCCCCGTTCGCCCACCCCTCCTCGTGCTCCGCACCATCCGCCACTTCCTGCATCCACCGCGGTCGCCTACTCCTGCTCGCCGCTGCCTCCGTCCTTGCTACAGCTGCGCGCTCCTCATACGCGCGCAGCGCCTTCTCCTTGCCTTCCTTCCAAAATGCGTTCGCGCGATTGAACATGCTTATCCCAATCTCGCTTGCCTGAGCGAGCAGCTTGTCTGCTTGTTCTTGTATGTTGCGTTGCGCCTCGCTTGGGCCGCCGGAAGGGGAGGCGTCGGCGCGATTGGAAGGCTCGCGGGTGCGGGAGGGCGGAGCGCCGTTACGCGGTTGAGTTCGAGAACGGGTAGGCCCGCGTACAGGCGTTGCAGAGGTAGGACTTTGATGATCCTCGTCAGACGAGTAATAGCGGTCGTAGCCAGGTTCGCGCTGGGCAGTCTGTCTTCCCTGGGACGGTCGGTCTGGAGGAGGAGTCTCTGACCCTGCTCCGTTTGAAAGTAGTGTCTCCAGTGCTGCCTGCACGTCGAGTCCCGTATCTGTTGCGGCAAGTGCGATCCGAGCTTGTTGTATTGAGAAGCCCATTTCGACGATCTGGCCGAGGATATGTGGAGGTGGTGATACGGCTCGAGATGGTGGGCCTGATTTGGAAGACTGAGCGGAGGCGGTAATGGAGGCAGGCCGACTCTGAGAGAAGAAATGCACATATCTCAATAGTGAGGAGCACGACTGAACGGAGAGGGCATACCGGTTGTGATCGCTCAGTAACAGGCTTACCGAGCTCTCCGAGTATGTCATCCTCGGTATCGGAAGTGTCATCGAGCAGCCCATCTTCCCGCTCACCAAAGTCAAAGTCTCCTGGCGTATTAGACCGCAATGGCTCAGGCGAATGCCTAGAAGCTTGCACAGCAGACGGAGACGTGAACTCGTCCAGATCTAGCAAAGACTGTGACTGCTGCAAGGGAGTAGGCTTCGGCGACGCTGGCTGAGAGACGAATTCTTCCAGACCCCAGTTATCCTGCGGAGGAGCGGCGGGCTTGCTAGGCGCAGACGACGTAGAGGGTGCGAGGTCGAAAGCCCAGTCATCGCCCTTGCTCTGTGTGGGCGTAAGAGCGGACGCAGGTCTTGCGGACGAGGAATTTCCTAACGAATCTAGCCCTGCCCACGCAGTAGCCTGCTGCTTAGCCACCAGCTGCTGTCGTTGCAACTGCTCCCTCCGCTCCCTCTCCGCCTGCGCCGCCCGCTCAGCAATCGTCATCTTCGTATTGTCCGCATTCGAGCCAGGCGGGAGCGCGTCCCTGAACAAGCCGCTAAACGCATCGTTCCCCGCACTAGCAGCCTTCTGAACCGGTTTAGCGGACAGGCTGGACGAAGACACGTTAGCTCTGAGCGATAGTGAGGACTTCATCGACCCGCCGGTCGCCATCGGGGTATTCGAGCGGGTCGACCCTGCGGACGCTAGCATCGTAAAGGCATCATGCTGCGGCTTTGCAGTAACTGGCGATGCGCCTGCGAGGGAGCCGAGCTTGCGCGGAGGCTCCGCGGGCTTGGATGCTCCAGTCGAATTCCAGAGCTCAGCGAAGGAGTCGCTCATAGCAGAAGTTGAGACGAAAATATAGGCCAGCTATACGGCGAGATGCAGAGGGAGTATATAATGCTGGCCCTGCGGTACGTCTCGCTTTTGGGCGAGCGTTGGAGTGGCCGGAGTAAGCGCTGAACCGCCGGAGACCGCACGCGTCCCGAACTCTGATCGATCGTCGCCAACCATCAACTTTTCATTCACAACTACAATCCCGGTTGCGTGTACATTATTCACATCTGAATCCCTGGTGCTAGCTAGCGAGCCTGTGCTACATCGACTCTGCAATATTAACTTGCATCGAATTCGAAACAAGGCGGAATCCACCGCGGTTTCAGCCAAGCGCCCTCACGGTGCGAAGTGGTCAGTAATAATTATTCTCAGCGTTACTTGATACTGAGTCATCACCATGCGGCGGAACGAGCAGAGGCATTCAATCTCGACAAGAACAGCTACAAGGAGAAACGACATCAACTCATCGCACCAAGACATAACGCAAGGCATAACAAACCCCACGCGCCGTTCATATCCCAGACGCTGTATCACTATAGGGCACAGACTTCATGTACGTTTCCACGTCCACAAGCCCCAAGTGATAGTCCTAATATCTTCCCTGGGACGGCTTCCTCGACGGGTCCGGAGCCATCCCCACCAGCCGACTAAGAGCGCCGAGCGGTGATCGCTGCCGGCATGACTCGCTGGTCGCTTCGGCGTGTGGTCCATTTACGGTCCCAGGTTAAGACTCACCTTCTGCTAGCTCATCTGAGAATAAGCAGTCACAAAAGACTTGGAGGTGATATACTATCAACTGGCTCTCACCTGGGATCTTTGATGATTGACTTGAATAGATCTAAATGCATCCCGGAAGGGCTTAGCATTTGCGAGCTTGTTTGATGACGAGTACACCGTTCAATTGCGTCTCGGCTATCATAGAACGGCTATCGGCTGAATTCTTCTAACGTTCCTGTAATGTAGCGATTCTCAAGGCGATGTGCACATTCTCGGGCAGAGGTGCGCCATGTGGTGTGCGCGGTTGAAGATTATCGCTGTGGCCGGCCCTGAGTTCATTTTGAAGATAACATTCTCAACATTCATATCTTGTGGCAGGTATCGCATTGCATGATAATCAACGGTAATGACATGTCAATTACGTACAGTAAAGACTCGATCTCCCTTTGTCCTCCCTTGCTTCCTGCCCGGAGCATCCATCTTCATCTTGCATCTAGGAAGCTCTTCCTTTCCACGTAAAGGGTTGCAATGCGCTCGAACTATACAAAGCATACACAGGACAACATCTACGACAATGACGATAACAGGGAGGATTATTGATAACAATAAACGCACAGCGACGCAGAGCGAAGAGCATCAGGATAACAATTAGGATACGCGTACCAAGAAGGAGATTGCTGGATTCGGTACCAAAGCTTTAGTGTAAAAGGTATCATAGTAGAGCGCATGGCAGACGATGCCAATTATTACTTGCGAGCGGTGAAAACCAGCTTGCACTCTTTGGAAGCTGGGAATAGGACCTGTGTAGAGACGATGTCGTGCATCAAAAGACGAAGAGAGTGATTGGTGTCGACTTACGAAGGCGTCACGCATCTCCATAGTCATTTCGTTCGTTTCCGATGCGTTCGCAGAGATGTCGAAGTTACTGGCGATTGCGGCGAGCACAATGCGCAACATCATCTGAGCGAGGTTCTGCCCACCACAGACCCGCGTGCCAACACCGAATGGCATCATATACTGGCTCATCCTATGCAGCGGTGAACTATTGTCAGATGATGACCATCGCGACATCCTCGTACCGACCACATACCTGCCGAGTCTCTCTTCCTCTCCCTCGATACCGTCAATAGGTAGCCATCTCTCGGGCAAGAATGTTTCCGGGCTTGGGAACACATCTGCATCACGGTGCATGCTCCAAGACTGAGTGGAGACGATCGTTCCAGGAGGCAAAGCGTAGCCCATGAGATCGAACGAGTCGTCGACATTTGATGCCGTTGTTGAGGCAACGACACGCTCAAGGAGGGATGGGGCTGCCCCATATAGCCGAAGGCCTACCAGATAACATGAGACACGCCAGAGAGTAGCAACGATTTATTATGGCGTACCTTCTTTGATGAACGCATTCAGGAAAGGCAGCTTAGTGAGCAGAGAACAGTCTGGGATTACTCTACGATCGGGCATCGCTTCATCTAGCTCGCTTTGCAGCCGCTTCATGACGTCCGAGCGACGGCTGAGTTCCCAGAACAGGTAGGAGAACGTGGTTGATGCAGTGTCCACCCCCGCGACGCTACATGATCGTTTTGTCAGTTGGCGAAAAATAATCGTGTACTACACAACACATACAGGTGACCCATCCCCTCCGAGATGATGTCGCGATCCGGCATGCTTTCGTTCGTTGAGAAGATCCTGTATCGCAGCATGCGCTGCAATAAAGGGATCTTTTCGGGATCAGCTTCGCCAACTACTGGACCGGCTTGGATCTTCGCGCGCATCTCATACAGACGTCCACCGACGAACTATGGGTACCAGGCAGTTAGATCACCGCTGAAAGAGAAGAAGGAAATGGTCAACTACCTGAGCCATGATCCTGTCAGAATCACAAACTTGACGCCAGCGCTCGTTCGGAATTCGGCATACGAAATTCCATGCCCAGGTAGGAACGGCGCTACGCTGATAATATACACGAGGACGCATGCACGAGTTGATACATACACGCATGACAGTCAGTTCGCGCAAAGTGTACGGGAGTTTTGCCTACCAGAATGCCTCGCTTCGGGAAGTCGTAAACCGCAGTCGCAAGCGGATCCTGAACATTACGAGCCCAATTATCCAAGGAACCTCCACGAGAGCCGAAGATGGTGGTGCCAATGACGTCGACCATGAGATGCCGGAATAGATCAAGACAATCTACGGAGGCCTTGGCCGACATGCTGGAGAGGGTCTAAAGAAGGTACATCAGCACTAGCTTTGAGGATCGATAGCAACGATGATTTGGTATTGAGGAGGACGTACATCCACGAGCTTGAGAGAATAGTCGTGCAATTCAGGTTGGAATAGAGCGAGATTGGAAGTCGTATAGTGAGGAGCGTAGGCCTTCCGACGGACAGCATGCTGTGCGTTCGGAAGCGTGGTCATGCTAGCACGTCAAGTTAGCGTATACACTGGAACTCTTAATTAGACCTTACGCATGATCGTTATTGTTCCTGCAACGCATGAAAGTGAGATGGAGGAGCTCAATATAGCGGTGGACATTTGACATACGTGAGAAGGCTCTTGTAGTACGTGCTCTTGTCGAACTTGTGCACGCAATAGACGCTCTTGGTGGCAGTGAGATCACAGAAGACGACTTTGTTCGGGCCGACTCGCACGACAGGTCCATAACGCTCAAAGAGAGATTGCACGGTCTTGCATTGCTGTAGACGGACAACGTGCGTGGTGATCCAGAAGTCAGACACGGCAGCATACCAGGGACCAGGGAGCGCAGCGAGGGGAGAAAAGAAGGACTGGTAGACTGCAGAAGCTGCGAGGTAGACGAGGAAGGTGGTTATCGCGACGGAGAGTAAGGTGGAGGGGCTGGCGGTGAGGAGGGCTCTGGAGATGGGAAGAGGCGTCTCGGAGTCGAGAATGCTGATGGTGATTGCGGATTCCATTGAGATATGATCGTGAAGTGTCGGAGAGAGTGCGGTGAGTTGCGTGCGCACAGGAGATGGCGTGGGTGGGTTCCGTTCCGATAAAGGGCGAGTTAGCAGGGCTGTCTGAAGAAAGTGACCAAGACAGGAAACCAAGAAACCCTGCTTATCGCGGCGAGGGTACGGAACGGCGGGGTGGTGGAAGAAAGAGGAAAGGGGGCACGCTGGAGAAAAACATGTCGCGAGCTGGTATATATACGCCCCATCGTGGCGCTTCTGGCGTCGAGTGTCGAGGACGGCCTGTCTGCGGCCATGCGCGAGAGCGCACATCACGGGTCCGTGAAGAACACGAAGTATCTCCAGATATGGCAGGAGTGCTGCTGGAAATGGCAGGAGGGCGTGGCGAAAGTGGCAGGGAGGTTCTCATCTTTGTGCCGGATCGCCGGTCGCCTGGTTTGGCCGTTCCTACGGTCAATTCCATAGTTCTAGATCACCGACGCCACCGCTCGCCCGTGCGCGCTTCGGGAAAAGTCATCAAAAAAACTGTAAAGATCACGTATACGCGCACCTCTCGTCCGAGCCGCAGAGCGCAACGTCCGTCGAGGAGGCGTCTCCGATGGAAATGTTGACCGACGACAAAGCAATCCAGCACGCGCCACGATCACTGACGTCCCGGAGACCAAAGAGCGCATCAATTTGACTTGCTGTCGACGGACTTGCCTGGACGCGTCCGTGCTCTGTCGCGCCTATCGCGACGACTGCATCTTGGATGTCGCCGCCAACGTGTCCGACCCATGTTCGGTCCTTGCGCAGCACGAAGATCGAGCGCTCTTCTGTTCGTCCCCACTGTCCTTTGAAATGTCTTGGGGATCAGCGCTGACGGGCTCCGCACATCGGTAGCGCTGGCAACCCGCCGCTGCACTTCCACGCAAGCCAAGGAGATGTCTTCGCACGGCATCCGCGTCGGCAATGACAACGCCTGTGGCCCCAACTTTGTCCGCCGGTGGCATTACATAATTTGGATCCAGCTCCATAGTCGTGCACGTTAGGCCGAATTTAGCGCACAGCCTGAAGCAAACAACGACATTCCTAGAATCCCAGATCACAAGCCTGCAAACAACAAGAAACTCCTCTTCTCTTTTCAAAGATCCCCCCGCGGATGTTGGATAAATAACTTGATCCCAACGCCACCACTCACATGCACAGCACCGTTCCGACAAAGACGCAGACATCTGAAGGTGATCAAACTTGAGGCACATACGTCAACGCCCATTCATCCCCAATTCAGAACATGCACAACTCGATACGTACCATGACGATATCAACCCAGCATTCTTGATCATGATCTGCGCAAAATACATCACGACGCTGGTAGATCGTCGTACGGACGGATTCATGGGTCCCAGTCAATAGTTAATATTCAATACCCAACCGTCATCTTACTCAACGGAATAGTGACAACTTACTGTCATATATATGGGCGGAACCTTTCCACCCGAGAGCATACCGACTGACACATCATTTGTTGTGTGTCATCGCGTTCATGCATCGACTCGGCCGCTAAATCCGTATCACTGTCAAAACACCCGCATAGCACGGACTGCCAGCTCATCGCCCATCAGAATGAGCACAGGGCCCGCGGACGCGAAGCTCCTTCAATATCGCGATGGTGTCCCGATAACGATCCAATGACACGCTGGAGATGCCCGCTGTCGAGCCACGCATGCTGCTGAACAATAGAATGGATAGGCGACGTCAGAAAGCATTTAAAAAAGAGCGAAGTGGAATGCACTTGGGATCCGACAGGCGGAAAAATCGCGCGCGGACTCGGAGCCGTGCCGACGCACGGTCGGAATGTATCACCGGCAGTTGAGCGCCCTTCAGCACATGCAAGCATGACTGCACAAGAAGTCGAAAATATTTCCGCTGACCCGTCATAACATCGTGTCAGGCCAGAGCAAGACGAGATCCGGAAACCCCGCATGTAATGCCAAGGTAAGTGGACACATCCTTGAAAACTAATGCTCGAGGCTCACCGATGTCACGGAACAACTTCCAATGCGGTGACATCTGCGTGCCGCGCCGCTGAAGCCAGTGTCACATTTCGCGGGCGGGAGGCTCCCCGACCCGCATGATCACCGGGACCGGTATGTAACCAAGAGGAGCAAGCCCAGCATGTCGATGGATGCAACAACAGACTTCCCTTCCGTCCTGAAAGCCTGTATGCTGATGACATGAGCAAATCAGATGCAATGGCTGTTCCACGCTGCGACATAACGGCATCCGTCAGCATATATACAGCAGACAGCGAGCCATGGCTCATTTACGCACCTGCCAGTTTGAAGGAGGTCCGGAAGGGCGGAGATCAGAGCTCGGAACTGCCAGAAATTACAGCGATGTAATCGCGAAGCCGTCTAATAGCCTCTATCCGACGTCGGAAGTCAAGTTTGAATGCATGCAAGAGCCAGGCCAGGCATCGAGAACATTCTCGCAAATAGTCAACACCTGCCAGAAGCATGTCAGAACCGTCTGCACGTTTGCGATATGGTCGAAAGCGACACTGGCGTCAGACAAATATATCCGGAGCGTTCCCGCGGAGGTTGAAGGAATTGTCTCGGCTGCCCACGGGAGACGATACTGGGGATGCCCGATGTCCGAACGCGACTTCTCCGATGTACGTATGCTGAGCAGAGTAGTCATGTAACCCAGCTGGCTAGACAGTGACTTCGCGATTTTCTCTACGCAGCCAGTGTCCAGACAAAATGAGTAATATGGAGCAATAGATTAACTTGCTTCTAATAAGCAATGATGCGCGCACCAAAGACAGTGTAAGCATCTCTGAGCCTCCTCATCCTCGGACTTAACACATCAACGGTCCGACTCGCAACTTCGCATCACCTGCACACCGAGAAGGTAAGCCAAGTCACCAAAATAACAGGCCCGCGGACCTGAGAAGCCATCCGCACTACCCCTGATGGGATCGCGATATAGTCCCGATAACGATGATCCTAGTACGACAGACGTTCGCTGTCAGCGCGCAGGTTCTTGCCGGAACAATATAGTCGATTATTGGCTGATCGGAGAGAAAGTCGCAAAGACGTTCTTGGGTACGGTCGGATCGTCCGCGGGAGGGGAGATGCGAACTCACACGGACGTTCTGACGGTGTTCATTAGTGTCAGCGGTAAACGTATCGGATAGCTGTCAACTACTCATCTGGGGTTATGAGTTTCGATTCGGCCTACTATCTTGTGACATCAGAGTCCAGACTGATCATCCAGAGCACACAATCTGAGAAACGAAGACCCCTTAACACACGCACAAACGTCCTGAATGTATTCATCAGTCGGATAAGCGTATCGGAAGGTGTCAACTGCTCACATTCTGCCAAGGGCATCCCTCCAACTTCTCTCTCGGAACAGCAGACCAAGTACTCGAAACGCTACATTGAAGAAGGGATTTAAGTCATGAAAGGCGAGGGATACACGGCCCGTTCACAGTGGCGGACACGTCTCAGAATACCTGCTTTTGCGTGCATCAGTACCATGTGAAAAGGCTGAGGAGGCTGGCAGCTGGGAATAGATGGCCAAAATCCTTTACCTACTCGACTACATCATGTTCTGCACACTCATGTTTACAGAAGCAATGACGGACCGCGATTGACGCGACGGAGGGACTATTTGATGCAGGCATGCTGAGCAAATGCATCCACCATATTGGCAGAAATGAAATGGCAAACAACTCCGATTATCAACCGCTTTCATCCATCTGCAACACAATATATTTCCTCGCACATGAGGAGCCGTACCAGACTATATCGCGGCACTAGTATCTACTTCAGCGGCCCATGGATACTGCCGATAAACGAGCATCACACCAGCAGCCTCCAGTCTCACAGCCTGGTAGGAGTAGTTCACCATGAGTGCCGACCATCATGAAAGCATATTGGATACACCAATATGGATACACCAGCCTTCAGCTATCGACTTGCAGCCGATGAGGCACATTGATGAGTAATCATCTCCAGAGTCCTCCTCAGCATGGCTCAGCAATGCACCCCACGGCACGCAAATCAGGTTGCATGACCAGCAACATTCCAGCACCACAACATGGCTAACCACACGGAACACAAACATTAGTGTAGCAATATTGGAATAGACAACGTACAATGCGATGATGAACGCGTGTGCGCTGCAGAGACCGAGAAGTAGGTGAGACAAAGCAGGCTAGCCTGTGATCCGACTGAGATGTGCCGCATGCGAAAGGACGCTCCTTAGCACGTCTTACGCTCTCAGCGAATCACAAGCTAGTCTGCACATCCAGATATATGCATCATGGATGATCTCAACGGTATGCCGTCGACGCTGCGACAACCAGGTGAATGTCAGCGCAGGGGTTCAGCGATCGAGACAGATCAGTGGCATTCTAAACTTACACTTCATAGGGACAAGAAAATCTTGACTTGGGTATCATTGCAATGGTGCTGATCGCTGGCTTGCTTGAGTATGGTGGTGGTAGAAAAAGAGAGAAGGCTTGTAGTGCGTCCGAGATAACCTGGTATATATAAGAACCTTACCGGAAGTTACCGCCGGTCACCGGGGACGTGCCTGTCTTACTCTTCGAACACCGTGGATACGGTCAACGTTCAGACGCATCCTTCACCGGTCTCACTCATCCTATCGGAGCGAAATCGTCATCAAATCGTATTAGTCGTTAAACATAAATGCTCATCAGTCAACAGAGATACAAGCATGAAGGAGACATTAATCCGTATGAGATGGAGTAACAAATGCAATGATGAGAAACTCTACGACAATAGCATAAACAACAAATGGAGGAAATAGATGCAGCAGTGTTGAGATGTACAACATCATTTTGATCTTATACTGTCCCGGTGACGTCGAGAAGTTTACCGGCCTGTCCAAATCATCCCCTCAGGGCCAGTCTTGTCAGGCGAATTAGGCTCCTCTGACGAGTCCGCATCAATGAGGACGCCGTCCGGGTCGAGTTGCATGCCCACCGGCGCATCCCTGCCTAGAATGACCGGCCGAGGCTCTACAAGCCTGCCGGTGTCCTCAGAGAAGTAAAGCTCCGGCTCCGACACCGGCATAGTCCTACGGGTGGGCGTACGTGGCGGATTGGAGCTGGGATAAGGAGGTACAATAGTCGACTCGAGGATTGACGTAGATGGGGCGACAGCTTCTTCGGGAGGCAGAAGACGATATTGGGAGATCGGCTGTGGAGATGCGGAGTAGCGGTACCCATACGACGATGGAGGCTGCGGAGGTGTCGCCGGCCTGCTGGAGTACGGCAGTTGTACATTGGGATATACCTCGCCTTCTTTTGGCTGCTCAGGGAAGGCGCATGGCGGGGACGAGGAGACGTGATCAGCGAAGAATGTGTAAACGTAGAAGTTCGAGGATGGCCGCGTGCTGGTGGGTGATTCCGGAGAGCGGCGTGGTGATGTGCGACACCTCCAATATTGTGGACCAGATGGGTAGCGAGGGAGGGTGTCCCGAGCAGGGCGTGTAGAACGATTTGAGAAGATTCCCTCGGAGGCCGCCTGACAAGGTAGATATCTTGTTCCCAGAGGATTGCCGCTACAATGGTGAAAGGCATCAATCACAATCAGCCCACGCCAACGCCATGAAAACGCAGATCAACTGACCATACAGCGCAGCCAATACCTTCACGAAGGCAGCCGCATGCGCTCTGCATCATCCTCGCTACAACGGAGCGCTCGAAGTATGAGGATTCCAGACCGACCACGGATTCAGTAGCCTCAGCCTTGCCCACCCATACACCGCGTGAGCGCTGCGGAAATGCACGCATATGTACAATCGCGCCGCAACCGTTCGTTCTTCGATTCCCTCCACACACGGACGGCGAACTTGACGTTGAGGGTACAGGAAGCGGTGAAGGCTTGAAGGGGGAATAGGGCCCGTGAGAGACTTCAGGATCATCCTGCGAGATGCCGCCGCAGAACAACATATAACCTTCTTCATCATCCTCTTCCAAAGCGGGCTCCCTGCTTGTTTCGTCCACACCGGCGCTGCCTCCGTTAGCAGCGCCTCCTCCTTCCTCCGTACTCCACTCTCGCCATTCAAGTCCGCCAAAGAACTCCTCATCGGCGGATACCTCCACCCACGGTGAGTTGGCGATTTGCGCGGACGGCATGAGGGTTGGTGGGTTGATAGCCCAAGCAGTTGTTCCACCACTCGGGGCAGACGAAGGCACAGTTAAGGCTGCCCTTACAGCATCGCCTTGCCCGTGGTCAAGACGCAAAGCACCGCGGCGTCGCAGACGAGACGCCTCCCCGGTGCGAACTAAATCGGATAGGACAATGGAGTCGTCGGCATCAACAGGCTGTGGCGTCAAGATGGAACGGCGACGAGGTGCGGGTGGTGGGCGCTGGACATACTCAGAGCGGCGACGATATACTTGGGGCATAACAGAATCGTGAAGCTGAACTGTGCAAAGCGAGGGAGAGAACAGCACAGATGATGGTTAGGAGAAAGGCTCGACAATGCGGATGTAGAACGGTGGCGGCATGGAGAAGGCGAGGTCAAATGGCTTAGTCAGCATCAGCTTTCCGCTAAGCTCGGAGCTTCCGCTGAGAGTCTGTATTTCGTCCTCGCCTAGTGTAAGCTCAACAACGATCTATCTGCTGTTGCAATATCGACCACACCATGGCGACATTACTATGCCACAACCTGGCCGCATTGCCTCACGACGATCAGGAGGATTTGTTCAACAATGAGACATGTAAAAGTACACAGTAATCTGTCATACATGAGTTGAAAGTGACCTGCACTGGTTACAACAAAGTTCATCAGACATGTGCTCTAGCAATATGGCTGTGTGTACGTATCGTATACAACTCAGAGCTTACTCCGCAATTGAGCTTGAGCCTGTCTCCGCCTCGTGGCGCCTGACGTCCCACCCGCCGCATCCCTCTGCCGGAACGTCGACGGATCGGGCACCTTGTCTGGGTCCAATCCTTCCTGGCGCGCCGCCTCGCGAAATATCGGATGATTCCTCATCTCGAACGCTATCCGTTCCTCCTGGGATGGCTGGCCCGGAGCACATACGTCAAAGTCGGGTTCTCGCCCGTACCCGATGGTGGCCACCCGAATCAAGATGGCACTGCACAATGCAATTGTCAGCACCGCGACGATACCGGCGATAAAGATAGACTTACGCTGTCAGCCCGAATATTGGCTTCGTCCCTCCAGCTTCTCTTCCTGTTAGAAGTCGATGCATGCGGACTTTCCCCAGGCCGCGCCAGTCTACATCGTTATACGTGTGATACTTCAACTCGAGCATCTCAGGTTCGGTAGGGAAAGGCGGTTCAGAGTGTAAGAACGATATTAGTGGATGCGAGAAGAGCGACGCGACTTCCGGCTTGTTCAGGATCGGCTACGCATCGTCAAGATGAATCGCTGTCAGCACATCGGCGTTGACACGCTGAGTCGCTTACCCTCAAAGTACTGTCCAATATCAGTACGACGACACTTTGGTAAGTGAGTACAGTCCAATCTGAGAAGGAAAATGCTCGCCTACGGTGTGACAATCAACTGGTTCCCAGCAAGGAATGGTTCAATGATGCATAGTAGCGGCACTTTCTTCCGGTCCATTGGCAATCCTATCTACTGCATTCAGCCTTGGGCACAGCGATAAAATGACTGTGCATACCTCCTCAAAGGCTTCCCGCCGCTGCAGTATGTCAGAGAGCGAAAACGTGCAAGGAATCTATCACTCACCGCCGTCCATTCAATGGTGCGGTCCTGCGGCTCCCATTTGCCTCCTGGCAATGAAGTATCACCGGCGTACGTCCTCAATGTCAACGCGCGTCTTGGCGTAATGACTTGAGATCAGAAAGCTCATAACACCCGTAGTACGCGTACCAACCGACTAAGCAATACGTATAGGTCGCCCATCCTTCCTACGAACAGCGCGACAAGGACCGCAGCACATCTCGACTTTGGGTATCGCATACGTTGCTTAGGGAGCCGGTAGTTAAGCAGGTTCTGCAGGCAACTGCAGGATTCCAGGGCGGTGAGGCGTCGTCCGAAGTAATTGATGCAGCGACAGAACTGCGACCTACGCCATGGATTCCGGCTTCAGGACAGGTATAGGAGCCTCATTGAGACGCAGCTTGGGTCGATGAAATTTCAAAAGACTGCTCCGTTTTGTCCTGGATGACATGTCGACCTCAAGTGCCGCGGTTCAGGGATATCTACGGCAATGATACTGCGCGTGCGTGAGCGAAATGCGGGGAATGGCTCGGAATGATCCGAGCACGAAACGATCGGCCTGTGCCAGGCGCCCGCTCAAGTCCGTTCCATTCAAAATAATTTTGTTTCAGTATGAACCAAAGGATGCTAGATGGGGAATAACGTATATATTTTGTGATAGACATAGGCTGGAACTTGGAAGTCGAATACACAGATAGACCCGAATATAGTAAAATACAGCTACAGACTGAGACAAACGAAAGATGGGGCCGAAAATCCCGAGGTGTCATGCATCCGAGAAAAGACTATCAATACAGAACAAATCTTGGTGAACCCACAAACATGATAGTCGAGTACTGAGTGCCGAGCGCTCACAATATTGACTCCCGTGGCCGAGGGTGGAACGGATTCCACGGATTTCCAGCGATGCTCTCCGTGCCTTGAGAGTAGCACTTGTTTGCTGCGGAGAGACGGCCTTTTATCGGCACCTGAGGAAGGTTGGGTGTATGCGCAGTAAGCGGCGTCTTGCACTCGGTATAAGTAGGCTGAATGAACGAGGCAAGATTAACGTGACGAAAGGCGGGCTGAAATTAACGATAGAGACTTGCCTGGGACACGCTGAACTGAGTAGCACTCAACGTGATTTGAGTCTTGCCGCTTATCACAGAATGACGAGGAGATGTATTTCGAGAGGATGGCAGGAGGCCGCTCGTCTCCGCTCTTCTGCGGAGGTCCACCCTCGCGTTCAAAGTGGCCAGTAGCGCATTGAGGAGCACTGAATGACGATGGATTCTCAGAAAATGCTCAGCGCGAAGAGTAGAGTTCACCAACATTCCGGGAGGACAAAGAATAATGCTACGAAGGATAGATTCTTGGGCAACGTTGCGTACTGTATTGCGCATGAATACAAATTTAAGTAGGATTTCGCTCGGTGCGGACTTACCAAGACGATACATGATACCTCACAGCAGCTGTCATATGTCAGAAGCAGCGGTAGCAAATTGAAAACTGTCATACCTCGTCAACAATCCGCAGTTTATGCCGTAGATGATTATGGAACGAACCATCCCTCGTGTGCTATCCATGTGTGTTGTTGATTCTCGGGACGTAGAGAGAAATAGTGAGACAACGCACCTCGGGAATCCCGTTTTGTATCTTGTCAGCAGAATGCAAAGCGATACGGCGGTGACAATATCTGCTGACACTCCCGTGCAGAGACTCGTATAGAGTATCCACTACGACCGATGCGATTCACTCATCGGTACCCAGAAGGTTAGGAAGAACACTGACCGACAGCCCCGTTAGGTGGAAAACGTCGCCTGCAGAGTAGAACCTGACGAACATAAGAGGCAATGAGCACTTATCGAGTATAACAGCGTAGCTGGCACCGACGATTTGACGGAGAAAGCTGCAAACCCTTCTTGTCAATAACAATGTACACCCGAAGGCAAGGAACTGAACACTCACCTAAACTGCCCGCTAAGACATCCGCCAAGCGTCAGATTATATTAGGGGAGTCATTGCATGGGACTGACCAAATGCCACGCAGGCGGCCGTGCCCTGCAACGATGTCAATAAATAGGAGACGCAAAGTATCACAGAGGACGCACAATTGTGACAGTGAGGAGTCGGTTTCCTCTGCTCACTGTGCGATTATCTGATCAGTTGAGAGTTTACAATTCATTATCGAAACTCACAATTCCACATGCGGTGACAAAACAATCTAAATACGTCTTATCAGCTTAAGGGTTTGATGGCTTGTTGTGGGACGCACCCTCGCACTAGGATGTTGATCAATCCCTGACATTTTTCATCAGGCTCAGCATCATTCATCTCATGCCATGGGCTACTTACTGCTACTGCTACGTGCGACTAGTAGGCAGCTTATCAAGACATACACTACCATGAACAGTCGCAGACTTGCCTTGAGACTCCTACGGATAGAGATCGCCGGAATATGAGTGGCCAGATATGCAAGCATGAAGAGTTAACACTGACCAGGATGGGACCATTATCTCTTCCGCTTGTGAATAGTCCGTCACTGCAGCGTTGTACACAGCAGCTGTGATCAAAGCTAGGTGTAGCCCGCTGAGGGCCCTGCTCACGTTGTTGATTGTGCGATGATGCATAGATGATAATGCAGACTCACCAGAGGAAGCTGACCTGAAGCGAGGGAAGCATTAAGCCGCCTGATATTCGGGCGCTGTGCATAATGACTCACAGAGCACCTTAATAGCAACGAATCCTTTCCGCTATGCTTGTGGTATACCTGCGTCTGTGCGCTAGTGACTCCGTAGAGGCTATCATCGTCGATAGTCAATGCCCAGCCACCGGATACACATTTTTATTCAGCATACATGGCTGTTCCGAGATTTCCTGGATGAAAGACAAGTTCAGCGACGATACGATATTTATGTGCTCTGGAATAACCTAGCAGTAAAGCCCCGAGGCTACCATTGAGTCCTGGTGTTGAAGTTACCGGCATTTTTACTTGAGCGAATGAGCGGGCCCCGCATGGCCTCCTATTTAACGCTCTGCATGAGTGAAAACAGGAGTGATGGCATCTACTTGATGATGATACGAAACCGACCAGTGCATCGACCAGCCGGGATACAATCGACGCTCCTCTCTTGATCCTCACAGCCTCACAGCGCACGAGGGTGGATCTCCTCACCTGAGGCGCAACTTGCGCTTCAACTTACACACGGTGCCTGAACAGCTACGAACAGGCGACTCGACCGTACTGAGGTGGGTGCATGGTCACCGGGGAAGATTATGCTGCCTGCCATTGCTCCGCTTGCGAAAGCTTTCCTGTATGATTGACATGGCAGTTTGCCGGTAAGGGAAGAGAGCTATGTTTGTCACAACATCGGCGACGAGAACCCCAATTAGCTGCAGTTGCTCTTTCATCTCGCACACCGGCGGGAAACCTGTGCATACACCGCCAACCCGGTCGCGACGAATAAGTAATAAAGACGCACTGGTAGTGAGATGGCAGATTCGGTCAGTTCAAGAAAGCAGAGACGATGATATTCTCACATTCGACACGCTCAACACAGCACGGTTACTGATGATCTCACACTGCCTTCACATAGACTTGATCAGCGCGGCTCTTGTACTCATGATATACACATATATATGTTCGACGATAGCATGCACAACAAGGCTTCGTTTACGACAGCGAATCTACTGAGATCGACGATATTAATCAAGACAAGGGAAACGGAACGTATCACACACACGATATGGTACAATCCTACAGTTTGATATGAGCGTTCCGGAAACGACGTTATGGCTCAGGAGTGCGACGCCCGACGCTGGCCCAGCCTGAGATCTCGCTTCCATCCACGGACTGCATGTCAAACACCAACTCATCCCGGGTGCTTCTGTTACTGCCACGGCTGCCGTTGCTATGACTAAATATCCCGGAGCGCGGCGAAAAGACGTCCTCCCCATCCGAAGGCATCTCGAAATCGGATTCCGAGGCCGAGAACTGCGGGTAGGGAGACATGACGCCGGACTGGCTGCTCAGCGTGGGGCTGCGTGCAGAGGCCGAGTGGATGTCCGAGAACGGTGACATCACACGAGAAGCAGGATTCAACGACCCCTGCCTTGCGAATTCCTCGCCAAACGTGTGAGGAACCGGGTCCATCGAGGCGGTATTGTACATGGCGGGAACATCAGGTGTGGATGATCGGGACAACTCGTGGGTTTGAGCCAGATGTGCGGTTTCGATGTTGGAGGGAGACGTGGGACGGGATGATACTGTGGAGATAGACATCGGTGTGGGCAGTCTATGCGGTCCTTGCTCCACATCGCGGCGAAGTATGAGTTCCGGGGCAGCTGGAGAAAGACGCCTTGATGGAGATCCCGTAATATCTTCCACATCTGCAGAACGAGCCGGAGTGCTCGCCCTGGAAAACGTATCCGTCGGGGTGGCTGGAGATGGAGGCACAGTTGTGTCGACAATGACGTGGGTTGGAGACATCGGAATGTAGGGGACAAAAGTGTTGGACTACACGACGAGCGTCCGTCAGTGAGATGATGGATGCAGTTGTGTGACGCTGGAAACGTACCTCATCCATCATACCGGCTGTCCTCCTGCGACGAAGGTTGGCTTCTCTTCTCTCAGCAACCCAATGCCTGGTTGCCTCCGCCGTTGGGAATTGCTCCATCTCAACTGACGTCCCATCCTCCTGCTCGGTATTTGTGTTGCGAATATCACTAGACCTGCGTGCCCGGTTCTCACCGCCATGCTCGTTCTCAGAGGATGATTGAACTAGGATAAGGCCGTGGCGCTCCCTTCGACGACGACGGTTTTCTATATACGACGTCGCCCAGGCCTCTAACTGCGGAGCAATATGGGGCTCATAGACGAACTATCAGACAGTATCAGAAATCGCTGAGTGGAGCGCTAAGGCGGTGTAGTACAGATCACTGACCTCTTTGAAAGCTAAAGCGGCAGCAAAAGCAGCGACGACACTGACAGCACCAATCACGTACGCAGCCGGAGCGGGCATGGCGATGGGAAGATGGTAAGCAGGAGGGTACTAGGGCGCCTCTCCCTGCCGCCCGGATAGCATGTGATGTGGCCTCGAGCTTTTAGTTGAAATATAATAAAGCGTACACTATGTTATCCAGAGTCTGTACTGTACAAACGTTCCTCATCGAAACGAGCAGCAAACTATCCCATAGTGTACGAACGACATTACGCTGCTGTAGAAAATCGATGATGCGATACCAAGTCCAAAGTGCGATGCAGCAAAGATCATGAGGCAGATTCACTAGTCCAAAAAGATGTAATGTCCCAACGTATGTTCTCGTCCATGTAACGACCGACAACCAAATGCGATCAAAGTCCGTGAGATGATCACGACTCGGAGAGGATCTTGTCAATCGAGTCATTCAGGAATTGCTTTCTATTCGAGAGATCTGCCTTAGGGAACCGTGCCTGGATGGCTTCCCGAGCGGTCCTGGAAACGAGGTCAGCCACCTGTACGGAGCACACGCTTGGCCTGAATGGTAACTTACTTCTTCGTAACGGTCATGAGGTCCTGCGTGCTGAGATATGTGCGCAGAGCATTGAAGAGTTCATCATCATTGGGGTTGGGGTTCAGACTCGGCCCAGCAAAAGGATTCACCGATGTCGCAAGAGAGAAGGTCGACATCGGACGATGGGCCATCGACATTGTAGGAGGCGCGAAGCCAGACTGCGACCCACTCATGTCTCCATCGCCTCCGAACATATTGAGGTTGGTCATAACAGTATTGCGAGGGGCCATGGGCATGGCACCGTACATGCTACCGGTGTGCTGGTAGGGCATCGACGCAGGCATGGACGGATAGCGGAAGTCCGACCCAGCAACAGACCCTGGTCTCAACGGCATCTGCGGCAGGCTGTACTGCGACATCACAGGCTGACCGGCATACTGGGAGAGGTTGCTCTGCGACTGCCTGAAGCTCGGGTTGGAGCTCTTGTGACCGAGTGGGTTCGTGTCCCTGTAATAGTCACCAGCTTGTGAAGAAGGTTGATACGGCGACTGAGACCTTGATCCAGGGCCGCGGGACCTCGAGTGAGGTTTGCTGCTATAGCCTGTCTCCTCTGAGTGACGCGAACCTGTCTCCCACGCTTCCGCCTCATATTCTAAGGTGAGCAATCAGCACACTGTGCGACTAGGACAAGCACCATAGAAATCTCACCGCTGAACTTCTTCATTGGGATCATCGAGTCATCGAATTTCTCATCGTCGTTCATGATGACCTTCTTGTTATTGCCTTCGCCGATGACGAGACGCGTGTTACCCCAACTAAAGTCATCCATACACCAGAATGAATAGATAGGCAAGAAGAAGCTGTAGACCGGGTATCTGCGATGGTAAAGGTTGGCAGTAGTCCATCACCTCAGATACTGAGCGGCTTACGAAAGGAGGTATACAACCATCCACCCGATTAGCATGAACTCCCGCTTGAGCAGGAAGATGATAGCCTGAGACAAATGTGAGATGATCGGTAGCCATATGGCTCTAAATCATTACGCACCTGCAAGCCGTAGACGGACGCGATCATGATGATGGAAATGAGCGGGAACTCAGACTTGCCCAAAGAGACGTCGATGATGAGGTAGAGCAACTGTAGAACGGCATCAGTCTAAAAGCTCTATTCAGAGAGAGTGAGATTAGACATACGTAGATGACCGTAGCTGGCAGAATCTGAAAGATAGTATTCGTAAGTGGGCATATCTTCGTCGAAGTGATGGATACCACTTACCAGCGTTCCCAGCAGGTCAATGAACACGAAGAACCGCATGGAGAAACAGCAGAAGCCGAACAACTCAGGCAGGAACGCCAATTCGCACAGATTATGCACAGTGGAATTGATCCATCGCCGACGCTGAGAAAACAGCACACGCCACGACTCTGGCGCGATGGTACGAGCGAGAGCAGCGGATGTGAACTTGGTCCTGAATGTCGGGAAATGCTTCAGCATCAATGTCGTCAAGAATCGATCTTCTCCGAGAGAGAGCAGGTTCTTCTTGTGCAGCGTGTCCACGTTCGGCTCGGCATACTCTTCAATGATCCGGCTCGATATGATGACGGGGCGACCTTTGTCGGCAGTACGAATGCGGTACATAGAGAAACACCCAGGGAGACAGGATACTGAGCCGAACAAGCTCTCGAACGCCTTGGCCAAGTGGTGCGAGATGTAGTATTCGTAGACCTAGCAACAATATTGAGCGGTTGGTGCTGTGCTGTTGTTGCAGGAGTGACACTAGAGTGACACTCACCTGGATCATTGTCCACCAGGAGCCCTCCTCGTTATCCAGTCTTGTCTCACCGCATATTCCTATAATGCTCGAATCGTCCGCGGCAGCAGCAACCAAGCGATTGAGCGAATCCGGCGTAACAGCCTATGAACAATGTCAACACGACGAGCATACGCGAGAGGGGAATATCACAAACCGTATCAGCATCAATAGTGAAAATGTACTCGTAGAACGCTGGGTCAATTCCGATGACATTGCGCATCTGGTGATAAATCTCAAGCTCCAGCGGTGTCATCGGTGCGTCGAAGTGCACTCGATTCAGGTACTGCATGACTAGGATCTGACTGTCACGCTTTCCACGGTTGCCAGGCTTCGTCCGTTCCGTGGGTTTGCCAACCTTGACCACGACGATGTACCTGATAGCTACCCTCAGCATACTTGGACCCAGCACAACTGAAGCCGTACTTACGGAACGACATGGCCCTCAAACTCGTATAAACCAGAATAAACCTTGCCATAATTCAATGCCTTCGACCCCTCTCCTACTGACTTGAACAGCAGAGGCTCGGGATCCAGCTTGGGATCGATACCAAGAAGGTCGAGCACGATGCGGGGCGTCGTACGATCGTTACCGGTACCGATAATGTTGCCGTCACATATGACGAAAATGAGCTTGCGCTTGTCATCGTAGTTCAGCGCCGCCAGCGAGTCGATCGTACGCCGCAAGGATTCTTCACCCTCAGTGTAGCAAGGCACCTGGCAAATGACGAACTTGTCCAACATCTCCGGGGTACCATTCGTTGAGAACTGGAGCGCGGCAAGAACTACAATGATCATCAGCACGCACACTTGTGACAAGATCTGACGAGAAATGCTTACACTTGAGACCCATGGAAGCCATGATGATCGCCGTGAAGACCAATAACATGACATTCTGCACTTGGCACCGCGCAGTGCTGCGGAAGTCGACCTCGCCCCAATAGAACATATTCTGTATGCAGTTCACGTTCTGATCGCGGTATGTCTCATTCATCGCCGCCAGTATCGGCCCGAGCTGAGAGGTGATGTCTTGGCCTGCCCCCTGCTTCCAGATAGCGGTCAGGTCGGAAGAGAGGAACGTGTACATGCTGTTGTCGTCCTCATTCGTGAGGGTCTGGAAGTACGAGGTGAGATCGTAGACGCTGCCATCCCAAATGGCCCAGTATCTTTAAGCAGCTTGTAAGTCAACATTTCATACTTAACGAATTGCGACATCATATCACTCACCGTACGTCGTCATCCTGAGCCTCATTATAGATATCGGCCTTGGAAAACACATACTTGCCAATGTAGTACTGCTTGATCTTCGGCTGGAACGTCTGCGTGTACCAGTCGTCGTCATGCAGCTTGCTCGTCGTGACCGACTGCCGCGCACCAGACACATGCATTGCGGTGGGGATCGACTCCGTCCAATTCTCCGGCGTGGCCAGGTACAGTAAGTCGTCCGAGACAAGGCCGGGGCATGCGAGCGTGAGGGGAGGAGGAAAATAGTACGTCAGGTCCGTACCGGCCAGCGTCTCCAACGTAGTTTCGCCGTTGCTTGCCTCGCTCGTGATATCGCTGTGATCTCCCTGAATAAAGTTGGAGACATCGTACACGTTACCCTGGATGGCGACGTAGTAATCGTTGTCACCCGTATAACCCTCCAGCCCATTCGTGTTCCAAACCTTGTCGTAGTCCGGGCAAAGCAGGTGGCCGAACCCGATGACATAGAACAGCACGATGCCGTTCAGCAGCCAAATGAGGACGAAAATCGCCACCTTTTCTCTCCAAGCCAGCCGAACATCGGGACGCTTCATCCGACCAACCCTAGATAGACACCACGATGGCATCCACCAAGTGATAATCCACACGATGGCCAGCCACCATCGACGCGACCGGCTGGACGGGACCTCCTCTACTGCATGGGGTCCGTCCTTGACAATCATCGAGCTAGCCTCCTTCGACTGCTCGAGCGTTGGCGTCGCATCGTACTCGCCCTTCCTATCCCACTCCGACCATCCCTCTACATCATTGCGGACTGTTTCTTCCGCTTGAGGCATCGACAATCCGACCTGCTTATATCCGCCAGACATGTTGGGGGAGCGGAAGCGAGCGTCGTTCGTTCCAGCACGATCCAACAGCAGATTGTCGTCGCTACCGCCTGCACCGTAGTACCCGGAAGGCATCGCAGAGGCAGTATCGTGGCCCGTCATCTCCGTGGCATCGTCCGGCAATACGCTCTCGTCCTCATCTCCACCCTCTCTCGAGCCCTTCTTCTGCTCCTTTTCAATTGTCCGCAATACATCCTCGACCATCTTCCACGCGAAGTATCTGAGCCAGATGGAACGGTGACCGACGGCATAGTCTACGCCTTCTTGCCATCCATTCGCCTGTGCGCACTGCCTGATACGTTCTGCCTCTGACCCGCGCATTGTCGGCACGTACCTGTCGCAGAACGCTGAATGCTCGAAGTCCACCATGAAATCCGTCTTCCGCCGCGAGATAAAATCTGGCAGCAGCAACGCTCGGACCTGGGCCTTGACTCGCCGCTTGTCGAACGAATTTGATGAGCCAGAATCGTTCGGCCGTATGCAGGAGACCATCCAAAGGTGCGTCCTGTCGAGGCTCGCCATGATCTCGGACATATCATGATTGATCTGTGTCGTTATGGGGTAGACCTTTGAAGGGTCAAGGCGCGCATGCTCATCAGACTCTGAGGGGAGCGAACCGTCGCGGGAGCGTATGGGTGTTGGCTGGCGGAGAGGACGCGAGGATACTTGTGCCTGGACAATAATGCTCTCGTCCTTGGAGTGTCTCTCAGTCGCCATGCTCGGACCGGACATGAGCTTCGAGACAAACGAATCAGTAGAGTTGCGTAGCAGGGAGACGAACGCCGAATCCAAGATGTCCGTGTCCTTCTCCACAAACGAACGAGCATCGTACGAGCACGGACCGGCATAGTGGTTCACGCCGAATATCATGGCAGGGGATTGCTCGGGAGGGTTGGCATCAAACGAGGCATGCGAGCCGTACTTGGCAACAAGCTCCTGCACAAGTTCCTCGTCCTTCTTCTCTCCGCTCTTTCCTGACTTGTAAGACGAACATGCCTTGTTCATTATGCCCAGCATGCCTCCAGGCTTCTTGTGTGCCCGCTCGCTCAGCTGTGCTCCGCGCAACATCTCGATGCACGCCGAGTTGTCCATCGTGGTGATCGCAGGCAAGGATATACCATCTCGAGTGAGCTCGCCATTGTACCCGACGGAGTCCTCGAATGCGTTTCGCAACGCATATGAGTGCACCAGCTCGTCTGCAAAATTGATACAGAACTCGTCGAAGCCGGACTGCCCATTTGCAGATAACAGCGGGGCAGGGCCTCCGAAGTACACGGATGCGCTCCCGAGAGGACCCTTTGTCTGGTGTCCTGGTTGATCCAGTAAGATAATCTGAGAGGTCGGTGGAGGGTCCTGAGGAGAGGAAGCGATTTTGTAGTTGGCGGTTTCGACAACGAAAGCGAAGAGGATGGCATAGAGGTCCCTCATGAGCGAGTCACGCTGAGCCATACTTTGCTCTGCATTCAGCATCACCGTATACAGCTCTTTACGAACGTAGTTCGTCTTGTTGGTGAGTGCCTCAGCGAGCTCATCAAGCGGCACGCCCAGCAGCCGCGACACTTCTTCGAGCACCTGCATGTTAGCCACATACGCGGAGACATCGCGCCCGTCCGATTCTGTGAACTGCACATTCCCAAGGAGAAGGATCGCGACCAGTAAGCTAAATATAGAAGAGAGGTGCTTGGCTTTGAATCCGAGAGTCCTCATGGCCGCACGCAGATCTTCCATGGCTATCGCATCGTCGCTAAACGGGCCTGCAGGTAACCGGTAGCACCCCGAGGAAGCGAGTAGTGCGTAGTCGGAGACGTCCTCGAGGTTGAACTGATCACGTTCCTCTGGGGTCGCTCCTGCGAGGAACTGGTAGAACACGTGGTATGTACGCTCCTCGAAAGACAGACGATTCAGACGAGACTTGTCAAGGGCGTACGTGAGCACCTTGGCGGCGCTAATACGTCCACGATCGTTGAAGTGGAGTTCGAGATAGCGTCCATGACGTGAAGCATTTGGGTTCGCAAGGGTCTTGGCGTTCCCAAACGAGTCGAGCAGTGGTGTGAGGGCCGTGATCTGCTCAGCTAGCCTCGCCTCCTTTTTCGAGTGCGAGGAGAGCCGGAGGACCTGATTAATGGCAAGTGATGAAGCGTAGCTCTTGCCAGCCGCCGTAATGCCTCTGCAACGCGGATTGGTCACCGTAAATTGGAAAAACAAGGTGGTCAGACTCACCGGAAGATGATCGACTGCGACTCGTTTCTTCTCCTCATCAGCAGATATACCCTCGCAGCTAAATCGAACGGATGTGGCGGCAGGGGTGGTGGCCCACCAGGGAGGGGAAGGCTCGTGTCCTTGTAACTACGCTCTTCGTAATCCTTCGCACTGGCATCGTTGGCGTTGGCAAGCGTCTTGTATGGGTTGACGACGACGAGGTGCGACGCGCCTATTCTAGTATAGGGCAGGTCCTGGCGAAAGCGTGCTTGGAGAACGGCGAGCACAGTGTCGTCGGAGGGGTATACGGTTGCAGACGTCGAAGAAGAGACCAGGTCGGTGAGCTCGCCAGAGCTGACCGCCTGAGACGTTTGGGAGGCCATGGCCTGTGGTAAGGAGAGGAAGCAGGAGCGTCTTCAGCGCTCTGCACGACGACGAGGCAGGGCCAAGTGATGGTGAGAAATGAAGGTGATGAAAGCCTGCAGGGCGTAGACGGGGGTAACCTCCCGCGTCGCCTTCCAAGGCTCGTCTCGAACCCGTGACAATGCGTGATACACGCGGCTGTGACCGCTTCTCCACCAATCACAGGCCGCGAAAACTATCATTTACGCGTCTCATAACACCACAGTAACCTATTCTCGGTGAACTATTTCGTACTAAGGCCGCCGTATTCAACGCTCAATGTTTGACCCTCTGCCCTCTTATAAAAGGGCTGCTCGCCGATAGATGCCATGGATTCGAGCATTTATCTTGTTACGTCTTGCAGCTGCCGCAAGGCAGTTCGTGGCGAGAAACGTAGGGTGCTCACCACGCTCGCACCTGTCGCCAGGTGTCGCCGATAGCAGTGCATGATTGAGATGTCATCCGCCACCGAGAGATAAATAAACTCTACACTAGCCACAGCATTGCCTACCGGAAACGTCCTTGGAGATAGCATCGTTTTTCGTCTGTACCAGACCACAGACGCCATATGCTCCTTGCGAAGCTGCCTTGCCGAGACTCGTCAAGCAACGGAATCAGCGCTACTCCTCCTCTGCAGGCTCGACCGCGTCCGCAGTCTCCTCTTCTAAACATACAATCAACGTGAGACAACATCACAGCACGGCATCGATATGCCGACGTACCTGCATCCCCGTTCACGCGCGGCGCAGGTTCAGCCTCCGTCGAAGCTTCCTCGCCCTGCTCACGCTTCAGCGCCGCTTCCCACCCTTCTTCAAATAGTTCCGGGTTGTCGTGGGGATCCGCTACCGCAGCAGCGAGCTTCGGGCGGTTCTTCGCCTTGAGCTCCGCCCGCCACGCTGACACTGCCTCGGGAACCTTACTCGGGGAATACGCGCGCGCAAAAATCGCAGCCTCAGGCGCTCGGTGCGTCTTGATGAGCAGGTCAACACATGGCTTCGCATCACCAAGTTGCAGCAAGGATGCAAATGCGAGGTTGTTCTGCCCTTTCTCCTCTGCGGAACGGAGCATTCAGTCACATCATCAGCTCGTGACTGGAATTAATTTGACGTACCTGCTATAACAGCTAGCTTCGCCAAACCATCTCTATCGCCGATTGATAGCAATAGCAGCATCAGCGCACTCAGATCGCCGGCCTTCTCGAAGCTTTCCCGCGCAAGGTCGAAGCGCCACACGGCCAGCGCTCGGTCTCCGATCGCCTTCCACTTCGACTCCGCCTCCAGCTCGGGAATGGTCCTCGCAATCTCGACTGCGGCATCGAGATCATCGAGCTGCAGCGACAGATCAAACTTGTGATCCGGATCGGTTGTGACCTGCAATGCAAGTTCCTTGAGTCCTGGAGGTGACATCAATTGTTGCCTCTCAACAAAATAATGATATCAACGTACCTCTGCCTTCCAAGAATGCCGCGACCTTGTTCCTCTGCTCTTTCGGAACAGTAGGGAGGATTTCTGTAGCAGCGTCCATGTCGCCTCGCAAAACCGCCGTTTGATACTCGACCAGGCTCAATGACAAGGCATAGCTGTACACGTACATGTCCTTATCCGCAAGGTACACACGGTTATGTGAAGGCAAGAAGCCGAGGAGGTACAACGGTCTACCGGAGAAGTCAGCACACCATGCCTTTACTGCGAGAGGAGAACCCTACGTGTCGAATGGTGTGATAGTGTAGGACTCCGAACCGACGAAGTAATTCAATCGATTCGCGGCCGTGGTGTAAATAAAGCAGTCGCCAATCCACTTCGCCGTCCGCACGCTGTACGGGAATTAGCAAAGTCGTGAGCAGGAGTTGAGCAACGAACGCACGCATCAGGAATCTCAGCGACGAGTTCGAACGCCTCCTCGACACCCTCGTCCCCAATCTCCGCGCCTGCCTCCAACTTCGCATTGTACGCGTCCCGATCGAAACGCAGTACATAGAACGACTCGTCAGTGGCAATGGTCACCAGCGTGCCTGTGCCCGACCAGAAGACCTGATCTCCGTCAGACTCGCATCCAAAGGTATGAACAGAGCTGACATACATTTTTGGCATCCGCTTCGATCCTACGCACGATCTCTCCAGTCTCCCAATCCCAGAACACAACGAACCCGCTTCCCCGTGCTGCCAACAGCGTCCCGCCATGCAGCCCGTCGATGCTCCACGACCCTGCACCCTTCATCGGCGCACCCGCGCGCTCGCGGAAGTTCTTGTAAACGCGCACCTTCGTCCGCCCCTCCAGCACCGCGTACGTGTTCGAGTCGCCCGCCCATGCGAACGAGTTCCCGCTGCCGAATGCCTTGTTCCGCCACGCGAGTGAGGTGTACACGATGTACTCGCCGTCGCCGACAACGGTAACGAACCGCCCATTCGGCGAATGCATGAGCGACGTTGCGAAGATTTCCGTCGTGCCAAGTTCCTTGAGCGACAGATGTATCCGGTTGCCCTCCACGAAGGCCTCGTCCTGGACGGTCTGCAGGTTCGCGGACAGAACCTCGTTGTTGCGGGTGTAGATGAGTTTGCCGGAGGGGTCCATGCTGTATGTCGGTTCGTCACGGCCCAACTGCGTGCATGTGAGCAAATCAGGTTGAGGCTTAATGGTAGGGGCAGCATACCTTCACGACCACGATGCCCTCATCATAGCCAACAGCGATCTCGTTCGACGTCTTGCGCAATGCAATGCACCAAGCGCGCTCCAAAGCGTAACTGAGTGTGTTTTCTAGCCTGTACGTCCCGCTGTTCCACAGCTTTACCGTCCCATCCTCCCCGCCGCTGATGATAAGCGGAAGGTTCGGGTGGAAGACGACGAAAAGGACATTGTTAGTGTGGCCCTCAAGAGTCTGAACGCAACTCTTGCTAAGATAGTCCCATATCTTCACCGTCTTGTCGTCACTTGCGGTCACCAGGTACGGCTTGTCCGCGCCAGGGTAGAACTCGACATAGTTGACACCCTTGTCGTGCGCCTCGAGGGTAAAGTTGGGTGTCGAGGAGCCTAATGACCACATCTTCACTGTCCGATCGAGACAGGACGACGCGAAAGTGTTCGGGTCTTTCGGGTTGATGGCGATGTTCATGATGTAATGAGTATGGCCTTCGTACGTCTGAATAGAACAGAGTTACGACCATCCTCGTAATACTACATTGCAACTCACTTGTATACACCTCCACTGCTTTTCCCAGTCCCATGCTCTGATCGTCATGTCATCGCTGCCCGTCAGGACAATGCTTGCCGTCGGGTGCACGGTGAGGCATCTGATATAGTCCGGGTGCGCCTCGAACGCGGTGACCTTCTCATGCGTGTTGTAGTTGAAGATACGGAGTTGGAAGTCGTCCGAGCCTGCCACGAACCAGTTCTTCCGGGGAATGAAGCGCACGCAGCGAACAGGCACCTCGGAGACTTCGAATGTCTTGACAATCGCGCCAGTCTCGACGTTGTAGATGTTGACTGTGCCGTTGTAGAGACCCGTGAGCAGCCATGGCTCCGTAGGGTGGAAGTCCACGCCCTTGACGCGATCCGAGCGAGCAAACAGCTTTCTCTGTGGCAGCACACGTTGGAACACGAGACGTGGTCATGGATGTCGCGCACGTACGTTCACGTCCAGCAACATCTTCTCCTCCGGTGAGGTCCAGTACGTGTCAGTTGTTGCAAGGCCGTGATATGAGATCTCGCACGGGGCGGTGAGGACTAGGCTACGTTCTCCAAGGCTGAAACTTGCAGAGTACGTGGAATAGGCGTGGGAAAACAGTGCTGTGTACGATCATCTGATCGCGGCCACAGTTTCCCAGTACTCGCACCTCGCATTTTACTTTGGCGAATTGGTCAGACATTATCAACGCGAGGACATTTGGTTTGAATGTATAGTAAGACTCCTTTACGTCCTTCTTGCAGTCGCAGCGCTCGCACTCTGCTGTAGTCAACGGAATGGAAGTATTATGTCGTTTAGCTTGCTATCTCTCCACCCTCGTTTCCTCGGCCTGTCCGATGGATCATCGCCACGCTCACTGATACCATGGCAAGTGCTGACAAACGGATCTACGACTTGGGTCGGAGAGGGCGCTCCAGCAACCATTGTCGCCGCCCAGAACACTGGGCCAGAGACGTCCTGATAGCAATCTCAACGTGTCCGTGAATGTCTGCTACTGTGCATGACGAATTCTTGATGTGACAAGTATGACTTGCATGGGGCTTTCTTGCGTTCACCTGCATTCTCATGTCCACCTGGTGGGACATCGCCTGCTATCTCCGTATCCTATGGCAGGAGATTTTTGAGCGAAACAGCTCTATCGAGCAGAATAAATGTGCATGCAGAAATTCGCAGAGTCAATGTTTCATGCTTACAACAATCTCTTGGAATTGGCAGTCAATTGACTCGCTGATGTCGATAGATCTTTCCACGGGTTGACACGTGTAAGCCGTGCCCCTTGTTCTGGTATACAATCAGAGCGACTTAAAGGACATATCGTAAGTAAGTTCTGTTCTCTCCACATGGAAGGCGTGTTGTAGTGCCGGCAACCTCAATGCAAGCTTCTGCGTGGTCATTATTGTTCTCCAGTTTAAATACTGCGGTCCCGAGAAATTTCTCCTTCACCGACTCAGTACGTCCTCCATTCTGTCCTGTCGATTTGTCGCCGTCGTTTCGCGCGACCTCCCGATAGTACCGCACGATGTCGTCTCCAGCTTCTCCGCCTGCAGGTCAGGCCACAGGTAAACGAACCCCATCTCCTGCCGGCAGTTCCAGTGCCAGGCCCGCCTCGCCCAGCTCCAATGCTAGCACAAGACCTGCATCGCCTGACGCGAGGACGTCCTCCCCTGCTCGGTCTTCACTACGCTCACGGATGGGCACCATGATGCGGCGCACCTCGACGGGACTGACCAGTCTGGGGAAGCCCAGCGCTCTCCGTCGCTCTGAATCCAAGAGTTCAGTGAAAGCGGACACACCTCTAGGCACACCTATGTCAATAGAGGGTCTGCCGAGTCCTGTCGCTGAATCGCCCGCACGCGAAGCAGCAGCTCTCATCAGCGTCGCATCCCCTCCTGTCGGTCCTTCACCTCTCTCCGACGCGACTGCACCTGCGCAAGGTACTGCTACAGCAGGCCCTGCTTCACCAAGTGCACCGATATCCATCGCAGATCAATTCACCTCAAGCTCTCAGGTATTCGAGAAACCTTTCTCAGCCTCCCCAGATTCACACCATTCAGTGATCGCCTCAATAATAAGCGAACAGTTTGCTTCTGGAAGGGAAGCCCGGTCCTCGTTTGCCTCAGCAGCACAACCTTCGGAAAACATACCATCCATTCCTGTGTCTGCGACAGCTTCAAACCGTGCATCGACCAGCTCCCAACCTAGTTCGCAGTATGATCATGCTGCATCTGGGGTTATCCAAACGTCCACAATAGAAAAGACCGATAGTTACTTCGCTTTGACCAAGGATCGTTCGGTGCAACCTACTTGGGCTCCCAATGATCCAGCAGGAGCCAAGGTGATCCAAGACACTACGAGCCCACAGCCGAATGTCACACCACCACATACCAGCGACGCCCAAGTGATGACGACGAATGACGGGGTATCTCTGTCGTCTAAACATTCTATCAGCACCTTCGCCGGCGGTAGCTCGATTCGCCATGACAGCCAGGCACAGCCCTCTCGGTATGGCGGGCTCTCATCAAAAGCTAGCAAGTCCTCTATGTCGACTTCGTACGGTCAAGTTGTGGTCGCTCCACATGGACGACAGATCTCCATAATGACAGACTCGACAGCCGAGGATGAAAGCAGACGAGGACGAAGTCCTGGGCAAAGCTTTAGGTAAGAGTCCACCTCATTTAACCTTGGGGGTATGTTCACCTGATTCTCAGCATCCTTATCGATAGTAACGTTCCTCTCGAATCCGAGGAGTCGCAAGGGGCACCGGGAAGGCCATCAGTTCTCTCCCCAATCGAGAGCATCGACACACCATTGTACGGTTGTTCTCATCTATATACAAACAGAAACCTGATCGTAACCGCAGACCTGATCAAGGGCCAGCGGTGTACCCCTTGCCCCCGCCAGGTGAAGTTATCAGTTCAAGGCAAGTTATCCCTTTTTGGCTCAGTGTTTGAGAGCGACATGCTAACGCTCGGAACAGGTCGGCTCCATACGTTCCGTCAAGTTATGGATTTGGAAATGTCTCAATAGGTGGCAACGCTACATCCATCCTGCACGCGACTGAGTACGTCCCGTAGTCCATGGGTTGACCCGACAAAATCTGATGCTTCGCCAGCGAGACACTGCCACTATTGCACAGTTCTGCCAAAGCGGCTGTCGACAAACGTCAATCTGCTGTCCCTTTCTATGCGGCGGAACAGGCACTACTGTCTCCACGTGCAACTTCGCGTGCCTTGGAGCTTCTGGGATGGACAGAGTATATGCTTCCCCACAGATCCTCCTACTTCGTGAACAGCCGGCTGCATGTGGTCACCGATCTAGATATGCACAGCATGCGAGGGCAGAGCGCAGTGATGGAGTATCTCGACAAACGGATGCCGGAAGAAGTTGCTCCGCCGCCACCAGGATGGGAGCTTTGGTTAACGGACATGGGAGTAGCGAAGCAGCAGTTCAAGCCGGTGTGGAACTGGATCAATCATGATGAACGCATCCTATCCTTCGAGCCTCCCCCAGAATCCGGCCGTTCGAGTTCCCCCAGCGTGCCGGAGGATGACAGTAAGCATTTCAGGAATCCAGCGAGTCGCATTGTCGATGTCTTATCGTCACAGGAATGGACATGGAATACAGATATTGGATGTACCTGGAGGAACATCCGGCTCATGCGCCAATCCCACCGCATACCCACCAAGAGGCCATGAATGCACTCTCATGGTCATACACAGGTCTGTCCATCTTCGAACCATTCTCTGGCCTTGGAAATAACCTTATGTGCTTCTAGAGAGCCTTCTGCCATCTTCCAGACCCGTTGCTCCGCCCTTTGCTCCACAGGAATGTCAAGAGCTTATGGGACTGCTTCGTTCAGCTGACGGCAGTGTCGGGACTTCATCTGTCGTCCAAGCACGCATCGTCGCCCGAGTCATGCTTCGAATGGGTACGTGTATCGCAGAACGTAACGGTCTTATAAGCTAACCGCAATCCCAGCTCAATGGAGACAACAAGTTATTCGACCTGACAGGCCGTTGCCGCAAGATGTCAACAGACCCGTACAACGCCCTTCTCGCTTCCGCCAATTTGTCAAGTTCATATTAGAAGTTATTGTCTCCTGTCTGTGCTTGGGCATTCCATACTTCTTCATCGGCCGTGCACATCGCCAGCGGACCGACGAGGAGAGTGGTGTGCCCGGCTCCGGCACCATGCTTGTGATCAGCGGTTGCGCTTGCCTTATGGTGCGTTCCTGATGCTGCTTTTCTCAGCGCTCGCTAAGCGAGTTTCCAGGCTGCCATCATACTGAGCGCGTCAGTTACGTTCGTTTCTCTCGTGGGTCTTGACGAGATGTCTCGTCTTGCGGGCCTGGTTGCCATATTGTTCTCGGCTTCGAGTATGGTCTCTGCTGTCATTGCGCTCTTCCGCTACAAGTCCGAGCTGGAACACACCGTTGAGCATGTCGGCGGAGAAGGCCTCATCTTCCTATCTGTGTGTGGTACCCCTTGCTCATTCTGTGCTATTCTGACCGCACCTGCTCTTATTTGCAGAGAAGGAGCATTGTTATGTCCATCCCGCTGGTTTTCCTCGCATGGGCGGTCGCAGCGTTCATCACAGGCATCACATACTACACATTACGCGGAAATACGGCGACAGGTCGCGTGGTCATGAAGTATCCACACGAAACGTACACTCACTGGACAGTGGTCGGAGGCACAGGGGGGTTGGCGGGGATGGTCATAATGTCAGCTTTGCTTTGTTGCCCATGATGTACCGTCACGGCGGTGCGAGAGCTTTTGTGTCCTGGGACATTATTCGGATGGCATGTACCATATGTACCCAATTATCCGCTACTCCACCGTGGAGTTTCTTGAGGTCGCAAGAATTTGATCGTGTCGTCAGGCCAGATAGTGGTCAAGTGGTGAGTGCCCTTTGGATGACCTGGTCGTTGGAAGTCAAGGTAATCTCAACAGCGATGTTGCACCGTGCCCTGTTATGAGATGACCATCCCATCTCGAAATGCCCTCAGGAAGGCGCAGCATACTACTTTATTCACGCGGGTATTGCGCGAAGCTTGACAATGAAACTTCTCCTTCCGAACGTATTAATGCATCTTACTGCCAGTTGGATTTGCAAGGCCATTCATGCACGATCACGAAACTGTTCAAAATTTAACGCATTTAGAATTCCGCAGCAGTACATGTAGTCAGCAAAGTTTTTACGCCTGACCGAGTACGCTATATATGCAGCAGCCTGCTTCGGTTTAATTTGACATGTATGAATACAATGATGTCCTGCTGCAGCTCTTTGTCATCACTTGATCACATATATGAGCGAATGTTACGCCGCATTTGTCAAACGAGCATGAGGAAAGCAACGTATAGGATGCACAATTGACGATAAAATCAGACCGCAAAAACAGGTGGCCGAGCATAGATATGCACATGCCATGGGCTGAAACGCAGATGAGCCCTCCGTTTCGCCTGCAGGGTAGAGAATCGGGCAAATGAATCTGGAATCGAACTCCAATTGTCCAGAGGATAAATGGCTTCAGCTAGTCGATATCCGGGTCTGCGGTTTCCGAAAATATCGGGGAATGGTAAAAGCATTATGCGGGAAGCATGTCAGCTGTCCTCGGTCGGAAACCATTTCCGAGAATGTCGGACCAGCCTCGTAGCCCACGAGAGCCCACTTTGAAGGCGGCAAGTATTCCCTTAGCTTCCATTACCAGGGGACGAGCTGAAAAATAAATTATCGATGCTCCGCACACGTACTTCAGTACAACGCGCCTTTCAGCGTTCCTAACGGTCAAATCCCTCTGGCGTGGTATATTCAAACATTGCTTGCATCTTATTATAGGTTTTATTTTCTTCCCGGAAGCAGAGCGCCAGCGCCAGGAAATTCGGCCATGTATAAACATTCTACGGACTTTTTTGGACATCTTGGATCCGTAATTCGCCATCCACACCCATTGATTCCCAAACCTGTAAACTCATAATCAATAAATCTCCATGCGGCGCGATGCCTGAAGCAATATGCTCGTCTCCGCCATTCATCGGATGCGACGTTCTTGCATCGGCGCTTAGTCTCTCGAGCCCACAGGGAGGCACACTAGGTAACCAGGTTGCTTGCTAACCCTCTCATGCGTGAACACGTCATTGGTCTCCTCTGAACACGGTAGTAAGGGTCGGAGATTTGGTTTTAGAAAATCAAAAAGTACTAGAGTCACCATAGTCCTCGCATGTCTCGCGGCAAGCAGTTCACTGTGCCTCTAACACATTCACCCACAGTCCTAGTGGATGGTAACAATTCTCTGCATATCGACTATCTACACAAAAAAAGTTGATAAGATGACCGTCGTCAGGAAGGTCGCATTCACCCTCAACAGCTGGGTTGACGTACCACTTCATTTATCTCAAGCGTGGTTCTGATGGCGTCAAGTCTCCAACGGCAGAGTTCCTGCCGCCTTGACCGCCCATGCTAACAACTTAAACCTCGTTATATGATGAATGCATTTCACCCTGCTTATGAGTATATATCGCTGATTCAAAAGCGCAGAGAGTCTCATTCCATCGCAGACATTACGTTCGTTCTGCATTTAACGCTATGACGCAGTGATCATTTATGAATGACACCTCATTTGCAGGTGGGGCACGGCGGTTTTTGGAGCCTATCAAAATCCTCGTTCAGATGATGCAGAGAATGAGATATGACAATGGGAGGTACAAGCACATCGAATCACATATTCTACTCTGCCTTCGCCCTCGGCATCGGGAATAGCTTCACCGGCGTCGGCTCAACATACCCTGCCCACGGCCTCCTGATGTCCGCAAACTCGATCGTCCGTTGGTCTTCGGGCACGTGCATCGCGTCCAGCAGCATGCCCGCCTTGCCCGGCATGAACGGTTGCAGGAGCACACCACACATGCGGAGCACGTCCAGAGTGAGATGGTACACGGCAGATACAAGCTCCATATGAGTGTTCTTGTCCCAAGGCTTGGTTTGCGTCACGAGGGCGTTGGTCTGCAGGAGAAGGGGCAAACGTAATGAGTTCATACCCTGATGTCAGAGACAGCCTAATTGTTTCTTATAGGAGCACGTACTTCGTGCAAGACTGAGACGACATGCTCCAGAGCAGCTGCTATCTGCAACTCGTCCATATTCTCCCTGTACGCAGGCAGTACCTGAAGGGCCTTCTCCAGGAAGGTATCGGTCTCAGGCCGGACGAGGCGAAGTAGCGGGGGCCGTGTATCACTTTGACCGCGCTCCATAATTTTAGGGGATGTTATACGGGAGTAGAGGTTGCCGAGGAGAGCGGTTATCTCCTTCGAGTGCTTGTCCAGCTGTTCGTGTGACCAATCTGATGAAAAAATTATCGAGATAAGGGATTTATTTTCACTAAAGAGAAAGGCTGCACGAGAGATAGTATTCACCGACGTCGTCTTTGAAATGCCCACCCACACGAGCAAGGTACCACCTAACAATGTCAATGCCAAACTCGTCGATAGCTTCAATGGGATCAGCGACGTTTCCAACAGATTTGGACATTTTATGTTTGTTCACTGTCCAATGGGAGTGCGCAAGCAGTTGTTTGGGGAACGGAAGGTCGAGGGCTGCTAACATCGCTGGAAAGTAGATCGCGTGGAATCTAGAGGCATCGGTCTGCACATTAGGGTGATATGTCAAGATTACAGCAAAGAAAAAGACGGGGCTGACCGGAGAATATCCTTTCCAATTACCTGCACGTTCGGCGGCCAGCCGCTGCTGAATCCATCACCTGCTTGTTGCGTCCACGGATAACCCACAGATGACAAGTAGATAGTCAACGCATCGATCCACACATAAATCGTGTGCTCATCGTCGCCCGGGACTGGAACACCCCATTTCAGCCTAGATCTCGGCCTTGACACAGACAAGTCCTCCAGCGGGGTGTCTTCCGCGAGCGACTGAAGGATGTCCGTGTGGTGCTGCGGGGGATATATTGCACGCGGGTGTGCCGCGAAGTGCTCCCTAAGACGAGCTTGGAACGCTGACAACCGGAACTTGTAGTTCTCTTCTTCCGTCCACTCAACGAGTGAGCCTGTTTCCGTGGAGACGAAGACCTCTTCCTCAGCTCCGTCAGAAGAGCTCTTCCGCGAGACCTGTAGTTCTGGGTAGAAGCACTCGTCAGAGACGGAGTACCATCCTGAGTGCTGGCCTTTGTAGATGAAACCCTTTGCCTCTAGTTGACGCTACATTATAGTTGATTGGATGTCATACATTGCTTATAGCGAGAAACATAGGCACATGCCTACCCACAGATGCTGCACTGCATCGCAATGTTGTTTCTCCGAGGTCCGCGAGAATCGCGTGGCGTCAACGTCCGCTTTCTTAACCAATGCCTGCCAAAAAGGATTTTTAATTCAGAAGCATCTTGGTGATTGATGCAAGGAACACACACGAAAATGCTCGCTAAGCTCGTCGCAGAACGCAAGCGGCTCCATGCCTCTGGCCTGTGCGGCTTTCTGGATTTTGAGGCCATGCTCATCCGTTCCTGTTACGAGTTTCGCCTGCCTTTTCGGATGCAAAAGCCGAGCGTAACGCGCGAGTATGTCGCCAATTACGATTGAATGAAGGTGTCCTATGTGAGGGACTACAGTCAAATGTTAGCGCCATTCTGTCATACTGGATAAGCACAACAGAACGAAAAAGAGAATGGTGGCAGAGTGAGAGTACCGGCGCGCCTGTATACGTGAAATGAACGAGGCTACAGTGACCACGCGCAGTCCTCGAAGGTCGGTATAACATGTCGCGTTCGCATCCGAGAAATGGTGGTTGAGACCGTGCAGAACATAATCGATAGGCTTTGAGACAAAATAGCCGCTACTTTATTTCATCTTCAGCGCGAACTTCACGCTAAAGTGTTCTAAGCTGTTATCCTCACCCAAGATGCTCACCTGAATTAGGATAGAATATTGGCGTGGTAATATAGTAAGGCTTGATCGCCGCGTCGGACGACAGCAGCCTGGACCATCGATGCTTTATGACGTTCGAAATACGCCCAGTGAGATGAAGCAAAGTTCCCGGCATTCACAGCAAGCTTCAGAGCAAGACAGGCCCGGAAGATGATAATTGGCGCTCAGTGCACCAGAACGCGTTACGATGTCATGTGCTCGTCACGTCACGTCTCCCGCTCAGCGCTAGCGCTCTTAGTTAGACGCCGGTCTTAGTGGTCATCCGCGAACTCAACATCCTTACATTTCTTGAAAACTCGGAAGGGCCGTAATTACTAGCTACAAGTGATGAAGTCAGAAGGGCAAGCAATAGCTCAAACTTGTTAAGCCATCCGCATAAACACCATTCATTTAGGCTGTTCGCTCATATCTCGACTCAACAGGTCGTACAGCTAAGCTATTCGTTAGACGGTCAGACAAGGATATCCGGAACCTGCAAAGATTCGAAGGAATTGTCTCGTCTGCCCACGGGAGATTAGAGAGATGCGCCTCACGCCGAGAGAAAGCATGTTGCCATGCGGGAGTCCATCTTGAAGCAATGGTAAGGACGTCCCGCCGGAGCCACGCCGAAGGCTATCATCGTGCGTGATTTTTAACATGACATTCGCTTTGCCTCTGCAATCAGCTTAGATGTCATTGATGGTACTGTTGCTATTCTTGTATATTTGCGGTGTACTCCCCGCCCTCTTCGGTACATTATCCCGTCCGAAACTGCGAACAGCCTAAGCTGGAATTGAGAGCAAACGACAACTGTGCGACGATAAGAAGAATACATGCAAACATCCGGGTGAACTCTCTCCTGAAATAAGACTATGTGAAATACATATTTATAGAGATATTGTTCGTCCTGTCGCTGCAGTACTGAGTGCCACCAACTGCGAAGCGATGACCAGGACGCCTGTGGTGAACAAAGTGGAGAGCCTACCATGGCTTGAGGCTGTCGGTAGGAACACACTGGAGATCGAGAGCGATCACCAGTAGACGAATCGCTCTATCGTCCGTGCCTTATGCGGCAGAGCTGGACGGGAGTACGAGATAGTACGTTTGACGCGGGTCACAGTAGGGTACCTACGAGATAATGGACAGTTGAAAAGCTGGATAATGATGAAACGAAGAATAGCATCGTACCACGCATTATAGATCTCTCCAGGCTCCAGCTGGACCTCAAGTATTTGACGACCCTGGACAAGGGACATTTCTGGTTATCCCGACTAGGAAAAGACAGAGGAAGTTACTAACAGCGTAGTCGATGTGCGAGCCGATAACAAGTCCGTCTTTGTTGCCGTTTGGTCCGTGCTGGACGGACACAATGTCTCCTGGCTGCAGAAGTATGGCATGGCGCCACGCGATAAAGACTGCCCGTTAGATAGTGCTGCATCACCCTCGAGCTTGCGATAATGTGACATACCATAATCTCTTCAGAGGACGACATGGTAACAGCGCTGACTGAGAGCAACTTACAGGAGAGAAGGAAGACCCGAGATGTTGAAGGAGATGGAAAAGAAATACTGCGGCGCTTTTAGTTTGCGTATCTGAAATGTTCCTGAGAAGCACGCCCGCGAGGCCGGCCATGAGGCGAGCCATCATCATTCGTATTCGTCTGTTCTCCGATTTCGCGGAGTTTCTTATTCCTCTTTTCATGGCCCGGTGAACTTCTGCTTCTGGGGGAACCTCCATCGCCGATCGCGCATTTAGCCTCCTAGTACCTGGACACACTGCAATTAATGTGAGATGCACAGACCACCGACGCCTCCAAAGATGCGAGCGCCACAGCCGGCTCCGGAGATTGTGAGGCGAGCATAAAGGGTACCACGCTGCAAGTTCCGTAATCAAAGTTAATCGCTTTAAGAAAACAGGACACCGAATGTGCCGATAGAAATTGGCATGGGTGAGACAGAATGCAGAAGAGGTCACGAGTGTGTCAGGTATCGCACAAATACAAAAGGCCTACATTTAGAAGCACAGCTGTCAATACGTATACAGAACAAGGAGACGCTAGAAAAGCTGTACACCGCACATGGTGCTATCACCGCCCTCTGAAGCTCGTCCACCAATCCCGCAGCAAGTCGCGCAGAGTCCATCTAGACACGGAGGAAGTGACCCCCGGTGGTTCTGTAGCCCTATCATCATCTTCCCAACCATCAGTGACACCGGAAAAACGGCCACTCTTATTAACGGAGCTCATCCTTTCGGCGAGGCCCTGAAGGATGTCCTCTGCAGAGTCCCGATACGCCTTGTCCAGCTCCGCGCTTCGCGAGTAATATCCTTTGCGCACCGCATAAGGGGCGAGACCGTTGTATTTCCTCACAAGGGCATTCACCTCTTCCAATGCTGTTTCGTGGAATGCCTGTTCTCGGGCTTCCCACTCCGCATCCCGAAGCGCGATAACATCATCCAGCGTCAGCTTGGGTAGGAGATCTGTTGGTTGCAGCGTCAACATCCGGATGGCACGTCTGGTCCATGATTGTTTCAGCACCGTGCGGAAAGATGTGACGGCTAACTCCATCTCTGTGCATTGGTCAGCATGATGTAAGATTTCGACCCAGAACAAACACTGACCTCCTTGCACTTCGACCCAAGGAGGAGCTGCGCCTTGACGTTGAACAATACGGTTCATCAGGAACTCTTCTCTAGCGATGAATGGGTTGCTGTCCTGCGTTGTCGACTCGAGAGGTTGGCCACGCCCCTTGACATTTCTGAACAAGCCCTCCTGGCGGGCGCTCTACGTGATGATCAGCAGCAATGCATACTACAGATCGAGCTAACGCACCTCAATCCTGTCCTCAACGAGACTCGCCCAGCCTTTCAGCGTGATTGGGTTCACCCGCCTCTGCACAGCGGCATCGCCCTTGATACCAAGACGATAGTCCAGTGTAGACTCTTTAGCTCTAGACAACCTTCCAGCTTGTTCCGTGCGCCGCCGTGTCTCCCTCTCTTTCCGCTTCGCCTTCTCATCGAGCACAGGGCTGGGGGCGGCTTTGGGAGACGGAGAAGGGAAGTGACCGTGACGAACGTTCGAAGTCGCGTGCGACGGTACCTTGAACGTCGTGTGCCATGGCTTATGTCCCTCGATGGAGGGAAGCAGCGGTTCTCCAGGGAGATAACGCCTGGGAGCATCCTGGGCGGTGTTGCTGCTTGCATTGATGTTCGCAGCGAGCTCCCCTGCGCTGATATCGCTAGTCAGGCCCGTAATAGTGTCCGGAGCAGACACCTTCGGAAGATCCTGCTTCAGCTTCTCGTCTGCGGTCCTGATAGGGCCACTCCGCAGAGGCTTGTACTTGTCAACGAGCATGCGCAAGACCGCATCCTGAATTGACTCTTCGCCTGTCCAGTTTTCATTCTGGCCTTCTAGGATGGATACTTGACTCGGACAAGGAGGATGCTTTCTTTCTTCAGCTTCCTCCCGTGCGGCATCCTCGAAGAGCTTCGAGCTTGCGCGATGGTCCGCCTCTTCTCGTCTGACTGCATTCCAATTGAGGTTCCTGCGCCGTACGCTAGATACCACCGTGCGAGAGGCCGAAAAAGAGATATACAGAGGAAGTGCAGGTCGAGCAAAACTCATGCAGTACAGCCGTAGTTGGTGCAGGAAAATTGGAACTCAGCTGGTCGGCATTAAGCTGAATAAGGAGGAGCTTTCAAATTGCGGTAGCGATGTTGAACGGAAAAAACGATACACTGAGCGGGAGTCGAACCCGCGCCGCTTGCTGCACAACTAAGTGGAAGGCAAGCATGATACCGTTTCACCATCAGTGTTCACCGGGGGCATGAGCCCATGATTCCGCCGGGAACATTTTGGACACATTGTAATAACAGTCCAAATAATTACACAATGTTATCAGTGTGTACATTTCGAAACTATTTTGAATGTTTTAAGTGTCAACATTGCGGGACAAAATTGATAGCATTCATAAAGATATAACAATGAGATCCCAATGTTGCAGCTAGCAGCATTCCAGCAATATTGCAGTAACATCGTCAATGTTTCTTGTGATAAAATTCTAAATGATATCCATGAGGGACTGTGATGTCTTCAAGATGTTCCTACTGGGTTCACTGTGATCGCATAGATACCATTATCATATATAGTAATGTGCTAACCATATTAGGACATCCCTGATGCGTTCAAGATGATTCCAGCCAGCACATGATGGAAAGCATCTGGCACTCATTGTAACCTCACCTTGATCACATTTCTAATGTACTCTTAAGATCCATTCAAAATGATGTCAACATGTTGTGTGAATGCTGGCTAGAGCAAAATTGTTGTCGCATTATAGTGTCTTTCTGAATAATATCACAATTATTCCACAATGATGGCACTCGAAACAATTCAAATAATTTCATAATGTTTACATCAGTAACATTATAATTACATTGTGACTGTTATCACAATGTGTCTAAAATGTTCCCGGTGGAATCATGGGCTCATGCCCCCGGTGTGTTTCAACTGCAATTTGATATTGTTATTTCTAATACCGCATTATCCTGGGCGTCTTCGGGCTTGATGTCGACCCCGTCTTGCGATCACCACCGGCAATGTCTGTCTTGCTGGAGACCTCGTTAGGTGACTTGGTCATCGACTTAGAAGTAGAAGCGTGTCCCAAGACGTGCCAAAACTTCCTGAAACTTTGCAAGATTTACTACTACAATCTCAATGCTTTCTTCAACGGTGCGGTAGCTATCACCTCGTGGTAATTTCCACAGGTTCTGACGGATCCTCCAGTGTCTAAAGATTTCCTGGCCCAGACAGGGGACCCAACTGCTACAGGGACGGGAGGCGAGTCCATCTGGTCTTTGATAGCTTCGCAGCAAGGGAAACAAGAACCTCGCTACTTCAGCCCGGAGTTCGTGCCCCGCCTGAAACACAAGGAGAAGGGAACGGTGTCCATGGCTGTCGCCCCAGCCATCGACGGAGAGGGCAAGGGCGGCTGTGGTAGCCAGTTCTTCATCACACTGGGGAACGACATCGAGTACCTTGACGGGAAACACGCGGTCTTCGGGCATGTCGTTGAGGGACTCGACACTCTGGACAAGCTGAACGACGTCTTCGTAGATCAGGAGGGAAGACCATTCAAAGATATCAGGATAAGGCATGTGGAGATCTTGGGTGAGTACATCAACTGCGTCCGTTCAATGATATCAGTTCACAGTGGAACTCGCAGACGACCCGTTTGAAGATCCTTCCGGCCTAGTAGTCCCTGACTCCATTCCTACGAAACCCCCAGATAACTCTACTCGCATCGCTGAGGACGAAGATCCACTGGCCGCTCTTCCCGAAGAAGAAGCGGAGGCAGAAAGGCGGAAACAAGCTGCGCGAGCCTCTGCACTGACACTGGAGATGGTCGGAGACCTCCCGTTCGCCAACGTGAGGCCACCCGAAAATGTCCTCTTCGTTTGCAAGCTCAACCCGGTCACCCGAGATGAGGACCTCGAGCTCATCTTCTCACGCTTCGGTCCCATTATGAGCTGCCAGGTGATTCGTGACAAGAAGACAGGGGACTCGCTGCAATACGCGTTCATTGAGTTTGACAAGCGAAAGGATGCCGAGCAGGTGCATTGTCTTCTTGTCTTCTCGCTTGCTACATTGCTTAATGTCCGCAGGCGTACTTCAAGATGCAGAATGTCCTCGTGGACGAACGTCGGATTTGGGTGGACTTGTAAGTGTACAGCATACGTGTCGTTACGACGTTATCTAACGCTGCCTAATAGCTCGCAGTCCGTTGCTCGTCTGAACACTTCCTGGTCGAACAACCCCAGAGTGGGGCTGCGTCCGCCACGAGGCGACAGCGGTCGAGGTGCCGCCGGTGGGTTCGGCGGCCTTGAGGACCTCGAGGTCACCCGCAGGTACAGAGAAGGCGTCTCTAGGGATGATGCCAAATATGGGATGGTTTTCGATGTGGGTGACGACGACCGGCGCCACCGGCGTCGCAGCATGAGCAAAAGCCCGAAAGACAGCCCGAGAGAACACAGAAGACGCTCGCGATCTCCTCGTCCAAGAGACCGCGATCGAGGTGAACGCGATCGGGATAGCCGGAGGAGTCATAGCAGAGACAGGCTTTCTAGGGATCGCTATGACCGTCGCCGGTGACGGAATTAACAGTCAAAGCGTTTACCAATTCCCGCAAGATGATGTATGTGACATTGTGCGCTGTTCTATATTGTTGCACCCTCGATCATTATCACGGAGACAGATCGTACACGTGAAGACACTGCTTGGTGTCATGTTTGGTCTGACGTGTGATTGTCCGGTGTGTGGTTCGTCAGCCTCCTCGTCTCATATAAATACGATGTCCTGCCTGCGATGAACTGCCACAGTGATATTTAACATGGATGCCTCTTCCTACTTCAACTTCGCCGACAGCGACATAGTCTTGCGAACATCCTCACCCGAAACAGTAGACTTCGCTGTTCATCGATGTATCCTATCGTCAGCATCTCCTTTCTTCGAGGAGATGTTCACTTTGCCGCAAGGCAGCTCCACAGATGCCCATTATCCTATAATCGACGTCTCGGAGACACCCACCACCCTTGACACCCTCTTGCGCCTCGTCTACCCAGTACCCGATCCCACCATCGACGATCTTGACAATTTGACGAGCGTGTTGACTGCCGCCACCAAGTACGAACTGAGCAGTGTGGTCGAGAACTTGCGGAAGCTGCTCATTGCTCCTCGATTCGTCGAGAAGTACCCCACTCGAGTGTATGCCATTGCATCGAGATTCGAGCTGGAAGAAGAAGTAAAGGTGGCCTCACGATACACGCTGTCCGTGAACATCCTGGACTGCCCTCTTCATGACGATCTGAAACACATCACGGCATACGCATACCATCAACTGCTCAATCTTCATCATCAGCGTGCACAGGCCGCTCAGGCACTGCTCCAATGCTCCGAAGACGTGAAGTGCATGCAATGCAACGGCACGCGATACGGCTGCAGCTTCGGTCCACCGCGTTGGTGGCGCGACTTCGAGGAGCGGGCTAAAGAGGAGCTGCGAATGCGGCCGACGACCGACGTGATCTTCTCGATGGCATTCCTCGCCAAGTCGGCGCAGGCGGGCTGCGAGAGGTGTGCTGGAAGTATCTTTGAATCTCATGCGTTCCTGGAGAAATTGAAGGAGAATATGGACGCACTACCGTGTACTGTTTGATGGCTTCTCCACGTTTCATTCGGAATTGGTGTATCGTATATGCCGTATAATCATATTTGCGGCCTTGGTGATCATCAACTCGATCGCATTCAGTGCCTGGCTCTGCTATCTCTCCCTAGGTCCGCGAGTCATGGGCAGAGATAAGTAGTCGTGCACGAGTCACGACAGCACAGCACGTTATAGTTCAGGGCTTCCGGATCGCCCACATCCATTCTTGTTCCGCAACACCCATCATGTCCACACCTCAGCTCGCATCATTCAAAGTTCCCGCGGCTGACAATGAGCCTATGGTTTGTGACATCAACTGGTCGTACATGCGCATCCTCAGCGGAACTGATTGTGTCGACGTGTAGAGGAGCTATGCTCCGGGTTCGGAAGAGCGGAGGGCACTCGAGGCCGCCCTGAGCGAGATGCAGCAACAGCTACCTTTCGAGGTGCCTTGCATCGTCAACGGGAAGCCCGTAAGCACACCTTGATCGCAATCTCCTCACAGTTGACTGAACAAGAATCCGATGCAAGGTCAAAACCGGCAAGCTGGCGAAGCAGCCGATGCCCCACAACCATGCAAAGCATCTCTGCACGTACCATGAAGCGGACCCTGCCACCGTCGCTGCTGCCATTGACGGTGCGCTCGCGGCGAAAGCGGAGTGGGAGGCGATGCCGTGGAACGACCGGGCTGCCATCTTCCTCAAGGCTGCTGACCTCATCAGTGGCAAATACCGCTACAAGCTTATGGCGGCAACGATGCTCGGACAGGGGAAGAACGCCTGGCAGGCGGAGATTGATGCGGCGGCAGAGGTACGTGCTATGATGTGGTCTGCTCGTAGTGTCTCTCATCTGTGCTTGCAGCTCTCGGACTTCCTGAGGTTTGGCGTAAAGTTCGCGGAGGAGCTGTACTCGCAGCAGCCGGCGAAGAATGCAAAAGGCTGCTGGAAGTGAGCGATGCTCGCTCGTGTCGCATTGGATGTGACCTGACCTCCCCATCTAGCCGGATAGAATACCGTGCGCTGGAGGGTTTCGTCCTCGCCGTCTCACCATTCAACTTCACTGCCATCGGCGGCAACCTCGCAGGAAGTGGGTATTCTGTATAGCATGCTTTTCGCTTGCCATTGATGTCCTGCCTTTCAGCGCCGGCCCTGGTCGGCAATGTCGTCGTATGGAAACCAGCACCCGCCGCGACCTACTCCAACTACCTCATCCAGCAAGTCTTCCTCGAGGCTGGTATACCTCCGGGCGTGATCCAGTTCGTACCTGGCCCACCCGCAGAGGTCGTTGGGCAGGCCATCGCCCACCGCGAGTTCGCAGGGTTGCACTTCACTGGGAGTACGTTTGTCTTCAAAAGGCTCTGGAAGGATATTGCGATGAACATCGATGTGTATCGCGGATACCCGAGGATCGTTGGCGAGACGGGTATGTTTGGGCGTATCTGCGTTGTGAGATGTTGGTTCTGAGCATGACATACCCAGGTGGCAAGAACTTCCACCTTGTTCACTCCTCAGCGGAGGTGAAGAATGCGGTGACGCAGACTATTCGTGGTGCATTCGAGTATCAAGGTACGTTAAAATCGGAACGATCATACAGAGCACGCTCAAATCATATCGGCATTCAGGACAAAAATGTTCGGCGCTCTCGCGTCTGTACGTTGCCAAGTCCATCTGGGAGGGCGGCTTCAAGGACCAGCTCTTGGGTGGGGTTGCGAGCCTCAAGGTCGGCCCGTGCACCGACTTCACCAATTTCATCGGACCCGTTATGTACGTTGTGTCTTAAATTGCTCTAGTCGGTGACTGATGAATGATGATTTGTGAAGTGGCCGACCCGCATTCGACAAGGTTACGGGCTACATCAAGAAGGCGAAGGAGGCTGGCAGTGAGATCCTCGTTGGCGGCAGTGGTGAGTGTACCGAACACATCTCCTCTGCACGCTTTATGCTTACGTTCTGGTCTGTAGCGGACGACTCCAATGGGTACTTCGTGCAACCTACTGTCATCTTGACAAAGGACCCTCGCTCGGTCACTATGGCGGAGGAGATCTTTGGGCCCGTCCTCACTGTGCGTGACACTCATAGCCGTGCCTATACTTGCCACTCATCGAGGAAATATCATCAGGTGTACGTGTACGAGAATGAAGACTACGAGTCGACATTTGATCTCATCGACACAACCTCACCATATGCGCTGACCGGCTCAATGTAAGCATCCCATACCTCGTGCTACCCTTCCATCCTGACATCACCCACAGCTTCGCGCAGGACCGCAGCGCGCTCCTCAAGGCAACAAACCGGTTGCGCAACGCGGCCGGCAACGTCTACTACAACGAAAAGTGCACCGGCGCCGTCGTTGGCCAGCAACCGTTCGGCGGTGCGCGCGCGAGCGGCACGAACGATAAGGCGGGCAGCATCTCAATCTTCTACCGCTTCGTGTCTGCGAGAAGCATCAAGGAGAATTTCGTGTCACTCGAAGAATACCTTTACCCGTCCAACTTGGTGTGAGGGGAAAATGTATGGCATATCTATAAGGTGTAGCAATAGCAAGGAATGAGAAGTCATTTTCTGTGTATCTTCATCTTCCAAGCCCGATCGCAAGAGATATTTACCTGTGGCAGATAAAAGCCATCAGTCGCTGTTGAGGATCAAGGAGAGCAAAACCCTATCGCCTCCAGCGATGTGAACGTGTACGAGATAGTTCTATATGCGTCTGCAATTGTATGATGGTACATGGTATATGGGTGTGGAGTGGGAGACAAAAGGATACAAGGTCATATACAGTGCGAAGCAAATGATGTGATTGTCTATCTGTGATATCAATGTATGCGACGTGATGCAAAGTCGAGAATAAGCATAGTACGATCAAGGTGCGCTACAGCGACATATATTAGGAAAGTCATAGATGGCTAGGTATTTTGAGGTGACATGCATCGTCATCGCTTCTTTCCGTCGGCTGGCGTGAACGAATTCGACCGCTGAAAGAACAAGCTTCGGAGAGATTTGCGTGAGAAGGGGGATGAAATGTTGGCAGAGTGATGTTGCAGGCTGGAATCGTGCTGTCGACCAGATGGCGAAAGGAGAGATCGTCGCCTACTCGGGATCGTCTCGCTGAATGCAACACGCCGAGAATCGCCCGGACTTCTGTTCTCCGCGGAAGCCGGAGAAGAGGTGGAGTGCTCGCCGGACACGTCTTCAAGCGTCTGCACGAGGAATGAACCACCACCGTGACCGTCCACCAAACCACGACCTGGTAGCGCGGACGGAGCATCGTCCCCTGGCACGTCCGGTGAACTCTGCACACGCCGACGCAGGGATCCTTTCCTCCACCACTGCACGAAGCCATTCTGCGGTTCGGCTTCCGGCTCCTGGAGAACAGCCTGAGGAGGAACAGGGGAGGTGTGGCCGGACGATGAGGACGGGGACGCTGGGCGGGAGTGGAAGAAGTGCTTCACGTTATCGACCATAGAGCGCGTCCGCTTGGGCCTCCAATCCTCAACGCCGACCATCAGCACGTCCGACGGGCGGAGGGTCGCATCCTGATCCACGCTCTCCAGAAGTGGCTCCACGGCATCGACTGGGCTAGGCAGGACGGACTCGGCATTAGAGGAAGCGGTCGACGAGCAATGCGACGCGGAAAAGGGTGAATCCAGCAAAACTGTCGAACCCCGGGCCGTTGGACCATCGTTCTCAACTTCCGACTCTACCTTCGACAGGATAGATGTTCCCGCAGGCACGATCGACGGGAGCGGCTTCCTGCTTTTTCTCGTACTTATTGCCTTGCCCCTCCCAGTAAGAGCGGTCAGCGTCTTTGCGCTGCCCTCTGCGTCAACCTGGTCCGCGAAAGTATCCAAAGACCCCTTGCGTCGACCCCCAGAGCTATCACGTCTCCTCCTCGACGCAAACGCCACCGCCCCACTGATGCTCAGCGCTGAACTGGACCTTGGCATCACCGCTCCCGGCTTCTTCCGTGGCTGAAAAAGGTCTTGTTCGTGCAACATGGCCTGGGACCGTGCAGCCATGCACTCCTCCGAGAAGACATCGTGGAGACCGTGGTCGACCTGCTGGCGTACCTGAGAAGACGGGCGCATAACACGTGTGGAGGAGTCGTGAGTCATTGGGGAGAAGAACGCCTTCACGGATGCAGTAGAGTTACGTCGGTTCAGAGCAGCAAACGATGCTACTTGCATCTGCTCCTGCCTGAGGGCGATACTGTCCAGGATCGGCATAGGTGCTGGCTTTTCGAGGGGACCCTGTTGCGCCGTAGGCGCATCGGAACGTGGATCGTCTCCCTGGCCCTCGAGCTCGGACAATGATTGGATAGTGGGCAAGGGGTTTGTTGTCCACTCCGGCGCACCTTCCTCCGCTGCAGGGGTCGGTAGGAGCTTATCGTCCGCTGGTAAGCTCTCAAGAGGCTCGTTCACCCATTGCGCAGATACCGCCAGGGCGTGTTGGATAGCCGTCAACCAGATGACCTTCTCCATGTGGCACGATGCTGCAAACTGCAGGTGATGACCGTGTCCGTAAAGACTGAAGGAGAACGGCAGGGAGGCTACATCTCAAGATCAGTGGAGCCATTCAGTCATACAACTCGTCAATCGCTCACAATCATCGTCTTCAAGGTCCTCAACGGTAAAACCAGCCAAGGAGAACCAATATCGTGGTTCATAGATCTTACCGCTCTTAGGTATCTTGACCAAAACGAGGTAGCCGCCCATGTACAAGAACGCGCCGAGGTACTTCGCCCGCAACGGGCCGCCACCAGGCGTGCGCAAAGGAGGATGCTGCACGACGTCCAACGCTCCAGCCAGATTACACGCGCCGAGCGACGCAATGAACTCTGGCGTGAGACCCTGCACCTTCGGGCGATACGACGATCCCATGGACGAGAAGGAGTGACTGTGGCCATGTCCATGATGTGACGCCGCCGACACCGGCGGTACAGTGAACACCATGCGCGATGCGATCAGCGCCGACCGGACTATATGCGTCCTAATCTCACTCGCTTGGTTGACCAGCCTGACGACCAGGCGCATCGCCTCACTCGCGCGCTCCACAATATCCGAGCCCATCTCAATTCGCTCGCCCAACTCGACATGCGCTGACGGGCGTGTGCCCGTATCGATCGCACTCTGTGCCCGTGGCCGTTTGATCTTCAGCTGATCGAGCAGCAGAGGGTACTTGCAGATTCGCTGGACGGGCTTGATGAGGTAATCGAGGAACTTCAAGCGGGTGGCTTGCGACTGCGAGGACTTGCGCGAGTGTCCGTGCGCGGAGCTGGAAGAGCCCTCGCGTACACGCTCTCGACTGCTGGGGTCTGAACGCGTGTGAGTCATGGGAGGAATAGCATCCGCACGAGGAGGAGACGACAAGAAGGAAAGCGAAGTGGTGGAATGTCTCCGCTTCTTGCGAGCAGGATCGGCGAGCGGCGGAGACATAGGCACGGTCATTGTCGCTGATGTAGGAAGACCGTTCCCTGATGGAGCAGAGCGGTCATCGGAGGAGCCGAAGACAGCGCTGAGCTCGATATCGGCGACAAGGAGTGAACAGCGCTGCTCGTATGCGTCCCACTCGCCTGGATAGCACTCCTGGAAGTTCCGAATCAAGTTCGCGACCTCGTTGTGTCCTGGACAGAACGTCTCGTAGATACTGAACGACGGTGCCTGCGAGATGTCACCGACAAATGTTTAACAACGCGCATATACCCAGCTCAGCAGCGATGTACGCACCTGGCTGACGAACTTCTCCGCCACGACTGCCACGACCTCATCAACACCCTCCACGGTCAATCCGTCCAGCCCACCCATACGCGCCTTCTCCTGATCATCGAGGACGAACGCCTGCCCTAGGCCATACACACCAACGGCATCCTGGAGCTCGCGCACGAACGCATCATGAAATCGCAACAATTCCTTTGCGTTCCTGCACACCGTGCGCACGTCCTTGTCCGCCAAGATATTCCGGCGCGCGTGCTTGCCTTTTGACGCCGATGAATGCGAGTGAGGCGCTGGAGTGGGCGCGTCCTCCTTGGAACTCCATCGCAGCTGCTGTGCATCCTGCAGTGGTGAGACCACACTTGCGTCCACCTCTTGCAGCACGTCAGCGCCGGCATCCTCATCAGAACCTTCCTTCGTCCCGTCTTTCCCTGAGCGTCCCTTATCCTTCTCCTTGCGCTTTCCTCCATCCTTCTCCTTTGTCTTGTCCTTGATCCTCTCCTTGCTCTTCTGCCGCTTATGCTCCTTCTTCACCTCCTTCTCACCCTCCACCGGCGGCCCATGACCCGAGTCCGATCCAAGCCTTCCCTGCACCTGCGAGCCACCAGACACAGAAGTCGTAGCCGAAGCAGAGGGATGCAGAAACGACGAGCGAGAAGACGGAAGGCTCCTCGCAAGGCCGAGTGCAGGGAGCGAGAGCGCAGATGAGTTCGACGACGCTGCCAGCGTCGGGAGCTGCTCAAGATAGACCTGTGCGCGGCGATCAGAACTCAAGAACGCCGTCATGGCCACCGCTAAGGCGCCAGGAAGAGGGCAGAGGTACGCACTGTCACGAGCACGCGCAGGTCCATGAGGTACCCGGCCTCGGTCGCGAGGAGCTCCATCAGCGCGTGATACCGCCGCGTCGCCGCGTGCAGCCGCTCGAGGTCCGCCTCCGTGCGTGCCACCGCCGCCTTGCAGAGCTCCTCGTCCACCCTATCCACCTCCATCGCGATGCGCGCCTCGCGTGGACTCGCATCCATCTGTGAATGCGCGCTGCCTGGACGTCCGCGCTCGATGCTGTGTCCCTTTTCACTCGGATGCACAGTCCGAGGGAGCGAATACCGCTTGCTTTGCCGTTCTTCTCTCCCCCGCGCTGCCTCGCCGTCTTCTGCGTCGCTCACATCCTCTTCCGCGTGCAGATGGAACAGTTTTCTCGAGCTGGCCCGCGTCGAGCTTGCTATCGAGCCTTCCCTTGTACCAGCTACTGCAACAACCGACGAGTGCAATGGGCTTGCGGCCCTTTCCAGCAACCTTGAGTATTCGTGCAGGGGTGACGATGCCCCCGAGCCCGTCATGGGCGACTGCAGCTGCGGCTTTGATAGATTCAGCGGGAGAGACATTCTTCGTCGCCGGTCTCGCATATATGCACGGCCGCTTTGCTGCTGGTGCCGTCCGCAGGAGGACATCGTGGAGAGAGAAACGGACGAGGGTAGGGGTGGGACTGCAGCGCTCGGGCTGCATGGAGCAGGTGGGACAGCCACAGATGCAGGGCGAGCGCTCCTGCTCCTGCTCCTACTCTTGCTTCTCGCGCGCGGAGGTGAGATGGACAGCTTCGACGGGGGCGTCGGCGGGGTAGAAGTCCACGTAGGTCTCTCTGGCACATCTCCCTCCTCGCACCCATGACTGCTCTCCGAGGAGGCAACTGCGTGGTCTCCGCGTGTCAAGTAATCCGTTAGCCCTGTCGCTGCGACCGCCAACGACCCGGGCTCGCGCGCCTCTTGTGATGTGCTAACTCCGGGCGTCACTGTGGGAGATGCCATGATCGGCGTGAGCGGGACGAAGGCGAGCGGCAGTGCACCGCGGGGCGCGCGGACCGTGCCTGTGGCGGTCGCGGTGGACATGCTAATGCTCGGGCATGCAAAGGGAACATGGAGTGAATTTGAGCTTGGGCTGGTTGAGACTGTGCCTGGGTGTGCCTCGCCGAGAAGACTGAGCGCGGAAGCGGTGCGACGACGCGATACACTGCGGGTGGGGGACGAAGGAGGAGACGAAAGCGTGAAAAGGGAGTTGATAGCATCGGGCTTGCTGGTGCGGCGTACGAGGAGGGATGATGGAGCGGCGCTGGAGTTTGCTCGACGGCGGGAAGGTGATGGCGGTATTGATAGCGGCATGCAGGAAGGGAAGGGCGAGACCACCTCCATCACAGTGGCTTGCGGTGAAGGAGATGAGGCTCAGGACACGTTGCAGCAGGAGGAGGAGAGGCGTTGGCAGTGAGAGAAAGAATCCAAGGAAGAAATGAAGAGGATCAGCAGCTAGGAAGGAAAACTGGCTGCTTCGGGACGGAGATGGGGTCAGGGCTGGGAGTTTGGGTGCTATAAACAACGTCGGTGGAGTATCCGCGGTGCGGGGATGTGGGGAGAAGGGAAAATGGTCTTGAGGAGGCGTGCAAGGGGTTGCTGCGGTCCTGTTCGGCGCAGAGATGGGTGAGAACTCGCGCCGCTGAAGGAAAGGAGAATGGAAGACAGAGCGTCGCTGAGGGCGTCAGTGGAGAAAGGCGGCGAGGGGGCCAGAGGGGGTATGTCAGCCCAGGCTGGCGGCCCGAAATCAGTCGCGCAGTGTGAATGATGGGGCTGGCCTGTGGAAGGCGGGCGTGCAGCAACGGCAGAATGATAGGATGCGAGATAGAGCACTTGGAGCGAAGAAGGTACCGGGTGTTGGTCCGAATGGTTCACTGTTGTCGCTGACGTTGGGGGTATCCGCGGTTGCAGTCCTGGAGCAAGCCCCTCTGACGGGTATTCTATTAGCTAGGGGATAGAGACAGGAGCACGGACAGGAACGACCGCATGCTAGTCACGAATTCGGAGAGATATTATAACGAGTGCACGCATCTCGCTCAGCCGGGCGCGGTTGCGTAACACGTTCCTAACAGCGCGTTGCTAGCGTCTTTTCCGCTCCCCGGCGCGGCGGCCAATCGCGTGCGCTGCGTGCCGTCGCATCCTCCTCTGCTCCGCCTCGTGCGCCCTATCTGCCTCACCGTCGCCGGACAAGTTCTGCCACAACTCGGCAGAACGGTGACAACCTGTCGCCGCCTCTGACGGTATGCTCCCGCTCCAATAGCCGCCCGCCCTGTCCAAATTCGGCATCTGAAGAAGCTATTGCCCTCTTCACACTACCACCCACCTGAATCCTACATATGGCAACTCCTATCCGGCAACTCCCCGTCTTCCTCTGCATACAGAGTCCGCACACTTTCACTCCAGTCTCTTTCTCTTTCTCCTCCCTTCACGTCTGCGCTATGCGAACCGTGCCGCTGCTGCTGCTCCCAGCGGGCGCCATTTAGCCGAGATAAGCGCGACAAAGTTCGGATGACAAGCGTCGGATACGCCCAGTACGTATATAACACTCCTCGTCGTCCGGTGGCCTCCCCTTTCCTCCTACAAGGCGCTTTCATTGCGACATCTCTGCTCCCTAACCGGCATCATGATATCACTGCGCGTCATCGTACGCCAGTTCTTGCTGAGCTTCTTCGCGCGAGCCTCGAGCGCTCTCCGGGTCCTCGGACCCAACCACATCTCGCATTTTCGCCACCTGCCTCGAGGCTCCCCCTCCTCACGCTAGCGGGAAGCAAGCACATCATCAGCGCACTCCGATGGTAATGGTAAGCACCGGCGGTGTGGTCGCTGATACGCGGGTTACTCCTTGACAGTACAGGCACTCAAACGCAATTGGCACGATAATGCGGCGATGGCTTCCACTTCATTCCGCGCTCTATCGCAGATATGTACGACACCGCATTGCAGTCCCGCCCGGCGCAGCATCCTCCCGGACGACCGCGAAGCCCATTGCGCAGAAGCACACTGGTGCAACGTGCCTGATGGTTCTTCGCCTGTGCGTTAATCCTCCTGGCTAATTCTTTTCTATGGTCCCTTCTGCATCGCCTTCTCCTGCTTCGATCGTGATGGACACCCGATGTCGGATCGATAAAATTTCCTGCTTTTGGAGGCTGCTTAGCGCAATTCGACCCGCGCTATGCGACATGCGATGCGAACTTCAGGTGGTTCTTCACTCTCTGGTTCCTCACTTCACGGTCTGGACTGCGGCATTTCGCCAACTCCACCATCCTACTGCCAAGCGAAGCGAACAATGTGCATTGATACCACAGCACACTCATGGCGTACCGCATCGCACGCTTTTGCTTCAAGCGCCGAGCGGGTTCAGCGTTTCGTTCATTTCTGCAAGGCTTCTGCTGACTACACCAGGCCTTGCTCGGAGCAGCGACATCGGATCGGCCTCTGGTCATCATGAAGCCCGAAATGAACTCAATAAATCAGTAAAAATCCAACATTGGCATCGTTCAATCGTTCGACTACGCGCTTCTTTCTCAATTGCTGTCATTATCAAGCCTGCCCAAACGATGCTGAGCAACCAACCTTCCGCAGGCCACACGAGGTATCATAATCTGTCCACGAACGCACTGAAGTATCGGCCTTCCCACTACCCCGATTCCATATCCAGCATCTACATGTCTGTTCCCAAGAGCTCGAGGACGACTTGCCTTTCTCATGAAGGCATGTTCGTCGTATCATCCTGCCTCGTTACTCGCCGCGTTGCTCGTCTCAATCTAGCGGCACATACTAAAAATCGAACCATGATTGAAGGGGCTACAAGCATGTAGGCCTGATACGAATCCTCCCTGCATGCCTGATACGAACCCTCCCTACATTCCTGATACGAATCCCCCCTACTTGCCTGATACGAACCCTCATTGACAAAGTTTACTGCTCATCCTAGGTCGCCTTTGTACGTCCTCACCAACACTAGTACAAATGACGATCCCAAACCATCGACCTAACACCGCGATCTCCGAATCGACCCGTAGCTCAAACCACACTACGATCACTTGGCTAACGTCGGGCGCGCACGAGCATCCCGAGCTCCTCGGTTCCGGTGAGCACCAAAAACGTCACCCACTAGCTCCCGCAGAGCGTGATATCCGCGTGGTCAAACTCAATCACCGTCAAACTCAGAGGTGCTAGCATTATTGACGAGCAACAAGAACAAGGCACGTTCGTTCGTCGTAGCCGGTGCCTGGACCGATCTTCTTGGCCGCAAACATCGGCGACAGTACTTGCCATCCGAAGATGTCAGCAATTGGGTAAACTAGCATCCCCCCTACCCTTAGTGGCACTCTGCCTACGAATAACATCTTGTACATGGTATCCCGGAAGGATCGGCAGGTACATGCGTGCCATTGCCATTGCTATCTAGAATCATCGCACCTTTATCCAACCCGCGTGCACGTTGATTTTTTCCCTTGGATGAATGCAGATGAGGGAAGGCGCAGGCGCATGTTGTGGAGCAGAGGTGTGAGAAGTGTGAAGGTCGTTTGGAGTCTGAGAAGAAAGTATATTGTATTGAGGAATCGTGTGGTATGAAGCTGGTTGTAAGGTATCACGATGAACAGTGACGGTGTGTCTCCTAGAAGCTTGATTATAGATGTGAAAGAAAGTACAGAGTACGAACCTGGTCATGAGGATACCATCGACTGTATCGTATCGGTCTCACGGCTGCGGTGGCATTTCTACGTGACTGGTTGTAAAAAGCCCAATGTCTTCCGTCGTTCCCTTCCCGTCCAGAAGCCAGAAGCACATCCCATCAAGCCCGGCAGTGACCATCGGCAAACTGGCCAGCTCGTCTTCCCAGCCGAGAGTATCAGTATATGCATTGCTGAGTGTGCGGTGAGCGAGTTGTGCTAGATAACCGCGCTGCTGTCGGGCAGGATAGGCGGTGATCCGGGGGCAGCGCCATGGACCAGCGTAATCACCTCGTCGCCAAACGCCAGCGCATCCACATTCATCACTCTGCATGTTCAGCTAGTACAGATCGAGGCTGTCATCTGCCCGCGGCACGAATATGACGTTCTTCTCTTCCGCTGCTCGGCGCCGCGCCTGCTCCTTGTCGAGAAACTTCGCCAGAGCCTGGATGTTGTCGCCCAAAAAGACTCGGTAGACGCCCTGCTTCGACCTGCTATAGTCCTATATAGATAATGAACATTCAGCAGCGCATACAGCATGCCATCAGACAGCATGGAGGAAGCGTGTGCTTTTGAGTGACATGACGTCTCCGTGATTCGCGAACGTACTCACCCTCGGAGGGCGCTCCGAGAAGCGCTCCACGCCGACGCGCTTCAGTGCCGGTACGCTAGATGCGCTCAGATGCTCGAGCTTGGTCAGCTTCTGGAGCACGACATGTATCGCATCCAGCGATAAGTTCCTGCAGTGCGAGAGATGCAGGCGCTCGAGCGACGGTGCGTGCTCCGCAAGGAAGAGCAACGCGTTATCCGTGAGATGCGAGAGGCCCGCGATCGACAACCGCTGTAGAAGCGGTAAGGTCACAAGCTCCAGCACTGCGAGATCCGTCAGAAGCGGGTTGACTGTGGCGACAAGGCATCAATCAAATTATGCGTAAGAAACTCGGGAGTCCACTTACAGCTTGCGTCCACGGATTTGAGCTTGGTGCATGCGCGCACGATACCCACGATGCCACGGTCCGTGAGCCGATCCACGCGTGCCATTGCGAGCACGGTCAGGCGCGAACCGAGGGTCGCGACGGCCTCGGCGGCGGCGTCGGTGAGCGCCGTGCAGTCAGACAGGTTGATGTCCCGGATGCGCGGCGCGTGCGCGACAATTCCAGCGATTGCGGCGTCTGTTAGCCGCGCACAGTGACTCACGTCGAGCACACGAAGATTTGACAGCTTGTGTGCAGAGGAGAACAGCAGAGGGGGCATGTTCTCCGGCCATGCAGGCTGTTTTATGCTGTTGGAAGAAGGGATGTTGTTGCTTGTGCGGGAGGGGGTCTGCGCGGAGGCAGGTGTCCCGCTTATGGCGATGGAGGAGCGGGATGATGACGGGAAAGCCTTGTCTGTGAGGTAAATGCATCCGGCAAGCTTTAGGCGCTGCAGCTTCATCGAGAATGTCCAGATGTCTCGGATGGACGCCGGGGTGAGCAGAGGTAGATCAGAGAGTTCGAGTTCAAGTAAGTTGACGAGACACCGTGCCAGCGTGGACACTGACGAGTCTGTCAGCATCTTGATCCCGTTCAGCCTGACGACCTCCAGATCTGTCGCGACCGACACTAGCTCCCCAATGGAGAGATCCGTCACCTGTGTACAGCCGGAGAGGTCGAGTTCACGTAGCAGTGGAGCTGTGTGGGCGAGTATGATTACGGTGCGATCGGTGAGGTCGGGTACGCCTGAAAGACTGACGAATTCAAGGTTGGGGCAGTATGGAAGGATGTGGGCGAGATCGTCGTCGATGATTTCGTGGTCTTCGTCAGAGCGCAGCTCGAGCTTCGTGATCTCATAGCAGGAGTCCTCGGTGAGAGGGAGGCGGTTCACGAAGTGCATTGTACACCCTTTGGGCACGGATAGTCAGAAGATGATAGTTAGTGGCCTTGAGCGCATATCTACCTTATGGGCGTATGACGAATTTGTGGGCCGTGGCCGACAATGCGGAACAACCGCATCATATACGGTGGCATGTTCGTCCGTTCCGTCTGGGTTCTATCGGAAGGAACTTTCGATATGATGCATCCGTGCTTCTTACACGTCTATTGATTGCGTAGCCAGGCTATGATGAGCGCACGAGAACGTGCTGGACCGCCCGACGCACCCATAACCCGTAGTCATGAGAACGCTAAGGACCTCCCAGAACTCCAGCTGAGCACAGCGACGCGCGGTCAGGAAGTCTAGGAAGTAAGAGGCCTCTAAATCCTGTTCTGACGATCATGGATGAGCGAAGACAAGGCCGAGAGGCGTGACGGCGGTGGCCACGCGGGCACGCAGCGATCGTTTTGCCATCATCCATGTCTGTTCTCTGCTGCCTATAACGATGAGCAATCTCTCGTCCTCGTCTTCCGTGACGGTCACTCCCTCGAACGTCAACCTCAGCGACCCCTACCCTGGACCGCAGCCTCCGCCAGCGGAAGAAAAGTCTAGTCGCATACCAGTGACGCCTGCTGTCCTGCGCTCAATCTTCGCCTCCTCGAGGACAACTCATGAAGAGCGCTCCCTTTCGCGCGTGGCATTCTTCAGGTAAGGAGTGGTTGGGTGCTCGTTCAAGATCCGGTTTTTGAGTTGTAACAGGTTCACGGGTTTCTTGCTCAGCTGCGTGCTAATAAGTTTGGCTGCTGCTCGTGGTCGCGGGATCACAAAATCAGTGCCGCACCTCTAGGCATGGGCGTTGTGTGGAACTAGCGATGGGGCAGGCACTGCGTTGTTTGGGGGCTCGGATATGCGAAATGTCTGACATTTCTCGCGGTTGCATGTTAGGCAGGGATGTCCTGGGGCCACTTATTACAGCAGTGAGCCACCTTGACTTATAACTCTATATATCTACACTAGCTGCATGGACTTTGTAGCATCGTACGTTCCGTTCCTATGAGAGATATTTCCCGAGAATTTCTTTTCCTCGCAAGTCTGGCAAGGATTGCCTCCGTAGATCTAGCCTTTGAGTCGGTCCTGAAGGTCTGAAGGCGATCGGCTCGGGCTTATGGCAAGTTGGATCACGAAGCTTTATAATTCGCTAGTTTATAGCTCACGCAGTATGCGAATTCACGGCGAGCGAAGGTGATATCTGGATTGTGTTATGAGCATCGGGCAGACTGGAACGTAATTATCCTGTCGTCTTCGTGACCGGGCCACAGCAGCCACAGACGCGTTTGATGCGCGTTATACGCGGACACATTCTTCGCCTTGCTCCTCAACAAATGATCAGACAAGAAATGCTGTAAATTTGTGTGATTGGATGAGGAAGAGTAAATCATGCATACGACTTATGCATGATGCGAATATTTCTGTTCCCAACAGCGGAGTCAAAGCCTCACGGTCGAGATACTCTGTATGTCTACGCATCGACTCGGACCACATGCGGTGATCGTCAAAGCATTCGGGATTGTTTCCGCTGGCGACGAATCATCCAGTCAAGCAAGTTCAGGGAATTTCTGTGCATTAGGGAGACAGCGCAGCAATGCGTAGGAACGGAAAATATGATTGGCCTCGTGTACGCCGCGTATTGCTGGCGGCGTTCTTCCAGCGCCGGCGTGCCTGCATGCATATAATAGTAACTCGCCAACGTTCTCGGCTCTAACCGTCTGCGACCACCATGGTCAGCAAGATGCATCCTCCAGACCTGCCGATGTCTATAGCGGCGGAAAAGACAGCGCCGCGCCCTCGCTCGCACAGACTACTGTATGCGCTGTGCGCCTTAATCGTGACCGTGGCACTCCTCGCGGCCGACGCGTACATTCAAACTGCCAGCAGTGCCGACGCCTCTCGTGTTCATCACGTCCCTTTTAATGCTGCGCAGATCCTAAGCCAGTGTGCTGCTTTGCGACAAACGCCTGGGCCCCCGGAGGGCTTCCTCGAGAGGGATAGTTCAGACAGATTCGAGCCCGGAACCAAACCCACGCTCATCAAAAACGCTGCGATATGGACTGGAGCAAGAAACGGCGCCGAAATCGTGTATGGAGACATATACATTGACAAGGGCGTTGTGAAGCGCATTGGGTATATCCCTGACAGCGTGTACGCGAAAGCCGACGACGTGCAGGTCGTTGACGCGCAGGGCTCATGGGTGACACCTGGCTTAGGTATGTACTATTCGCTCGCTGTTGCAGCTTGTGTTGTCTGACAGTGGATTGACACTTTCAGTCGACCTCCATTCGCATGTTGGGTTGTTCAGTATACCATTTATGAGGGGAGCCTATGACGTTAACTCAGCGCATGGTCCCGTCGTGCCGTGGCTGCGAAGTATCGACGCGTTCGATACTCACGATGAGGCGTTCAAGCTGGCGATAGCAGGAGGAGTGACGTCCGTGCAGGTTCTTCCCGGAAGTGGCAATGCCATTGGTGAGTCTCTCCCGCGAATCCTCAAAGCAAATGTAGACAATATCCCTTCGATTCCAGGTGGACAAGCATTCATGTTCAAATTGCGTAAAACCCTCGACAAATCCCCCTCGTCTATGATTCTTGAACCACCGCACAACCTCGGCATCAACAACAGCGAGCCTGAGTCATCAGAGCCATTGCGCTGGCGACACATGAAGTGCGCTCCAGTCAGCACCATATATCACGTATTGATACTCATGTCTCGTTCAGGCAGGCCTGTGGTGAGAATCTCATACGGTATGGTAACCGCATGGACACCGCCTGGTCCTTCCGTTCCGCATACAATGAGGCACGAAAAATTAAGGTCACTCAGGATATGTTTTGCGCAAAGGCAGAGGCAGGTTTGTGGGATGAAATCAAGGGCCAGGAGTACCCAGAGAACCTTCAGTGGGAGATGTTGGTGGATGTACTGAGGGGTCGCGTCAAGGTCGGTCAAAGCGGTAGGCAGCACAGCTGAGACATAGCCGCTCACTCGTCCGCAGATTTCAAACCATTGTTATGAGGAGGTGGATCTTGATGACATTGTACGGGTGCGTATCGCCGTTCGCCTTGTCTGATTGAAGTCAATGAGTAGCTCATAGACTTGTTCAGCTTACAAACGAGTTTCAATTCCCGATTGCTTCCTTCCACCATGCCTCGGAGGCTTGGCTTGTGCCGGATGTCCTGAAGCGAACGTAAGAACGTTGCATTCTTTCCTTTATCATACTCAGCCTCTATTAGATGGGGAGGAACGCCTGCAGTTTCTGTGTTTGCCACGAGTGCTAGATATAAGCGCGAGGCATACAGATCATCACCATTTGCGGCGCGCGTGCTCGCTGATAACGGCATTCCTGTAGTCATGAAGGTGACTTCCAGTTCGTCAGGCGTTCTGGCGAGAATATTGATGATAGTGTCGTCAGTCTGATCACCCAATACTGAACAGTCGTTATCTCCTCTATGAGGCCCAGCAAGCTCATTACTACGGTGCGGTCTTTGCCACAGTCCTCGTTATTACTCCACTGACTCCGTGCCAGGCCTCTCCCCGAACGTAGCGCTTGCGTCCGTAACCGTCACACCTGCCACTGCCGCAGGAATGGAGCATCGTATCGGGATCTTGCATGAAGGTGCCGATGCCGACGTTGTGCTGTGGGACTCGCATCCTCTCCAGCTTGGTGCCACCCCGCGCAAGGTCTGGATTGACGGGATCTTGCAGGTGGGCTTCGAAGAGGAAAACATCATCATCGGCAAAGACAAGGACACGCCGGAATTCCGTGAGCTTCCCCAGGTCCCCAACTGGGATAAGGAACGCGAAGAAGCGATAAAATGGGAGGGGCTTCCGCCGCTCATGCCCGTGAGGGAAAAAGGACGGGTAGCTTTCCGGAATGTGAGAGAAATTTGGAAGCGCGATGAGGACCATGGCATCAAGCCGTTGACCAACGAGGAGGAGCTGGTCGACGTTGTGGTAGATCGTGGGCAAGTGACATGTGTTGGCAAACACTGCTTGGGCGGCATCAATGCGAAATATGTGATTGATCTGCAAGGGGGCTCCATTTCGCCAAGCTTCATGTCATTTGGCTCGACGCTGGGTGTTGAAGAGATCTCCGCTGAGCCGTCTACGGGTGATGGCGCCTTATACAATCCCCTTCTGAGTGACCTGCCTGAGATCCTGGGTGACCGTGGAGGACTGGTTCGGGCTGCTGATGCGTTGCAGTTCGGGACAAGAAATGCTCTGTGAGTTGCGGTACAACAGGAACCCTGAAATATGAGCTCACTCTGTTTAGGATTGCCCACCGTGCTGGTGTCACCTACGCAACGACACTCCCTGGTTCGACTGGATTTTCTTCAATCATCGCTGGGCTGTCTGTTACATACCGCACTGGCGCGTCACATGCTCTGGAACGCGGAGCCATAGTCAAGGAAGTGACCGCTCTGCACGTCGTAATCGAGCGGTCGGCGCCATTCTCCAGTGGAGGCGCGGTGAGCGTCAGCACGCAGATTGCTACCTTGAGGCGGCTCCTGCAGAATGGAGAGCCGGAGGGCACTGAGACAGGATACTGGTTTAGGCAGGCTGCCAAGGTCGGTGGCTGGTCGCGATGGCTGATATTACAAGGCTGAATGTGCCGAGTAGGGATCTATTCCACTGGTCGTTGAAGTCAGCAGTGCCGACATCATGGCCACGTTGCTGAAGCTTAAGGAGGACATCCATCAGGACCGAGGCTCCGTCATAAAAATGGTGTTCTTCCGCGCAACGGAGGCACACCTCATCGCCAACGAGATCGGTGAGATGACTCTTAGCGCTTTTGTTCAGAATGCTGATTTTTGTATGTAGCCAAGGCCAAAGTGGGTGTAATTCTGGAACCAGCGAGACCATTCCCTCAAACTTGGGATGAACGCCGAATGTAAGCATGCTGGTTGAGAGTCCACTGTGCTTCTGACCATCCGCGATTGCGACAGCTTGGCTGGTCCCCCTCTCACAAACGATACCGCACTGATAACTCTCACGCGGGCGGGGGTGATCGTAGGCGTCGGTGTCCGCGAACCTTGGGAACCTGCCAATACTCGCTTTGACATTGCATGGGTACGGCAGATGTTGAAGTTCATTATTCGCATGCTGACCAACGTCTGTGTTAGGCTGCACTGGAGACGAATGGCCGCATGACTCCACGGCAAGCGCATGCCCTCGCGTCCACGAACCTGGAGGCCATTCTCGGTGTCGATGGCTGGTTGGACGGGGAACTAGTCGCATATACCGGAGGTAGCGCATTGGAATTCACGAGCAAACCTGTCGCAGTAATATCCGCAGGAAGACGCCTTGTCGACGTGTTGTAAGGAATGTCCCACGAGATCGTGTTGTATGCTCTATATACGGGTCTGGACTCGGAATGAGGACCTTCATTTGACATTTTGGAAGACAGACGTTTTTGAATGAACTCGTCAAATTTCAAGCGCAGCCTCACGACTTAATATTCAATCTTATTACAAAGCTTTCAAAATATGGGGAACCAACAAACAAAGGAGCAAAAATTTGTTCCCAGGGGGATTCGAGCCCCCGTCCCCACGGTTTTGTTCCAGCTAATGCTGAAGCCACAACGTGATGATCTGACCACTAATCGATGGGAACCTTGAAATATTTCCCTCCTTGTTATATATAAGCAGATTAATCTTCGCCTATACCAACGTTGAGTCCCACGGTGCACCGCACTTGATCTTTTAGGAATCAAGTTCAATTGTTGCAGCTTGACTCATTCACAAACGGCTGTCATGGCTCCGCAAACAAGGTCACGAACCGTAGTAAATGATGCTCCAGTAGTAGATCAATGTAGGAATCTCTCTGAGGAGCCGTCTGACGCATCTGGGATTGAAGTGAGTCTCCCGGCATGAGAGCCCGGGCTATGATCTGAGAGTTGCTGGCGTCTTAGATCATTCACTGCAATTCTATCATAGGTGCACCTGTCTAAGGCGCTGAAAGGCGCGCGAAACTTGCAAAAGGAAATAGCATCCTTGCGGCGGCGCAATGCTGGGTTGGAGAAGACGCTGGAGAGCATTGAGCAAGCAGAGGATGCATCTGTTCAACCCAAGAGAGGGAAGAAAGGTGGGCCTACTGTGGCCAGATTGCAAGTAGAGGTTGGGAGGCTCAACGAACGCGTGCGGATGCTGCAGAAGGTATGTATACCCTCCATTCATAATCAGAGAAAACACGTCCTCACTCAATGCCTGTAGGAGAAGCAAAGAGATAGGAGGAAGATTGAGAAGGTGCTACCTTTTGTATACTGTCATATATTCTTTGCCCGTCTCATCGTGAATTTGAATAGCTGCGTATCAGGGAGGCGCAAGCAGACGCTACCGAACTCCAAGATGATGCCGAGTTTGAGGTGGGCGATTCCGCCTATCGCATGAGAAAGGTGTGCACACAGTGTATCTCGATCGTCTCGTCCTGTTCTAGTTGCTCATGGAATTGTCCGCAGCTTTTGCGGCATTTCCACGATATCATGGTTTCTAGCTCAATTGAAGAGAACGAAGAATGTCCCATTTGCCTGGAGAAGCTTACAATACAACAGTGCTCAAGGTACAGTTTGCGATTTTTCTGATGATAGTGTATTTACCCGTATATGTTGATAGCCTGGCCTGCGAACATACAATATGCAATGAATGTGTCTCTCGTATTTCAACAGCGTCAGAAGTCGTCACATGTCCGCAGTGTCGAGCACCCTGTCCCCGAAACGAGATTGAGGTTCTTCAATATACCGCCTCTGAACAATGGGATGCGTTGCTCGAAGTCGCAAAGGCATGGGCAAAGATGGATCGTCGCAGAGAGGCAGACACAAGCGAGGAAGAAGCTGAGGAGGAATTCATTGACGATGGGCAACCGGATGATGAAGGGTGAGGTGTTTGTGCGCATGCATCAAAGCATCGCTAACATGCCATCGCTCAGATCAACTACCGCTGATACGAACCCCATTGCGACGTCACCCGAGCCGGATCCAGAGCCAGAGCCTAAGCCTGAAGAGGCTGTTGTGGAGGATGGACTCGAAGGTGCAAACTCCCCTGCGACTCCAAACAAGAAACGACGCATAGCATACTCGCCTGAGTCTTCGCCGTTGTCGGAAGAGTAAGTTCGCTATGCATTGTGCCTCAGAATTCATATACCTGATGCCGTGCAGGAATGATCCTGTACCTGTGCAAGCTCCCCCTCCAGAGACCACCGCGAAGACCACAGAAGGAGAATCCTCGTAAGCCCTGATAACTGTCGGCGGTGCTGGTCGATTTGACATTCTGTAGCTTCGCGCTTTCTTCTGCTCCCGAAGAGATTGCCGGTCCATCACGTCTCGCGACGCCCCCTCCAAGCACGCCACCAAACGACGCATCAATCTCGGAAGCCACTAGTCCTTCTTATGCGCAATCCCCTGTATCGGAGAAGCGCAAGAAACTGGCTGCTCTTGCTGAAGCACGAAAGCGCAAACGACGGATCTAACACACTGTGACGTCGACTCGAACTGCATCCTGGATAGTATTGTAAACGTTACCTGTAACATTAGCAAGTCAGTTGAATCGAACTAGCCATTGTCTTTGTCATCCACAAGAGCTCTGAAGTGTTGTGCGGTCGTCTGACTGTCCAACTACGTGAGCGGGCAAATGTCCCGCCGAGGCAATGCCACTCAGCTCGGCCCTCCTGCCCTCGCCATCTTCTTATCATGCCCTCTCTTCCTGTTATGGTTCGCCCGACTCGCCTTATTCTTGTCCTTCCATGCCCGTTCCCCTGCGGAAGCGCCACCGCCATCGCCTCCGCCGCCAGCTTCACCACCACCGCTACCCCTGCCTCTGCCCCTGCCTCTGCCTCTGCCGCGGCCCCCTCTGCCTCTTGCGCCACCACCGCGGCCGCGACCATCGCCTCGCGGTTGGGAAGGGCCGACAGCTGGCGGGAGAGGTGTGCCAGGTTTATTGCCGCGAAATTCGTGCTTTGCCAGCACCTTGTCCTTGTTAGGCTGACGATGGAGTTAGCGACGTCCACTCCTAAACAGGTGAGGCTAACAAACGACACATACATTCCTCTCAAGCATGATTTTCCAACCCTCGATTTGTTCGTCTGACCAGCCTGCAGAGATGCGTTAGTGAAGAGTGTTATGGCAGATAGAGAAAACGTGAGGGAGAGCATTTACCTGTCTGTGCCCTAAGATCAGCCCGCGCCTTGCTTCTACGCGTCTGCCCATCCCTCTCGAACTGCTTCGGGTCCTGCAAGTACGCCAGCTCCAAGATCGTTTCCGGCTTCCTCGGGGTGCTCTACGACAAAAGCTCATCATCATGCGCATACACGCAGGTCAAACACATACCTCTCCACCGATCCCCTCTGCTCTATCCTCCCCGTCTGTATCAGGCCCTTCCAGTTCGCTCTCGTCGCCATCGCGAACCTTGATCCCGCCCGCGTCCAGCTCGTCGAGCTCTTCTTCATACGCGATGTCCCTTGCCCTTCCCTTGCCTTTTGCTGTACTGTCGTACTCTTCCTCTTCCGACTCGTCCTCCAAGATCTCTTCCGCGCGCCGCAGGATATCTGCTTTCATCTCCTCGATATATGCGCGGTCTTGCAGGAAAGCCGATGCATCCTCGCTGGAAGGGCATCAGATTAACTCACACATAGAGGAATGAAGATGGCAGCGCGCACCTCTTCTTCCCTTTACTGACATTCTTCAACTCCATCTTTTCCTCGTCAAACACATTTTTCCTTTCCTTCGTATATATATACTCCTCCTTTGTCTCCCTTCCTTCTCTCGTGTCCGCTCCGCCCCCGCTCGCCGTGCGCATCGTCTCCTCCACTTCCTGCACCGCCGGCGCCGTATCCTCCAGCAGCGCGCCGATCAAGCGCTCTGCATTTCCGTGGTATGGATAGTCCGCATGTGCCAGCAGGAAACGCACGTAGTCCTGCGGCAGGTCCGGCAGGATGTCGAGCACTTGCGAGACGGCAGCGTCAATTGCGATGTCCTCTTGCAAGCTGATTTTCGCTTCGATCGCCCTACTCTTGCCCTTTACGTCGGTGGACGGTCCGCCGGGAACTCGTCCCCGGCTATTTATTCCAGGAGCTGCACCGGATGATCGCAGAAGGAGTTTTAATGCACCGGGGCCTGCAGCGTGAGCTCCGTTCTGAGCGTCTCCATCCAGCGAACGAAGCGATGATTCCAATTGATCAGCATGCGCATCCTCTGCATGACTGAATACCTCTGAGAGCATGCGCGAGAGATTGTATGCATGCTCGTAATCCGCAAGAAGCGGACGGTTCAGGAAAGGCGTCGGGGTCGTGCTCTGGTTGTCGCCCGTATCCCGAGAGGATGCGGACATCTCGATGAGAGCGAATATCACCTCGAACGCCGGCTCGCGCTGCGCAGCGAGGGCAGGCTCGACGAGTAGTGCAGCAGTGATTTCATCAAGGAGAGCACGCATAAGGACGTGGAAGGTGTCGATGAACGCTACTTTGCTTTCAAGGAAGATCCGCTCCCACTGGTCGAGCGACGCGCCTTGGGAGTCGGCTGAGAGGAGACGGAGACCGCCATAAGACTGGGCGAGGGACGCAAGACCGTTGTCGTAGGCGCGGGCGAGAGCGAGCATGAACGACTTGCTGCGAGCGAAGATGCGGATCACGTCTGTTGGAGCAGGGCGGACGAAGCAAAGAAGGATGTACGATGTCTTACGCAGTCCGTAGAGGCCCTGAGAGGGCGTAGATAGCAGGGCGGTGAACGCGCTCACGGCTTCATCTTGCACTTGCGACAATAACGTCGGGTTGCGAGAGAACGCAGAAGAGAGCAGTCCGCGGAGACGAGAAACGTTGGTGGAAGCATATGCAATGCTTAGATCGAGCAGAGTCTGCAGCTCAAGCGAGTCGGTCTTCGCAAGCCGCTCGGCCAGGCGGAACGCTCGCCGGCGAATGATGCGCTCGACCGGCGAGAGGTTGGAGAATAAAGTGGATCGTCCTGCCTCATGCTCGTCCGCCCAAATGATATGCTGCAGCACAGATTGAACTGTGTCGCTTGCGAACGAAGAGAGAAATACGTGAGTAGTTTTGATGTCGCATTGAGAGTCTGGAAGAGCAAGGGTCTGGGCGAGAGAACGAGAGATGGTGTCGTTCAGAGTTGCTTGCTGGGAGGGAGGGAGCAGTGCGCGAGCCTTGTTGGACGGATAAGGCGGAAGAGGGGGCACTGCGATGGCCATAGCTGCATTGTCAGACGCTCAAGCTCAAAGCGAGACTTTGACTCTTGAACGAATCTCGGATGAGTTATGATCGTCGATCGAGGTCAACCGGCCACGCGCGCGTGATCGCGTCTTCAGGCTAAGTCCTTTTTGATGCGGGAGGCTTGTCAAAAGGGCGAGTTTTTCGAGCTGATACTAATGGGCAGGGTTTCGAGCTGAGACACATTAGTATCAGAGACTGGCTTTTGGGACTTTGTACTCGTGTGTATTATTCAGTCCTAGAATTCCGTTTAGTACAAAATGCTCAGAATCCTTATATATACAGCAAGTCTCGGCATAGAGTGACAGTCACTTATAGGAAAAGGCTATCGTTTCTTACGACACCTACGGATGACACTAGCTCAACTTGATAAAAGACAATCAAGTGCAAAACAGTAGGTTTGAAGTATCGAAGTCCACATCAATGTCATGAAAGAAGGTATCGGCGGCCAAACCATATCATTCGAAGGCACATTGCACGAGAATAATATGCATCATCATGTGATGGCGTGAACCTGATAGACTCGATAGTGGTGAGATCATATAGGAGCCCGTGCTTGCTGTGTCGCAGGGGTGAGTATTTGTATTCGTCTCCAAATGACCGTGCAGGTTGCCTTCAAGAAGATTAGTACGCGATTAGAGCATCAAACGTAAGCGGTTCACCATGAATGCAGGCTGCATTGTGAGAAATCTGCCGTCAGCGTGCTCCTGACGTTCAGCCTGCAGCATGTTCAGCATGGGTTCTTGAGTCGTTGATATATTTTCAAGAGCTTGGTTTTGAGAACGAACAAAGAATTCTGTTTGATGTTCCAGCTGTTCGCGCACGCCATCGATCCGATTCAGTAGCTCGCCGGAAACAACTTCCTGAGCCTCTAGCTTCTGTAAAATACTCCTCAGCTCAGAATCCCGTTGTTCCAATGTTTGAAGGATGGTTTTCAGACGTTTATCCTCATCGATCAGCCTCTGCTGGATGCGGAACAAAACAGTTGCCTGGTTCATTGTAGGACTTCAGTAAGATCCACTCGGAGTGAAGAAATGGCATATGCACATCAAAGGTCCTCCAGGCATAGTCGATTGTGTCCAAGCAGCGATCGAGAATACCTGAGATGCTCTTATGTCGAAGGAACTTCCTTGTTCGTGTGTGCTTTTGGAGCTGCAGTATTTCATCATACGTCTTTTGCAAGGTACTGTCAGTATGCAGTAAGCGGTATGATCGTCCTCCCTATGATAAGTTTCTCCACTTGCCATAGCATATTCTTCAGTTCCTCATTGAAATCTTCGTTCTCGAGCCCTGAGTATCCCGAAATGCGGGACATATGCTCGATGAACGCCAACAGCCGTTCGAGCAACCGTTCGACGCGATCCTCGTTGCTCCGAACAACCTGAGGTAGTACGTTAACACAGTATTCGACCAGACCAGACATCCACTCACCTGGACTGTTCTGACCACAGCATTCGCAACCGACAATATGGGGACGATGGGAAAGGCTACACTGGAGGCGGACATAGTCTCTTGCAAACAACTCAGTGCAAACTGGAGAAAAGCAAGTGCATCGGTTAGTTTGTCGTTAGCGTTGGTCATCTGCGACGATAGTGTCAAGTTCATTCGAGGACCACATGAAAGCCTGTCGAGATCACTATATATATGGTCGAGGGATGCCTTTGCGGCAGTGCATTATGGCCAAAGAATTCGAATCCATTATTGAGATGCTCTCCGGTAGGCGCAATGTTGGAGTTCACTCTCGATGGATATCCAGCTGCACTAGGAAAGCCAATTCGGCTGCGCAATACCGCATTCGTTCCACAGAGGGAGTTAGGGCTATTAGGATTCTCGCCGTCAATGTCATTGCTCGCTCGTTCGATGGCCAGCCCTGTGTCAGAATGTTCGAGACGCGACTCAGACTTAGCTTCTCCCGCGGGCAGGCGAGACAATTCCTTTAGCGTTCCGGGAAAAACTACCCCGGGGGTTTTGTACACGTTTTAAACTGTAGGCGCCGCATAGGCGACAGTTTTGTACATTTTTTTGCATGTTTTAAACTAGTTTTGAACATCATTACATAATATATCATTACATAATGTATCATTACATTCGGAGGCCTGCACAACTGACGAAAAGTATGGTAAACGAACTTTTTGATGCCTTTCTTACTTACTATACTAGAGGTACAGATCGACACTTAGTACGCGCGGCGCGCATCGACTTCGGACTTAGCCGGCCGTGCGCCACCGCTTAGTAGCAGACTCTTGAGGAGTTCACGTTCGCACTCATATCGCGCCCGTGAACTCCAGGTACATTCTATATATCTTGTAGTATATTTGGTACTCACCAATATATATGTTCGCACTCATATCGTGCCCATGAACTCCAGCGCACATCCGCTTATTGCTTGTCGCCTCGTCCCCTTCGTCCATAAGCGACCTCATCTGTTGTTAACAACACGCTGGATACTGCTAGCGAGAGGAGGGATAATCTTGGATCCCAATCGCGAGGTTGTACTTGGCTTTGCAAGAAGAGGTCTGTCAGATAGAAAGTCACACAGTTTGAGGTATGGCAAACCTGCATGGAAATTTGCCTCCAGTGCATCCATCGTCAAGTCTGCACCCTCAGCCACATCCTCATCTGAGTCGACCTCATCAGTCCAAGCATTGGCTGTATATTTTAGGGGCTGCCGCACTCAGTGTTGGAAGCCATGACTGCACAGTGTTGATGGCTCATTTATGTCTCACCATCCAAGAATTGGAATCTCTATACCATATTTGAGCGATCTCGGGCCAAAAGTGTCCGCTCGCTCGCAGCCACCTCTGATAAGCACTTGGATGGGAGTTTTAATACACCGTTTTTTTGGGGTCGAGTTTTGAACACGTTTAATACATAGTTTAAAACATGTATAAAACCCTTGTTGTACAAAACTACCTAGTTTTCTCCGGAACAGTAAATTCCTTCAACCTCCGCGGGCTCCAGATATCTTGTCTGACCGCAGACTCCGCGGTGCTGCCCAGCACGCGTCCCGAGACATACAAGATATCCTAAGTAGAATCAGGGACTGGACTTTCAGAAGCTTGGAGTTAGTCGGAAATATGACAGGCACATCGGATATCCATACGGAACTTGATATGAAATTCTAAACGTTGACTTGAGGTACCCAGGCCTTGTGATCTCTTAAAGATCCCTCTTTCCTACGTTGCAGGGCCCGTAACTTGGTATGTAATCGTCAGCAGTCGCGACCAGCCGCCATTATGTTGAGTTTCAATCTGAGTCTTGATCATTTTCTCACATGGTAAATGATCGGATGAGCGAACAGCGCTTTCCCTTTTGAAAACTCTACTGTCTCAAAGGTCCTCATAGGCATTTTGGTCGGCAAACGGGAGTTCAAATGTTCAACGTTCAACGTTCAACGTTGACCCACCGGGGATTGTCTGCCTTCACGGTCAGATCCGAAGCCTGGCGACGGCTTATCTAAAGGACTACATTGTAGCCTTCTGGTCTTCCCGTGGGCAGACGAGACAATTCCTTAATCGTCCGCAGGTTCTCCGGATATCTAGCCTATGAGTCTCCCGTGGGGCAGACTGGTGAATTTCCGAACGTGCGCAGACTCCGGATATCCTTGTCGGACGTCTGCTTTCAATAGGAGGGTTGTCAGAGGTGAGCCAGATATCAGTCTACTCACGGGTATGCACATCCTCATGGCCAGATGAAGATATCCTGGTCACTCTCTCGTTCAGAGAGTAAGCACCCGCCAGGTGTGAACGCAGGATCTGAGATCTAAACCATAGAATTTGCGATATCTCGCTCCTAATTCTCCGTACTAGCCGTGTTAAGAAGTTGCATTTTCAATGGCTACATTCAAGCGACTGTCACTTTGAACGTTTGGGCTTGAACTCTTACATTGTGTGTAAAGAGTTAAACAAGGGTAACTGCAAGAACGAGGGTTTCCCGGAGTGCGTACAATGTGGTTATACTGTAAATACTGTGGGACTAAGTATCTCACAGGGCGGTCCAGCCGTCCTGATTCCTTATGCGCCGACCATCGCTCGTCGACTCACAGTTCCGGGGATCTCCCGTTCCACTGAAACGCGAAAATGTATCCGCACTGTACAGATTACGCAACCCACCATCGCCATGGAATTCCTCAGACGGGCGGGAAGAGGCTGCCGGATCTCGCTTTGACCACGCAAACAACAAGGCATCTTCCTCCGCGCCTGCCTTCCGGATAGTATCCTGATGATGACTGCGACCACCATCCCCGAAGACCCGGCTAGTACTAGCAGAGTACGGCATATGCCTCACCGGCGTAGCCGCCTCTCGTTCTTCGAATCGAACAGTCTTGGACGAAGATGGCGTACCGCGGAGCCTGCTCTGCGGATATGCGCTAGGTGGATAGTTGCGCGGTCTATCCCAGTCAGCAGGGTTCACTTTGTCTCGGAGGGATGCAAAGCTCGACGCGCGGTTGATGCTCGGTTCGCGCCTCCCCGTCTGTAAGCCCTGCTCGTCTCTTAACCAAGTTGCCAATCTTGAGACTCGCTGTTCCATGTCATTGTCTAGCGAAGTCGTCCAGGACGTCGATATTCCCGACGGCAAAACACCTTGCGGAGCCTCTGCACTAGGCTCTCCCCCGGCTAGGATAGGCGGCAAGCTAGGGCCAAAAGACGTCATCCCACTTTGTCCGAGAGAAGACCATGGATCCCTCGCAGGCCCTTCGAACTCTTCATCAGGAGATACAAAGCTAGCGGTTCCAGAAGCTTTGTGTGGAGAAGAGGATAAGCGCGAACGCCACTGAGAGGAACCACTGTTGTCCTGCCGACTCCGATAGCGCCCACCCATATCCTTCGTAACGTCCCATCTGGTGTTACTAGAGCGACGCATCGTACCTTCGCTCTGAGACGCAGGGGCAGCTGCAAATACTTCTTCCGTAGCATAGCTTCCAATCCGAGATAGCAAGCTGCCGCCGACAGGAGTTAATTGCTCGACGGCCTTCAAGTTGGTACGCTTGACTTGAGATGGTGTGAGTCCGGCGGCAAGCAACGCTGCACTGTTGGCACCGGAAACGCGAGTAGGCGACAGCCTCTGCAGGAGCGGCACATCATTCGCAGCAGTAAGGAGATCAGCAGGTTGTAGCGCAAGTTCCGGAGCGAGCGCTGCCAATCTCGCTCTTGTCGGCCCAACGCTCGACGAGCGCGACGATATTCCGCTGCTAGAGGGCGCACCAGAGAAGTTGTGTCTATCAAATGTCGCTCTGATGTTGCTCCCTACCGCCTGCTCTATCGTATGCAGCTCATTCAGCTTCTGCATAATCTTCGCCATGCCATCCTGATCGTTCGATGAGCGCTGTCTACCCGCCTGATTCTGCGGCCTCATAGCTGCAATCAGATCCTCGACATGCTCCTGTCCGGTGCTGTATGTGGCCCAGTCTGGAGTTGACGTACGACCGCGCTCTGGACTGACGTTGTTGCTGCTCATGCCTTGTTGTCGTCCTCTGCGTCCTTTGCCCTTCCCTTTCCCCTTGCGACGCCCGTAGGATGCCGACTCGGGGCGAGATGGTGAGCGGGGCTGAGCCTGATCGTCGTTTGGAGCCAAAGCCCAGTTAGGCCGCTCAGTTGTATGCGTAGGACCTCTCGCTCGTCCACGGCTTTCATCCTCCAGGCGATCTGGCGATGTAGAATGCGAGTTAGTGGAGGCATCACGACCGGTCTTGATGGCATCGCTCTCGTCACTGTGAGTCGTGGACAAGGGGAGCTTAAGGATTTGATCTGCTATCTCAGGGTACTTCATGGCAAGCTGTAGAGCGTTATGTCAATGCCGCATGTCGTGGAAGAACATTATGCCCTGCAAGATCATACTCACATTCGTTGCCTCTGCGTATGTCGACGGGAGCGGTAGACCCAGCGGCTCAATAGTGTGTTCTTCGACCCGAAGAAAAAAATGGTTTTCTGTTGTAGGAAGGACAGGCGTTGGCTCAGAATCCACCTCGCCACCTTGATCACCTGGCATGACAGCTGGTGGCAGGTGAGATATCCGAGAACCATCTTGGCGAGCGGGAAGGACAGGTTCAGGGGGTTTATCGGAGGATTTCACCTCGTCAAGAGAATGAGGATAGGAAGATCCGAAAGAAGCAAGGGAGAGATCGCGCTTATATTGAGGTTGTCCGCTGGGGGTTATGATAGAATGGATGACATCTGGAGCCTGCGCATCCGTCGCGTCTGGGGACGCCTTCGCGCCTTCATAAGAAACGGCGGCCTCGTCACCTCCAGCATTCGCTTGGATTTCTGTTGCAACGTCAACAGAATCCGCAGTATCCGCTTCCGATGGCGACGTAGGACGGGTAGCTGGCACATCGTGAACTAAATGCGCCTTGGTATCCTCCATAGCGAGTGGTACCGTGAACCCGTTGAACGCAGGTTCCTTGACTGACCCATGTCCGATAGTGACAATATCGCTAGCGACACTACTGTTCTCATGGTCTGAGGCTCGAAGTGCCTCGATATGCGCGGAAACATCACTATGAGACTGTTCAACGATCGGATCCAGCTTGACGTAGCCAGCGTTTGGTACACTATCCTGCGGGAGACCGATTTGTGATAGTTCGTCAGGTACGCTGTTCTCGCATGCATCCTCGATCACCTGAGCTGGCTATATGCGCGAAAGTAAGATGTGAGCAGGCCATAGGTTATGAAGCCAGTTGGTGACAACACTCACAGCGCTAGCTATGCCTTTGGGATCCTGTCGAATAACATCTTCATTAATAAACAGTTACAGTGTGCCGAAGACGAGAGGAACCTACGTTCACTTCAGTTACCGCCGACTGATTCTGCATCGCAACGACCCGCGTGCTCCTCTGCAAGACATTCGAGCTCTCCGGACGGTCAGGCGATGATATCCTCGATTGGACCGTCGACGTGCGATCCCGCGACCTCGAGCGTGATGAGGACCGCTTGTGGAACAGAGCTTGCGGCTTCCTGAATACATTGCTCATAGCCTCGGAGATGAAATGAGATGCGGGTGCCATAGTCGCGGCGCAGCGCAGTGTGAAGAGATGGTGGGAGGAGAAGAGAAGAGTGTGGTTCGTTTTGAACTGAAGGGCAAAGAGAACTAATGTTCGTATTCTGACGGGTGGCGGCGTGTGCCGTAGTGGCCGATGTCGATCGGCAGCGACCAGCCGACGTTAGGACGATGCCCGCCCTCTGCCATTGTACGTGTGTCGCCGCATCCTTGTTTAATCGGACATATGAATGGCGAGTGGAGAAAATGCAAAACAGCTGATTCTTGTGTTTTGTGTGTAATCCTGGTCAGCGAGGAATAAGACAATCCGTAGAGCTGCTGTTCTCACAAAATGGTGTCTGGCTTGTTTCATCAGCGATACCACGGAAAAAAAAGAACGATCAGATGTCAAGCAACGTTAGTAGATCCTAGTGAGAAACGCAAGAGACACAGCCAGCACCCGAAGCACAATCCACGTCACCTGCCTTATTGGGTTTCTATCGACTTCGCCCATTCCCGAAGCGCCCGAATCTTTGCACTCCCAAAATCATTCGAACAATTTGCATGTGCACGTTGAGGGGAGTTTGCGCACCCACTCAGTACTCTGTTCGAGAACAGACCCTATACGTTCAGCACGAATTTTTTTATTACTCAACCACATCCGGGAGCAACCCAAGTACCAGAAGCAAATAAATCAAGAGCGGAGCACGCGCGCCTCTCATTAAATGCAATCAGAGAATCAGTCCTTCTCTGATTTGCTAGGCGCAGGACCCTCCTCCGGGCGACGTCCAGTCACTTTGATAAAGCCATCCATGGCATAGTCGCATCCCGAAAGCTTCAGAACCCACCACCGCCTCAGCTATCAATAGCATCGCGCTGAGATCAGAGCACTCACCCATTGACCAAAGTCGCGAACGAAGCTGGGGCACAAGGTCAAGTACGGCACGAAGTTCGCGTAGAACGGCATGAGGATCTCTTGCGAGTGCTGATCATCCAGCGCGGCGATCACCGCCTTGGCCACCGCGACGGGAGGCAAGCTCGGGACGAGGAAACGGTACCACCACGCGGTGGGCAGACGGACCTTGGAGAAGAGCGGCGTGAGGACGTGTCCGGGCATGACGAGCGTCGTCCGGATTCCGGGCGTCTTGTATTTGTGGTCCAGCTCGTAGCGCAGAGACTCATGAAGAGAGATGAGGGCGGCCTTGGAGGCGTTGTAGTCAGCTGTGGGGAGCGAGAGTCAGCTTCAGGGACGTTTTATAATGATGACGCCGCGTACTCATCCGTGCCATACCAACCATGCCTGCGACGGACGACATCGTGACCTGAGACATGCGTGTAAACATTACCGTCGCCGTTACCACATGACGTCTTACAATGTGACCGGTCTTGCGCTCAATCATTCCAGGAAGGAATGCCTTCAGCGTCCAGAAGTGAGCAAGGGTGTTCACGGAGAATGTCCTGATAATTGGAGATTCAGGACGACTACTAATAGTTTGGAAGTACATGTGAGTTTACGTACTGCTGGATGTCCTCGGGAGTGAGATCTAGCAGCAGCTTTCCCTGAACGACGCCTGCGTTGTTGATAAGGATTGTCGGGTGGCCAATCTGCATGAGTTAGATAAAGAACGCAGACGTAGTCTCAATGAATTCAGACTCACGTCCTCAATGATCTTCTTCGAGACAGCCTCTACCTCCTCCCATTTTGAGACGTCGCACTTGTAATAGTTGATGTTGTCTAATCCAGCAACATGTTTAGCTCAGATGCACGCTTTGTCGTTCTCTGAGATAGGCAAGAAACGCACAGTTCTCCGTGACGATAGGGTTGACATCCAACACAACAACAGTAACATTGCGCACAGCACAAGTATTCGCGATGAGTTCTCCCATGCCAGATGCACCTGCGTAAAGTTGTCATGCTCGACGACATCCGCAGTAACAATACTCAGCGCGCGCACCTCCGGTGATGACGACGATCTGCTCTCCCCAGTCCAACGGCGCAGGCGCATATAGTAGGCTGCCCTGATTCCTGTACAGTCGAGAGCACCACTTGAAGAACCCTGATCATCGGCGAGTCAGACGGTTCCTGCCTACCCGCAGTGTCATTACGGACACATCAGGCATGGAACTCACAGAACGCGGACACTGCCATCACGTATATTGCAGAGCTGAGCAACACAGGATGGTACCATGGCATGCCCTGGAAGTAGTAGAACACCGGGATGAAGAACGTGAAAAACGGGCCTGCGCAGCAACTCAGTGGACTGGACCACGGTGACCTCTGAGGCTCACTGACTCAGAATTGTGTGCATGACGACCTTAACAATGAGGTCGATGTCAAAGTTGTCGAAGATTGGCGAGGCATCTCCGGGGGCTTCGCGTGCGTCCATGTCCATCGTGATGCTTCAGCTGTGTGGCCAGAAATGCGCAGCTTTTTGGTGCAACGAGCGGTATGGGAGTGCAGGATCAACCTGCAACGAAGAAAGAAAGAGAACTGGCGAGAGAGATGGAAGAAAGAGAACAAGGTCGAGCTGGCAGATGGTCAACCCTGCCGGCTTGATGAAGGAGGAGAAAGGGCCACGTCCAACAGTCTCACGTCGCGTAGGTGACAGTTATTGGCAGCAGGGCGATGCAAATTCTGATCTTTCAACACGTCCTCTGATGCCCAACAAACATGATGATATTCATTGTTAAACAGTCGGTGCTCTCAGGCTCCGATATTGGAGCTTGTTGGCCAGCTTGAAACTGCACTGCTCGACGCTGTCCGCCGTACATTGGGAGTTTAGCTCATCTCCACGCTGATCGCGATCATTAGCATCAATTGGCGGACACCATTATTACTAGATCCGATCTTTTGCAACTCAAACCGCCACGGTCACATTTTCACCAATAACCCGACGGTAAGAGATTGATCAAGAGCTGTTTCATGTGCTGACCATCTAAATTCATTCCATACACATTTGATTAGAATCCAGGCTGACGGTCTGAGATACCTGGCAAGTTCGCCGCTTGCAACTTGCAAGGAATCGAGCCCAACGCCGCGCATCGACCGCCCCATTGCGCACGGACAACTGAGCTCCCGCGTCCTACCTTTCAGCTTGCGCATCGAAAACCTCAATCTTAAAGGAACACGATCACCAATAATGATGCACTCCTCCAGGCATGGTTCCGAGACCTGCACCATTTCTCCCTTCGAGCCGTCTGTCCCGGTGGAGATCGTCATGCAAATCTTAGAGGCAGCAGCGGCGCTCTCGCATGATGCTGCAGCATCGGTCTCGCTGGTGTCCTCGTGGGCGCGCAAGCTCGCCTTGCCCTATCTCTTCTCCACCATCATCCATCGACAAAAGCCCCTGACACACCTGGATTTGCAGAACTCTGGATGGGCGGCAGTCCCCACTTCGCGCTCTCCTTTGCCTGCTTATCTTGGACGTTACGTGCGCAGTCTCTGGACGGAGAGCATTGGGATAGCCTCGCCCACTAGCGAGATAGATTTCCTCAAACCATGCGTGCACGTCGAACACCTCGCTCTGCCCACGGCAGCCCTCCGCGTAGTATTCATGCTCTGTCAAACGGTCGCCAAGTCCGGTCGGAAGAGCCAGCTGGACGCTCCTCTCCTGTCCTCGCTTCACTCCCTCACCCTCCTCACGCACACACTGCGGTATGAATGGCACTTTCTCAAGGATTTGCGCATCCCGAATGGCACCCTATTCCTGCACAACATCACGCACCTCCGCTTGCTCGACATGCAGATCTCTGCATACGTTCCGCACGAGCTGCTCCCAAACCTCACTCACCTCGCCGTGCCCTACCTCGATCTCGGCGCGAACGTCTCACGTGGTCACGTCCGTCTGCCCGACGGCATCCTGGACCACAAGTCCATGCGGATGATCGTCCTCACCGTCGACGAGCGCAAGTTCCTGCACAACCCGTGGTACCATATCATGCGCTATCCGACGACCATGACCGCACGCGCGGACGATGTCACGTATACTTCTCCTCGGGACGCTTTCCGCGGACTCATGCAGGAGGCACGGGAGAAGGACGAGCGGATATACGTCGTTTTGTCTCCTCAAGGTCAGACCTCCCGCGAAGAGTGGATTGAGGCCGCCAGAGGTGGGATGAGTATATGGGGAAGGGCGGTCCAAGCTAGAAACGACGCTAACTACGGGACGATGCTTCCCGAGATCTATCACCCTACTTAGATATCTGATCCCGAAATCCCATGGAACATTGAAACATTGACCAAATATAGGACATTGCCGGATTGGCGTGCGTTCGTATCGTCGCATTTGATGGACTAAGTTAGTTGTTGTAGCTAGTGGTAGGCTTGCGTTGTATACTGCTTCAGAATCTAGTGTAACAGAACCTCGACTCCATCCGTCTTGTATTGTACTAGTGCCATGTTGCTCGCGATTACCGCATAGAAAGCCAGATACTTGTGATGGTTGCCACGCGAAAGTCTTCGGAAACAAGTTTCATTCACAAAGCGCATGCACAGAGTTGGCCTCGACACGGGAGACATGAAGCCATTTTCATACTCGAGAAGCGCCGCGTGGCCGCGGCTGGGTCCCTTGCTCGAGGCACGCTCATTGGTTGTCACGGGCAACGTGCAGGATTGATTACAGGACGTAGAAATGCACACTTGGGTGGAGTTGGCGCTGCGGCGCCGGTTCCAAATAACAGTACAGCATCGGTAGTGGGATAAACGAGAGGTACGTAAATATAAATATGTTTTCAAGCTATTAGTACAGCTGCTGTAAATGGGATTGGCATAGATGACAAATAGGTAAAGTACAGTACGTGGCGGAAGTGCTCATCGTGGTCGATATAGGTAGTGTAAGGTAGGTACATTAGAGGACATCACACAGCAGACATGACGCGATTTATAAATGTGGAAAATCGTGTGGGAATGTCAGCTGATGTCTTACATTTGTGGCAAAGCTTTGCCAATTTAGCATTTAGACGGCAAATAGTGCACATTCACAGCCAAAGTGAAACATTTTCAACATGAAATGCCATGGTTGCAAATATTTGTTGCATGTGTAAGAAATCAGTCGACATTCACACACAATTTCCCACATTGATAAATCGCATCATGTCTGCCGTGTCATATCGGGCGAGTACGTGAACAGTGCTAGTCTTGCGTGGACGCTGATTCAATCTTTGATTCCATAGATCGCCGGGGGGGGCCAATCAGGGCGGTCGTGCAATTCGAACTGCAACGCGCATCTGACAATCTCCACGTCGTCTGGAGGGAGTGCATTACGTTCATCGAACGTGAGACGGAGGCAGGCACGGTCCTCGAAGGTGCGCTGTTTCCTACGCAGTGGAGCGGGTGGCATCGAGGGGTGGGCTCCCAAGCAGCGGGACTCGGTGCGAATGCGTAACCCCGTATGGCGTATTTCATTATGACGGTATGTTCCAACTTCCAGAATCGTCTCGTATTGTACAATCCCCGGTGCTTGAAGAGGAGGGCTGGGTTTGCGGAAAGGAGATGATTCCAATCGAACCGATGACGAAAACCGTTCACATCGACGTGCCAGTGCAAACACGAAATGGTTGAAAGATCCTGCGCAAGAAGGTTAACCGCCGACAGATTCCGATGACGGCGGCGTATGCGTTCACGGACTACCGTTCTCAAGGACAGACGATCACGTACGTTATCGTGGACATAACCACGCCACCTGGAGGGAGGATGTCACTGTTCAACGTTCAACCTTTACGTCGCTCTCTCACGCAGTTCAGGCCGTGAAACGATACGGATGCTGCGTGACTTCGACGAGATGACATTCTTTCAGCTTATCGATGACATGTTAATGAAGGAGGACGGACGGCAGGAGGACCTGAACGCGAAAACAAAAGGCTGGTGGGAATAGATGGAGAATGGAATGAACGATAACGGTCGAAATTGATGTACGAGTATATCACCAACGGCACATGTCGAATGAGGCACAACGTGCGGAGGGAGGTGAGGCATAAGTCGGGAGATGTTGAGGAACCAGCAGTGCGAAAGATGCAGTTGAAAGAGCGGTAACCGGGCACGTCGTTAGAGACAGCAGGACGTAATAGACGGTAGAATCCGGATGAGACAGCAGGAGGTAAGCGAAGGCGACGTCATCGTAGTCACGTGAACGTTCCCACCCCTGCACGATTTTTGTCCCTGGCCGTGGAGGATGCAGCCTTGCTCTGTCGAGCAAGGGATCATTTGTATTGGTCGCAATTGACGTTCTGAATTTGACATTTTGCACAGAAATGGAATCGTCGCAAATTACCAAAGCTATATTTGAACTGCACAGAAAGTGAGAAAGCTCAAAGTGATGGCATATATTCGGCAACGCTATGTCCCGCATCGCTACTTCATAATATGTAAGATCAAATGAGGCGGCTGCAAATTGAGTACGCAATTTAAATTCATTGTATAACATTTGTCAGATGTTCGACAGATTCTGAGTTAGTGAGTACAAGTACAAAAGACAGATTTCAAAACTAGGTACAATTGACTATATTCCCGTTCAATGATCAACGTTCAACGTTCGCCGACATTGCTTCCCAAGCAATCTCTAGACTTCCTGAGTAGAACCAAATGTCGGAAAGCGAAGTGCAACTCTCACGAAAGAGAGACATCTCTCGGCTTCGATCAATCATAGCATCTTCCCAGAATTGGAGCGAGAGTAAGTTAGGAAACTGTTGCAACCAGCGCGGCACATCATTCTAATAGGTAACGTTGAACGTTGAGCATATATCGGACAAGAGTGTAGGGTGAAACTCACCAGGAGCGTCGAACTAAAAGCGTCTCTGCGGTTATGCCCCGATGCCTGTTCAAGAATCAGGCATTTCACCTGAGAGAAGTCGACGCCTATGCCCAGGGTTCGGAAGCTATATTCTCCAAAGAGAGAAGCATCGGTCTCAGACGCAAGCGAAGAAGGGATAGTGCAGTTCAGGCACCACAGCTCGTGGCATGCTGCACTGCACGCTAGCACTTTGGAGAGATGGCACATGAACTCCGCAGGATGAATCTGATACGTGGACATAAACCCACCACTTTAAGTCTTATGGATTTCATTCCAAACTGATGACCACACTGCATGCTCGAGATAATCAGCCGTGGCGCAGGCTCAAATCCAATCCACTGACCTGGGTCGCTATTACCAGAGGATGCAAAAGCCCCGGAACTGCCCGATGCATCCGTGCTATCGGAAAGTGTGCGAGCTTTCTTTGCTTCTGCGAGACTCAAGCGGAGCCTTTCCGTCAACTTCTTCACCATGAGCTGTTCAACTTTCTCGTTCGCCTCCTGGGACAATCCTTTTGGCCTTACCCAACCTGGATAGATCTTTCCGTGTGACCCCTTGAGCTCCCACCGTACTTCTTTTGGTACGGCTTGACGATACGCCTCAAAGAAGAGGTAACACGGATAACAAGACAGCTTGGAGACGCCGATGTAGGGATGTGGCGGGAGATCAGTGGATGTTGTTGTGTGATATACAAGCAGGGTGCATTCACAGTGAGGGATCTGGCGAGAGAGGTCCACGACTTGCGATGTTTTGGAGTATGACTCGCCTAACTGGGCTAGGAGAGGCTCTCGCGACATGAATGGACGTGTTTCTTGTTCCTCTGGCTTTGATTCCTCCGCTTCCTCATGCGCCGTCTCGGATTCACTTAGACTTTCATTGAAAGAGCCGATGTCTTCTTCCGAAAATAAAAAAGGACGGGAAAGGGCAGCGTAGGGTTGCACTAGTACCACATCAAGTTCTGCATGGAACATAACCTTTCTGCGAGGAGATGTCGCAGCACGTAAAAGAGTGTGAATATGGGTGTGGAGAGAGTAGACTTTCTCCATGAAGCGTCGAAAGTCGAGTATTTTTGAATTTGACGTCACATTTCTCTCTGGCAGTGTAGTCAGCCTATCTATTACTTAATCAGTCGCCGCGGTACTCACCTTGCTGCCGATGCTCAAAAATAGCTTGCCAATTTACCATAAGAAGCCCATTCTCCCCCGTCGCTCGTGCCCAGTCACGTCGCACGTCTGCAAGAACGTCGACTATCTTAGGCGCGGCCTCGGACGCAGGCAAAGCGATAAGTTCGTATATTCGTTGCATGCAAGCCAACAGCCCGCGCAAAATGGTTGCGTCGCGCAATGGAGTGTCCGAGTCGGGTAATCGGGCATCCGATGCTATCGCATCGTTCATGGTAGTAATGAACTCCTGCGCTTCTCGTCGGCGCTTCATGACGCGAGCTTTCAGCTTGGGAAAACAAGTAGTGTAGACATGGTAGAGTGTCTGCCTCCACAAGTCCATGAGGTCCGCATCCAACCCCTCGTCGGGAGTTTTCCGAAGAGCTTCGTCGGAGGTCTGAGGTCCATATCGGCTGATCGCCTGCAACTTTGTCCAGATCAACTTGAGATGGTCCACAACGCTCGAATCCACGGCGCCGTTCTGTGCGACGTGGATAGTGATATTGCGGCTGCTCGCCGTCCACGTGACAGCTGAAACTTCTTTCGCGCGCCGCGTTACTACAGCAGCAATAGCATCTGCAATCTGTCGCTCGCGTTTCCCGGCGTTGTCTTTCGGTTCTGGGCTAATGCGACGGAGTTCGGAGGCAGAGACTTCATATGCTGACTGGTTAAAGCTAGCATATAAGTGGAGAATACATAGCAACTCTTCAAGCGTCGGAGCCTGAGCAATCATGTCGAGACGCTCTAGTTCGTCCATGTCTCCCGTGCGAACGTGTCATTACGCAAGTGATCGAGGAACATATACTCGGACCGATTTGCAAGCGTCCTGCGATGACGACATCCCAACGCTGTCAGAGCTGAGTAGTAATCCGAGAAAGCCAAACTCGCCACAGGAGGAAGCAAAGAGTCGAGAGTGCACGGTCGCCCAGTGCCACAACCAAAATACAACAAAAGTAGACCGTAGCACCGAGCAACGGCGGGAACACAGCCTTTCGCTAGTATAAAAGCTGCGGGACCTGCGAGACCACGTCAAATGCAGTCTCTTCAACACTCTTCATCACTTCATCTCGTTGCGTATCGTCACCAGAATTGACAGATCGCCCGAATGCGCTCCGGATGATGCAACAGTATTTACCCTGCACGCTCGCCCTCCGTCATAGGTCAGCTGCAGCTCAGCCGAACGGTCACTCTTACGTGTGTCACGGCAGCATCTATTGGAGGACGCTGTTCTGTCTTCGCCAAGCAAGACGAGGATGGACGGCTCGAACGAGCATCGTGGGGCTCGCCACAGGAGCTCGACTGTGCGCCCTGAAACCACGTGCAGCGTCGTGCGCGCTTGTGGCCCGAGTGGCTGAAGGTGGGGGCAAATCCGGTCTTCCACCGAAAGGCGCATTAGCAACGGTGGAATGTGCCCAGGTTACGTCCGCTCCATCACTTATTTCTAGGCGCTTATTAGGGGCGACTGCTCAGGACGTCATAAAGGAATGGCAGGTCTCTCTGACCTCGCTACGCTGCACAGTATGTCTACAAAGTCTTTTTTCCGCGCCCTACGCGTTGTCGATCTCTTCTTCCGGTCACAGCTCGCTTTGCACGGCCTCGGAGGCGTCATCTATTTCCACCACAGCAATGGCAACAAAAGCAAAGGCGATGATCCACCCCGCGCAGATCCACCCCGTCGAGAAGAGAACGTGAGGGAGCAGGTGAAGAGCGAGGACGCCTACCGCTTCGGCGAGTGCAGATGCGCAGGGTGTGAGGCCCGGCGAGAGGCCACGCGCAGAGCAATTGAGGAGTATCGTGACGTAATACCACGCCGTTTCAACGAGGTGTATGCGCCGCAGCTGGATCCCATATGGGAGCTTTATGAGGAGGAGAGTCGAGTGAGTGCCTACTGCATCGCGTTTGTCAACACCATTCCGACAAGTCTACAGAATCGTAGTCAAGATGACCATCTCGACATGGATTACGATCTGGCGCGTCGTCCTTTCCTCATTTGACATCTTCAGCACCAATTTACAAATTGCTCAGATCGTCGAAGATATCCCGGCCACTCCAGAAAAATGCTACGAACCGGATAGAGAGCAGAATGTAAGAGAGGCAGTCTGAACCCGTGCTAGACGTTATAGACATATGTATTTCACTCGCTTGCAGGAAGTGCTCCTCGGGCTGCAGCGCGACCGACGTAACATCGTTCTCGACTCGACATGCCCAGAAGTGGCGCCCCACATTGTGATTTCACCGCCCGATCTGAACGAGGAATGGGATCTCTACTGGGCCGTCTGGATAAATCGGATGGGGCCACAAGACCCTAAGTATTTGTCACTAGCGCACCCAGATTGCCGACTACTAGCGACTCTTCCGCCCCATGCTGACCGACATAAGGGTAGCTCGGTGGAGACGTTGGTGCAAGAGCCACGGTATGGGGACGATGACGCTACGCTGGATGCAGAACCACAGAGAGTGTTCAGTCGGTCAGCTCTACAACAAAGAGTACGTCCGGCCATATGTATTTCAAAGCATGAATTTACAACGCCAGATTGTTTCCGCATCGCAGGAAACTGAGGTCGTCTACCTGGACAACGTCATCACCGCTGTGCGGCGGCACTGTTACAGGGCATCTGTCAGTCTCACACGCTGGTTTTCATTCCGTCTGCTTATCGTGTTCCTACAGGCACTAGCAGCGAGCGCGGCGGCATCGACGTTCAGAGCGAGATGGGATGCAGCCGACTTTGCAATTCAGGTCGAGAAGCCGTTTATGTGGATCGATCCTGCCGAAGTGAGTTTCTCCATCTCCAAGCCCTAAGCGCCTGCTAAGCAACTCATCACAGACGCTCTTGTCGTTCTTCTTCCAATGCCTCGGTACACTCGTCATCGACTCAACAACGCCATATACGACGCCGCATATAGTCATCCAGGAGCCTTTACCGGAGAACCTATGGGGACTATACCACAACAACACGCCCTCTCCTCAAGACTGCGGGCTCGGCAATCTGCTCACTGTACCCTCCTCATTCGTCGACTATGTAAACCTCGAGCCCAACTCGTTCGAGGAGGATGACTATCCCGCCGACAGCCGGCCATCCTCGAGCGGCATGGAGAGCAACGTCCCCCGCACGCCAGAACACCCTGAGGACTCTGTCGGCGTCGCGGTGCCCGCGCAGTGCGTGGACATTATGCACGCGGACCAGATTTCCTTCTCGACGTCTGCGCTCTGGCAGACTGCAAGCCAGCCTGAGGAGCCTGCGCCGCATGGAGATGACGTCCCAGCGTACGAAGAGGAGGAAGACCAGCTGCCGCCTTTCGATGAGTGGTACCAGAGCATCGCGAGGCGCGCTGCTTGAGCATTGTCTTGATACGTACTATAGAGCTATCGTATACCTGATGCCTTAGATACCAATAGTAACACATGTAGCATAGTGCATGTCAATAATTACTGTACGCTTATGACCTTCCGGACCGTCATTTCACTTAAGAATGCGTTTGATCGCGGGAGAAGTCGTCGACATCATCATCACGTTCGATCTATTAGCTAGTGAGTCAGCATGAAGACTGGTCTGATATCTGATACTGATGGTCCGTCGGTAAGATAAAACCCGGCATTTCATCTTTGGTGCCGGATGCATGTTCCAGCGAACAATGCAGCGGCTGCGTCCAAAAGAGTCGCACGATACATGCTCGGGAAGCTCGGCCTGCGGGCGCAGGTCAGATGACCACTTATCGAGAAATCCCATTTGCCCAAGTTGGAACCTCGGCAGGTTCATGACCCTTCAATTTCAGCTGCGAATCGCTTCGCGAAGTCGTTCACACATCCACAATCACCTTCCGTGGACCTCACAATCAGTGAAGGATCGGATTCAATCAAGATCCGAATGTTGCTTTCGTGGTGAGCTCCCATCCTAAGCAGGCCAGGGTGAATCGAGGCCCGCGGAATATTGACGGAACGAACTGAGAACCATCGAGTGGGCTGGAACCCGTTCTGCGGCATGCTTGCATTCCTAGAAGCCACGCTGTGGACGAGTCCGCGGACATAGTACTGCGATGCCATTGCGGAAGCGTAGTGCTGAGTCAAATGGTTGGCAAGCGAGAGGTACGTGCTGCATCATCGTGTGCACATTGCAGCCGGTGAAGGACTGGATCTGTCAAGCGTAACTTGCGCGCCAATACGTAATACGGTTGACTGGAAGTCGGTGGAGGTCACTCATCTTCCGAGGAGCAAAGCGGGAAGTGAGAGGTGAGCCAAGGCCATCAAGAAGACTCCTGTCGCCATGAAGCGTCGGGAGAATCAGGACCGAGTCACCACGTACGTTACGGTACGTATCGGTTATGACCGTGGCTTGCACGAGTAGAGCATTGCGCCTGCCCTCAAAACGGACGAGTCATTAGATGGCGGCCTAATCTGCACGCGAAGAGCATCTGCTATACGTTCTTGGGAGCCACAACCTTGAACGTTTGAACCCTCTCGATGGTTTGCCAGCGATCGCCACGGGTTCTGGATTCATAGCTGGATTGGATAAGAGGTTACTTCAGCGCACCCGCTGTTCGTGCCTCATCATTCCGTTTGCCTCGCGAGCCTGCTTGAGCGTCCCGCAAGCTCTCGATGAGTTGTTCGCAATCGCGATGGCGCCAGTTGCAGCCGGCGGAACGCCATTGTCGTTCGATTACGTACCATGTCTTGTGCATTTCATTGCCTTTCTCGGCGTGGCGACGATCCCCCACCGCACTGCCGGCCTATCTGGGATATCATTGATGTATCACTGCGTCATGATGAAGAATGCAGATTGCGTGAGAGCCGAGGCCGGGGAAGCAAGGGGGAGGCGGATTGGAAACTTCTGCCGTAAGAAAGATTTATGGGTGACAAAGAGAGTTGCATCATATAGGAATTGTCCGTCGCTGGCGGAGACATGATTAGAGCCAGGCTCTCCAGTCTAGACACCGACGTCGGAAAGGCCGTGATGGATCTGGGAACTGGACGTTACCGAGCCTTTCGTGAGCTCACTCAGCAAGGACCGGTGTACGAACCTGCACGCATGTGCATGCGTGCAAGACGAGCACATTTTCCCGTAACGCGCGCTCTTGGGCACTGTCGGATCTGGAGCGGTGAATTATATGGAGCAATTTGTTTCCGGCCCTATGGAAGATGAAAGCGCTTTTGGCGATAACGCACCAAAAGATTCGCCATCTTCGTGGCACAAAGCAGAAGGCGCAATGGACCAAGACCCTGGAAGAACGAGGAAGAAGGCTGTCGGTACACGGGTCGCACGACCGCCTCGGTACACACGTTGCACCCATGCCGCATCCCACCTGACACAAGGGCGCGGGAGGCTAAGAAGTTGCCGCAAAGTAAAAGTGGAATTAGAGCGACTTCGCATGCGCAGCCGATCCAGATGTTTCACACAGAGCTCACCCTCATTGTAGGATCTGAACCAAGTATTTACATAGCCGTCTATGTTAAAGCGCGAGGTCATGTGCGAAAAGGGAATAGAAGAGCAAGAAGAGACTAGGGTTTGTGGTGAGTATAGAATGGAACTTACGGCACTCCGCATCCGCGAAGCATGCTTGACAGAGAACGGGAAAGTTGTGGTACTAGAATCTTCGGGTCAAAGACAGGCAAAGGGAGTGATTTACTGGGCGGTTATGGAAACGATTAAAAACGAGGGGACACGTACATGAGAGCAGCATGTCGACGTTTCGGTGTTCGGGCAGGCGGGACGTTAGGGCGACTATCATTCACAAAGCTGTAGAGACGCTGAAGGGAACCATGTAGATGTGATGATGGCGTCACAGATCCGTGTGACCACAGAGTATTCACATCAAGAAGACAACAGTGCGACTTCGTCGCAAACAACCCAGCAGAGATTGTGTAACTTATTAGGCCAACGGAGCGAGAGGCGAGGACTAGGAGCGCTTGACAACAGGCAGAAAGAGAATTCATTTCGGGCATGACATTGGCAAAAGAGTCGATCAGGCCGTTATCAGAGTGTAGATCAAAGACTACTGCACCCGAGATTCAGACGTCGCCTGGCGAAGCCGGGTGCCTGACTGGCAAGGTCGGGACGTCGGACTCAGCGTGGATGGCGGACGGAGACAAGGGGCGGAGGCCACAGCGGGCGCAACGATCAGGCGGGCCGGAATGGCACCAACCGAGTCAAAGTTAGTCAATCAACAATTTATTTTACGAAATTGTATTGAAATCTTATAAGGATCTAATCTGCTGCTCTCCGGCCAATTCGTTGATCTCTTCCATCACCTCGGCTGGCCGTGCCCTATTTCACGCCTTCTCGTCAAAAAGACGCTCCCTGCGTCCCTCTTTCCCGTTTCTTCACCACGAGGCCCCAGTCTATCCCCCATACTGTAATCCTCAGGCTGTAATGGCAGAGAATGTCACCATCTCGCTCCTCCCTGTCTCCCTCGCACTCGTTCACCTACCCCGTTCCCGCCTCGAGTCCCTCACGACGCATGTACTGTCCCAGATACTCTTGCCGAATCCTACGTTTCTGAACATTACCTGCAACGAGATTGAACTGAGCCTGTTCGCCGAGCACCATGTACTCAAAGACTTTGAAAAGATAGCGAAAAAGGATGCGCACAAGCTGGCGAAGGCGATGAAGGAAAGCACAGACGAGCAAAGTCGAGCACAGGTGCGCAGGAGACGGCGTAAGCACGTCGTCGAGCATTGGGAACCAGTCGAAGTTTCTTCGGATAGATGGAGCGTGCTGCAGATTGACTCCCATTCGGACCAGCTTGGCGCGTCTACCCTTTGCGTTTCTCCTGCTTCGTGCCTTGCTCAATGTTGTGCGTATCATAGACAATTCCGGAGCTCGAGTGCGAGAGCTCTCTGCGCCATTAGCAGCGGCAGGAATCTCAATCCTGTACCAGTCCTCGTACATGAGTGACTTCATCTTCGTGAGTTTTTGGTTCTCATACTGGTTAATTCTATGCTTGGTTTCTCGCTCTCCAACCCAATTATATCAGGCGTATCGTCGCCTGCGCATTGGAAGCCCCCTAGCCGGAATTTTCTTATCGCCAGGCGGCACGGCTATGTTCTGATGGAAATTGGCCTGCTGAGAACCGAGCAAACACCGTCACCATCAGTGCACCATGCTCCCGCGGACATTCCGCTAACCGCCTTTGCTTACTGAATAGGTAAAATCCGCCCGCCTTTCACAGGTCATGTCCCTGCTTGCATCGGCCGGGTTCAATCTATATTCGTCTGATCCGACGAACTTCACTGCGCAGCTGTCCACCTTCACTTCCCCCCTCCTCTCGCCAACCCCTGATGACAACTCCTCAATCTCTCTACTTGATCTTACCACGGTCGCACAGCGTGTTGATCCCGAGGGCCGCGCCATCTTCACGCGCTCGCGAAGCGGCACAGACTCGACGAGCATCTCGTCGGGGAGTCGCGGGACTCCGCTTCCACCATTGCTCCACATGTCCGGCCGTCTGGACTTCGCGTTTCCCGCTGACCCGACGGTATCGTCACCGATTTCTGTTGCGAGCGAATGCGACGAGATGAAGACACCCGCACCTGCGCCAAAGTCTGTCGTGAGCCGCTCGCAGTCGCACTCGCCATCAGGGTGCGAGGTGAGTCTTCTCGCGCCGGATTTGACGTATGTCGGCCTCGCGGACGAGCATGTGGATATGTGGGGGCTGAAAATCATCAAGCTTGTCGCGTTCCCAAGGCTCATCGTTGGCGGTGACAGGAGTACCGAGAGCCTGAGCTCGGGCTCCTCTTCGGGTGGGACGCGGTTCTTGTCGTCTTCTCCATCTGCCGTGGACTTCGATGCGGCGGTTGCGCCTCCTGTTTTTCCAACGAATCCCCTGGACGAGGTGTCTCTCCGCATCATCACCGCAAGCGACGTCGGCAATACAAGCGGTAGCGACACGACAACACGCGTGGGCCTGGACTCACCGAAAGAAGAATTAGCTGTATATGATAGCGCAGAAGCCACAGTGAGTGAGCTTCGCAGACGCAAAAAGTGGGAGGAAGGCTCGGAGCAGTCGAGCGACGATGAAAATACCTCACCATCGTCTGATGAAGAAGGGGACTCGGAAGCGAAATTCGAGCGCGAGCGCTCATCGTCGGCGTCTAGCTCTGGGAGACCGTCGCTCGCACATTACGACACGCTCGATACGCTTTACACCTTGGACACCGTAATGACTGTGGAAACTGTGCGCCCTGCTCCTGTTTCCGAAAGCATCGAAAGCACTGAAGACGTCGACGCTGCCAAGCGTAGTCGCTCGCCCTCGACGTCCTCGTCATCGAGTTCATCCTCGTCGGCAAGCATATCTCCTCCACCGTTGGTGCCGTTCTTTTCGTTCACACGCACGACGGAGGGCTCGTCACTCACTGCCCCTGTATCGTTACTCGCTGCGCTTTTCCCACCAGACCAGCGACACATGGTGATTTGTAGTGACGAGTTGGACGTTCTTGATTCGCGACAGTCGTCTCCCGCGGTCGATGAAGAAGAAGCCCTTCAGGATGCGGAGGAAGACGATGCGGACAGGGGGCCGCAGGGTCCACTCAAGTGCTTGCAGATCGATCTCAGGAAGTTTGGACTAGGTGAGTTGGTGTCTGTCTTCCGGTTGACTGAGTATCGACTGACTAGCGTGTAGACAAATATGGTCTCGTCAACCGCTTCTCGCGCACCCTAGAAGAGAACGGCATTAACCATATATACAATTCGACTTTCAAAACGGCCAACCTTCTTGTGGATAAGGCTCATGCTACGCGTGCTCAAGCTTTGCTACGCTCTTGCTGAAAACCAAACACAGGCCTCGATATTGCCTTCCTTTCAGAGCCTCGGCGTAATGGCTGTGACATTTCTTGTCTCATCAATCCCCTTTCCATCGCCCCAACTCGGTTTTCGGTACAACAAAACGGCTCTGACGATGCGCCGCGCGTCAGCATGATATGCACTCACGTCTGTTCACGTCCTTCCCGATATACATCTTGGTTATCGTCTGCTAATTCTATCCCCACTGTCCTTGCGCTACCCCTGATATATTCCTACTCTGGCAGTGCCTCCTCAGCCTCACTGATCTTCTGCACACACATATACAATCTTCCACATCTTTATCGCGTTCTGTCACTCTCTTCCTTGCATCACGTACACATGTTCCACTTGTTCTTGGTTGACTCACGATGCTCGCTCATCATTCGCCTTCACGCAAAACGGTCCTGTACATATCGGATACCCGGTCCCTTGCGGCAACGACGTTCATTCACTATTTGCCTTAAGCTATTCTACCTGCTACGACTTCCTCGTATCTACTTTCCTCACGCAATTTGCTCCGGCAAAATACCACTCATCCCTCTATGTGTACCATGTACCTTGCGCGTTGTATTCTTAGTATTTAGTACTGCTTGCCGGTGTATCTGATATCACGGGCTTGTCGCTGGATTCTCTGGTGTGATGAAACCGGAAAACGCTGCGCTGACGAACGTTCGTAAAAACACAAGCCGCGGGGAAATCAGTTCACATATCCGAAGTTGATTGTGGCTGGAGGACGGCTGATGACTGCAGCGGGCGCTTCTTTGCAAGATCTGGTCCAGTCTGTGGCCACAGCTGCAATACATGCGCATTCCGCATACGTCGTCAATGCTCTGGACATCGTCGCAGCCATCCTCGACTCGCTATCCGCCATTCAGTTTCTATAATCATACCGCTCTCGAGCTCGCACGGTACAATGTCGGTGCAAGGAGCGGAACTTTCAAGCTAGCCCGAGCGGACGCAGGACGTAACCTTCACGGTTGGACGGTTTTCTCTGGTCGCCGTCGGCGAATGTTTCGCCGCGGTAAAGATCCGTACTCTGGACTGCTCCGCTCCTCGATCACTGGATGCGCCGTCATGTGTGCTTCGTGCCTCGGCTGGCTCTCCTCCTTGGCCTTAAAACCTGCTTGTGGCTGCCATCACACCCGTCCCAGCAAGATCCAGCAGGACACTCCTGACTTGCAACGATACAGCGAAAGCACTAAGCTCTTACATACTTGACGATGTTCATCTCACCAACGATAAAGCTCCAGTCGGGTGCAGAGATGCCCCTGGTTGGGTTCGGCACCTGGAAGCACGACGGGGACAAGGCCATTGAGGCCGTGTACGAAGGCGTCAAGGAGGGTTACAGACTGTTTGATTGTGCCTGTGGTGAGTGCGGCGCATGTGCATTTTCGAAATGATGTCATTGATATACTGCTGCAGACTATGGCAACGAAAAGGAATGCGGTTTGGGGTTGAAACGCGCTTTGGACGAGGGGATCGTCAAGCGTGAGGAGGTCTGGGTCGCTTCAAAGCTGTGGAACACCTTCCATCACAAGGAACACGTCCGTGCTGCCGTCAAGAAGTCCCTCGCAGAATGGGGCGTAGACTACTTTGATCTCTACTACGTGCACTTCCGTACGTCGCTCCTTCAAGGCGTCGAAGCACACGCTGACGAATGCCTCGCAATAAACAGCGATATCGCTTGCTTATGTCCCCTTTGAGACTAGATACCCACCGGGCTGGTGGGTTGATGGCAAGTCGCAGGTCAAGCTCGACCCTGTTCCGCTCCGCGAGACCTGGGAGGCACTAGAGGCATGCGTCGACGAAGGCCTCATACGTCACCTCGGCATCTCCAACATGACCAGCGCGCTCATCATGGACCTCATGAGCTACGCTCGCATCAAGCCGAGCGTGCTCGAAGTCGGTCAGTCCTCATCCCATCTCTGTTTCTCTGACCTTGCTGACCCCTCGCTTGCAGAGATCCATCCGTACAACCAGCAACCCCGTCTGATCGAGTACGCACACTCGATCGGGCTTGCTGTGACTGCATATTCGTCCTTCGGCCCGATGGGCTTCCGCGAGCTCAAAATGCCCAAGGCTCTTCGCACGCAGCTGCTCTTCACGCATCCCGTCATCACGCGCATCGCCATGCGCCACGGGTGCACGCCCGCACAGGTCATCCTCCGCTGGGCAACGCAGCGCAACATCGCGGTCATCCCGAAGAGCGACACGGCTGCGATGATGGAGGAGAACATGCGCAACGTTGAGACACATCTGCTGGAGGAAGACATGCATTCGATTGCGCAGCTGCATATGGGTTTGCGATTCAACGACCCGATTGATGTGAGTCGTGTGCGCTCTCTTTGTGATGGACGGCGGTCGCTGACGGTGCCTCTTCCAGGATTTCCCTGGATGCTACATTTTCTGTTAATTGCATTACTGGATAGAACGCTGGACTGCATTGCTGTTGAAGAAGATATGGATGCTGTAACTCTATGCCTTTGTATTCTTACTGCAAACTATGTACAGTATGTACAGATATGCTTTATGTATGCATTAGTTGCTGTAGCACCGAAACGTTATTTTGATGAAGGAGCTTACTGAATCATGTCAACGCTGAGCACTGCTCAGATGACCCGAAGGAGCGAACTTTCGCAGTCGCTATACCCACCGGTCGCTTCTTCTTTCCCAGTAGAGTCATTCCACTGCGGCGGGATTCTTCCGGAATTCGTCTTGCGAAGCTCTAACGCACGTTCATGTAAGTGCGCTTTCCAGGAACACCTCTCAATAGCGGCATGACCCCGCTTCTTCGATCCTCTTCTCTGAGGTTTCTCCCCGCACGAATTCAGCAATGGCAACGCGAAGATCTAAGTCGTGTGTATAATCTGCGGCATGAGCGGCACTCCGTAACTTTGACGTACGTGCGATCTGCAGACTTCTTGCGAAGTACAGAATTCGAAAATCGAAGGCAGCTGGTAGGTATGGTCGTGCGACGAAGGTGCTACAATCATCCCTCAGTGGACGAGTCGAAAGCGCGCGAGCAAGTACTCACACGAAACGACTGTGGACTTCCGCAATTCGTGGATGTGCGCATGAGAAAGAACCAAATATCTGGCTTAACGGACGGGCGCCGCTACCTATATGGCTATACGCAAGCGTTGACCAGCAAGGCGCAATTGAATGTTGAGGATTCCGCGCTAGTAGCTTCCAATGACGACTTCTAGGGCCATTTCGCGGCATTTAGGTCGCGAGCTCTTGAATAGAGCAAAGCACGTGTCCGGTGAGATAGATGGAAACGACCTGAGCCGCGCTCCGTGCTTGTGGACGACATGGATGAGCATGATAGATAACGGCGGATCGATGTGTACTTGGTGGTTGAATATGTCACAAACAGCCTACGAGAATAAATGTACACAACACACAAGAGGCAAGTTGACTACCCACGTGTGACCATTCACGCGCACAACGATCGTGGATGTCCAAAGACTGTTTCGGCACGAATATCCACTCGGTCTTGAAACCTAATTCTGACGTACCCAATGTTCCGGAAAGATATCCACGGCCCGGACCACGATCGCATGTTGGCATCCAGAGTACATAGCACCGCCTCCCACAGCCCATGTTTTCCACGGGTGCCTTCCCAAAGCGCGCTGCGCTCGGTATTGTCAGGCAGTCCTGCACGTAGTGGCTGTCGGTAGCGACATAGTTGAACATGGTGCACCGTGAAGTGCGCGCAGCCAATGATGTTGCGTCATTGTCCAGCCCGCGTGCAAGCATGCGCAGGAAGCCCCCCTTGTAGGTGCATATGGGTGAACGCCGGCGGGGGCGACGATACATGTATCGAAGCCCACGGATTGAACAACGGTGTGCCCGCTTGCTGACGAGCGGTACAGTTGAGAGAGAGAGCGCGGGCGAGAAGACGGGCGTGAATAAAACAGGAAATAAATCGTGCTATAAAACGCACCATCCGCGGCTTCATGACTATATTACTGGCGTTGTGACTGGTGACGTTAAAACATTGGAATGACCTAGGCATCTTGACAACGTTTACGTTCTTCAGTTTGTCCTCGTTTTGCAGGATCAAGATGAAGCTCTTCTCCTTCGCCTCCGCTTTGGCGATGCCATCTGAAGGACTGATGAGTGGTACTTATGATGTAAAACGGTGTATGTACATCTTGATAGTGTTCGGCTGCAAGAGATGAAGTAGAGGAAACCGAAGTTGGAAAGGCAGCGTCTGTGGTCGAAACTTTGATGGGATAGTAGCTGATCGTCGATCACTCAATGATTGTCGATTGTCCAGTGGGTAGAGTGCCCGTTCAACCCAACGCGCCATAGCGAACAACGTCCACCTCTCGAATACATTATTCCGGCGACAATCAAAAAAGAAAAAGACAGAAACGTGTCATTCAAGACAAATGGGAAGTCAGGCTGGGTACCGAAGACTGGGTGACAGTCGAGGCCAGACGTTGAGGGTGGCGCTTATCGCTGCCCTGGCAGCTTGCGCCATTCGTGCGCATCGCTAATCATATCGCACACCACCACTTCAAGTATTCGCTCCTGTCGTCGCCGACGACAGCGTACAAAGCAATGAAGGCCGACGTCGAGAAGGCATCCCTTCTGGAGGACGCCCAATCGAGCGAGGAACCTGCAAAGACTCGCCGTACCATCGGACGCAGACTCACGAGGGCGGTCCTCATATTCTATGCCTTCGTCACTGTGTATGTGCTGGCAAAGAGGGTGCTCCTCAAACAACACCCTAGACTGGACATTGAGGCCGATACTCCCGGCTCTTGGGCGTTGAATCTCGCGGTCAATCCTGCGCGTCCGAGGTTGTCTGGAAAGAAAGCAGAAGAACTGTTCCTGTATGTTACCATCCTTCGCATTGAACTCATTGTCAGGCCCTTATCTTCTGTAGGGCGACGCCTGAACCGGCCAGCGCATTCGCTGCGTCCCGTGCTTATGCAACCCACCCTCACCTCGCAGGCTCGTCCGAGGACTTCGAGGATGCCAAAGCAATTCTCCAGCTCTTCCGGTCTCAGTTTCATATCCACGCTCTCCCCGGTGTGCCAGACCCTATCTTCCCCGCGGGGTCTCGCGCCTCCCGTGCCATGACACTCGGTATCAACAAGCATCGCACTCCCTATGCGTGGATCGACGTCTATTACCCCGTCATGAACACACCCATCAGCCACAGCCTAGAGCTGTTGGATGAAGAGGCAGGCAAAGCCGTGTGGACTGCTGAGCTGGAGGAGGACGGCGACCCGCGTGACCCTGAGGCGGCGAAGTACCGCGTTGCGGTCCCAGCATGGCATGGACTGAGTGCGGACGGCGAGGCCGAAGGCGAGCTTGTGTATGTGAACTACGGACGGAAGGAGGATTATGACGAGGTGCTCGCAAAGGGGGGCAACTTCACCGGGAAGATTGTGCTTGCGCGCTATGGCGCGATCTTCCGTGGGCTCAAAGTGCGGGATGCCTATTCCTCCCCTCTTCAAGGCTGACACTCAACGTTTCGCGCAGATTCAACTCGCTCAGACGCATGGTGCGGCTGGCGTGCTGATCTACTCGGATCCGCGCGATGACGGGAGCGTGACGGTCGAGAACGGGTACGCGCCTTACCCCGAGGGGCCCGCGCGCAACCCATCTGCGGTGCAGCGCGGCAGTGTACAATTTATCAGCGCATACCCCGGTGACCCGACGACTCCCGGACGGCCAGCGTACAAGGACGTGGAGCGCGACGAGGGTACGAACATCCCCAAGATTCCGAGCTTGCCGATTGGATGGGGGAACGCGCAGAGATTGCTGGAGGAGCTGGGCGGGACGGACGAGGGAAGAGTGATTAATGGAGAAGCGAGTAAACGGAAGGTAAAGCTGGTTAACCGAGGTGCGTGGTGGATAAAATGGTAAGAGTTGTGTCGCCCGACTCAAGGCTTGGCTAGTGGACAACAAGGTGACACCGATTTGGAACACCATGCTGGCCATCCCAGGCCACATCCGCAATGAAACCGTCCTCCTTGGATGTCATCGTGATGGTAAGCCAGTCAGATAAGTTCCCTTCGTAACGTGCTCATACGTGGCTATAAGCTTGGGTCATGGGAGGCGCTGATCCTGTTTCTGGTACTGTCTCGCTTCATGAGGTCATTCGAGGGTTCGGTGCACTGTACAAGAGCGGCTGGAGACCTCTGAGGAATATCGTGATTGCCAGCTGGGATGCTGAGGAGGTATGGCTTTATTGCCGCAAGTCTTAGAGTCTGATCACTGATTGTGGCTATCAGTATGGCCTCATCGGAAGCACTGAGTGGGCGGAGGACTTCCCCGAGTGGATTTCCGAAAACGTGGTGGCGTATCTCAATGTCGGTGCGTTGCTGCGCCTGACATATCACATTGTCCAGTGACGACTGATCACTCTACGCATATACTCACAGATGTCTCCGTGTCCGGTTCTCGCTGGGGCGCCTCCGCATCGCCCTCACTCGCGCACCTGATACGCCAGTCTGCAAAGGACGTGCCGCACCCAACGATTGCCGGAAAAACGCTCTGGGATGCCAGGGAGGATGCAGGCACATTTGAAGGCGCAGTCGATGAGGAGTTCCTGCAGATTTACAAGGCGGCGCGCGCGTCTGAGACGGGTGTGAGCCCGTTGGGCTCAGGCAGTGACTATACGCCGTTCTTGCAGAGGCTTGGGGTGGGTGCTATGATATCTACTAACTAAGAAATAGAGCTGATAATCGAGTCCGTTTAGGTCGCGAGCATGGACCAGGGCTTCGGTGGCACGCCAACGGATGCACCCTACCACTACCACTCGATCTACGACTCGCAAGCGTGGCAGGAGCGCTACGGGGATCCTGGCTTCCATCGCCATGTGCGTGAATTTGCCTTTCACAGATTGCGTTTGGTTGACTGGGCGTGCAGGTTGCTGTGGCTAAGCATATGGGCTTAACTGCTCTCCGCATCATCGATGCCGTCGTTGTGCCGTTCAACACCACGCAGTATTCGTTGGAGCTTGACAGCTATCTTGATAAGTGCGTATTCACTCCGTGACACCGCGGTGCAGAGTATGCTAATGTTTATCGTCTACAGGGTTGAAAACATTGCCTCTTCGCTCGCTGTCACTCCCGACTTCACGAACTTGCGTAGCTCCATCGCCACCCTGCAATCAGCGAGCAACGCTCTCGATGTAGAGAAGGCCGATGCGGAGAAGAAGTTCAAGGACGCTCTCGACAAGTTGCCCGTCAAGGAGAGTCATTGCTCTGGCAAGATGGACCACCCGCACCTGCCAGACTGGCTCAAGAAGATCCTGCGCAAGATTCATCGCCACAGAAAGGACAACCTGCCCAAGGATATCGAGGACTTCATCAAGGCTGCACAGCGCGTGGAGAAGGTAAATGCGAAGCTGAAGGCGTTCGAGGCAGGGTTCATCTCGGAAGAGGGTATCAACGAGCGAGAATGGTATAAGCACCTGGTCGTGGCACCGGGGAAGTACCTCGGTGCGTTGCGGTGCACAATCTTTGCTCGCTTTTATCGCTGACTATCGTCGTGTTGCAACAGGATACGGAGCTACAACGCTGCCTGCTGTCACCGAGGCACTCACCCTCGAGAAGAACAGCACTCTGGCGGAAATCGAGGCCAAACGAGTGTCGAAGCTTATCGACAACCTCGCACAAACGATTGCAGTGTGATATGATATGTGTTATGTTATTCAGAATTTGGAACACACTAGAGGTACACTGAGGAATTGTCTTGGAAATAGATTCTTGACGAGTTCGAGCGGTGGCATCGTTCGAAAGGTCGTTCTCTGTGAGTGAGGGGTGGGTCCTCAGTCTGAGGTCCGTCCTCGAGTGCGCTGGCCACTGTGATGAATTGCATTTCGTGGCCTTGGGAGGCCGGGCAGTCTGGAGGGATCCCTTCGTCTGGGGCTGCTGGCTGCAGCAATCCTTAGCGCGTGGGTATCAGCGCACAACTTGGAGCGTACCTTGCGGGTGCTCGAGGAGGACGGCGCTGACGCGTCGTTCCAGTTGTAGTCACTCAGTGTCACACGGCCGAGGTCTTTAGATGCCAGACGTTCGCGGATGTGGACCCGGGCGTTCAGAGTGCGCAGGATCCCGAGCGTGTACAGCTTGGCGGTGAGGAGGATGAACAGGAGGTCGAGGTGTCTGGGATCGGTAATCTGAAAGTGTCGATGAGCACTTTGCGTCTGGCCGTGAACGACACACATCTAAATTCCGTTACCTCTCTGCTGCAGTAGAAGATCGCTGCGATGATCATGCATGTGCTGGGAAGGGCGGCCGTCTCCCAGGTGAGCGCGATGATGTTCCTGAGTACCTTGTCGAGGTAGGTGAGGCCCGTTTGGATCTTCCATAGGTACATCGACACTACCTCGGGGCGTTAGCGAGTGAAGGGTCGTCTCGATAGGAGACCTACGAATGCATGTGAAGGAGATCGAGAGACTCAGCGAGCCGAAGACCCATAGCGGGAAAGCCCAGTGACCGACTTTCAACGGCTATATGACGATAATCAGCCTTGAACAGACCTTTGGTTAGTGCGGTCAACCGCTCACGTCCGCGTAGCCAGTAGCGATACTGATAGTCGTTGCTATTCGCACAGCCTAAAGCTAGGCATTGAGTATGCCCGGAGTATTCGCAGTAGCAAGGACACTGACCAGATAGATATTTGCCGTGAAAGTCGCTAGGGCCAGTGATCCGAGCCCAGCGAGTACAAGAAAGCTCCGCTGTGTGGACTACAAATTGGTAAGTCTACGCTTGCTGCTGGTAGTGGCAACGAGCCTGCTACCTTCCAGCACCTTCTTATGAGAAACCCTTCGCACATGGTGCAAATCAGGCCGTTTAACAGGAACTCCGTGCTATGCAGCGGGCCGATGTACTGTATACCCCCAATCAGGATAACCGAGAATTCTTGCACAGGGAAGAGAAGGCAAACCCAATGCAGACGGTCGATGACCTCCATCCAGACCTTGTACGTCTCCAGTACCGTCTGCAGACTTGGCGCTGTTCAGTATAAGCCCGATCGTACGACGCAATCGAGCTGCTTACACAGAAGAGAACACTAGACTTGCGACATACACGCGCAACCGTGCAGAATCATTAGCACAAAGCGAACAGAACTTCGCTCCCTGCGTCACAAATAAGTATTGCATACATCCACGCCGCGTTTCGATCACTCACCTGCGATAAAATCACTCCTTTTCACAAGTGGAAGGTGTTTCAGGTTGCCTTAGAGGTCCGGTCAATGTCTATTAACGTACCTTGCAGGAGATACTGCAGTAAGCCTTCCACCAAAATCGGCCCCTGGGTGGCTGCGTCAGGGGTGCTGATTGGGCTAGTGATGTTCATGCCGCACAGAAGGCGTGATAGCTGGAGCTTGAACGTGAAACAATGTGGGTCTTTTGTCGCTCTATCACGATTTCGGCCATTAGCAGAAGATAAATTTAGTGCGACCATACGTCTGGTCCTGAATGCGTGTGGTTTCTCTCAATTGGCAGTCTCGATCATAATTTATCAGCTTTCGGCACCCAAAGGTACAATCCGTGCCTGCAAGTTGCGCACCAATCGATCCATCCTACGCAACTGTCATCAGATGAGGGATCCTGCCCTATGTATTCGCACCTCGCACAACATCACGCTTGATATTACTGGTACATCCGCGAGACTGTTAAGCCGTGTCCTTTTGATCGATTCGTTATATCTTTCGCAGCAAACAGATGTCTAGTCTGAGCTCTGCTTCTCCAGCACGCGCTGCTTCAGCGTCTCCCAAGCAGCAGGATGCTTCTCCTTCCAGTGCTGCGCGAGCTGCTTGATGGGCGCGTTCACGAATGGCTCAGGGGGTTCTGAAAACGCGCCTGCTTTGTGCCGAGCCCTACGCGCCGAACTCTAATCAGTGTGATTGCCTGCAGAGTAAGACGATCATCAACGTACTCGCACATCCGGCACCAGAGCTTCCCACTGTTTTCCTCTTCCTCGTCCGCGATGAAGACCTGGTCAATGAACTCTTGCAGCCGGTCGCCCGGCAAGTCATCCTCGCCTTCGACCGCATCGCTACGCACTGCAGCACTCATGCCCATGCTTTTCTCAGTCTCCGCACCTCCATCGAGTTCATGATGGCGCGATGCCGTTGCATTGTCACGTTGATGTGTGTCCACATCCATACTTGACGTTTGGACCCCCACCTTCACCTCTGCCTCATCATCGTCAGTCAGATCAATCACCTGCGCATCTTTCGTCCCACGAACGGACTGCACCGGCTGCTGGCCAATCTCCATGGTGTTCATCGCCACGGTGGACGGTACTGTACTGCCACTACTTGGAATCAGTCCGTTTGATGGAGATATTGTACTGGGCCCTGAAATCGCACTCTTCCTTGGGATAAAATGTAATGATTGCCCAAAGAAATTAGGCAGTGCTAAAGATGACCAGACATAGTGAGAAAATGCTGTGACACATCATAGGTAGTACTTATCAGTTATTACCATTTTTTGGCTGTTGAGAAGCCGGGGCCTGCAGTGGCATCATAGGAAAATGCGCAGCCAGCTCCGGCGGTGGTGCACACTGTCTCAAACGTGAATTCTCTGCTCTCAACACTTCGTTCTCCTGTATCCTGTGATGTGCATACTACTTGTAAGCAAAACTGCACAGACAATTGGAGATCTGAACAGTGTACGTACACATGTTGATGCTGTGCTATGAGCTCGTTGTGCCGGACGAGGAGCCTGTTATAATCTGCCTCAATCTCCTGTATCCTCTGCTGCAGCTCATGCATGACATTCCCATCCTGTGCATGTGTGCGAGGTGTCCTGTTCGCTCCGCTGCCACTCTCCACTGGCCTGCCTGCCGCGATGCGCTCGTTCTGCATGGCGACCAACTGGGGGACCAACTGGGCGAGCTTGCTGTTATCGTGGAATAGTCGCGCATTCTCATCGCGCAGTCGGTCGAGCCAGTCGCGCTGTGCACGTAGCTCGATCAGGAGCCCCGGACTATATCCAGTCTCAGTCAAGAAACTGTTAATGGTGTCCGCCAGTATGGATTGCACGGCTTGAGGGACCAAGTCAGGCTCTTGTGCAGCGGTTGTCGAGGGTCCGGGATCACCGACAGTGTTTTCCGCGTCGAAGTTCATTGCAAAACGAATACCGCTGATAAACAAAACGTATTTGGTTGAGTACGAGACCACTCCTGCGGGGAGAAAACACGATAGTAGTCTGCAGGTGAGTTGTGATCTATGGTAGTGATCGGCACCAATGCAGGACTCCTGGTCCTCTTGTCAGCTCCAGGAGGTTCCTTACTTTTCCTTACTGCACCCAACTAAACATGCAGCAGCATTTTTCGGACAATGATGCAATTGATAGAATACCTCTTTACTGGCTGTACAATATTTTCTTTTCCGATGCAATGCGGTCTCAAGAGTCAAAACATGAACACGGTCACGTGGCACGCATGTGGTGAGGGCCCTCAGGCGCCTTTGAAACGAACCGTAAACCGCTGCTCGTTTGACGAAACCAGGAACAGCGGACTCGAGTATCCCTTGAGGGTGTAGCACCAACGACGACATCCGTCCACATTCACTTCTTCCTATCTCGCGCCCAGCCACTACATGTACAACGAAAGTCACAGCAACCAAACGCAGTCCAACAAAGCCTAAGAGAAACATGGTATAGTACAGTGCGCGACTCTCGACCGGTCGTCCAAACATGTTCGTGTATCAATGATCATCCATCATCCATCCACATGACATATCTAAGTCCATTCCGCGTCTTCGTAGATCGATCGTAAAGCGAGTCCGAGTGCGTGAGTCTTTGTAAAAGAGGTATCGCGAAGAGAATAGCATGTAGCTCGGGGGAGCCAATATTTGCCAAAGCGCGAACGGGATAGCGTATATGTTCTTGCTAGACGGTGTGATGGCGAGGCCAGCCTGCAGCGGGTTACTTGCCGTCAGCACTGGCCGAGGAACGAGTTCTTCGGCCATGGCTGGCCATAATCGTCCCTCCATGTCGTCAGATTAGGGTCCGTGTACGCCTCCATGTACCTACACCCAGACCACGTTAGCACTAGTCCATTCCAAACAAACGGCGCACAACTCTAAATTACGCACTGGTTTATATAATTCTCCGTCGGAAAGTCCTTTGGACTGCAACCAATATTCACCGCGTTGCTCGGCTGGTACACCCGTATATAGTCCACACGTAGGTGCACAGGGAATGGGAGTGCCGCCAAATTGACGGCGCCAAAGTTATACGACATGCCCAAATTCATGATGATATACTGCAGCAGCAAGACATCAGCGCAACGCAGAGATGAAACGAGAAGAGCACGCACCATTGGCTCCTGCGAGACCGGCCGCGCGGAGATCTCCACGAGCGGGTCTGCCGCCAGACCCGCCACGTTCAATGTCCACGACACTTTGTCATTCGACACCCACGTAATGTACTGCACGCCCACCGCATCAATACCCAATTCATCCTGGATAAACCACGAGCCACGCACCGCATCGTCAAACCCCGGCACGTACTCGAACCCATATACCGAGAAGCACCCCGTCTCGCCCTCGTAGCACTCCTGGTTCGTCTCAGTGACAACCGACGTCGCCTGCTGTAGCACGCCGCCCGCGTATGTGTTCTGCTGCGAGATCGATGGATTCGCGATCACCTCGTTCTCGCTCGTATTCAGCCATATATACTCATGATTGAACGGCTGCGCAAGCATACATCCACCTCATCAACATCCTACAACCACGCTAGCACAATGTAGGCGCGCACTCACCGCCCACTGCGCCGACTGAGACACCTGCCCCACCGGTGGGCTGCCGATCTGCGCCTCGAACATGTCAATCTCCGGCGCCGCACGTCCGACAAACGTCCCGTCGCTGTGCTTCGGCCCCGGATGGCTCTCCCCGCTGCATGTGCATCGCGAAAGCCGCTGCCCCGGCAAAAACGACAGTACGCCGCCGTCGCTCGGATCGCCACCCTCCGTTGCCGCGACCGGCTTCCCGTCCACGGTCTGGTTCGCTACCGTGCCCACATCGCACGCATCGTACGAGTATGGCCACTATGAGTAAGGGATTTGTATCAGGAAGAAAACTTTAGGAATGAACGGCGAGGGACACTGACCAAGCCTTCTAGACTCGCACCGTACCCCGCGCGCCCCAAGTTTCCCATCGTCCAAATAGCCGGCCACAGCCCGACGATATTATTCGTCCCTGGCAGCGACACATTCGCCTCGACGTACCCTCCCGTGAAACAGAACTTATTCCACGTCGACACCATCCCTGTATGCACTCAGCCTCCTTCGCAGCTCCTTCCATCAACCATCACACTCACCTCCCTGATAATTCAAATTATGGGTCTCCTTCTTGCTCAGCGTAATCACCAGTGCGCCGTCATCCGTCGTGATCGCCAGCGGGCTGTACCACTCCAGGTTATTCGTCTCCCAATAGTGCAGGTCGACCGCCTCCCAGTACGGATCATCGCCCGGCCAGAACGTGCGCCCGGGCACGTTGAATTCGTCCGAGAACACGAGCGTCATTTCGGTCGAGCCGTCGTTCCAGGAGCGGCGCGTATATGCGGACTGCGGCGTGTCCACGTCGATGAGCGCAAAGTTCGCAAAGTTCTGCGAGACCTGTCCCGAGGAATTGATTCCGCCGATGTTGTATGCGCCTAGTGTGGGTATCTTTGCCTGGCGAAAGTAGGTGATGATAGGGTAGCCAGCACTTTGAAAGCACAATATGTTAGCGCCTGTAGGTATTTCATTCAGAAAGATCGAGCGTTGGATAGATTTGCGTGGAGGAGAATCCTGCCACATCGTTTCGCGTTCAAGTTGCCCTGAGAATAAATACCTGATCATCTGAGCCTTTCAAGTGGGGTAGACTTTTGACCGTGTACAAAGCTCACCCCGTCAAAGATGTAACAGATAATTAAAGGCACAGTAAGATTACTTGTTAAGCTCATGCATGACTCCAGTACGCCTTCTTCAACGAGAGAAGCACATGATAGAGGCACAACGCGATCACGTGGCGACCGAAGCACAACGCCGGACAGCGAGAGCGCGTTGCTAGGACAATCGAGGGTGGAGGTACTCTTCCTGTGACGTCACGGACTTAGCGTGGCCATAACGCGTGCAGTCGGTACTCTCAGCAACGCCGCTCAATTTCGATCGCACTTCCCACACAGCAAGCAACACGCAGCACAAAGTTGACGACACTCACAACAACGTCAAAAGCGCAGCCACCAGTACGACAAGCGAGCCGACGTTCACGAGTCCTCTCCACGAGAGGATCGCCCCGTGGCGTTCAATGTAGCTTGGCTTGTCCGAGAGGTCCGGTTCATGCAGGGCGTCGTCCATCTCGTGGACGTCCGGTGAGACGTGGGCATTCCATTGATCTGGGTCGGCAGAGAGAGGAAACTGTGAGAGGAAAGGTGTGAATTGAGCGCACGACGATATGGCCCAAAGGTCGTGATAACGGCGAAGTAACACGGATCATAGCGAGAAGCAAGAATATATAAACTCAGATGACCATGGAATGTATATAACTGGCTCCATGTCCCACGACCCAACATACGGGCAGCAGGCACGTCGAAAGAAGAGAATAGCGATATGTTTTTAGCAGACTAATGGTGCACTCACATCTCGGCCTATCGAAGCCAACGACAACGGTCGACTATGCCCGATATACGGCGAGTCAAGCGCAGAGGAAGATTGGCTGCTTCCAACGCTGGGTAAGCTATGCAGACGGCTCCCCACAGACTTGACGAAGGTCGACGGAGGCACAGTTGTAGAGGAGGACGCTACCGGGCGGTAGGTCCGATCGATGGAGCGGGAGCGGCGGAGGTCAGGGAGGTTCATGGCGGGCGCAGGCGAGCACACTCGAGATCTTAAAGCCAGGGGGACACCACACGCGCAGCGGAAGACGAGAGGGAAGAAAGGGCAAGTGTACCAGAGGCAGAAGAGGGTCGACTCGTCTCAGAAGCCGAAGCGAAAGCTAATCCGAACATGGTGTGAAGAGAAACTGGGGCACGGCGACGGTGTGACCGGACCTTCTCGGCGGGCGGATGCTGTCCACTCGCATCTCTCCCAGGAAGGATGGCGGGAGGTAACAAATCAAAAAAGCCAGGAAGAGCATTTGACGTCAACGGAACTGTCGGAAAACGTAAACTCACTGCGTCCGCCAATCGTTGACGTTGACGACCGAAAGTCTTCCGCTTGAGCTACGCAGGCGAGTTGCCCGCTTGTCGGTGAAGATACGAGGCTACCAGATGCAGCATGGTGGAGTGCGACAAGAGCATGCGTCGCACGAGAAGTGGGAAAACCTGAACGCCTGCCATTTTAAGACAGCGACACTAGCCGGGCGTCTACGTGCAAATCTAGATATGATCGCGTTTCTGACGTCCTGCTGTGTCCATTCAATTTGATCGGACAGAGATCTACAGACTTGGCTTCATAATCGTACCTTTGTACGCCCCAGCCTCACTGAAAGCTGTGTGAATGCAGTGTGTACTGGTTTATGGGCCGGTAACCTGTGAATCAAATTCGACTACTAAGCGACTGGAAGTCTTCTCGCGCGATAAGCTTGCTCTTCACGTCCTTGCTCTACGGCAAAACAGGTAGCCAAGCGACCAAAGCTAAAGCCCTTGATTCCAGCGTCCTAGCTCGATGGATCGGTATGCCGCACAAGTATCAGTACAAGTAATGTTCGTACCATGTACACACAAAGTTCACGCATTCTTCTCCTGCTCAGTGATCAACTGCTCAATCGCCTGCGCCGTGTAATGATCCACCATCTTCTCTCCCATAAGCTCTATCGCCCACTGCATCACCGCATGCGGCATGTACGGCGCGTACCTCCTCAGCCCGCACCCCATCCTGCTCACCATCGCCTTCGCAAAACGCTCCGACGTCGGGCATACGAGCGTCGCGGGCGTGCGCACGCTGTTCGACTGCACCTGCCCCACGGCGAGATACTCGAACTTGACGCCCGACGGCGTGCCCCACACGCGCTCGTCGTTGTCCAGCCCCCGCGCAAGCGCGCGCAGGAAGGACTTGGATGCGGCGTAGAGTGCGAAGCGTGGCGGGGAGATGTCGGCCGCCTGCGAGCCGATGAACTGTACGAGCACGGGGCCCTGCTTCGCGGTGCGTCGTAAATGCGGGAGGAGCGTGCGTGTGAGGAGGAGGGGGAATACAGCGTTGCGCTGGATGATCTGTACAAGGTCGTTTTCGCTGAATGCGTCCATCCTGGGGCGCGTTGTTCACATCAGAGGTCACACGATACATGCCGCTAACACTCACTTCTCATGGTGCCACCCGGATCCACCGACGTTGTGCACGACCAGCGTGATATTAAGGTCCGTATACGGCTCCATCATGCGCGCATAATCGTGCCCCGCATCCGACGCGTCCGCAATGAAGTATAGCACATTCCGCGTTCCGCGCGCCCTAATCTCATCCGCAACCGCGCGCATCTTCGTCTCGTTCCGTCCATGCAAGATCAGATGGAAGCCCTTATCGTACAGTTCTTTCGCGAGCGCCTTGCCGATGCCGTCGCTCGCGCCAGTGACGAGAGCGTACGCGGGCGGGGCGTGGAGGTACTCACGCACGCTCGATGGGCGGAGGAAGTACAGCCAGAGGAAGTTGAGGAAGCGGTAGACCTGTGGGAGGAGCAGCACTACGCCGATGGCGGCGAGGAGATTGGTTATGGAGGCCATCGTCGTCGTGGTTGAGGGTGTTTTGGGACGATGGGAGCGCAGCCTAGGGGCGTAGTTACGACTCCGAACAGCGGCGTCCCGTGTGAATGGTGAATCGAATAGCTTCGCGTGGCGTTCACGTGTGGGTGAGACGGGTAACACCGACGTGGTCACGTTACCGCGTATTTGTGGCGTGGGATGCCGGCCCATGCCCGAGGTCCTGGATCACCGCTGGCTTGCCCCTCCTCGCTCGCACTAAATGACCGACATACCAGACGCACCAGCTACACCGAACCCAAACAATAACAGTTTCGAAGTTGCCGAGGAGCCCCCACAGCCGGCGGTCACCATCCCTCCCACCGACAGGACTGAATTGATCAACAAAGCGCGCGGTTTCCTGCTATCCCCGCAGGTCCGGCACGAGGACATTTCAGCCAAACGCAAATTTCTCGCGGAGAAGGGACTCGACGATGCAGAGATTGACGGATTGCTGCAGGAGCTGGTACGTGCATGCGGGCTATCACAATAGTATGTTCACGGTTGTTGGACACGCAGCCCCCGCAAGTGCCGGTGGTTCCCCCACGGACGTACCCTCAACCCCCACCATCCAATCTTCCGAACCTGCTGATAGGGGTGGCGAGGATCGTGAGCTGGATCGCAGGTGGATCGGTCACGCTTCTCGTGATATACTTTGTGCGTGTCGTCCGAGATGCGAGTCCGCTTGCTGCCGCTGAACGTTGTTGTGGCTTAGCGCTTCCTCTACCCCAGGGTCTCCCAGACCTTCCAGGCTTGCCACTCGTTACGCGTCCACCAGAAGGACCTCCTTAGCAGGTTTACCGAGTCGCTGGAGTCACTGAAGGCGACACAGGAGGAGACGTTTGCTGTGCTACCTCGGCCGGAACCCTGGAGTGATGCGCGATTCGGTCACTGTCAAACGCTTGATGAGCTTGCGAAGGCCACCGAAGATGTGCAGGATGTCCCAGAGGTGACGCTCCTGCGTTGTGCAATTGCAGATGTAGTCTCGGCTGGGAAGAAGCCTACGGCGGAGGAGTTGTTCCTCTCGCTCGAGGCGAAGTTACCATGGCTGAAGGAGGAATCGGCCGCCGAGTATGAGGTATGCACTTCCCTCCTTTCTTCATTTCACCGTCACGCTAACAATCAAACATAGGGAAGGCTTTGGGAGACTCTCTCTACGAATCCACTGTTCCTCCGCGAGGAATCGGAGGGCACCATGACGTGGTCATACGAACCACCAGAGCAACCATCACCACCTCCTATCGTAACTTCGCTCGATAAGCTGAAGCAGGCGATGTCCGCACCACCGCACTCGCAGACGAGCCGGTTCCAGCACACATTGGCGGCGCTGACAGACCTCACAGGCTACATCGCCACGCAAACGTATGCGCAGTTCCGTTTGCCGAACATGGGTTATGGCGGCGGCGCGCCGCCGACGAGCACTGAAGAAGATGAGGTTAAGCGGGAGATTAGGGCGTTGAAGGGGCTCGTGCTGAACAGGTATCTTTGCGCTTGATCTGCCTGTTCCTCTGGCTCATGAGCACGTCACGCAGGCGGACGTTCATGCCGAGCTTACCAAGACCACCGTCCTTCACCTCGCCACTAGGCGCACGTCCTGACAACACAGCCACTCCCTGAGTATTTCATGTCGTCCGTGCATCCACCTCGAGAGCTATTGGAATTGGACGCATACAGTCGATCAACGTGCGGGAACGGCACACCATCTGTAGCACACAGTAGCCACGAGGCCTCTCGTAAACAGGTGTGTTCAGCAGCCCTCACTGAATTGTGCCGCACATGTACATCACCATCTGTCATCATATCATTCCTGCTTGTACTACGCTCGAGGGTCTGAACAGACACCTGAGGCGCGATATACATGCAGCTTGCTGCCCGCGAAGCGTTCCTGAGGTACTGTACGTACGCGATAGGGCAAGGGGGACATTTGGCTTCTATTGCCTTGCAGCATGTCTACTGATTACCAACAGCTTTGCGAACCTGTCTCGAATCACATAAGTCACCGAGATCGCGGCGAACATCACAGGGACTAGGTCGGGGCTTCAACATATTGCGGCCCCCGTCCCCGTACGGCCAGCCTTTCGAGCAATCATGATTTTCGCACACAGCTTCTCATGCTACTGCGATACTGCTCGTTGCTCATTGCGAGCGCACGTTCGAGCTTCGTTTTGCGGGAGCAGGGCTTTATCCGACATACTCAATATAAAGTAGCAGCAACAGCTACGAATGAGCAGAACTGACCGAACGTCCTGTCCTCCCGCATCACTCGAGACAGCATCACCAAGATGGCATCTACCACCGGCACCTCCAACGCCGTCGCGGGACTTGTCGGCGTCCTCGAAGGGATGCTGGACAAGTCGTACGGCGTGCCAGCCGTGAGCCTTCTGGGAAGGATTATCGCATCTAGCATCGTCCTTGTGAACACCGTTTCGGTGGGTAGTCTCGGTAGGGCAAGTATATATCGATTGCTCGTGCTCATGTCTTGGACTGTATAGAAACTGCATGACCGACCGCGCAGCACTCACCTCGCGGATCGGGTGGTAGACTTGGTGAGGCATGTCAAGGAGAGCGTGACGTCCGACCCGGATGCCGCAGACAGTGACATCGTGCAAGCGGATCTTGCTGCCCTCGACTCGTAAGCGCATTATCTTCAGAACCTTGTTCCATCTTATTATTCTGGAGAACGTGCAACACTGACAACCGACGGCAATTAGAACGTTACAGCACATCGAGCGTGGAATCTCCGAAGAACTATCGGGCAAGAACTGGATGTGGAAGCTGAGAAACCTCCTGCCCCGCGCCAGACTCGGAAGTCAGCTCGAGAAACATCTCGAGACGCTGGACAGTGCGAAGAAGGCTTACGATGTGAGTCAAGGGCAAATGCCGATATAGATGTCCCACTGCTGAGCTGACAGCACTAGATCGACAAGCTCATCGTGCGCCGACAGAGTTTGGAACGCCAGCGTTATGGGCGTTCGAGCGCGGTGCAAATCCACAGCGATACGAGCTCGATGCAGCTCAGGGTCACGGCGCACAAGAGCTGGCTGCGGCAACGCGAGGTATCGGCTCAGTTCGACAGCATACGCGCTAAGAAGGGTCAGAGCGCCCTCCTGCCGTGGCAGACGCTGGAGCATTACGGGTTCGTCGACGAGAGCACGGGAGAGGATGTCCCTCTGTGCTCGTGGTGATGTGGATCTCGCCTGTCTGGCGACCATTTCTGGCATGGGTCATATATTTCGGGAGCTTGCATTGTTGCTTGGAATATTAATTAGAGATGTGTGACTGTACGATATATAGCAAGGAAGATCGAATAAGTCTTGAGTAACTTACCAGCTCCCGTAGCGAACTGCCCTGTATAAGGGCCGCATCGTTCATGGTGTAGTCGATCATGACAGAATACTTCCAGAATCCTTGAACTACGCTCAAGGGAAGGTCTGCCTTCGTGCCCGATCCGACCCACATCGGGGAAGCGAACAGCATCGCTGACGATGCAAGTGTGCCTCCTATCATTGAAAGCTGGCATATGACAGGAAAGAATCCGAGGCGGCGAACGTATACGAAGTGATCTCGATATTGTGACCTTGTCTGAAAGGTGCCCGATCTTGGGCTCCGTCGTGTATCGAAGTACCTATATCTGAAATCAACTTTGATCGCGCAGGGAAATAGAGCTTAATGGGAAAGGCCTATGATAGGTAATGACTCTGATTGCTATGGAGGATTTTGAGATGAAATTGAAATAATTCCGCGAGGACTCCACAGCCACCACTCGAAGCCACTGGCATGGGGTTGACAATACAATACTGACCTGATGGGCGTTCAATTGTGACGACGATGCCGAAATGTTGCCAAGAATATCTTGCTTAATACACGCACGAGATGATAACACTGACGTGCCATTCTGTGAGGTCATACGTCACGAGAATCACTTCAAGGTGCGACGACTTCTATATGCAAATGATTCAGCCACACCTTCAATTGAATACGACGGATCATTAGCAATACTATCACCATACGCGGTCAGACAGACGTAACGTACCGAGGACCCCATATCGATCTGATACAGTTTTGAGTTCAAATGACGCTACTCGAGTCTCGCGCGAGATTGGGAGCGTGTGAGAACGCGTACGGCAAGGAGAAACGCGTCGAGCAACGACTGGCTCAGGGAGGACGATGGGAAAGCGAATGCGACGGGCCGCGTGCCGGCGCAGACTAAGGGCGAATCTGGAGCTCTCTGGGTGGCTCCATGTTAGCGTGACACGGGAGACGCGCTCGCATCAGACGCCGTGATGTCACGCGCCCCTGCGAGGCAGTGACGTCACTCACCGTCGCCGCCGCCTCATATATGCGACTCGCCCCCCGCAATAGCCATCGACTCGACACACGACTACTACGCTGCAATCTTTGTCACTTGAAACACGCCTTTTCAGTCTCATTTTTTCTCCTGCACAACATCAATCACAATGACCCGCACCCTCAGCAAGGTCGTCTACCATCCCGACCCCACCACGACTGACGAGTATACGATCATTGTCGACCCCGCTGAGGTATGCCGTACTACTTGACTCGGGTAGATCTTGATATCTGACGGGGTTGAATTTGCATCTTGCGTGCATGGAACCCACAGTACAAGAAATGGAAAGAAGGAGGTACGTGTCTTCGTTTCTGCCGATATAGGCCGCGAGTCTGATGGCAGGTAACCTTAGAGAAGTAAATGCAGTTGCCCATGATCAGTCCGTGGAACAGCAGCTGATCAGTTGCATGGCCTTCACAGGTCTATTCCATTAACAGAAGTCGTTGACTGTGTGTCGCATCCTTAAATTGCTTTCCATTCCACTCCGCTGATATTCGTTTATCTTGGGAAAAAAAACAGCTTTCGAAGTCTTCTTCTCAAATCAGGGTGCACAGGGCATCCTTGGCAAGCCATCGAAACAGCAGCTCGAGAATGATTTTGGCGTCTCGAGAGACGTCGACGTGATCACACAGATCTTGGAGAAGGGCCAGGAGCAGTCGGGCAAGGCATACACATCTGGAGTTGTTACCCAAAACATTGCGAAGGGAAGCGCAACTATTGACACTAGGGGCAAGACGCTATCAGGTGTGTGAGCGGGAGGCACGTTTGCTGGGGCGAGCAGTGCTCCGGGCGGCGTGGGGGAAATCAATATGGAAGAAGCTTATACCGCACTGTACGTTATGCATCGAAGCAATGGCAGGCAATAATGTGTAGCACGTCGGCGTCGTTGGCGAGCGGAGGGCAGCTCGCCTCCATGTTCCTCTCCAGGGAATGTGATGTGACTGACGTGACAGAGCCCAGAGCGAGCGTGACGGAGAAGATCAGCACGGTGGCTCGGGGAAGCCCGAACGTGCATCACACTCGCGCTTCGGAATAACCGATTACTATATTATCTACCTAGACCCTGGAAAATGCAGGCGAGCCCGTTAGCCCCTAGGCCTCCCTTTCTCCGTTCGCCGTCTTTCTCAACGCGACAGCGCCCCGTCAGCGACACCGACGACGACACCGACGACGACTATACCGACCCCGACGACAATACCCATGCCGCAAACTATCATTCTCGGAGGCGGCATCATCGGCCTCTCCACTGCCTACTACCTCGCTAAACTCGTCCGCCAGGATGGCTCCGACGGCTCTCAGCACACCATTCACATCGTCGAGCCCTCTCCGCAGCTCTTCGCGTCCGCGTCGGGCAAGGCCGGCGGCTTCATCGCCAAGGACTGGTTCAGCCCCGCGATGGCCCCACTCGGCGACCTTTCCTTCGAACTGCACCGCCGTCTCGCCGAGGAATTCGATGGCCGCAAGCGCTGGGGCTGGAGTGAAAGTATCTCATTTTCTCTCGACCGCAATGCAAGTCTCCTTGGGAGCGAGGACGACTCCGACTACGACTCGGAGGATACCGCGTCCGACTTGGACTCCGAGGCTCCGCCATCCCCGAATGTAGAGTTGGACACGACGGAGGCAGCTTCCACGAGCAGGGAAGGCGCGCGGAGCAGTGCGAGCACGGCCCGGGCGAGCTCCGAGGCGTCTTCTTCGCGGCAACGGGACAGTGCCGAAGACGAGCACGAGTGGCTGTACAAGATGACTCGCCTGCCTGCGATTGAGCAGAAAACCGCGGACGCGCTGGCTGCGCTTGAGGTCAAGGAGAGGGCCGAAGCGGAGAATAGACAGAGGCGCGAGGAGGAGAAGCAACGCTCCGCAGAAGAGGCTAAGGCAGCTGAAGAGGCAGAGGCCGCGGCTGCTGAAGAGGCCAGGGTGGCGGAGGAGCTAGCGAGAGCTGAACATCCCTACTGGTTGCAGACGCCTTCCCATGCAGCGCAAGCGATCTCGGACAGGAAAACCACGGGACAAATGTGAGTATCCTCTCTCTTTCGATCAACTGCGCGGTCTGGCACTCAGCATGTGTGCATCCGCGAATTCGGCCGTTCACGACATCGCGCCACACTTGCTGCTTCATCTCACGTGTGTACTGTCTTCCATAGTCGAGCAGACGCTGACTCGGAGTTGCATGTTCGTTTCCTCATCCCTCTGACACAGTAATCCGCTCGAGCTCTGCGAGTTCTTGCTGGAAGAATGCCTCAACATGGGCGTGCGCATGCATCACCCTGCACGAGCGGTGCAGCTCTTTCATGCCGAGTCCAACGATCCGAATTCGCAGACGATGGTCCGGCTCAACCTCCTCACCACGACCGCCACTGGCCGCGAATTGCGCACGGGCACGCGCGACATTCCCTGTGATAATATCGTTTTGGCCGCAGGCTGCTGGACGCCTGAAGTTTTCAATATGCTCTTCCCAAACGCGCCGAGGGCGCCCGTTGTGGAGGGTCTCGCCGGATATTCTGTCGTCGTCCGCTCGAAGCACTGGCAGCCACCCGACCCGAACGCGTCAGACGCCGCG